TTTCGAATTTTAATTGATCATTCGATGAACAGTGTTTGAAACATTTGTTGTAGAAAAAAAACGGCGCCATGTTTAATTACTTTTCACGCTTTATACAATATGCTAACATTCAACAACTACGAAAATGGGCATCTATTTGATTGAGAATTAAAACCGACGGCAAATAACGATGATGACGATGATGATGATGAGCTGAGGACCGGTAAGAAAAAAAAATTTTCACACTTGTTTACAAGGTAGGAGATTTTTTCTCCACATGTTTTCATTATTCAAGACTGTCAATTTTTATTTTTCTAATCTTTTGATAATCTTTTGCTTATCCTGCTGATTGATTAAACTCATCACAATATTTTTTTTTTTTTTTTTGAATGATAAAATTTGATTTTGTCATCATCATTATTATTATTGCAAAGAAAAAAAAAATATCTGCAGATCATAATCGGTGTATGTTTGTTACTAAACTTCCATTTTAAGAAAAAAAATGAATCGTTGAAATCAGGATTAATCAATTTTCTTCAGTTTTTATCGAATAAAAATGGCCATCAATATTATTTGATGAATCCATGAATGTCCAATGTGATTAATTTCATGTGATGATATATTGATTCTAACCTTTTCAAATGTAATGAGAATGTATGCATAACATGACATTCACACACATTTATTTATGCATTTTTGATCATTCATCTTTGTTGAATGGATATAGTTATCGTTTGAAAATAATCTTTTTTTTCTATCTTTCTTCAGCCATTTTTCTGATTGAAATTATTCTTTTTTTTCGAAATCCAAAAGTGTGATCAAAAGATTAATTTGATCGTTGTGCAACATCAATGAATAAATAAATAAATGAATGAATGAATGAATGCTAATCAAATTCAAACGGATGGAAATTTTAGAGTCAAATCCAGCAAAAAAAAAAAAATTAATGATTTGTTTTTTTCTCATTTCTTTTCCATTCATGAACATATCATTATGAACTTATGTTAACACATTCATCATTGGATTTAATGAATTTTTTTTCAAATTTAAATAAATATAAATGAATAAATTATGATGAGACTAAGTTTATTCATTTGAAAAATTTTTTCCATTGATTTTATGTTTGTTTATTGACTATGTATAGTGTAGATTAAAATGTATAATAATGATGATGATGAGATTCAGTGATATTTGGTTGTTTTTGTTGTTTTCTTTCAGATAAACATATGGTCCATTTTCATTTTATTTTTTTTTTTTCAAAATGATCAATAAAATAAATGAATGCTCCCACACACATATTGATGAAAATACATTGCAATCATTTGTTGCCATTAATCGATAACAGATATTTCGCATTTCAACATTGAAACGCATGCTGAGTGATTAAATCAAATTAAATTTAATTTGATTCATATTGAATTTGTTTCTGGAGAAATCTTTTTAAAACTTGAAATACATATGATGTTTTTTTCTAATAAAAACCATGATGATATTCACACCGAGATATTTATGCCATGGTGATTATGGTATTTGTCCAAAAAAAAAGATTGCCGATCACTGATGCTAATGATGATGATGATGATGATGGATAAGAAAGAAATATCCATGATATCAGTGTTGACATCGTAAAAACAAGAAAATATTTTTCAATTCAATACCCTATATAAAAATTTTTTAGTAAAAAAAAAAAAATTAAAATTTCATGTCTAGTTGTGCGTAAAGTAATTAATGTTTTGGCATTAATCATGCTTAGAAAATTTCTTGTTATCATCATCATCAAAAAAAGAAAATAATATAAAATTAAATGAGAAAAAAAATAAGGTAACAATCATCAGACTGATTGTCGTCACACACACACACACTGCAGACACACACTGATATTTGTTATTGATGATGTTGATTATGTTGTTTGATACTAAATAAAATCAAAATGTCAATGAAATATCTCTTTAACTGTAATGTGATAATAAATTTTTGGATTTTTATTTTCAAACACATGTAATAATATAATCGGTCGATTAAATCTTCAAAATCAATTGATGCAATCTGGGTTTTTTTTTCGCCTTAAAGATTGATTGTATTATTATCATAACATGGATGCTTTTCTGAATTTATATGTCACCTGTCTCTTGTTGTTGTTGTTGTTGTTGTTGTTGTTGTCGTTGTGAGTTGATTATATTGGCAATGTTTTTCTTCATTTCTTTTTCACTTCTTCTTCTTCAGTCTGAAGATAAGTGAGAAAAAAATCTCCAAAAATGAAGCTTTAAGATTGTAATCACAATCTTTTTAAAAAAAATATTATTTTCCACAACCACATCGAATTGATGATTTTCGTTCTGTTTGAAAAAAAATGGAAACATAAAAAATCCGTTCATCGTTTTAATTGGCATAATAAATTTTCGGACCCATTCTAATTCATTTCATCATTATTATTATCATCATCAATCGTTCATGTAATCATCAAAAAAAAAAAAAAAGGGAATGAAACCTGTTAAATATTTTGAATAATAATAAAAAAAAGAAGCCGAAAAAAATTCATACGATTTATTATTGTTAGTAATGCATAGCAGCATTAATTACGATATATAATAATGATGACGATTATTATCTGTTCTTATCTGATCTGATATTTTTTCACAGTTTTTTCATTTATAATTTTACATCAATTAGGAAATATTTTTTTTTTGAAAGATTCGTGAATCTAGCGGCACCTAGTGAAAAAATTGTTCAAAATGGAAAAATAAATCCATTTTTTGAATGCAGGCTTTACTGCCACATTTTTTCACATTTTGATGTTGAAAGTTGAATCCAATTATTTTTTTAAAAAAATTGATTCAATAGCAAATTGATTGATTATTGATTTAATTATCAAATTTTTTTACGTTTTTTCAAGAAATTTTCTTCATTAAAAATTGAAAAAAAATTAAAATTAAAATTACACGTGCGATTCTTGTTTGATTATATGGATCTTTCGAAAAAAAAGACAACCATAATTATTTACCATTTTTAAAATCATATCGCTTGATTGATTCACAGATTTTTTTCTTGTTTACTTGACAGCATAAGATAATAACTGTCGATTTTATATAAGATAATAAAATCAGACAACCTGTTTGCATTCAAGACATAAACAGGTTGATGATAAATCATTTTGATTTTTTTTTAACATTTATAGCGAAAACTGACGTTAAAATTCGTGCTCCCCATCATAAAGAAACACCAATTATCGATCATTGGATCGATTGATTGATTGATTATTTGTGGGTGTTAGCAACATATCTTTTTTTTTGATTGGTGAACTAATAAAAGCGTGAATTTTTTTTCCAATGAAATCTCATTTTTTTTCTTTTGTGTTTGAATTTCAATACTAGTAAATTGGTTGTTTTAAACACCCACACACACACATAAATTATACCTGAAAAAATAATGATTGCTTGTTTGTGTGTGTGTGTGTGTGTGTGTGTTTGTGTGAGTGTTTATTTCTTTCAATCATTTTAATTTAACGATTTAAAAGCTTAAAAGAATTGATTGTTTCATTCAGATTATTCAAACATTAACAACGGTTATTACTGAAATCTAATTGAATTCAACAGACAACAAAATCAACAAGTGTCATTAATCGTTTTCGATTAGTCATATCGGAGAATGAGAAAACAAAAACAAAATGTTGTAAAATTAAAAAGAAAAACACAAAACACCACTCTATAGGTTGTATGAAAAAATGAGGCAATTAATTGCAGACAGGTTGAACAGAAAAAAAATAATCAATAAAAATAAGTGTCAAACCTGATTATCCTGATCGTTCGATTGCAACAACAACAACAACAACAACAAAAATCGAATCCAATCAAATGATTACGATAATGAATAATGATTATAATTAAAAAAAAACTCAATCAACAAAAATATCATTTGATGATTGTTGTAAAGATTTTATTATGAATGATCATTTTTTTTTGTCATGAATATGACATCGATTGATTGTGACAGGTAAGCAAAACATTAATTTGTTATCGGTTCATTTTTTTTCTTCAAAAAAAAGTAAAAAATAAAACTAGTTTTTTATTTTCAGTATAAATTAAGAAAATTAATTTTTCACTACATTCACATTAATCAAAAGATAAAGATTTCCAATTTTCAATATTTTTAAGACAGGATACAAACATCAGTAGCAAAAGTATGGCAACTTGAATTTATAATAATTCAATGCATAAAGATTGAAAGATAATTGGGCAAAAAACTCATTATGATGATGATGATGACACACATATCATGGATCATTTATCTAGATATAAATGAAATATATATGTGACATATTTGGAATTGATTGACTCAACATATTTATTGAGTTATCATTTGAAAATTTGTTCTTTTTCAAGAAGATCCTTTGATGATGATGTTGTTACATAGATTACATAGATTATCATGATCAATGAAACGGTATGCAAGTATGGAAAATCGATCGAAATACGATTTTTCAACAACAACAACAACAAAAAAAACACGTTCCAGACTTTTCTTTCTATAGAAAAAAAATTCGCTATGCCTGACAGCATAGTCGGGTCGTTTCAATTTTTTTTTGTTTTTTTTCCTCGTATATTTCATCATCAATAACTACTTATAAAATATTATTATATTGACATATGAGCCTGTTTGATTGCATTGAATAAATCGATTTTTGTTTTATTGATTCAAAAATGATTGATTTTTTTCGTTCTTATTTGTGAAGCTTATAATGTGAATGAATGACGGAAGAAATTAAACGATCAATCAATCCTTATTGATTTTGATTGTCATCAATTTCACAAAAAAAACCGTAAACACACACACACACACACACGCACATAAAAATGTAAAAGACAAAAAAAACTTTACCATTGTCTTCTTCATTCTTTTTATTTTTATTTTAATCATTAAAGCAAAAAATATTATTTCATTTCAGAATACAATGTATTTTCAATATAATTATTTTCGTTTAAAAAAAAAAAAAATACAATCATCACAAAAATTATTGTAAACGCACAACATAGAAAAAAAACAATTAAATGTCAAAGAAAAATTTCTGAATTTCCAACATTTGTAAACCAATGAACTAAAAATGGATATTGTAATTTTACATTCATTAAACTGTCTGATGATCGATTAACAAATTGTTTTTCCAATGCCAATCTAACCACATTATAAACATCGTCATCGATTTTTTCTTTTTGTCGACCATTTATGTAGAAATCAATTTTTATAGTTTGATATTCAAATTTAGGACTGGTTGATGGAGTATAGTAAATATCGTCATCATCATCATCATTGTCATCCGATTTTTCGATTGCATCTAGGAATTCATCTTCAGATTCGTCATTTTCATTGGATTTAATATTCAATTTCGATAATGATTCTATGATAAATAATTCATCATGTACTGATCGAAGATGATCGTTTAGTTTTTTAAGATCTTTTTCATTAAAAAAATCAACAAAACTACCAAGAAAAGGCCAATATTCACAATATTGCAGATCCAATTCTTTACTAATCTCACAAAAACACGTTCAAGTCCTCGTTCCTGATCTTGTAAACGAATACGTCGTTGTTCTGGTGTACATCGTTTCGGACTTTTAAATATTTCGTATATTTTTCGTGATCGTTCTAGTGTCATCGGACCTACAAAAGCTGAAATCTGTACATTTTTTTCGGGCGTATTTTTCAATGTAGATTCAAGCATTTTCTTCCCAACCTGACAAGCTTTGTTGATTGATTTGTCAAGATTTTCTACCGATTTTGACACAGTTATAAACACAGATGAATTGACAAGTTCTTGAACTTTTTCTCTCAATGAAGTTTCTTGGACAACTTGATAAGGCAATAGGTTTTGTTTGTTTAGCTTTTTGGTATCTAGTACTGGTATATAACCGACTAGAATGGTGATACATTCTAAATCACCAAATTTACAAGCCATATGTAATGGTGTATCAAAATTAATTTTATCCGGTGAATTAAGATACAAATCTAATAAGTGATCGCGTTTTTCAATTAACAATTCTTCACTAAAATTCGGATTCATTTTTTGCACAAAATCCACAGAGTTAATAGTATCGAGAATAAAATTCAAGATTTCTGGACTTTTGTTACGAATGGCCAAATGAACAGCATTATATCGAGCACCTTGGAAAATAATAGTTGGACTGTCAAAGTAATTTGAGATTAGATAACGAGGATTATTGTAAACGAATTGTTTAACCGCCTCCAATTGTTTATTTACAATGGCACGTTTAAAAACATTAAGTTCTCGAGCGTCGAGCGATGGAAATGGTGGAGTTTCTTCTGCGACAGTTTGTAAACCAGAAACCTTTTGTAAGGATGGACTATTTTGCAGTGAAATATGATTTGAAGAATCATTCGAAACAATATCACAGTTTTCTTCCAGAACAAATTTCAAGGCCTCATCATATTGAACAAAGGATTTAAATCGTGATCCTTTATAATGTTTGATCAATTTCAATATTTCATTCTTATCATTTGATATGAAATGTTCCGGATTAAATCCAGGCGATGGAATTGAATTTCGTGCCTGTTGTGGTATACAGGACGCATAGAAAATCATGTCGGCTCTATCCATTATGGTATCATCCGCTTTCGTAACATAACTAAAGGAATAAAAAACATTAATTTAATGAATTTAAATTTTAATTAAATCTCAGATATTTTACCAAAAGATGATTCGATTTGTTACTATGAGGGATGTAATGGAAATTTTAAAATTAAACAACGACGATCAAATGACAAATCAGTCTGATTGTTTATAAATCAAACGATCGAAAAAAAATCCTTCGCCTGTTCATAACAAACGTTCCATAATATCCAATTTTCATGCATTCATGGATCCACGCTTGAATTTGACCACATTCAGACATTTAAAATCTAGATCGTGATACAAGATGCGTTCCAAGATTTTGTCCACTTTATGGGGATTGGCAATCAATAATAAATTAACATCCGCATTGGCCGTTGGAATAACATTAATATTGACAACAGGTGTATATCGAAAATATAATCAATGTTCAAAAGTGAAAATAATCAAAGATTCAAAGCAACAATGTAATTGTATGAAACAAAAGCCTAAGTTGAAGATTTTATATGGATCCACGACCGGTAGTAGTCGTCGTTTGTCGAAGAAATTACAACAATTATTGAAAAGTAATGATTCAGTCTCTCAAATATTCAAATCAATTGAATGTCTTTGTACTGATCAATATGATCCTGAAGATGAAATACTATCAGATGCATCGAATGGCAACTATTTAATCATATTAATGCCAACATATACAGGTGGTGAACCACCTGAAAATGCCCGTTGGTTTTATCAATGGATCAAAGATGCTGCAAATGATTTTCGTCTGTCGAAAAATGCTCTCAATCAATTGAGTTTTGCCGTACTCGGTATTGGGGATTCAGTTTATGGTGATGATTTTTGTCTCTGTTCTTTCAAATTGACCGCTGCATTGAAGAAATTAAGTTCAAAATGTTTATATAAAACTAGCTTATTAGATCGTTCGGCTTTCGAATCGATCGAGGATCAATTTCAATCATGGTACCAAAAAATTCTTCCAGTTTTGATTGAACAAGAAATCACTTGTTGTTCCGACAATACCTCTGATCAAACTAATTACTCTACACTTGTAAATTTTGATGATGATGATGACAACGAAGAATTTGATGAAGATTATGCAGAAGAAGATGTACCTAATAAAAATGACCAAATGGTCACCGATCTCGAAGATATTGTAACGACCTCTAAAAAGATAAAATCCGATTCTAATACGCAACCGATTCGAGACATGTTGACTACAGATCTAAGAAAAGAATTGAGTAAACAAGGCTATAAATTGATTGGTTCACATTCGGGAGTGAAACTCTGTCGATGGACAAAGGCAATGCTTCGTGGACGAGGTGGTTGTTATAAATACACTTTCTATGGCATTGAAAGTCATCGTTGTATGGAGGCAACTCCCAGTTTAGCCTGTGCTAACAAATGTGTATTTTGCTGGCGCCATCACACGAATCCGGTCGGTACAGAATGGAAATGGAACATGGATCCTCCAAAAATGATTTTTGAAAATACTGTCAAAGCTCATCAAGCCATGATCAAACAGTATAATAGTGTCCCTGGAGTAATACCACAAAGAATTGAAGAAGCTATGCATGTTCGACATTGTGCACTTTCTTTAGTCGGTGAACCAATTATGTATCCAGAAATCAAAGAATTTATTCGTTTGCTTCATTCTCATGAAATTTCGACTTTTTTAGTTACTAATGCACAATTTCCGGATGAGATCAAACGATTGGATCCGGTTACCCAACTTTATGTATCTGTTGATGCATCATCAAAAGCTTCATTGAAAAAAATCGATAGACCACTATTTCGAGATTTTTGGGAACGTTTCCTTGAAAGTCTTCGGTCGCTCAGTTTCAAAGGACAACGTACCGTATATCGTTTGACTTTGGTTAAATCTTGGAATTCAGATGAAATTGATGGCTACGCACAATTAATTATGATTGGCAATCCAGATTTCATTGAAATTAAAGGTGTAACCTATTGTGGCACAAGTATGAATGAAGCGAACTTAACGATGAAAAATGTTCCATGGCATGAAGAGGTAGTTCGTTTCGGCCAAGATCTTTTGGACAAAGTCAATCGACTTATTAAACAACGAAAATTGAATCAATCTGGAATACGTGGGTATTCGGAAGATTTTGATTCCGAACTATATGGTTTAGCCTGTGAACATGAACATTCGAATTGTCTGCTTTTAGCTCGTCGAAAATTCTATATTGATGATCAATGGTGGACATGGATCGATTATCCGAAATTCAATGAATTGGTCCAAGAATATTATAAATCAAATGGCGAAAAAACATTCACATCAATCGATTATTTGGCACCAACACCTAAATGGGCTATGTATGGCTCTGTTGAACAAGGTTTCAATCCGAATGATACAAGATTTCGTAAAAAGCGTAATCATACCTATGATGTTGTCAATACAGAATAAACAGTGATATATTTTTTGATTTAAAAAAACTCAAGTTTTATTATTACTGAAATTCTAAGCGTCAATATATAAATTATTATGAAATGTATGAGTATTATCATTGTTATTATATGCTAATTTCTATATCGAAGCGGTGGTGATAAATCAAAAACATTACCAATAGAAGCCTTATTGTTTGATGGCGTTGTTCCCGATGATGATGCCGATGATCCATTACGGCGATAGGGAACTGGTCGTTTACGTGCACTTTATTGATTATTTAAGCAAAAAAATAATAATATCGATTAGGTTAGATTTTTGAGAAAAATTTAAAAATTAAAAAAAAAATTCAGGCAGCTAATACGGTAGGTGCAAAATTAAATTCAAAATAAAAACTGTAAAAAAAAGAATCGACAAAAAAATATTAATTTAATCATTGATCATGAAATCAAAAGGGCAAAATTAAACTTAAATAAAATGAAATGTGTTGACAAAAAGTAAAGTAAATAGGTGAATCAAAATGAAAAAAAAACGAAATTTCATTCAAAAAACGAAGGTCCAAGTTTTTCCCAAAAATCCGTATACGTATTAATGATACCTGGTTATTCTACGTTTCTCAAGGAAACTCGGCGAACCTTTTCGTCTTGGTATAGATGGACTACGAGATCGTGAATATCTATAAATAAACAATTTTATTATTTGAATTTGTTATCTTATAGATAGGTTACTTTTTCATTTTTTTATTTCGTCTACCGAGAGATGGGCTGTCACCAGAATTGTGAGCATAATCATCACTAGACGATGAATTGGATATTGATACTGATCGTGAACGTTGACGTTTTCGGTTATTTTTATTTTGGTGACGATAATTCTTATCGTCTATTTCATCATCCGAATACGAAGATGATGATGACGGAGAACGACTCCTTGACAATTTAGAATGATGTGTTCGACGCGAATGAACTGGACTTCTACTTTTAGATCTCGATAAATATTTACTACGATGATAACGGGATGATGGAGATTTTTCACGTTCATCATTATGGCGATGGCGATCAACTCGATGATGGCTTGATGAAACGACCGATTTAATTCGACTGTTTGACGATCGGTGATGATCATGTTCGGGAGACATTTTTTTAACATTATCATCACGACGGCCATTCGATAGTGAAGGAGAGTCTCTTCTTGGAGATTGAGAATCCTTGCGATTTGTTTTACGATGAATACGATGATGATTATCATACGATCTTCGTTTATTTTCAAAAACAGCTGGCGACTTTGATCTTGACCTTTGTGATGGGGAATGTCGACGATTATGGCGATGGTGGAATTTTGAATGTTTAAGACTTCCATGTCGATGTTTTGATGGTTGAGATTTTTTACGATGTGAATCATATGATGATTCATCTTCTGAACTATTGCTATCCGAATTACTACTATCGCTGCTACTTTTTTCTGATTCTGAATCGGATTCAGATGATGATTCGGATTCGGATGAACTATTCGATTCTGAGCCACTTGATGATGAAGATGATGATGAACTATCCGATGAATCATCGTCATCTGAACTTGATTCTTTTTTAATTTTCTTTTTAGATGTTTTAATAGCATCGGTTTCATCATTTCTACTATTTTTATTTCCCTTTGATTCACTTTGCTGTCGAATAGTTTCCTGTATGAAATCTTTATTAGCTTTTAGCATTTCTTCTTTAGCAGCTTGTTGTTCTTTTGCTTTACGTATGATATCCATGGACGAGCCGGCCACAAAATCTTCGCTTATACCTAAAGCTGCTTTTAATTTGTCATTACGATCACGATTCAATTCGGCCAATTGATGGGTCTCTTTGACACTGTGTTGGTAAATATAAAAAACGTAATTAAATATTTTTCATCATAAAGAAAATTAATTTTTCAATAATTAAAATTATCAAGAAAAAAAAGGAAAAAAATCAAGCAATTATGATGAGTCGTTTGTCTACAGGAAAACTTGTTTCAACGAAACGGAAACAAAAATTACATACCTCAGACAACTTTTTATCTTAAAGGAAGAAGCATTTTTACAATTATAAAATGGATCGTTATTAGAATATTGTTTATCATTATGATTAATAGTATTATTATTATTAGTATTATTTAAATGTTTATTTGAAACACTCAATGATATGTTTTTATTATCATCATTATTATTATTCAATGGATAGCCATTGTTTTTGGATATTTTTCGTTGATTATTAGTTAAGTTATGATGAATATGTAACGGTTGTTGATAATGTTTTTGATGGCTTAAAATTGAAACGGCAGTAGCAGCAGCCGTTGCCGTTAGGATTGCTTCAAATCTTTTCATCTGATTACGTTTACGTCGTATTCGACGTTTTGCTGCTGAACTTAATGGTTTCGATTGATTTGATCGATCTAATTGCTTACTATTCTTATTATTTATAACACTATTGGAACTATTGTTATTATTATTATTATAAATACAATATGGAAATGGTATTATATGATTGGAAAATGCATTGAATAAAATCTGATGTGGACAACATATTGATTGCGATGAAGAATCATGATTACAAGAATATGATTGCTGAGATGATATTGATGATTGTTGTTGTCGATCATCAATAGGATTTGTTGCCGATCCAACAATCGGACGAATCATAGGTATTATTGAAACATTTTTATTATATTTTGCTTGAGGCTTATTTTCACCAGCAATAAGGGTGTTAGAATTTTCCATAATTCTACATTCTATGGTTATGATATTGAAAAGAAGTTATTTGTATCTGTGGAAGACAAATCTTGGAAGACTTGGATTGTTGTTTTGGAAGAGGGTAAAGTCGAAAAACTTAGCCCATTTTGGAAGACTTTATTTTGGTAAGGCACTGAAGATATGTACGATCTGATCAATTGGTTTTTATACCAACATGATCACTATTTTTGCAAAATTCTTAAATAATCATAAAAAATAAAGTTTTTTTTCGTTCAAAAAAATTTGCGTTTTATCTTTTTTTAGAAAAAAAATTGATGGTCAACAAGAAAAAAATTGACAAATTAAATAAATCTTTTGTCGTAAATAAATCAAGTGTATTTGCGATAAGAATTCAGAATATTATTTTGAATCGTTGAATATCAAGAACAATTTAATAACAAAAACTAAACGATAGAAATCTATGGTCGGCCATTTTGAGCCTATGAGAGAATTTTTCTTGCACCCATCAACAAAACGAGCATCAATTTCATTTATACATACTAAATTAGCAGTATTATATAGAGATGCTAAAAATCATGGACCAATAAATGTTACCAGGGACTCTATAGTAGTCATATAACCGATTCTCTAACATGCTATATAGCTAGGCAAGAATCCATAAGCAAAAATAAAAAATTTTTTTTTCGTGTATAAAAGATATGATAATTTAAAAAATTCGAATTTTTGATAAAATTCTTGGTTCAGTACTGACAAAGATTTTAAAATAAGAATAAAATTTGAATTCAAAATAAAATGAAATATTTACCCTTTACTATTAAGAATTTCTTCAATAAATTCCTGGCGATTTTCTAATGCCTTTAGCATTTTTTTCTGCAATTCTTGTCGATATTCATCTACACGTTTTTGTATTTCATCTTCGCTTAACCTAATTAGATTTTTTCAATAAAAGATGCAAATAATGAAAACACATTTAATAAAACATCAACACACAATACGTTACCCTTTCTTTTCCAATTTTTCTTCCAATTCTAAACATTGAACTTCAATTTTACGTTTACGATGATGTTCGAGTATCTCTCGATTTGGTGCCTTTAAATATTCGGATTCAAATCGGCGAATTTCTTCTTCAGTTTTATAATCGATTTTTGGTTTAGACACATGAACAAAACTAAGATTACGTTGAACATAACCGTTGGTGCCGCTCCCACGAGCGGTTTGTAAACCGATTCCGTTGTACATTCTTTGATTTAAATTGATGAATGAATGTCAACGAATTATTCGATATTATAAAAATCAATTTTCGAAAATGATGCAATAATTATGATGAAAATTTAATTTTTCCAAACACAACAAACCACACAACGGCATGCACTTAAACAATGAGCAAATTAACGAGCTTGTATGCATGAAATACATGATGAAGTTCTTTTTACTGGTAAAAGATGGCAACACTTTCATAAATTAAAATCAAATGAGTTTAAATAATCAAATGCTTGAAACTGTTTTTCAATGGAGAATTTTTTCCATCTAAAGATACTGTTCATCAGTTCTTTATCTAGAATAAATTGAAAAATAAAATATTAAGATGAAAAAAGATGGTCCGACAATAAAATGGATCAGAAATCGATCGAATTACTGGACAAATTCAGCAAATGAAAATGCTTGTCACAATCTGCTTATCGAACAACAAAATTTTATATAAAAAATCATGAAAAAAATGAAAAGAGAAGAGTGGACATTTTTTTCTCTGATTGAAAAAATCAAAATTTCTAACTAATAAGTAATCAATAATAGATGATAATAGAAATCTTCAGAAAAAATCAAAATCTTGATCCGCTACAGAGCTATAATGACGAATATATTGCTATATCGAATCAGTTTCTTTCTTTTTTTTTTTGCTTTGGTTATAAAATAATATTAGTCTTTTGGGACACGCGTCAAACAGTCTTTTTTGGCTCAATAAAAAGGCGTTGCTAAACAAACAATATTCTCGCTCACACATATTGAGCGGGGGAAAGTTATTCCGGTCCAAAATGTCAGCAATTATTTCAGTGTTTTAGGTTTTGTTTTCTCAATCGACAATTTGGTAATTCATTTGGATCATCATTGATTCAATTCATTCACTGATTCAATATATTGCAATCAAAATCTATGTGGTTATTGCGAATTCGATATGGTGATGAACAAATCCGAACAGGTTTTCGTCTTCATTTAAATATTTTGTTGTAATTATTTTGTTTCATTTTTGTTGCAGACACAAACGATGAATGAGATGAACGATAAAAAGACTGAGAATGATGATAATGAAGAGATTAAAACTGGATATTTCGGCATTAGATCATATCTACATCATTTCTATGAAAATGTTTCCGTTCGAAATCCAAATGAATATGATGAACATGTAACCGAATTGTAAGATTGTTTAGAAATTTTGTTGACTTTTCATATCAGATAGAATTAATGATTTTTGATTCATATTCAGCACAAACAAACAGAATAGACGTTCAAAGTTATGGGTCACTTTATTCATTTCTGGTAAGTTGATGATTTGTGAAATGTTGATTTTGAATTATTGAAATTGATTTTCATTGAATATTTATAAATTTTATAAAGGAACAATTTTAATGTTACTTGGCGTAACAATGATTCTCATTGGTTTTACCATGAATCGTATGCAAATTGATATTGGCTATCAAGAAGAGATGCGTATTATTGATAAATCTGCATATGAATTCAATAAACATTTAGATCAGATCAAAATAATCGGTCTAATCTGTTTCGCTGTAGGTGGATTATTTGTAGCTTCTTCATTATTGTTGCCTAGTTTGTTACCAAACAAATCGAATGGCACAAATGATGATGTGGATGAATCTACTCATCTTAAATTTAATATCGATCCCAATGATGATGATGAACAACGAACACAGGTGAAAAATCTGATACCAGTCACTGAGGAACTTAAAAGTGTCCAACCTAAACAAACAACTACGCCAGCTATTATAACCAATTCTGGTCTTAAACAGATTGTCTTTGATTAAATGAATATCATGATTTTTTGTTAACACAATAATAATCAGTTGTTATACAGATGAATAAAAAAATTTTGAATTTGTTTTTGTTTAAACATGCAATTCATAGTTGAAGTGCTGGAAATCCAGCTTCGAATGGATTGATGATATCGAGAAAAAAATAAAGGGTGCCGGCCATGCCTTCGAACAATGAGTATGGTGTATCCGGTGTACGACAACCATGTTGGCCATAACTGCAACACCATTCAGTGAATTTGATTGCTCTGTACAGATGTTTTTGATCATTAGTTAATGTGTATAAACATAGAAAAGCATAAGCATTTCCGGCCGTTCCATGACATAATCCATAACCTTTTCGTAATAATCCTCTTCGCCAGATATCATCGCCGGCTTTCAATGCAGCTTGTAAATATTTTTCATCCTTAAAAATCGATTGTGCAGTGGCCAATAGATAGATTAATCCAGGAGAACCATGACACCAATGTACTAATTTATCTTCATTCTCAGCCAAACAAGCGGGAAAATTTCCACTTTGAAATTGTGTATCTACAATCATATTCAATGTTGGCCGTATCAAAGTTTGAAGTTCTTGCGAACAAATGTATTGAATAGATTTAAGAAGCAGATAAAGTATACCAGCATAACCATGAGCAGCACCAACATAGTGTTCATCATACCAAACATAAGTTAATGGCCATTTGCTATGTAAATTTTTAGTAGTTTTTTTACCAGATTCCAAAATAGCACAAATAACCTGACGAATCATATCATCAGTAATCAACGAATGCAGATTTGGTATTTTTGATCGAAGCAATAGTAATGTGTAAAGATAACCAGCTCTTCCATAGAGGATTTCATCTGGCAGATTTGATTCTATGCAACATACATTTGAATGAATAGATAGAATACTGTTCAATAATTGGCCATAATCTTTGTTTTGGTAATAATAAATCAAAGTAGCTGTTGCTAGTAGGCCAATTTCACCGCACAAATAGGTTGGAACTTGAATACGGCGGAAATTTTTTAAACCAATTTCGATCAATTCATTTGCTTTGTGTAGATAGGATTCAGGATTTGGAAAAAATTTTGATTCAAAAATTTTGAGATAAAGAATAGCCGCTCCAGTCGTACCAGTGTAAACACTTGAATCGTTTGTCTGCAAGAAAGTATTTAAATGCTGTTGCCAATGATCAAATAATCGAGTAAAATTAGATTTAACATAGATTTTTAGCTCATTCTTTAATGATCCATCATCATCGATAAATGAAGTCGTACCATCATAATCGGGAAATGTATTTTTAGAAAAAACGATTCGTATGCATGGTTTTACGAGAATGCAATGTTGGAATACGAATACGAAATTGCCGTAACACAAGGTAGAACATGTAAACACAACAGTGGAAAATTTGATGAATCAGCTGATCGAAGTGAAACAACACAACTGTTTCATTCGAATTATAATTTTCGTTATTATTAATTTTTTTCTCAAAATTTAATTTGAAATGCTGGAAATCTGGCCTGTTTCGGATGAATTATATCGGCTAGAAAATAAATTGTTCCAGCTAAACCTTCAAACAATGAATATGGTCTATCAGCGATTCTAATTCGATGTTGATGAGGCTCAAAACACCATTCGGCAAATTTAACAGCTCGATAAAGATATTTTTGATCGTTGGTCAATTGAAACAGACGAATAAAAGCATAGCCATTACCAGCCGTACCATGACATAATCCACAGCCTTTTTTGAGCAGACCACGATGCCAAATATCATCAGCCGCTTTTATGGCTGCATTTAAATATATTTCCTTTTCAAATACTTGATATGCTAATGATAGCAAATGAATGACACCAGGTGATCCATGACACCAATGTACCAATCGATCTTCGGTATTATTCAGTGAAGATCGATAATTTCCAGTATCGGGGAATTGTAGCCCAAGAACAAAGTCGATTGTAGGCTTGATCAATGTATTCAATTCCTTTTCATCATCGAGATAATTTCGAGCTTCAAGTAGAATGTAAAGAATGCCAGCATATCCATGTGCAGCGCCGACATATGCTTTTTCATGCCAATAATAAATCAGAGGAATCGATGAATTCTTTTCTCTTTGCGATGTTAATTGACCAGATTTAAGAATTTTTTCCACTAATGATCTAATTAGATTATCATCGAGTATTTGCACGGAATCTTCAATTTTTTCTCGTATCATCAATAAGGAATATAGGAAACCCGAACGTCCAAAAAGAATTTCATCGGGCAATTCAGTCGAATCAGAGAGGATTTTCGGAGCTAAATTACGAATAATTCTCAAATATTTACTGTAATCTTTTCCGCGCGCGTGATTGATGAGTACTTTGCACGCTAACACACCAGTTTGTCCACAGAGAAACGAATATCGTTCTTTTCCACCACCAATGTTTTCCAGGCTTCGTTTGATCAATGAATTGGCTTTTCGTAAGATATCTTGTCGTTCATTTTCAAATGCATTCAATTCGTATAATTTTAGATATAATAAAACGATTCCAGTTGATCCAGTATAAATGGTGAAATCTTTCGAAGATGATAACGTTAAATTGGATTCCAATTCCTGTAGAAATACACGAATATGACGGAGAAAATCAGTACACAATGATGTAATGAGCGACTCGGATCCATCAATTAGTAAAGTTTCATTATCATCATTATAATCAAGATAATGATTAGGAAAATAACGTTCACCCATTTTTATTGTAGTTTTCAACACAAATGATGACCAAACGATCGTCGAATAATTAAATTATTAATGTACATGACATGTATAAACTAGGCAAAAATTAAAAATTTATCTTTTTTAATCAAATTTTTTTCGTATATAACAATAATTTGAAAGCAAATCAAACTAATAATAATAATACTGAATTGTTAGAATGGGAATTTATAATTGATGACAATGATTAAGAACAAATCATTTGTATCAGGTTTTGTCCGTTAATTTTATTGTGCTTTGAACAATATCCGGTGTATTAAAATTTTGGCTAGGACTTGATGTCAAATGATCAATAACAGTGTCCGTATCGAATTTCATTTGCTAAAAATAGAAATAAAAAAATTTTGATTAAACGATTAATAATTTATGATAATAAAATTCATCACCTGATCAATGGATTTTAGTTCGGTCGTCATAGCATTATCGTTGTGATTGAAATAGTGATTCGTTTGAAGATAGGAATCGTAATTTGTTCGCACAATATTGTATGATGACGTTGATGTTCGTTGTTGTTGATGATGATTAAATTTTCGACGTTCAGATTCTCGTTTAACTTCGCGAACAGTTTTCACTTCATTTGATTTAGTAGACGGTTGTTGTATGATCACTGGTTGATGATGATAATTATAAATCTGTTTGAGCTGTTGATCAACAATACTATCACCGCCATAAGTCATTGTCATTACTTTATTTGGATCGAATTCACACATTGTCTGAATGTTTGACGGAAAATTATTATTGATCTCATTCAGATTGGTTGATATTCGTGAAGTTGATGATAAATTCGTATGATGTTTGTCCAGATTGATGTTTAGTGTGAAAAATTCATCGTTTAAATTATTATTATTTGTCCGATCAAAATTATCATCATCTTCGTTATCATTGTCTCCATCATTATCATCCTCGACATGACGATGATCAATTTGCAGGCTATTTTGATTGCTTAAAAATGCTTGCGATTTTTTAATGTTCTCATATAATGGATAGAGGCTGGTTTCCGCAGCATTATTCACAGCCATTTTCAATTCTTCATTGGTGAATTTATGGTAATCTGAATAAACGTTATCATCATTGAATCGATCTGCCATGAATTTTGTTTCAGAATTTTTCAGATTTTCAATTGCATTATTTAATTCTTTACGACGATTATGTAAATCATCGATTACTTTGTTAATATGGACCAATTCAGCTTCAAGTTTTGATGATCTGGTTATTTCCATCGCCTCTTGTTCATTTTCCAACACTTGCTTCAATTTGTTTCGCGCCAACAGCATTTCTTGTTCCATTCGTGCATTTTCCACCGCTTTTTCTTCCAATTTTCTCGTCGAATGTGTTAACATTCCTCGAACACGATCCAATTCGCCCTCTAAAACTTTTTGTTGTCTTTTTAATATTTCAATATTTTCGTTAGGTGTTTCAGCTGTTCGAATCGAGTCAGAATCACTCGAAACACTATCGCGATCTTTTTTCACTAAATTGAATTGATCATCATCAACGGTAACCCGATCCAAGATTGATGTAGAAGCTGCTTTCTTTTTGTTCAATTCATTAAGCTTAGTTTTTGATTTAATCTTAATCATATGATCAATAGTCTGAATGATCGGTATTTGTAATCGATATTCTCGATTAACCTCTTTCCATTTTCGGCTAAGTTCATTGAATCGTAATTGATAATCATCTTTTCGATATGGCTCAATTTCCATCATTTTTTCTTCGCTATCCATTTGTAATCGTAATTTTTCACATGTTTTTGCCAATTGTGATTGTTTTCGACGTAATTGAATCAACATTAGAATCAATTCTTCATGCCTTCTGCCAACATATTCGGCTGCTGAAACACTAAATCTTCGTGATGATTTAAGAAAATATTTCCGTGATGCTCGATCAAATGTATTGCTTTTACCCTTTTCATCAGTGAATTGTATTTCAGAATCCGAAGCATTGTTTAGATTTTCTCTTGATTTACGTTTTCTTCGTTTCTTTTTCGATGTTTCGATAGGAACTTGGTGTAATGAATCTGTAAATAGAAATATAAATGATTAAAAACTATGTTGTCATTTTGTTCAATTTTTCGAATCAAAAGATTGTTAAGGGGTTGGGAATTACCTAGGCTATCGGCGTTATTTAAATTCTTATTTTTCAGTGTTTTTCGGGTCTGTTTTTTATTGTTAGTAGAATTTTGTCTATGAGCAGAAACTTGACTGGGTGCTTGCTTTATTGGGCTTTTTGTTTCGGTACAATTCTCATAAATGGGTTGCATATTTGCTGATTGCTGTTCTGGTTGTTGTTGTTGTTCGTGATTATTCTCATTAACATTTTCAGAAAAAATAATTGTCTGGTCAATCCTATTAGTTGGATGGTTGTTGTCATCTTTAATTTGTTGTGGTGAAGTTGTCGAGAAATTCTTGAGGTCCACTTTATTGTTTTTAGGTAATGATGAATAATGTCTTTTCTCAGCATCCGAATCTTTTTTCTCATCACCATCATTCAAATTGTTCAACGTATTCAAAGTTTTTGTTCTGTTTGACAATTTTTTATCTAATGTTAATGATGTTGTGCCCAGAAAACGTGTATTATTCAAAGCAGTACAACGAGACAATAATGGTGGCGGTTCGGCAAAATCGCCAAGTTTTTTCTGTAATGCAATTTTTTGTTCTTCATTTAGGAGATCAGAATAATAATAAGGTGCAGTGGGGGTAGAATTTTGACTATTATTTTGATTGTTGTTGCTTTTGTTTATATCATCATACAATTGTTTATGGACACTATCATTATCATCTAATGTTGTCGATGGACAATGGTTTGATAATTTGGGTTTTCTATATGTTCGAACATTTAGACCAAGTTTAAATTTAATTTCCAATTCTTCATTCGATTGATTTTGGACATCAAAATTACCGGGATTCGTTTTTTCTGAGTTTATTCGTTTAAAAAGTCCATTATCATTACTATTTACATTTTGAATAGGCATTGGTAAGCCAATTTCATTCCAATCATCTTTTGGATTTGGTTGCTTTGATGATAATTTAGCCATATAATTTCTTGTTGAATTTAATGTTCGTGAACAACTCAATTGCCGTTGGAAAAATAATTTTGATGCTTTTTGATACTCTTCTTTACTCAATTCAAATGGGTCATCATTATTATCACTGTCCATTATAGCATTACGATGGGAATTTGATGTTTTAGCCTCTATAATAACGGTTAAATCTTTTTTATTTTTTTTAAATACTTTTAAATGGGATAATAATGGTTAAACACGTTAAACTTTTGAATAGGCATGGGATTTGTGTTATTTTTAGGACATTAAATAAAGACAAAGTGAATGAATAATCCAGTGAAGGGAGAAAGATTGATGGATACAACAATCAAGTTGTTTAAAGGTAGTAAACAAATAAAATTTGTCAAAACACTTACTTTCATCGTCTGACGTATAGGTAGTAATGTTTTTTTCTCGTTTGATCGATGTAGATTGGGTTTTTGGCAAGCCAACTAAATCGTCGATATTTTGAGTATGTTCAGTATTTTGTTGTTGAAAACGGAAAACATATTCTTGTGGTAATGGTGGACGATTTGGTATGGTCGTCGTATCAGTAACAATATGTGCATTATTTAATTTATCAACGATATTAGTTTTTTTCAATGAAACCGGAATGATTGAATTATCAGCATTATCATTATGGGAGGTTTGATAAAAATTTTTGGCCATATATGGATCAAATTTAGATTGATAATTTTCATTATATGAAACATACGACCCTTTACCATTGTGATGGTAGTTATCATATTTTTCGATACTTGATTTAGGCCTTATAGGCATTATTCGGGAATCTTGATTCACAATATCATTATTAAATGAATCACCGGATTTATTATTATTGTTGGATGCAAACAATGTTTCACATTCTTCATCATCCAATTCATAATCTTGATTACGCTCAAGGAAATCGGCTGAATGTGGTCTGGGAGGTAAACGTTGTAGTTGTTCAAGTTGTAATTGTTGCTGATGTGAATGTTCAACATTCTGATTAAAACAATCATGATCAAATTGATTGGAATGCGATTGTTGTTGCTGTGGAACATAATTAAAATCGGACGAAATGTCAGTATGATATGGCATGAAATTCTGTTCATTAGCAATAATGAAATAATTTTGGTTAATGAAATTTGGATCCATTTGGCCGTGATATATTTTATATGTTTGATGTTGATGATGGTGGTGATGATCTTGTAGATCATATGGCAACATCAAATCATAATAATGCCGTTGAGGTTTCGGTGGTGCATTTATGTATTCTCCATTGTTCAATTGTGAATGAATATGGTGATGATGCGGATGATTGGGATAATAGATTGGCAATCCCATGGATCCATTATATGCCATTTGTTGATACATTGCAGCAGTTGGAAGAAAATTTTGCCCATCATAATTATTGATAGGATAAATTGGTTGTTGTTGTAATTGTTGAACAACATTCGAATCTTCGAGACGTTTCGTTTGATGATAGGCAATAAAACCGGATTCATCATCTTGAACGGATGATGTAGATAATGGGCCTAATCGACGATCCGATATCGATTCTTTTCGTTCATCATTATTGTTATGATCGTGAGGATCATTTGTATTGATCTGATTATTACTAGGATCATGGTTTGTCAGATTATTGTTATTTTGTTGATGTTGTACATTGTTAGTTTGGGCAGAAAAGATAGCGCTTAACTGCATAATTGAAGCCATTGAAAGGGCATTCATCCATTGTTGTTGAATTTCTTTTGAATCGGCCGAAAAGTAATAGGTTTTCATATTGTTATGTTCAGCTTTGAATGCGAATTTCCTTGATATGCCATCACTGCTAAAACATGGACTAATTTTATAGCTTGGCAATAGAAGTGAACCAAGCATCTTTTCCTCTGCCATATCTATTGAAAATGTAAATTGAATTAGTGAAAAAATTTTGTTCCAAGGCAAATCCGATTTACCTTTATAATAGAAGAGACAATAATCGGCTAGGACACACCATCTTCGTTTCCATTGTTTGATTGCGGCTCCTTCGAGCCGATAAAGCCAACCACGAAGTGACACATTAAATTCATCCGAACGATTTACGTTTGGTGATCGTAAATATTGATTACTTTGTCGAACCTGATTTTTGATCCCCACACGTAGACCATCCATTATGGAATACTTGATCGATGCTCGATTCCAATCACCGTTAGAATTCAAAAGATTGATGTTTGAAATATCCGAATGATTCGTATATCGAGTGAAAGGTTGGCGATAAGCTATATCTCCATAATAATAAGGCGCCGAATTCACAGGTCTTGCAGATGCATGATTCAGTATTAGATCTTGTCGATTTTGAGCGAATTGCCGTTGCAACGTTGTTTCATTCGGATCGTTTTCACGATTATTATCGTGATTATTGATGAATTTGTTGAGCAAATTTGAGCAAAAATAGTCACTTGATTCAAAACGACTATAGAATAGTGATAGATTCATCATTAATAAATCGATTCAAATATTAAAAAGAGAATTATTTTAAAAAATGCAATTTACTATGTCCTCTACTGATGTGTAAAATGTCCCCATTTTTCATACCTTGGATGGCAGCAAATCAAACTGCTCAAATGATTCAAACTAAAATGAGCCATATTCGGCGGTCAGTTTTTCAATTGAAAACAAATCTTATTAAAAACCTTATCACTTTGTCATGGTCATTGAATTTGCTGATTTAAACATTGATATATCACAACCTCAAACACATTGGTTGAGACAAACTAATGTCAAGAATCGAATAATAAGATCCTGGTTACTGTTATTATTATTTACTACTCTCTTTTATTGGATGTATTTGTTCCTAGATATATTTTACGTGTTTATACAGCCAACAAGCCAAGACAAGTTGAGATGCCCAGCAATCAAAATCAAAACATCCATATAGTTGGATAGCCATGGATCACACATGTGCTGTGTTTGTTTTGTGTGTGTGTGTGTTATCGATCGGTCGTTGTTCCTGAAACACCGAAACATAGGGGTAATATGTGTGTGTATGTTTATGGGTGTGGGTGTTATATGTAGAACCTATGAATGAATATGACAATTTCTCAATCTGTATCAGCATATATAATATATAGCTTATTGCACAGGATGATAGCAGATGATCGACTAATTACTTTAAACTGATTTTTACAATTTTTTTTTAATAATGATAAAAGGGTTGACAATCTTCCTAATGCCTTATGTGTTTATGATGTGATAAAGGAATCTAACGAGTTAATTAATTAATTGATTGAATGCGTTCTAATTATAACGATACATTTAAATGATTTATCTGCATAGTATTAACATCATTAACCATCATTCATTATTATATTTGAAAATATTTTTCAACTGTTACATATATGTATAATAAACATAGGTTCAAACAAAAACAATACATACCTTGAGATGAATAATATTCAATGAGTGATAACTGATATGCACAATGAATTGAAATGATCAAACCAAATAAATGGTAAATGATGAATGGAGATGAATTTTTTTTCACACAAAGATAAATATACCATAAGCCTATTGAATGAAATATAAAAATATGGAATTTATTATTTTGATCATTGTTGATCAACAACAACAACAACCTACATTACCAACACACACATACACAGAAACCAAACGAAAAAGACACGGTAGACGTTCAAAGTTCAACTGTAGGTGTAAGAAGTATATACCATGTTCTATCTTTTCTCTGTTTCTCGTTGTGTTCGATGATCATCGAACCGAATTCACTTGTTGTTTTTTCTTCTCAATGATCATTCGCAATATAAAGAAAATATAAATTCTGTCAGTGAATGACTTTGGGCACATATACCTTCGAATAATGGTGATGGTGGTGGTAGCGGTGGTCTTCATTCAAGACATACTTGTTTTTTTTTATCTCAACAAGTGTTCCTTGTTCTTCTGTTCTTGTTCTTCAATTGGCCATTACGAGGTTCATTGGTTGATGCAAGATTGGTTTGTCGGTCGGTTGATTATATTTGTTCGGAATGTGTGTGTGTGTGTGTGTGTGTGCACCATTGTTCGGTAATGATGAAAAAAATATTTTCTTTCTTTCTTTATATCGAATTTTAGAACCAAAATCAAATGTGCGCACATATCAAACAACAAACAAATGCGGTCAAAGAAATAAATAAAAGGACCTGTCGCTGAATGATGATGATGAGGATGAAAAATGCTAAACGAGACTAAATAAATAAATGAAGATAATAAGATGCAATGATCAATGCAATAGTACGTTCATCGAACGTAAAGCTTGAACAGGAAAAAAAAACTTGTTTGAACCATACCTAATAATAGGTATTGATGATGATCGAAATGAGAGAGAAATCTAAGCATCGTTTGCAAATGATAAACATGATCAAAAATTCGATTGTTATCCACGTTCGTTCTACATATGGAAATGTGAGAAAATTGTTTTGTTGTTTTGTCAATTGTATGTTATAATTTTATCAATTGAAAATCTAAGAACCTGGATGCAATGCACTAGATAGTGATAAAAATTGATCACATGATTAGCATTTAGAATTGATTGATGATTGAAAAGTTGATTTTTTTTGCACGAAAGTGGAAAACCTGAATTTTTTTTTGTATATACAGTGGCATCTATCATCATGAAATGAAACTTATGAATTAAAAAAAACAATTCATACAGATTTTTAAGGTTTTGAATCTAGTTTGGATCAGTTCCTATCATCATTGAATCTTTGGAACGATGATGATGATGAATAAAACAATTTTCTGCTCAAATAAATTTATTTGTTATCTCATTCATAGCAACGCGTCACTATGGCTTAATCCTTCTCCATTTTCATCTATTCCATGTTGATTAAATTAGTTTTCTTTAGTTGAAAATTGATGGATTTTCTTATCTCTTCCTGTGGATCTTTGTAAAAAGAATTTTGTCATTCATTCAAAATATCACAAGTATCTCTATCTGTTTTTGTTGGGCCCATGGATCAAGTCATGCGTTTCATACATTTACCGACCGTATGACTGAAATCGTCAACTGACTCACACACACACACACACACACAAACAGAGTGTATTCATTGACGCGACAATTCAATTCAATTGTGATCTTCGGTCTCGGTCAGTGAGCCGTTACTATCAATGAATAACCAGGAATTTTCATCATACACTAAACACACACACACACACACTCGAATCATTTTCATTTCTCATAATTGATTTGATTTTTACTTTGAACGTTTTCTATTCATCATATAAATGAGCACTTGGCTTTCTTTTTTTTTTTGATTGTGACAAATTCTGAGCGTTAATAATAATAATAATAATGAAATCGGAAAATATCCGATTTTGAAACGTAACAAATTCATTTTGTTTGCGGTAAATTTTTGCGTATGTTTGTCTGTATATGGTTCGATTGTGATAAACGATTGACAATCGAGTTATGAAATGAATATGTTCTATCACACACACACACACAAATATTTCCATTCAATTTGGATGACAATTCAAGTTGGCCGATTATTGGAGTATACAATATGGACAATATAGAATTACAAATTACATTCAAAAAAAAAATCAACCAAATAGCAAAAATTAGTTTATCCTGAATGAAATAGGAATTGATTGTTTGACACTTGAATGTTTTGTTCTCTCAATTAAAATGTCATCGGTACGAAACGATAAATGATTCGTTTTTCTATTCACCCAATTCAGTCAATTGGGATTCGTTTTAGGTGACGATTGTATACCATACTCAGATTCATCATTCAATCGTGTTTGAAAATTAACATTGTTGTTGATGTTGTTATTGTTAATTAAATGTTCAATCAATTTTGAATACAAACTGATTGACTAACTAACTAACTATCTAACTTGACAAACAACAACAATTGTTTGAAAGTAAGATTGTTCAGTTTAACTAAAGTCAATTATTATTATGGTACCTAGAGTTACGCAGCTGCCAGTTTTTTTTACCATTGTCTGGTTGTTGATAATGATGAGATTGTTTCCGACAAAGAGAAATCGATTGGCACGAGCCGCGTGCAACACTTATTGTCGGTGTGTGTGTGTGACGGGTCAGAGGTCAAAAATAGTGAGAAAAGTTGTTTTCCATTGGTGAACAATTTGTCGCACAAAAACAAATCGGTTTTTTTCTGATTTAGAAAAAAATCAGAGTTTTTATTCGAAATGATCTTGTCAACGATAATCATTATTATGACACTTCATCGAATGAGTGTTCTAAAATCTCGTAAATTACCTTGGCCGTAAATGATGATGAAGATCATCATCATGAAATTCAATTAGATTGACTTATGGAACACACAAATCGATAACCACAGCCAGCGTGAGATGAGCAGATGTTTGAATCAAAAACACGAATTTGCTTTTTTTTCTGCGGTAAATCCTCATAGAATTGATTCAATATGAATATTTCATAATGGCTAAATCGAACATAATTAAATAAAAAAAATTGATACATTATTTATCGGATTTTGGCTAATATTTAACATTACATACATTTTGTTGATCGATGACAATAGCCATGAATTCATATTGTTCAATATTTTTTTTTTTTTTTCATTTCGCTAGTGATGGTGATGATGGCAGATGTCCTGACTGCAAATTGTTGAAATCTGGTCGTAATAGAGTCATCATCATCAATATATCCCCCGTTAGCCCCACCAAACGCCGAAAATTCGCCGAATCGTGACGGTTCATGGCAGAAATTCATTCTTGAAATAAATCCAACCAAAAACCAATCACGTTATATGACCGAAACTTCATGAAACGATCATTTCGGGTACAGTGGCATATAATCAACACCATTTCCAGTATTTAATTCGGAACGATGATAATATTGTGAGTTGGGCGACACGCCTTTTTGTCATCATCATCATTAAGTGTGAAGAATTTTCTTCATGAAGCCATACACTCACTGTATGTTGTTCATGTATTCCAACATGGAGCCCATTTCATAGTAACATTTTTATTAAAGAAATATATCTGGTCACATAGTTTTTGAATCATGGATATTCCATAAGCTCCACCTTCGCCAAAATAGATCTAACCAATCAGATGAATTGAAGGGGGTGTTAATTGTCGTTATAGGCCTATCGTATAACAATGATTCAATGTTCGATCTACGTGAATATGGTGAATCCAGGAGTAATGCCAGTTATTCAGCGGCGGAATCCATTTCAGAATTGGTGATAAACCGAAAAAGGACTTTTTCCACACACATAGTCATCTCACGGTCATTTGATCATTTTGGTTGTTATCGTTATTAGACATAGATATGCCTCATACAGGTATAATTATTGATGATTGAAATTTTATTGAAAAATAACCTTAAAGAAATCAAACGTTTTAATTATCTCATTTATCATGATAAAAGGTCAAGCTGGCATAAATCAATTGGGCGGCGTGTTTGTCAATGGACGTCCATTACCGTTACATGTTCGTCATCGTATCATTGAATTGGCATTGCTTGGCGTAAGGCCATGTGATATATCAAGGCAATTACTGGTTTCACATGGTTGTGTTTCGAAAATATTGACTCGTTTCTATGAAACTGGTAAGTTTTAATTTTCAACAAGTTTGTATGTATTATTAATTTAATATAATTGATTGATAATATTAATCATTGAAAGGATCGATAAAACCGGGAACCAATCATTTGAGTAAGTATAATTTCTTTATTTTCATTTTTTCAATAATATTGATAAAAAAAAAAAGAAAGGAGGTGGCAAAAATAATCGTTCAGCAAATAACAATGGAACCAGTTCCAATTCCAATTCAACGCCAAACATTGTTAAACGAATACTTCGTTTACGACATGAAAATCCGGCATTATTTGCTTGGGAAATACGAGAATTACTTCGAAAAGAATTAAATCAAACGGAAAATAATGACAATAATAATGTCGATGTAACTGATGCATCAATCATTCAATCAACAACCAGTAGTAATCGGAGTTCGTATCTCTCATCATTACCAGGTACATCATCGATGCATCATCATCAACAACAGCCATCATCATCATCGTCGATAATTCGTTCAAATGTCCAGCCAGTGACAAACTTTGGCCATCAAGAAATAATGGGCCCATCATCGTCGGCTTCCACATTATCATCGACAAATGTCAGTCTGAATGTCATAAATTCATCCACAATTGTGCAATCATTATATCAATCAACATCTAGTCATTGGAACACGATTATTGCTCATTATCAACAACAACAACAACAACAACAACAACAGCACCAGCAATATCCAGAACCAATCTACAAAGGTAAGTCAAATATAGACATTGGAATAGAATTTCAAATCTTCACATTCAAACAATTATTAGAGCAAGCGATTCAACAACGCGAACAGCCGAATCGATCAAAACGTAAATTTAAAACATATCTTATTGATGAAATACTAAAAAATGATGATGATAATAATACGGAAACGGGAATGGTTGATGATAATGATGACGATAACAATAATAATAATAATCGAATAGAGTCGTGTACAATCGATCCATCGATTGTGACGGAACGAAATAATTCAAACAGTTTATCACCATTAATTAGTGATCAAATTATCAGGAAACCATCATCATCATCATCTTCATCATCATCAACATCATTAACATTAGCTAGAAATATAAAAACATTCGAATCGATTACAATACCAGCCGAACATCAACAACAGGGATGTTCCAATAAAAATATTCAATCAAATTCGAATGTTTATTACAATTATCTTTATCAAACTTTGATTTGCAAACAACAACAACAAACAACAATGTTCATCAAAAAGAGAATTATCTAACGAGAAAAGCATGAACTCACAATTGGAGCTATCTAATTCATCAACATCATCAAAAAATGAATTGAATGATAAAAAATAGAATTTTTTTTAGATTTAAATTTTCATTATAAATTGAATTCAATAAAATTAGATTTGAATTTTCGTAATTACATCACTGATTTTGGAATCGATTTTCAAAATGTTACCTTGTAATGTATCAGCACGAGTCGGCCCTATGTTTACAATGGCCAATGGTTTTTCGCATTGAATTGCGTGTAAGATGAAACGAAATATGGAAAATACCTTTAATGATGATCCAAACACTATTAGGGAATCACATTCATTTAATTGCTGATGAATTTGTTCGACTAATTGTTGTTGAACATTATCACCGAAAAAAACAATATCAGGTTTAAGAATACCATCACAACGTCGACACATCGGAAATCGAAATGAGTAAACGAAATCATCGATTATATCGATATCACCATCCGGTCTTATAGTTCGATTATAAATATTTCGACCTTCTTCAAACCGAGTTCGTATCGATTCATCATTTAGTAAATCGTCATTCATTTCAGCCAAAATTGTTTGAAATAAAATTCTAGATATACGATAATCACATTGAATACATTTAACATTGTAAAGATTTCCATGTAACTCCAGCACAGATTCAGTGCCGGCTTTATGATGTAATCGATCAACATTCTGTGTAACGATGGTACCCAATTTTCCAGATCGTTGCCAATCTGTTAATGTTAAATGGCTAATATTTGGCTGACGATTATGAACATAATTCCAGCCGAGAAAACTTCGCGCCCAATATCGTTGCCGTGATGAATAATGACGAAGAAATTCCGTATAATTCATTGGACGATAACCACTACGTGAATAGAGACCAACATCTTTAGAACGATAATCTGGTAGACCACTTTCTGTCGATATACCAGCACCAGTTATAACGGCTAATTTCTTACTTTTATCAATAAAATTTTGTAATAATTCTAAATCTTTTTCGGTACAGGTTTTGAATGCTGGTACAAAGCATAGATTTCTGGCCATATTCTGCACCTATCTTACCTTTAATCAAATAATTGATCAATCTACAGGACATTTGAGAAAAGGAAAACAATTCGAAAATCAAATTTCTTACGCCAAATCACTTGATTAAGATAATTAACCAAACTATATATGTTGTCATTGATGTAACATTTTCGGGCGTCATGCTCTGTATATATAACCAGTGCCTGAGTAAGAGAGTGGTATGAAGCTACACTTATAATTGATGCTGCTTCTACGTTCTCCTTTAATATATATAGCTCAATCGTAATCATGTTTTGGTTTCTATGTTTAACAACATTAACAGCAATGGCATCTGTACCTATTTACCGAATATTCGGTTCGTCAATCCGTTATCGTTCACGATTATTATGTCAACATTTTAGCTCATCATTCAATCTGTTGAACCAATCATCGACGAATCAATTTTCATCGTCGGATAGCAAAGAAAAATTTCGCATCTATACCCGAACAGGTGATAGTGGAACATCTGGACTTTTTAGCGGCGAACGTCGCCCAAAAGATGATGCTATATTCGAAGCATTAGGTACGACAGATGAACTTACCTCATGTATCGGTTTTGCTCGTGAATTTATCAATGATCCAGTAATTCTCGATGAACTTGAACAAATTCAATGCATTCTACAGGATCTACAGGCAACGGTTGCAACACCGAAAAGTTCATCAAATGAATTTCAAATACGTAAAACTAAATGGAATGTTAATCACCTGATTGATTTGGAAAAATGGTTAGAAGTTCATACGGCTAAATTGCCACCATTACGCAATTTTATCTTACCATCTGGTGGTAAAGCAGCATCTTCATTACATTTAGCACGTGCTATATGTCGACGTGCAGAACGACGTTTAATTCCTTTGTTGGATGAAGGTCTTGAACTTCCAGTTGTACAATATCTAAATCGTCTTAGCTCCTATCTATTCATCGTGGCAAGAGTTTGTTGTCAACAAGAAGGCCACAAAGAAGTGGTTTATTGGGAGCGACCAAAATATAATAGTCAAGATGATGATTAATATGTGAACTTCTAATCCAAACTTGTTAATTTTTGTTAATCTATTCAAATGATTATTTTAATACTCTGAATATCAAATGTAATCAGATGATCTTTGCTTCATATTTTTTCAATTAAAATATATTTTTCAATAAAAAGAATTTTGTTAAAAAAAATTTAAATTTTCTCGATCACAACATAACATTGTCTATGAATAGTGTTGAATTCTCGCACACATTCAACACTGTCATATTATGATTGTGTTTAGTCATTGTCCACAACAATTTTTTTTTATTTAAACCTAATTATTTTTCTGTTCTTTACTTTTCAAGATTATCATCTTTGTGGCCCATCATTGAATTCTGAAATATGAGTTATGATCGTGCTATAACGGTATTTTCACCAGATGGTCATCTATTTCAGGTGGAATATGCACAAGAAGCTGTGAAAAAAGGCTCGACAGCGGTATGTTACATTGAAATTTTATGGTAATATTTGTTGATTATTCTTACTAATTGATAGGTTGGTGTACGCGGAAAAGACATTGTAGTTCTGGCAGTAGAAAAAAAATCCGTTGGAAAGCTGCAAGAAGATCGAACTGTAAGAAAAATATGTCTATTGGACGAACATGTAATGATGGCCTTTGCCGGTTTGACAGCTGATGCTCGGATTCTAATTGATCGTGCCCGTATTGAATGTCAAAGTTATCGTTTGACAGTTGAAGATAGGGTTTCGGTCGAATACATTACCCGTTATATCGCTCAACTTAAACAAAAATATACACAATCAAATGGTCGACGTCCATTTGGTATTTCGAATCTTATTGCTGGATTTGATGTTGATGGTACACCACGACTATATCAAACAGATCCATCCGGTGTGTATCATGGTTGGAAAGCAAATACCACTGGCCGTAATGCTAAATCTGTTCTAGAATATTTGGAAAAGAATTATAATGATGAAGCCATCGAAACCAATGAATCGACAATCAAATTGGCCATCAAAGCTTTATTGGAAGTTGTACAAGGTAAAAACCTTGAAGTGGCTGTCATGGAAAAAAACAAACGAATGCGTGTATTGGCAGCCGAAGAAATTGACAAATTTGTCACCTTGATCGAAGAAGAAAAGGAAAAAGAGATAGAGAAAAAGAAGGCTAAATAATAACAAATTCCATTGTCTTTTCTAAAAATTGTTTTTTCCTCAAAAGATAATAAAATTTTCAAAAATAAATTCATAATTGATATCATTTTATTGAATACCAATAGCTAACTGGACCTATTTAAGGTTCCTATGGAAACACAACGGAACTGTTTGCTTGATGAATTGAAATTATCATTTACAAATATCAAAAACTGATTATGATAAACACAATAATAAACATTTCGTATAGTGATTTGATCGAATTGATTTGATTATTTCCTATCGTCAAATTGCGATTCGAGCAAATGTTTAAGCAAACTAACAAAAAAATTGTTGATGAAATCATTCGCATTTTCGACCTTTGAGTCATTCAATTTTTTTCGTTTTCACTATTGGAAAAATCAACGGCCTTATTTTTAGCGCTGAAAAATGAGCCAAATTTATCTGTTTCTCGTGTTATTGACGGTTATCATTATGATGACCAAATCCGTCGTATGGTCAACAGTTATCTATACTAGATACCCGGAACTTTGTGGACAAAATACAAGCCTTTCGGAGCCGAATATTGTTTTAAAATTGATTTCAACGTTCCTCAGCAACAGGTTCCACATGGTAATTGTACAACAATCATAAAATGGACTGGTTCATCGAATATACGTTTAATACCGAAGATTATACAAACCAATACGGTGTTCGATAATCTCACCAATGGTGAAGATGATCCAAAAACAATCGTTCTGGATATTATTGAAACGCCTGGTCGTATTTTTCAATTGAATATCTATGGTGCAAAAGTATTTTATTTGGCCATGATACCTACTATCGGTATGTGAAAGCTGTAAATTTAGCCGTATTTATTTTAATTTCAAATAAAAAAAACAATTTATACAGTTCTAAATGATATTCATGATGATCATTGTCCGGATGATTATTTGTATTGTGGCTCCAAGTACTGTATATATCATGATCTGGTTTGTGAAGGAATAATTCAATGTTATCCATCTAGTTTAATTTGTAACGATAAAAGTAAGTTTATAAGTTTCAAATTTAATCAGTACGGTAATTGAAAATCCATGTGTTTTGATTACAGCTCCATCGAATGAATTTCTCGTCCTTTCTTTTCTGGCCGTTGTATTCTCCTGTCTGCTCATGTCGATGATATTATCGGCGTTCATCTTTTTCAAAATTCGTCTTAGCAGCCGAAATGATAGCAGATTGATCAGTGGATCGAATTTGAAACCAAAATTATATGGAACTGTCAATTGTGTTAGCTATGAATCTTTGCCATCAGAGCCATTGTCAAAAACACGGTTTTATCAAAATATTCAACATTATAATGAACTTTTAATTTCAAACATTAAATGAATGGCGAATGAATTGATTGATTATCGAGAATTCTATTGATTAGATTAGAATGAAATGACGTGGGATGAGATAATGAAGATTTTTATAGCATTTCAAAAGGGCAAATTTCATTAATTCTAAATGTGATTCAATTATGTCATAAATCTCAAATTGATTTCCATCGATCAATAATTCAACGTCAAAAAATCCAATCGAAAATGCATCGGGCAATGTTTGTATCAATTCGATGCCATTTTAATTAACGATCATATCGATCATTTTTGCGATTGGTGTTAAATCTTTTAAATTTTTATTTATTTCTATTCATTTACATCCAAATAGTAAGAAAAACACCTATTTTCAAGAACCACAAGAATATTTTTTGAGAAATTTTCAATTTTAAGTCAATTTCAATAAAATAGTACCGCTTTCCACCACTTTCTGGCGCCACTTTTGAATTTTATGATCCAGAATTGAACATTTGTTTTTGTCCATACTTTCATTAATTTTACAAAAATGGTAACTAAATTCTTCAAGAGTTGCCGAAAAATTTCAAAAAATTTTTTTGTTATAAACAGAAATTCAAATTTTGCGGTGACAATGATTGTCAGGATTGGATACTGGCACAAATTAACGTTTTTTCGAAACTAACATCAATCAAATTGAAATTGATTCTCAAAGAAGTGATGCAGCATATTTTAACTGGAAAGTTACATGTAAGCAATTTTGTACAAATTTTTTCAATCATTATTATATTGTTGCTTAACTACAGTTGCAAAATGTTTGTAAGCTGACCGCTGATGCAAAGTTAAATGAAGAGGAAACAAAAGCCATTTTGGCAGCATTGAATTTTATAATTTTATCCTCTATCAAATATGAAACGGATAGTGAAACGTTATCCAATGAATTACAACAACTTGGTCTACCAAAAGGTTCGGAATCGATAATTTTCTTTGTTCATATTACTAATTTTATAATCTTGTCAATCCATCAGAACATTCCATAACTCTATCAAAAGCATATGCCGATAAATTTAACGAAATCATACAAATGACGAGAGAAAAAAGCTTACAAAGTAAGCAATTTTGATTAATCTATTTGAAAAAATATTGAAATTAGAATTTTTTTTAATTATAAAAGTGAATCCGATGTTGGAATGTTCGTATAAAATTATTTCTAAATTTAATAACGAAACAATGTCCGTAAATTGTCCTTCATTATTTTTATCCATACGAACAAATCCAACAACCACAACGAATGAAACGTCGACATTCCATGTGATACCAGAGAAATTAACTTGTCTGATTAGTGACCTGAAAGAAGTGGAAAAAATGATGAATGAATCTACATATTGATTTGATTTCTAATTGATGGAATAATTGACACCACCTTTAATCTATCGCTTTGTTTAATACATTTGTAACATTGTTTATGAATTAATTAAAAATTCTAGCCAATGATTTGCCTCCATCAATCGCTTGCTGCTCTTCTATTGGATCATTCATTGTTTATAATAAACACCCAATAAGAAATAATAATTTCAGCAAATAAAAATTAAACGCGCGATTTTTGATCCTCATTTATCATCACTTATTCTAATTATCATCATTTTGCATAACATACAATAATTATGAATAATATCCATCATAATGAAATATTTGGTTCACAAACAATGACTGAACAACAGATTACGATTGCTGCTAATCAAACTGCGGCCAGTCATTTAATTCAAACGACAGCACTACCATCAGCATCGTCGAATACGAATGCAATTAATAATGGACAACCGATAACAATTGCCGGACAACCATTAATGGTTCAGGCATTATCCACAACCGGCCAACAATCGATACAATTACAAACGAATAGCAGTAATAATCATAGTCAACAACAATTTTCGCAAATTATCATGCCCGCTGGTCAACAGATTATCCTACAGCCACAACAACCACAAACTGCAACAAGCTCAATTCTTCAAACAACCGATGGTCAAACGGCAATAATATGTCCAGATAATTCACAACTGCTGCAGACATCACAAGGATTATTGCAAATTCAATCATCAGGAACAATTATGAATAATAGTGGGCCACAAATATCACAAAATACTGCCAATAATTATCTGGTTCTAGTACCGAATGCTAATGGTGGTGGTCTACAAATGTTATCACGTTTCCAGACATCAGCACAAACGACGACGACAAATGATACGACTACAACCACAACCGAAGAGGAACCTTTGTATGTAAACGCTAAACAATATCATCGAATCATAAAAAGACGATTGGCCCGAGCTAAACTCGAACAACAGGGTAAAATATCGAAAACACGACGAAAATATCTTCATGAATCAAGACATCGTCATGCAATGAACAGAGCACGTGGTGACGGTGGTCGTTTCCATTCGATCGATGTTCCTAAAGATACTGATGATAATGGATACGATATGAGTAGTAGTGATGATTCACATTCAACATTTACCTCATCGACTGATAGTCGTCATCATGATGTTCATAAATCTCATTTATAAATGCCATCAAAATGAAGCTGTTATATATATTATATTCCATACTTTTTTATTTTCACACAATCAGACAAATAGATAACACTCAACTTGAATAATAAATCATAGACAATTAGCAGGCAGTTCTTCCCTGGTCAATCGTACGGATGCTTTAGATATCTGTCGATTTTTATTTGTATCGATCGATTGTTTCGGTGATGTTAACCACCTGGCATTATCCATAAGCTGGATGAATGAACGTCTATTGAAGAAACTACTATTCCGATCATTTGGTTCTTTGTTTAATCTGTTCAAAAGTGGAAACAAAAAAGAAAATTTTTATAGAGATCCGAAAATGTTAGTTATGAAATTACTTGTTTTCAAATATAATGAAAGAAGTCAAAACAAATTCCTTCTCTTGATGATCTGGCTGATGCCTTAATGGTATTGGATATTGGCGAAAATATTGCAACAGATCAATTATGGAACGAAAACATAAACGTTCGATTTGACATTCGCCTTTCGACCCTTTGATTATGATACGAAAATGTTTAGCTTGTTGGCCATAATAATTGAATGTGAGAACACATTCACCAAAATGTGTTTGACTTTGTCGTACAAGAAAAACACCCGACCATTGTTCGCCACCACTCAACACTAGTTCAGATGATTCTGTTCGGCTTAAATCACGATGAAACCATGGATATGCATCCAACATATCATATAAATAATCATTTGATACACTGTAATCCTTATGATCATCATCATCATCATTATTGATGGTATCTCCTTGCGGAAGTTGTGCACGTATCTTGCGTACCCAATCGAATAATTCATGAGCATTTTTAAATTCAATGATATATTCGATAAAATTGGAAAACTAAAATTTATCAATAAGTTTTTTTCATTAATTTTATTTTCCATTGACGACTTACCCGAAGAACAGCTGTATATGGTCGTTCAGGCATTTCCAATGGTTTCGTTTCTCTTACTTCATCCAACATATTGCACACCAATCCACATTTAGGCTGCATCGATTTGGCATTTGGTGGGAAAAATTCCAACATTATATCATTATCGGTACGAACTAAAACCAAGCGACATTTTTCCCAATTCTGCTCATCAGGCTCATCACATCCGATCGTAATATAATTAACAATTGCTTCTTTAATGATTTCACGATAATTATTATAATTATTACTATTATTATTATTATTATTACAATCATTTCGATGCGTTATGATTTGTTCAATATTTTTTTCCGTCGAATCAACATTATGATGCTGATGTTGTTGTTGCAGAGAATATTGTCCACTACGATAGGTAAACATTTGGCAAAATACAAAATAAATGTTCTACGAACCAATGAAAATCATCAGGTTAAATCCTCTATTAAACAAAAATTATTTCATGTACCAAGTAGTAGCCATCACTATTTTTTTTTTTTTTAGGACGGATGTTGTCGTTTCCGGTTTGGTTTTCATCATCATTATCATCATCATTCACTACTATGACGACAACGTTCACCGACACAAACATTGGATCATATAGTAGATATAGATATTAGAATCAACAACAAGTGTATTTTAATCATAAATGTTTCAATTTAAATTGTGAATAAATTTGTGACCAAAAAAAACATAGTGCATTTTGATTGAAAAGAGTTGTAATAATATAATTATTATATCATCATATATATAGAAAACATAAATTTTTTTTTCAATTTTTCAATAAAATATAATCAACAATTTTGGTTTGTTTTGAGGTGAAAAAGGCTTGAACAATATTAACGTGAATAGGGGCGAGAAAAAAATACTCTATTGAGAATGTTTAAAGTTTACAAATGAAATAACCATTTTTTTATAGTTGAGGTTTTAAGGAATTTTTTATGTAGATGTTTGTGTGTGTGTTGTTTGAGTTTTTAGTAGAGCTTTGTTTTGTTTTGGTTATGGTATAGAAACGAACTGGGAAAATAATTGGCACAAGAAAAAAAATATATTGTGTTCGAATCAATAAATTGATTTATCGAACGGTGAGATCCAAATAAAATGAAGAATGAAACAGGGAAAAAATAAAAACAATTAACGAGTATGAAGTGTGAAAGAGTAGGAAAGGCACTAATTTACAATTGATTGAGAAAAAATAAATTTCTCTTTCTTTTATAATGGTTGGGTTGTTGTCGGAGGTTAGAATTTGAATCGATACATCAAAAAAATCAATTAATATGTGCTTTCATATGGGCAGATCTTGATTTAAGATTGCGGAATTTTTTGCCACATATTTTACAATGATACATTTTCGATGTTTTAGAACCATTGGTCGTTGTTGAATTAGCTACAGATTGATGATTAGAATTATCATCATCGCAGTTATCGACAATTTGTTTTGTTTGTGATACGGATTTTTATTATTATTATTATCTGTATCTAATTCGTAGAACATTGATTCACGTTTTCGACGTAGAATACGTAAACGTTTAAAGTGATCGATTGAATTTTTCTTCCATAAATAGTAGAATTGTACACAATCTTTTACCGATTTAGTTTTGATCTACAGAAAAAAGAAGTAAATTAAATTATTCAAGAGGAGAATGCATGAAACACAAACCTCATCGGCAATGAGAAAAAAATCTTTGTCATATTTGAAAATACTTTTCTGGAATAAATTGATTTCATTCTCAGTCCAGACATTATGATCTATAAAGAAAAGTAAAGTAAAAAGAAACAAAAATAATAATTAGATCGACAAAACAAAAAGAAGTTAATATGACATACTGGCATAATAATATTGGTATAATGGATGGTCTGAATTGACAGTTGGATTCATTTGAATCAATTTGGCCATTGCTTCAATCACGTCACCATGACAATCGTATAGTAGATGCATTGCATATTCTTTATTGTTACCATGGCCATTCACACACATTGAACATGAGATCTTGAAATAGAGATCGATTGTTTCATCATCAGTTTGATGATTGTCCAAAACGGTTGGACTCCAAAGCAATATTGCTCTTTCAGATTTGTAATCCATTTTCATTCGGTTAGGATTGAATGTCGGTATACGAGCCTGAAATTGTGGACCAATATTAACATGTGGCTGAATATCGGTGGTTGGAATGTCATATTCGGGCTCATATGCAGTTGTCGGTGTTTTCAAATCGGACATTGGTTCATTAATCATATTCTGATTCTCTTTTAACATATCGGAAATCATTTTTTTACTATTAAAAAATTGACTTGTATTGTAAGGAGGTAGTTTGTTGCTGCTACTATTGTTGTTGATGTTCATGTTGAAGTTGTTGATCTTCCAGAATAAACCGGAACCAGATCGAACTGGTGACAACATTGGTGGTGGAGTATATGGTGGTGGTGAAATATGGTGATCATTATTATGGTATGATGGTTTTATAATCGAACCACCACCATTCCAAAAACGTGGAGATCGAAGTCGAGAATGATATACGAAAGTCGTATTGACATGTGGTGGAATGTACAATGGTTCAGGCCGTGGCCGTTTTTTCTTTATTGTCGGTGGTGTAATTGTGCTCAAATTATCATATTCATTGCTTAGGGCTGAAAGTTTTTTATTCAATGATTTAATGAAATTATTCGGTGATTTAATCCGAGGATATGGATGATTATCATTCCAGGACCGTTTCAAAGTTGTTGTTGTATGATGATAATGAATTTTCTCTGTTTTTTTCTCGTCTATTACGTAATTATCATTTATGTCACGCATTATTGAATCATTTTTCTGATGATCGGTTTTGAATGTATCGATCACTATCGGTTCTTTGATGATTTCGGTTGGTGGTGTTATGAATTGGACAATATTTGATTTCAAATCACAACCGTCATTTGATGGGCCATCAGTATTATCAGCGTCTAGATCATATCCGAACGGTTCAATTGGGTTGGATGATGAAGGGGCAAAATAATCATTTTGTACATTTTCCTGGTTTTCGTTTGACGGTTGTGAACTATTGATAATGTTATCATTAAATTGAATACTAGATGCTGATTGTGGCGGTTGTTCAGCATTTTGATCCAAATTGAAAACTTGTTCAATGTTTTCTTTGGATGTGGAATTGTACAGGGAAAAATCGGTATAATTTGTTTCATCAAGACAATTGGTAATTTCAAAGTTTCTTGTAGAATCTATCAAACCATTCGGATCATTATCATTAACAGTGTTCGGATGGCCTTCATTAACTGTTGCTGTTGTTGTTGCTGTTGAAGTTTCATGGGGAAAAATGAAGTTGAATTGTTGTTGCTGCTGCTGTTGATGATGATGATGACTATGATTTGTATCATCCATAGAATTATTTGGCATTGAAGCTACCTGTTGCTGATTAGTTAGTTGCTGTTGATGATAAATGGAATCAGTATTAAAGGTAAAATGTTGTTGTTGATGATGATGATGGGCACCATGATCAATAGGTGTTGTGGGCAGTGAATGATGATGTGACATTTGTTGATGTTGATGATGATGCTGTAGTTGTTGATATGATGATGATTCATCGTCATTATGATGATGATTACCATTAGTAGCATCTGGTAATATCTGTTGATGCTGTATGATTTGACATGGTGTTGTTGGAACCGAATATGAATGACTAATCATTTGTTGTTGTTGTTGCTGTTGATTTCGTTCATAATTTTGACTAAACGATTCTAGACTAGCCGCTATTTGTTTAATGCTAAGTAATTCTCGTGTTCGATTAATATTATTATTATTATTATCAGCATTCAAACAGTTATTACGTTGAATTCTTCGATTGAATAGATCGCTGGTTAGTTTTGTTGATGGTAAATCAAAATTGTTAAAAGTTGACGATGATGTTAATGTTGTCATATTTTTCACATCATTATTCGGCTCATTAGATTTTGTTGAGAAAAATTGTTCATTTTGCATATTATTAGAATCAAAATTCTTTCATCACCAAAGTGATGATGTTCCTTCGTTGTGCTCAATGATTGATGGTGAAGATGATGATCAACAAAATTTTGTGAGGTATTCGCATCGGCATTAACAATTTGTTCGATTTGATCCGTGGAGGATTTTTGCAATAAATCAATATTCTCATTCTTTTCCGTATCAAAACAAGGAAAATCTTGTTCCAATGACTGAACGTAATTGCTAATTGTATCGGTAATGATTGCAGATTTGGTGCTAGAAAAATCCATTTTAGCCGTTTGATTAACAACAACAACATTATTTTTATCAGTTTGTATTGCTGATTGCATCGGTTGTTGTGGTGGTTGAGTATTGGAAAATTCGAATGTAAATTGTGAACTATTTTTCAATGGGGTAACCGGTGTAATTGGTGAAAACATTACTTCATTCAAACCTTTTGTCTGTTGCTGTTGTTGTTGAGGTTGTGATATTTCGTTATCAGGATAATAATTCGTACGATGTACATGTGGTTCATCTACAATTATATGCGGAGATTGTTGTTCAGGATTATTTTGATATAATTGATTATTACCAATCATTTGATGGTGATGTTTATCATTAATTTCACCGGATGTTGTCATTAGGAATTGTGCATTTTGCTGTTGATGTTGTGAGGTATGTTGAAATATGTTCCGAAATTCAACAATATCATTTGTCTTTTGAGGATTATTTTCAAAAATATCATCAAAATTTTTAGCAGCCTGGGTTTGTTGATGGTGATAATTATGAATTTGGTGTTGTTGTTGTTGTTGATGATGATGATGATGATGTTCATTATAAATGTTGGCAAAATTTTTGGCAATCTCTATTTCATAATTTTTCATATTCAATTCATAGGTCTGATTTGGATTTTGTGGTTGAGTTACTAGTTCGTTTGCTTTGACTGATTGATGATCGATCAGCGATGATAATTTTGGTGGCGGCTGTTGTTGTAGTTGTTGTTGAAACAGAAATGGATTCGTTTTCAAGGTTGTTTCGTTACTATGATGTAATTTCATTAAATGTACATTTAATGCATCGATGGTTTCGAATTTTTTCAAACAAAGTGAACATTCAACCGATGTGGATGATTCAATCTTATTCGAGTCAAGGATTTTGCTATCGCCTAGCGTTGTTATTGTTGTCGAATTATGATTATTGTAATTATTATCGACTTTTTTGTTTCCTAATGAATGTTTTGTCTTATTGAATATGGTTTGAAAATAATTATCTGAATCATTTTCACAAACATTAATATAATTATCATTGATCTTGATGACCGTCAAATTATTGTTGCTATTATTCTGTATAATTGATTGTCGATGATCGGATGATGAATCATTCATTAGTGATTTATCCGCTAATTGTGGTTCTTGTTGATGTTGTGGAAGCTGATGGTGATGATTATGATTGCTTGTCAATAATTGATGCAATAAAGCATTTTCATTCGAAAGGTTTATATGTAGATCAGAATTTGAAACATTTTCAACCGATGAATTGGCGATCAATTTTGTTTGATCCTGTTCTTGTGGTTGTTCATGTTCCTCTTCGATTGCGATATGTTCTAATTTATCATTATTATTATCATTGTGATTGTGGCGATTATGATTAGATGAGATAATTTTCTCATCACTTTCATTAGAATCGATTGTTTCAGATCGATGAATTTTTTTCTGTTGTAATGCTAAAAATTGTAAATGTGCAGATGCATTGATGGGTAGTTGATAAACATCGTTTCCTAAAGGATGAAATTAATTAATTTTAAATTTAAAAATTAATTTAACAACAATTTAACCATACCTTTCTCATCATTGGTAGACTTTGATGATGTCGTTGTTGTCAGATGTGAAGCTATTTAAAGTGGAAATGAATGAAATAAAAGCAAATATAAATAAATTTAAAGTCTATACATACGTTCATTAAATTGCAAAGCATTCTCTTTATGTTTTTCTTTATGCCGTCGTAGTGATCGTGCATCACAATAGGATTTGTCACATCCATCAATATCACATGCATATGGTTTATGTTCACGATGTGTTAACATATGACCATTCAGATGATCATGTCGTTTGAATGCTTTACTACATTGTGGACATACGAATTTTCTCTCATCACTATGGGTGATCATATGTTTAGTCAATGTACTTTGATTACAGAACTCTTTATGACATTCTAGGCAGATGAACGGGCCTCTTTTCGATTTCTTTCGGCCACGAGTCGTCTTTGTTGGTTTCTGGTCAACATCGGAATCGTTATTTGGATTAAGCAAATTTGCTTTATTTGGGTTGATGATATCATGATGGAATCCAGTGCTAAAACTAGAATTGTTTGCAATCATATCATCGGAACAATTATTGATATGATCCAGATTCGATGTCGATGATGATTGACCACCATATCCGTTTAGATAGCTAGATGAACTATTCGATCCTATTTGAGGATTCGTTGTTGATGAAGTCGATTGTTGATAATGTAATTGATCCGAGTTGGATGATTTTCGTTGATGATTTGTTAACATTTCAGAATTCAATACCGTTGTTAATGAATTAACATAATCATTCGATTGTGATAATAGTGATAATTCTATTTTTTAAAATGAGATTTCAAAAATTATTGATCCTCCGGTTGTAAATTAATATCACTTACGATTTGATGAATCAATCAGATATAAGTTATTAGCCCCAGAATTATCGTTTGAGATCAATGTTGTTGATGTTTGTTGTTTATCCATATGGATTTGCATTGAATTATAAAACGGTTTTAACAATTGTACAAGCTGTGTATTCTCACATGTCGGCGATTTAGAATGTTGAGATCCATGGTTGATGATAAAATCTATTTTAAATAGAATTTTAAAAAATAAAAACTTTCAACTTTATAAAATACATTTGACAAACCATTTGCAGAGGTGGTAGTGGCTATCGGAACATTATTATAAATGTCATGTAATGAAAGTGATTTCGGTGTTGTTGATGTTTTTGTTTGTTGAATAACACCGTTATTATTATGATTCAATATATTGTGCAATTGATTATGGTGATGATTCGAAATAAATGGATGAAAATCATGATGATGGTTGGCCATAATTTTATTTGCTAATGAAGACATTATCGTTTTCGGTGATGATGAGATCGTTGTTGTTGTTGTTAATGATGGCGATGTTGATGAAAGATCGAGTAATGAATTTTTGTCATTGTAACTTTTTGCTGCTGTCGTAGCCAACAACAGATTATTATTGGCGTCAGCATTCTGTTGTTGGTTAGGCTCTCTTCGTTTAATAGAGGCGATATCCATTTGTAATATTCTACCAGATGATGATTATGATGATGAATCCTTTTTGGAAAATGGAAAATCTTTCAAGACATGATTATGATAATGATTACGATGGTGGCCATTAAATTTTAGCGGTGGGCAATAGTACACATTGATTCATTTTCCATGTTTTTGGTTTCCTGTGATGAATAAGTTTGTTTTGAAAAGACAAAATAAAAAAATTTAATATCTTGGTAAATAATTTTTTTAAATGCAACTTGATAAACAAGAAATATGATTGCACTTTTATTTGACATTATTCTGTGTGGGTGTTATTTTTTTTTGGTGTTGAATAACTTTCTCATTTGGAACCAACCGAATATAAACAACAAAACGATATATCAGGTGTATACAGGCATGAAAAAAATGAATTGGAAAAATAATGAAACTGACAATATCAAACAGTATGACAGAAAGAGCCAGTGTACCAGAGAATTGCAACAACGCAAAAAAAACATACATTGCAACATCATTTAGGAATCAAACCAAACAAAAGAAAAGATCAAGTGATCCATATTGTATGTTAGCTATATTCTTACATTGGAAAATAACATATATAATCAACAAACAAAATGAACATCGGCAACAAACATAATTTAATATGGTTAAATTGTAACCATAACTGTTTCATGTTACTAGTTCAGTTCATCATCAGTTTTGGTGGTTTAGTTTTGTTGTTGTTGTTGTTGTGTATGTCTGTATAATATGTTTAAATTATATGATTTCAAGACCAACACAAATTTTCATCTTGAAGATCAGCCCTATAGGCTATAGGCGGTGAAATCAACTAGAATAGAAAAAAGAACGGATGAATGTGAATGAGTTTGGAACTGGAAGAATGCCATGCTAAGTAAGAATCTAGGCGAAAAAACTAGAAGACTAGGTCAGCAGGCAATGGGAGCGAGAATCAAGCAATATCAGAGATAGAAAAAGGAACATTTATACAAATGCAAGCTTGATATATTCATTTGTAGAATAGTGGTCCAGAATCTCTAGAATCAAATCGTATATTTAATAGAAGGAATGAAGCGCAGAATCAAAATATTTGCTATAGTGTGTGTCTCTTATGTGTGAAATGTTTTGAAATATCAAGAATCGAATAGAAAATCTAGAAATAAATTTCAACCAATTCCATCAAAAAATATTATGAAATACATATAGACAAATGGACATAATATTATTTTTCAAATGAAATCCGAATGACTAAAGATTTTTTCAATTAAAATACAATCAGAAAACAAATATTTTAATAATAACAACATTGATATAAACATTTATAATTTTGTAAAGATCAATACGAATTAGCGATCGAAATAGGGAAAAAAATCAATGAATTGAGAGGGCAAATAAAAGAGGGATTTCATTCAATCAATTTCTACTTACATACATCATATCTGATTGGGATTTTGAGAAACAAAAAAAAACATGCGATAGAAACAAATATAAATTGGTGGTTGATCGAAAATTAAATTATTGGTTTTGTTTTTGACATTCACCACCATACACACAAAACACACACACACAATCTTGGCGAATAAAAAAGAATCAGGCAACAACAAAAATCCAAATCAGGATTAAACAAGAATCCAATTTTTGGACTCTCTCTCTCTCTCTCTCTCACTCTCTCTCTCACTAAATGAAAAATTGAAAATATCAAAATTACATTTGGCAATGATTGACCAATGAAAAAAACAAGTGGCCACTTGAAGAATATAACCACTGCGTGTATGTACGTCTGTCTTCATGTCACTCATGGTGATGGGTCTTAGCCAACAACAACAACAACAAGCGCAACAAGCAAAAACCAAGTTTCAACCACCACACACTAACCCGAAACCCAGGCTACTTTCGATGTTTGTGTATGTTTTTGTGCTTGTACTCAAATAGGGGAATATAACTTGCTCTCAATGTTCCCATATTTATGCAATGGCTTTTTAAACGTATAAAGAGCTGTGTGTGTGTGTGTGTTTGACCATCGGGTTGTTGCTTATTTAACACAACATAAGTTGAAGGTCAAAGGTTTTTGTTTCGAGGGGAGTGTTTTTCGTAGTTCGGTTTCTTCTTCATTTGTCTTGCATAATGGTTTGAAATAAGGTTCATTGCAATTTACGATCAAACCAGATAGATTGATCGATCGATAGCTACCATGTGAATGTGATTGTCATTTGGGAAAAATGAATAAAGGAAAAAATAAGATCCCATCCTGCAACATTGTAATTGATTGTGGCTCTATTTTGGATCAATTTATTATTATTTTCATATAATTTTGAACTTTATATATAAAAAAGATTAATATTGAATTGTTGCACAAAATAACTTACAATCATTGTTACAACACTGATCGATAATTGTATGGTTTGGTGTTCTCTATTGATTGTCGATTTGGTGGGAATAGTGTCAAAACAAAATCAAAGATTTCCTCGTTCATTGAGGATCAATCGAATAATTGATTAAATCAATTTAGATTGAATAATAAGGATTATTATTTACGCAATAATAATGAAATGTCCAAGGTAAAAATTTGTTGAATGACAATGACATTGTGATGACATTTCATTACATCCTTCATTGCGAGCGCCCATTGGGAGAGAGATGTAATCATTGATTGATTTTGAGGTTTGTGTGTGAGAAAGTGCCAATAAATTACAAGTAGGCAAGGTGAGATTATAAAAAGACTTGATTGTTGCCAGTGAAATGGCCATATACTTTTTTTCTGGGCACTGAAACGAAACGAAAAAAAATTTATTCAGTGTTATTTTGTGACAATTTTTGGTTCTTACCGATCGTTTTTTACCAGATAAAGAGATCGATCGACTGAATACCTCAACGTCCGTTATGCCACCATTTCTATTCATATCATCATCAACAGCAGGTAGATTGTCATTATGGTGGCTATTGATTTTGGCCACAACAATGGTTGGCGCATATGAATTGTATAAATCGAAATTCAATAAGCTTCGTCATATAACTCTGCGTGATGATGCCTTCTGTGAGGCATATCAAGAATTCAAGGACAATAATTGTATTTCCAAATTGACATTCTGCTCACCATTAACCGATGAACAAACACTGAAAATGAGACAAATATTATGTGGACCCAGATTCAATGTGGAAGTCCAACCACCACCGCACATACAACCTGAACCACCCGAATTCAATGAAACCGACCCATATCTGATTCAAGACTATCCACCACCCTATTTTCTCGATGTACATCCGGCACAACCAAATTCATTCCCATGGTTAGCTGCAATCTATAATAATGATCGTCGTTTCATCTGTTCTGGTGCATTAGTAGCACCGAAAACGGTTATTACTTCAGCACAATGTGTTACCGATGCTAATGGTGGTAATGGTGGAACTGAGGGTGGTGGCGAAGATGGAGGAGAAGGCCAACGACAACAACAACCATCTGGCAATTTTATCGTAAGATTTGGACGTCATAATCTGAATGTTTCAAGTGTTTATGACAAAGCATATGAATATGATGTCGAGACGATTGAGGTGTCACAGCAATTCGATCGTCAAACATTGGATAATGATTTTGCAATCCTAAAACTATCCAGTCCGGTTTGTAATTTTGCACCAATTTCATTGCCAAAACGTGATGATTGGGAAAATGGTTATTATTTTGGCAGCCGTGCACCGGTCCTATACGCTGGTTGGGGTCTTGGACATTATCAGAAACCATATCTTCGATCATTATCTTCTCATCTGATACCGAAAGATTCATGTTCAAAAAAATTCAATTGGTCACCTGATCAATTGAGCAGCAGTCATTTATGTGTAAATCCACCCATCAATGTATGTGTAGGTGGAATCGGAACACCATTGGTATCATATGCAGGTCATCATTGTGTGCTACTCGGTATACTATCGATGGGTGATCATTGTAATACGGCTAAACTTCCATTAGTATTCACTAAGGTATCATCATTCATTGATGAAATTGAAAAATTTATTATCGACGATTTTCGATCGATGAATGAAACATCACCATTGGATGATTGTCTTCGTTATAAACATTATCATTCACGACATCCATATTTCCTCTATCCACCACATCCATACAGTTATGATACAAAATATGATGATAATGAATATCCAAAATCACATACACGATATTGATTCTAAATAGTCGTCATTCTCATTTATACGGTGATCATCATTGAAAGTTTAATTTTTTTTCGAATAAATATCATTTGTTTTTGTTTTAAAATAATAATATAATAATAATAAATTTATTTATTAAAATCCGAATAAAATAATTCAAATAAATTGCACAGGCAAAAACAAAAAAAAAACAATTCATTCTTTGATTAAGTAGGTAGTTATGTGTATTGAGTTAAAAATAAAGAAAATCACTTTTGTTGTTTTTTAGATTTATGAAATTTTTTCATCTGTATTTTATGTTCTTTGAGTAGATCAATGTCTCTTAGTTCGAACCTTTTGATTCCACGTATCAAAGAATCTTCGGTCAACAATAATTTTGGAATATTTCGTAATTTTTGACATGTTTCATACATTGTGGGACATGTTTTCATCGTTTCATGTTTCAACGCAATATCCACCAAATATAAGCCAACTTTGAATAATATTGTTAGACCTTTAATTAATGTAATAAAAATCACATAGTGAAAAAAATAGTGGAATCAATCAATCAATACTATACCTTCACAAAGAAACATATCCCATACTCTCAAGACAGAAGGCCAAGGAATATTTCTGGAATAAATGCACATAAACCATTCGGTCATATAGATTTCTGGTTCGATATTTTGTCGATTCTTGATTACAAAGATGAAAATATTAAATTAGATTAATGATTATAAATGATTAAATTAAATAATAATAATACAAACCAACAAGTTGTAAGCAGATGGACAATATTTCTTGAGAAAAGCGACCAGCATCTGACCATGTATGCGGATATCTTCAAGATTATGCATAAAATAACCGCTTATGTAATATTTACTTAGCGCAACCAGACACCAAAATGCACGTTCAGCAGGCATATGCATAAGAAAAACAGCCGCAATCGGTGCCTGTGCTTGGCAATAGCCCATGTTTGGACGGTAAGCGGCAAATGCTTTCAGAACATTATAGAGATCGGTTTGTCCAACACCACTGGGATCGGCAAACATTTCATGATTGGGAAATTGTCGATGCAAATCTTTACAGATATCATCTTGTACATCGCTAGGAATGTTTTTTTCAAGTAATTCGCCATATAAATTTGGAAAACGATTCTTCTGCAAATGTGCACCACAAAGATGAAACCAAGCTTGAGACCGCAGTGAATGTGGTATTCCTTTCCGACAACGATCACGAATTTTATCCCATTTAAAATTGATATAATAACGCCAATTGTTTAGCATCTGAAGCCATTTACGTTCTTTGATTCGTATTTCTTTCAAATCTTGTACTGATGGTGTTTCATAATCTTCTTCGGAATTATTGTCCAGAAAAAATCCATATTTATTACAGGAACGATTCGAAAATTGGAATGATGTAGAAACATTCGATTCGCTGTGACTCAAACATTGTGATATTGGATAATAATGGTCATTGGACGTTTCCATCGGATTCAATGATGAGGATGTCCGTTCTTCGATAACGGCATCGATACCATCGAATGGCCTAGTGAATTGATTTTTTAGAATGTAATCATGATTTACAAGAAAATCTCTTAAAACTTACATTTTGTTAGAATCGTTAATGGTTGGATGTGAATTGATCAGGTAATGTTTTTGAATATTATTTCGTGATAATTCTGGCGATGTAAGATGAGTTGCAATCGAATCGGATTGTTTGGATGAATTGGATGACAAATATGATTTATAACCATTATCATATGATTGCCTATGACGATTATTAGACCAGGTGGATAGACCATCAACATGAACATTACCAGTGGTGGTTGTACAGTTGGAAAGTTTCTGATAATTATTACGATCAGGATGGTATGTGCTATAATGTTTTCGATGCTGGGATGGTGATGAATCCAATTTGATGATCGATGTCATTGTTGATCAAAAAATAATAAGAAAATGTAAATCAGTAAAAAACAATTGAAGAATAATTTTCGTTCTTTAGATGAAATGTTTAATTTTAATAGAATTATTGATATATATTGCACATAGAACATATATCACAACAATTTATCAAAAAGCATCAATTCTCCAAGCAAATGAACAAACATTGCAAATTGTCAGCTGTTGGATTATCATTTTGCTATTCGCGAATGGTAAATATAACATACACACAATATATAACTTTTATTAAGTGTAGAACAGAGAGAACTGAACTCACAAAAATGAAATTGGAATGTAGTTTTTTCCTCGTTCATGTGGCGTCTTCTGTTGTGGTAAATTGTAATATTTAATGATTGAGGAAGAAATATATGGAACAATGGAACAACAACAACAACAAAATTCGGATGATCCACGTATCGCTGAATTGATTATAATTTCTTCAATGTATCCTACACAATTACAATGTGTAGATGATGAAATCCAAAGGTCAATTGATGAACAAAATTTTCATCGTTTCAATCATTCAATCACAGCGTTATTCAACGTTGATACAATGCTTGAAATTCATCTCATCATGCCTGTTGAATATCCGAATGATGATCCAAATTGTTTACAAATTTATTGTCGAATCACAGATACTTCGTTGTTGAATGATCATAAAAATCTTCAAAAACAACTAAATGAACGAGTGAAAAATGAAATTATCGATTCGGGTAGTTTGATTAATGTCATACCAAAAATCATTGAAATATGGACCGAAATGAAATCATCAAAATGCGATTCGAATCATTCTAATGCTGAAAAAGATGATGATGATGACAAAATTGACAATAATTCATGCATCAATCGTTGTTGGATATATTCACATCATATTTATTCATCTATAAAACGAAAATCGATTATTGATCTATGTCGTAAACATAATCTAAATGGATTTATGTTGATTGGAAAGCCAGGTATACTATAAAAGTAGCACTCCATCAACAAATAGCACAAATAATAGAATGTCGTCGATGACGATTTATGTTTCCTTTCATCGTGTGACGATATTTTGTAGGTGTCGATCATTCAAGGACAATTTGATTTTCAAGAAATAAGTGTTCTTTATGATTTCATGTTTCACATGAATGATTATTCGTTTTTGTTTGTTTCAATTGACACAGAAACTTGATTATTTTTTCGATTTTTTTTCTCTTCTTTTTTCTCTCATCATTATTGATAGGTTTTATTTGTGTGGAAGGAAGCGACAATGATTGTGATCAATTTTGGACAACAATCCGATCATGGAATTGGCAACGTATTATAATGATCGATGTGGAAAAAATGTCTAAATCTCAAACACAACATTTAACATTCGATTCATTCGTCGAACATGTCGACCGTTCCACTGTGTTTCGAATTTTGGAACAGAAAAAATGTGATGAAATAATCAAAAATTTTCTTGGAATCAAATGAAATTTTTTTTTTGAAAAAGATTATTTTAAAAAATATGATGCATTATTAAATTGTTAATACAAATAAATGAATGACAATGAAAATTTAAAGGCCACCATCAACAACATTATCATCGTCATTGTTGTCATCCATTATGTTTGATTTCTGTCCATTCTCATCATTTTCAACATCATCATCAAAATGTACGGCATGAACAATGTTTTTTTTGTTGTACAATTTTTTACTACAAGGACTGAATAGTTGATCGGTTGGTGAATTGAACCATTTGTTCACCTGAAGCCTTTTAATCTAATGATAAATGATTACATAGACAATGGGTTAGATTGGCGTATTCGAACTAGAAATTGTTCAACTTACATTAGCTGGTGTAGATGCTACCTGATTCGATCGATTCGAATCGGAATTTTTTGCCATCAATGGAATTTGTTGCTTTTGCTTTTGTCTTTCCATCAATAATTGTCCCATGTTTATCGATGTTGTTGGGTTGGTTGATGTCGATTGTTGTATGGCATCATCATTATTATTCATTGAATTGTTATTCATTTTTTTATCCTTGTTGAAATTTCTTGGTTGAATGTTATTTGTTCACTGTATCGAATCGAAATGATTGTTCAAAAAAAAAAAAAAAAAATGAATTTAGAAGTTGTTTTGTAACGGTCGTTTTACATGTGACGGTTGTTTCGAATCACAATGATGATCATTTCAGACAGCGCGCTCAATTTTTTCGAGCAAGCATTTATTATCATTTATATAGTACGTATGCTTAGCAAAAAGTACATCAAACATTTATAAAGAGCAACCAGTATAAATAGTTTTTTTCATTGTAAAATTTTATGCAAAAAAAAGGAAACGGAAACAATTTTTAAAAATTAACAATCAAATATTGTTTAAAAATTGTTATTATCAACAACAGCCTGAATTGTTAATGTAATTATATCCAATATATATGGCTTTTGATTGTTATTATATTTAGTTTACATTACATCAAAGTCAAAACAATTGAACAAAAACGGTTATTGATCAGAAAAAAAGCCAAATTATTGATCGGAAATTTAAAAAAAAAATCATCAGAACAGAATTTATATGATCAACCAAGATCATGGCCAAATACAACAATAAAATTGACGGTTTTTGTAACTTGTCTTGTCAATTAATAATATTTGACGATACAAGATGGAAGCATAAGTTTAAAATTAAAAATCATTTTGTCAAAAATTTGAATAAATGAAAAAAATTATTATTTAAGCTTTTATTTTTCAAAAAAAAAAAAAAAATTCAATTCATAATTATATTATATGATTTTAGGTAAATAATGAATGAAAAAAAAATCAACAATAATAATAAATTGGATTGGATATTATTCACAACAACGACAAAAAATAATTTATCTTAATTAAATGAATTAATATTATGAATAATGAATAATAATTTTATACAAGCGACATAATTATTATGATGATGATGATGATGATTAATGATGAATTGAATCGTCAATATGGCTTAAATCTTGCCGTTTCAAAACATGATTGAATTGTTGGCTCTCGTATCTGTTAGATTGATAGATGAATGAATGAAATGAATTAATAGCCAATGATAATATAATGTAAAAAAAAGTATACCGAATTCATATTGTTGTTGATTTCAGACGATTCAATTTCTATTAATGAAAAAACGTTTTGATGAAGATAACGATAACGATAACGATGATGATGTGTAAATTTGTTGCCGTATCCATCGAATTGCCTTCATATCTTCATTCGATTTATGACAACAAAAAAAAATTTGCATAAAATAAAAAGAAAAAAAAATTGATTCGAATTGAATTATATATATGTTGTGAACAACAAAAGAGAAACAAAGAAATCTAAAAAGAATGCCATTCCAGATCAATCAAATTGTGAATGAATTTGTTACATATTCCGGAATATAAAATAGAAGGATCATAGTTTTTATTTTAATATCAGTAAGATTTAATTATGATTTATTATAAGATAATTTTAGCTACATTTCTATCATCTATTATTTATATCCAATGTATCGATGAACAAAAATTATTGATCATTTCATTCGATGGTTTTGGTCATCAATTTTTAAATCCTGATCTTACACCGAATTTATATCGACTTAGTAGGTTCGGTACTACCGGTTATATGTTGTCAACATTTTCCACGAAAACATTACCAAATCATCATTCAATTTCGACCGGATTATATCAGGATAAACATGGCATAATACATAATCAAATGTATGATCCAATATTTAATGAACATTTTGCCGATGGTAATGGTAATGATGAAAAATGGTGGAATAGTGAACCAGTAGCCGTACCACTATATATTGCAAATCAATTAGATGATCGACGACGAGCAAGTTGTTGTTCACCATGGATCGGTTGTCATGTCCCATATCATGGCCGGCAAGCTCATTATTGGCGACGATTCAATAAATCATCCTGTTATTATGAACAATTTGATTGGACATTGATGAAATTAATGGATAGATTATGGCCAGCAAATTTGGGTATGATGTATGTACATGAACCCGATATGACCGGACATAAATATGGCCCGTATGGTAAACAAACCAAACAACAAATTAATCGATTAGATCGATTTGTTGGCTATGTTTACAATCGATTACAGCAATTGAATTTGACGATGAAATTAAATGTTATTATTCTATCTGATCATGGTTTGTCCGATATTCGTCCATATCGATCAATCGTATTGGATTCATTTTTAAATAAAACTTGGTATGATGCATACGGGTCGAATCCAGTGTACACATTGAAAGTACGAAAAGGATTTGAAACAAATGTTCGAAAAATACTTGAACCATATCGAACTGACAACCAGAAACGGAAAACGACAGCAACATTTCGTGTTTATAGCAAACAACAAATACCAAAGCGATTTCAATACCGTAGTAATCGTCGAATATTTGATTATCTATTGATAGCCAATGAAGGATGGAGCTTATATAAAACAATCGAGGAAAAATGGAAAGCAGAATCATCGTATGGCCAACATGGATATGATAATCGATTGAACATTATGCGTCCATTATTCATTGCATTTGGTCCATCATTTAAGGAACAATATTATCATCATAATCGTTTTATCAATGTTGATCTATATCCATTAATGTTAAAATTATTGAATATCAATCCTAATCAATATTACCATCAGGGTAAATGGATTAATGTTCGAAAGATGCTAAAACAACAATATCAATGATATAATAATGTAAATTCTAGTAATAAATAATCAACTTACTTGAAATCATTATGGTTATCCTTTGGCTTTGTAGTAGCTGTTGTTGTTGTTGTTGTTGATGATGATGATGATGATGATGACAAAGATACAGATGTGGGTAACATATTCATATGATTTCAGCTGGATTTCATCACATCTAAGAGTCGTAGATTAAAAAAAAATCAGAGATAAAAACAAACAAAACAATTCAAAAAAGACGGGGTATAAGAAAAAGAGAACGTAATTTAAATTTATTGAATGTAATCATAAATTCAGGATTAAATGAAATACAAAAGAAAGAAAGAAAAACGGAACACAAAAAATGAAAAAAAACTAGATAAATTAAAAAAAATCAGATCGAAAAAAATGCTGTATTAGAAAAAACTAGTGGTCATTGATGATTCATAAATATATTGGTTTACAGCTTTACGTGATGAACGTGTAGTGGCATTATTGACCTGTTGAGATATTATACAAATATTAGTCAGATTTTAAGCCATTCAAATTACATTCATTCATCTTTCATTGAAATAAATTTATTATTATTATATACCTCAATTTTACGGCCATCAATGATCTGACCGTTCAAACAATCCCGAGCAGTATCGGCGCTTAAACCATTAGCGAATGTTACAAAACCAAATCCCTTTTATATTCAATGAGATAAATATTTGAACTTTTTCCTAAATATGAAATGAAAATCTTACTTTTGACCCTCGATCGTTGAAAATTACTTCAGTGTTCAAAATATGACCGTACGGCTGTGAGGCGTATGTAAATTGTTTTATTTTATTCGAAAAAAGTTGCAAAACACTTACCTCAAATAATTGTTGAAGATCGGTATCACGATAACGGAAAGGAATATTACTTACGTGAAGACGTTTTGGTTTCAATGCCTCCAAATTATTCACAGGTAATGTATTGATTTGAAAATTTTTTAATTTCCAATCCGAATTAATAGCCGATTGATTAAGATTATTATTCGGTTTTATGTTGCCCATACGAGAAAGCTCGATATCCGACTCGATCGCAGGCATCCGATTATTTTCATCATTATGGCCAAGGAATTGTTCATCCATTGACATAGCCAAAAAATTGTTTGATTGTTTCAAATTTTCATTCAAAATCGATGTACTTGAATTGGGTGAACTAGAAAATACGGAACATACACCGGATGATGGTGTAGCACAACGTGATGAAATATCCGATACATCGCGATAATTGGCAGTATATTTGTTTGCCGACAAATCAAATAAAGAATTAAAGTTTTCAAAAGATTCATTGTTCAATGAATTGATGGTTGATGATGAATAATTAAATAAATCATTATCGTGAGAATCAATGGCAAAATTCGGTTTTTGATTTTCAAACGAGTTCTGAATGGCCAATTTTGGTAAAATTGGCGAATAGAATGTTGCAGGATCAGCACCAACATCACTTCGATTTCCGGTACTAGTGAATCGGGGAATTTTACATGGTTTTTGACCTATTGAATAATCGTTATGACCATTGACAAATTTCTGTGAAAAAATAAAATATAAAGAAAAAAGATTCGTAAGATTCAGATGAAGAAAAAAAATCTGTTTTAGTACCCAAATTTCTTGATTCAATTCATGCCATTCTTGATTCATCAAATATTTCAATTGTTCAACATGGTTCAATTTTCGTACTCCATCGGTGGATGGAAAGAATTGCACGAATGGTTGTCGAGAACCATCTTCATTGATTGGTACAAGAATTTTGCGTATCTGATCAGTCGATTTATATGCCCATAAATATTGTCGACTTAATTGATAATGAATGGCTGGACAATAAATAAAATCATATATCAATGGATCAAATGCTGGTCCATATGATGGAATAGATTTTTTATCTTGATTTTTGATTGGTGAAAATCTAGCATACAAATGTTTGTATTGAGAATGTGGTGGTGTTACTGTATGATTTAGATACATGATTAAATTTGTGTGAAAAAATTAGAAAATTTTAAAAATAGAAACCAAAAAAAGGTAAAAAAAAATGAGAATCAATTTTGAAAACAACGATCAGATCAGAATAATGACAATTGTTGTTCAAGTTATCTACGAATTTTAAGTGATAGGTGATAAATAATAAATGCGCAACAATTGATCGTTGTATTTAGCAAAAAAAAAAAAAAATTTCTTTTGTCTAAAAAATCAAAATGTTTGAATAATAATAATTAGCCGTTTTGTGCTTGTTGCGCACATCATAAGTGGTACAGCAAAGAGATATAGATATTATAGCGATATTTTAGAAGATTCGAATCGAATCAAATTCTTTCAAAGCACCCACAACCACCATCAACAGGCAGCAGTAGCAATGACAATAGGCCATAGACAAGTATCCTATCCTCCCTCCCTAATCTTTTCGCTCCATTTTTTTTTTGTGTGTTAAGCACACGTACACCAAACGACGAAACAAACATGACAATTAACCGAAATTTTTTTTTTTTTATCAAAAAAATTAATTTCATCACATTATTGTTGTTGTTATTGAAAAATATGATGAAATCAAAAAAAAAAATTATCAAATTATCAAATAATTATTGATCGAATTTTATTGATAAATTTTTTTTGACCATTTCATCATCATGATGTTTGTGAATGATGCCTCATTCATTATCAAAGCCATTTTGTGTGTGTGTGTGTGTGTGTGTGTGTGTGTGAAGAAGGAAAAAATGGCTACCAATCTCACCAAATGAAATTAAATTGAGTTGATGATAGTTTTTCTTCAATTACGATCTACGATTGCGCAGATTCCTTATCAATTAGAAACCAAAAAAAAAAAAAAAAAATTTATAAAATTCGAATTCAAAAAATTACCAATTTTTCATATTAAATTTCAGTTCAAGTGCCATGTGCCATGTCATAGGCTGAATTTTTTGGGCATCTAAAATGTTAATTGATTTTGAAAATTGAGTGAAAAAGAAAAAATGATTGGAAAGAAAAAAAAAATTAATTCATTTCAAGTGGAAATTCGAAATCCACTACCAATGATGCAATTATTTTGATTATTATTAGCTTAATTAATTTTCATTTTTTTTTCTTTCACTCTAGAACTCTTGATAAATCGATGTGAAAATTTCGAATGAATTTGCGATTTTTGAATAATAACTAAAATTAAAACGCAATTGATGGTTTTTTCTATCATCTGATTTTGGGATTTGATTCAAATGTCGAAAAAAAATTCATCCAACTAAAACACTATTGAGATATGCATTGAAACTTGAAAAATCAGTATTTATATTTATTTTATATTTCATTCCCTTGTGCTTTTACGACAAATTTCTTGTTTTTTTTTCATTTCAGAGATGAAATAAATATTAAATGAAAATTATTATTATTACAACATTCAAAAATAAAACCAACTCATTTCCCACCATGTTTCAATGATTATATCAACTCAGATTTGAAATGAATATGCATTTTTCTCAATAAATCAAATTTACATTTTATTCATATGAAATTTGAAATATTAAGGAATAAAGTGTTGGTTCCAAAAGATTTTTTTTTATTCATGTATGAAATGTCAATAAACAACATTTTGGTATAAATTTTCATTTATTCTATGACAAATCCAAACAAACTGACATCATCATCAAATTATCGAAAACGATAAAGTCAAAAATGAAATCATTATCTACAATGGATTCATGATGTGATAAAAAAAAAAAAAAAAATTCTATCGAGAATCACAGTGTATGGCAAGTTTTTTCTGTTTGTTTTTTATTTCCATCATTAACAAGTTTTTTTTCTGTTTGTTTTTTATTTCCATCATTAACAAGTTTTTTTTGACAGCACCCCATTTTCATTTCTCATTTGTTTACACACAATCATATAAATATATATGAATAGCCAAACACACACTCATACCTAGGAATTTCAACAAATCAAACGTCTAATTTCATTTCAAATCACATATACACTTGACAAAAAATAGACTTTCATTTATTGTTTTTCTGATGGAAAAAAATACAGTGCCACTATACTTTTATCATCATTTTAACATCATGATACTTGATTCTGTTTTATCGTTTCAAATCCTTCAAATGTTTCCATTTTCTAATCGACGAGATTCGCTTTTTCAAAAAAAAACCGAAAGAATAAGTATGCCATTTCCGCCAAACAAAACAAAAAAGATCATAATCACGAAACCAAAACATTTTTTTCAAATCAGCGATTATAGTGACAAACAAAATTACATCAACATCTGCTTTGCAATGTACAAAATTGCAAATAAAAACAAAATGAAAAAGAATTTCATCATCATCATCATCAACATCAAATGTATCGATATTTCGAAACAAAAACATCTGAAATTTTAACACTTCGGACACATTGGTATCTTTTTTTCATTTTCATTATTACACAGCTTTTATAATTTTTTTTTCATTAATTTCAACAATTTAGCGTTTCTATTTGATTGATTTATTTACTTTTTTTTCGATTCCATCCTTCTCATTCTTGTAGGTGTCCACCTGTCATTTTCTTGTAACATACAACCTGTCACACATACATTATATTGTTGTTTGACAATAGAAGATAATATTGGATCATACAATGCAATAAAAATGTGTCATCCTATTGTCAAACTTTATATATATAAAAGTTGACTTTTATTCTTCGTTTCACACTCCAAATGTTGGCAAAACGTTTAATAGCACCAAGTATTGTATGTTTTTCATTTCTTTTATGAAAAAACTTCATAATTATAATAATAATAATTTTTATATTCCACTCTTATTAACTTTTGACAGATTCAAGCTCGAATTTCTGCCCACACACACGTACAAACGAACTAACAAGATGACAAAGACAAACATTTCATTCAATTCAATTTAATTTCTGCCCAAATAATAATGTACATGGACATCATCATTGTAAAGTTTTCTTTATCTTTGGTTTGATGTTCATAATTTTTCCAATGATCAATTAAGTGAGTAGATAAAAGATTCTGGTCGATTCAAAGTCAATTTGTCGTTTTTTTTTCTAATACTCATTCCATTTTTTTATATCAATCATCAGATATTAATGAGCATTTTGAACATTGTCATTATCATCTCTTATCAATGGCAACTAATGGTACGTTTTAATTTAAGACATTGATGATTTTTTTCTCTACAATTCTTGTTTCAGAATCTTGAAAATATCATATTTGATCGCTATAAGCGCTTGCGCTCATCGAAAACGAAAGGGTTTTGTTTTTCATTACACACTGACCTTCATCCGTTATGAATATGAAAAATTCCAATTTCACAAACCCAAACACATCTATCACTGCTGCTGCAATATCCGATATAAAAATTAATGAAACTGGACTAAACGAAATTTTTTATTCTTTTGATCTCGTTGCACATCTTTATCATTATTCTTATTATTAGAATCGATCCAAAATACAGAAAGCCTGGATGGATGACCATAAAACCAGAACCCCGCAAAAGCATCAAACTGATATATGATGCAGAATTTTTCTCTGGTACGTTTATGATTGTTATTGTTATTAAAAAATATATGTATGACCACATCACATGATAATGATATGATTATGATTAAGATGATGACCATACAATATACCATACTATATAATGACACAATATTAATCTAGTATTATTAATCATCATACACCTTTTGAGCATCTACTTCTTTTCTGGCAATACGATCATCAATGATTATAAAACAAAAACTCACTATTATATATAAAATGTATGTTACTTGTAATAATAAATTTGATGTAATCATTCGTTGTTTTTTCTCTTTTTTTCTATAGGAAAAATTTAACCAATTCAAGATCGATATATCACTATATCATGATATTGGTATGTTATAGAATTGTAATGAATAACATAATCGAATGTATTTGATGTCTTTTTTCTTTATCTTTCTCCTTCTCTATGAAATTCTGTTCATTTAGAATGGAAATGAATGTTTGTGTGCATTTGTGTGTTTGTATTGTCAACCTAAACTATGGAAAAGGGGACGAATCCGTTAGATTCGTTTTGAATTCGGAATTTAATGTATAATTTATGTTTATTTTTTCTGTTCTTTGTTTTATTTCGAAATGTTTGTTTGTTTTGTTTCTAACACACATATTGAGCGATCATCATCATTGGTTGTTGTATTTTACATCAGGTGACAATGATGGTTCATCAATCGTTCGTTTTCTTAAGACTCATGGGAAATTATTGGAAAAATTCTTCAAAATTCATATATTTGTTTAGGTTTTTTTTCTGAATTTATTTTCATTTCATTTCCATTGCTTTATGTTGTTATTGTTGTTGTTTATCAATATGTTCCAAATTAATTTCATCATAATCATCGTTTTTTTTCATAGTTTTTCATTCCACAATGACAAAACCTAGTGAAAAGAAAATATATTACCACTAAAAATAGAGAATTTCTGAGTAAACAGAATATTCTTTGAATAACTATATATTTGTATGAAACAAAAAAACAAGAAAATCAATACTATGATAAAATATGTGTTTTCTCAATATTCTCTCTCGAGACTATTTCGAAATTTTTTTCACCGGTCAATTCATTGAAATATTTTAAATGAATTTTTTTTTTTTTTTGGTTTTCTCGTTTGAATTTGAAGAAATTGACATGACAAACTCATCTTTAATCTACAATTTTTCTTTCTTTGTCATCTTTTTGATCATTTCATTAAACACTTTTGTGTTTCATTATTAGAATATTCACCATTAGTTTTTAGTTGATCAGTATTTTTTTTCTTTTGAAAATTATTCACTCAAATTCAAAAGTTTTATTTTTCTCTCACTCGCATCGAAATGAATTAATCAGCAGCTTGTATATTAATATATTAATAATAATATATCAAATCCAAAACCAAACTATAAATTATTCAATTGAAAAACAAAACAAAACCAAAAAAAAACACCCAACAATAACAAATAAAAGTTTAGTAAATCCTATAGTTTACATTTTGAATCCATTACTATAGCACCAACAGCATTGTGCATTGTTGCCGAATATATGTATCAATTCTTTATTATTATAAAGCATAAAAAAATTCAATTTATCCATAAGCCAGAAAAATTTGTTTTTTTTCCCGTTTTGTTTTTCTTTGTCATAACAAAAAAAAAATGTTTATGAAGTGGTGGTGGTGGTGGTGGTCACCAAAATATATATAGTAAGTCAATCATCAATATATATATGTTATATACACGTGAATATGAAATGTGTTAAAATTCAAATTTTTCATTTTGAAATGAAAACAAAATGTTTATTAAAAATTTTTCTCAAAAACTTTAGGATCAATTTGTTTTTCTTTGTTTACAAATTCATTTTGTTTTGTTGCAAATGAAATTTGAGACATGCTCGTGCATTTTATTATTATGATTACAAAAAAAAATTAATAATGATGAAAAACCCACATAGTGGAAATGAAAATGAAAAAATGTTTTTTAAAACTTTTCTCTCTCTCTCTCTCCTCTTTCATTTCACAAAAGGTGTTGAATTACGAAATTCAATTATTGTTTTTTTTTCTCTCCATTATTTTGGCTTGTTTGTTTCAAAGTAATTTTGTGGATTGGAAACAAAAAAATTTTGGGCATGAAAACAAACCACCACAGAATATTATAGGCAAGAATGATGTTCATTGAAATTGAATTTATAGTGTGTTCACGCCATTAATCGAGCCATACAAAAAAAAAAATCATGATTAGTTTATTGGTGGTGATGATGATAATTGAATGTAACAACATATGATAATGATAAATGAAGAGAATTTGCTAGAAATTCCTGTTTCGCAGAATTTCTTCGTTACGAAATAACAAATGTGATAAAAATGTTTTTTTTAAATGTCACGTATTTTTGATTAGATTTTTATTCTGACTACGACAACAAAAAAAAAATCAATCAATCAAAATTAGTATTGGACTTGCTAAATCATCATTAAGCTTTTTTTCTGCATAGTCCGAAAAGAAATTCTCGAATTAGTAGTTTAAACATCCGATGGATATCAATGTTGTTTGATTATTATTAATGAACATTTTTCTCTTCATCTCTCTCTCTCTCTCTAGGTTCCAACATCATTACACTTGATTAGAATTTTAATATTATGATGATGATGATTAATTAATTAATCATAATCTTTTTCATTGAAACATTTCTGGATTTTTATTCATTTTTCGCCACTGTTCAATGGTCAATGACACAAACAACAATAACAATGAATGAAAATGTTTTTTACTTTCAAAATATATTTTGTAGACTGAAACTGATTCATTTCTGTTCGGTCTTTGTTTGTTTGTTCACTTTATATAAAGATAAAATCAAATCTCATTACTAAAAAAAGCTGATTTATACATTGTATTTAATATGATGTGTTCCAACAGAATAATATTGTTTTGTGTCATCATCATCATCATCATCAAAATAATAATAATCAAACGAAACTTTCATTTATAATAAACTTGCTTGTATATACACCAACCAACCAACCAACCAAGCCAATCATATTTACGTGACATATTTGTTTATCTCATCTATATTTATTTATTTAGTCAACAATAACACTAAGAGCCGCTAACCAATAGAAGAGGAAGCAAAAAAAAAAAGATTGTGGATAAAAATGAAAATTTTTCACGATGAAAAACTAAACACAGAATAATGTTCTATAGACCAAATATCGTGTGATACAATATTTGGTTGGTGATGATGAGATCACGAATTTGTTCAGTTGTTGTTGTTTGTTTGTGTGCAGCATATAAGCCAATATAAATGCGGACATTTTTGTCAAAACAATATTTATATATTCTCATACATGCGATTTATCGATCGATTTGTTGATGGTCATCATTTGTTCATTCGTTTTTTGCCTTGAAGCCAATCAATTTGTTTTCCGGTCATTCTGTTTGTTTTTGTATTTTGTTTGTTGAAGAAAATTTTTCAATGAAAAGAATTTAATATAAAATTCTGGTGACAAAAGTTTTCAGAATCTTTTTAGGGTTTTGTCATTTTCAAAAAAAAAACTTTCTGATCAGAAAATTGCATTCATTTCGATACATGTATACACTTGGGAATAATTGCGTTTTAATGAGCCGCCATTCTATCATGCACAAATGTTTCACAACGTATATAGAGGATTAATTTTGTAGGCACATCGGTTTTTGAATGTTTTTTCTCCTTCTTAGTTGTTTGGATTATAATTTCTATGATGATGATCATTTTTCTAGCCTGCTTTCTTGCTTTCTCATTCATTCATTTGTGTATTCTGTGCATTTTTTTTTGTTAACTCTAATTACAATTATTTAGCAACAATAACGGTGGATTTAGTTTTTCTCAAGAAAAATTGCTACAATTTACTATTGAAATATATAATGATAATCATCAATCGAGACCAATCATCATCATCATCATCATCATCATTGAATAGACCAATTTTCTCCATGGAATTCGTTTAGTTATTTGTTGTTATCAAATGTGATTCTATCTTTCTTTCCATGTATGTGTGTGTGTGTGTGTGTGTGTGTGTATAAATCTGATCTACTAACAGAATTTAATGCATCCATTTTATAATAATAATGATGATGATGATGATGAAAGAAAAGGAATTTAACTTCCATTCCGTATTTTATATATAGATTTATCGTATTATTGTATGCAATAAATGACAAAAACAAAAATGAAAAAAAAATACAACCGACCTAAATAAGGTTTTTTCTCTCGTCATCGTCTTCATCATCATCGTCTATAATGTTAGCCCCAGTAATTATGTGGACATCAAATGATCATTCATATAGCGAATAATCAAAAATTATTTACTTATTTGATTTGCAGACTACTATTGCTCTTATATTATTATTATACAACATTGAATCTTGGTCTAGTTTCATTCGATTCGTTTTTTTTGCACAATTTTTTCCAAGAAATTATTTTTTGCTCTGTCTATGTCTCACACTATATTCTATACTTTACTATCTTTCTGTCTATTATCTATCTTTGTGTGTGTGTGTGTGTGTGTGCGTGTTATTGTTTGATGAAAAACAAGAATTCTGAATTAATTAAATTGAATTTTTAATATTGCATAAATTTAATTTCAATTTTATTACTAATAGATAGATGTAGTACAACTAGAGATATGTACATGATGTCATTTGATTAAAAAATTTTTTTTTTCGATACAATCACCAAGCATCATAATCTATACACATGAATTCAATTATGTGTGAAATATATGGCTTCAAATTTAGATGAATGTCTGTGAATTCCATTTCTTTTTTTTGGATTCATAGACATATATTAGACATATAATAGTAAAAATGTGTAGAAAAATTTGCAAATTCCATTCCATTTTGACATATATGATCATGATACCTTTTAATTATTTTTTGTTTTCATGGAAAAATCCTTGATAAAATTTTTTTTTGATATCCGAATCTCTTGATTATCAATAATTTGATCAAAAAAAATGAATAAATAAATATTCAAACAAAAAATTTTTTGTTATCTATCCGGATCTCGGCTTTTGTTCCGCTTTACAAATTGAAAAGTTGAAACAAGTTTGGCCAATTCTGGTAATGTCATTCAGTGTCAGGTAAAATCTCATTAATTAAATAAATCAAGTTCTTTTTTCGGATTTTTATCTTCAAACAACTGTACACAGATACACACACACACATATATCACAGATCGATCATCCTTGACCAACACACGAATGAATTATAAACAAAAAAAAAAAAAAAACTTTTTGAAAATCGAACATTAAAGATAGCAAGAGAAAATAAAATTTCAATTGCAAAAAAAATATTCTAGTGTTTGTAAAATCTAATCTAATATAGAATAAAAGAAAATAAAAGCTTTCATCATCATCATCATCGAAACTATTGAATTCAATATTGGAAACTTTCGATTGATCTTTTATACGATTTCATTGGTTTCCTTATATTTCATCAATACATGTTTTTTTTATTTGGATGTAGATTTTCGAGAATATTCTCTATGTGTGTTTGTATGAAATTTGAATGAAAATCAGATAGTAAAATGCATTATTCATCATCATCATCATCACAATGAATGAATGAATAAAAGACAATCTAATAATCCTTCAATGTTAATGCCATAAGATAGTACTGTAACAGAATTTATAGTGAAAATAATGTAAACTAAAGTAAAAAGTATATGTACAATAAAAACACATGTTCCCTGTTCATCATAATCATCATCGACAATAATAATAATAATAATAATATGAATGATGAATGTTTTTTTTTATCATTATTTTTTTCTCATTTTCTTTTGATATAAACCATACAATCTCTTGTTATTGTTTTTATGTAATCTTAAAGCTCTATTGATATATAATGACCGAAAAAAAATTGAATGAAATTTGTACTTAGTATTCCGAATTACAAATTTCTGGCATTTTCATCTAATACAATAATTGCATAATTGCATAATCATGATTATCATCGAAAAAAAAAAATAATGAATAAATAGAAATTGATGATGATCAACAAACATCAACAGAACCAAAAATCGATTCTTCATTACTCATCATCATTATTATTTATATATATTAATATTAATATTTCATCAATAAACAAAAGTTGCGTGTATTCGATATTCGATATTTGATGAATTTATAAAATTAATGAAAAAATGTTGCCATTATGTGCCTCAGGTATATAACAACAACAACAATTTTTCATCATCATTAAAATTGATCAATATTTAACAAAAAAAAAGAAAAAAAAATTTCATTTCATCCATTTTCCATAAATAGCTTATTTTTTTCCGGATTAAAACGAAACATTATAATTATTATATAATATATTTATAATGATGGTGAAAAAAACCGGATGTACTTTAATTATTATTATTATTTGTCTATACGAAACGAAACGTGTCCAATAATTGTTGTTCCGGTTTCAAAATGAAGGAATGGGAATAGAATAATCCATTTTGATTTTATGTTTTTATTCTTCAATTTTTGTCTATTCATTTTTAATCCTTGCTATTGTTGTTGTTGGCGGTTTTCAGCCAATTAAATAGCTATTGCAATTTCTATTCAAATTTTCCCGCCAATGACAACAATAACAATCATCATCATCAAATATAATTCATTACTTGTAATTATTTTTATCTATACTATTTTACTCATCATATAATTATCTTCAAGTGTTTCGATACCAAAAAAAAAAAAAAAAAAAAAAATGGAAAAAAATTCTCTGGATCGATTCATCAGGCATTTTATGAGAGATATGAAAGACAAGTAACCAACAAAAAAAAAATTATGGATCGGTTGGAGGTCTACAATACCAAAATAGTGTTTTTTCATGTTGTTTTCAATGTTGATAATGGCGCCCTGGAGGGAGATTGTATTTCCGAAAATTTTTTTTTGTTCATTTTTTGTACTCTCTTTCATACACACACACACACATAAGGTACTAATACATATTTTTTTTAGGTTATAAATTTCGCACACCAAATACACTCAAAATGCTTGAATAAAATTAAACGAAAAAATGATTCATATAGAGACCTACCGTTTTTGATAATGATGATGCTGGTTGTTTATTAACATTTGAATGTTGTAGTTTATGATTCACAGTGGCTGTTGTTTTTATTGGATTTATCGTTGATTGCTGTTTAATATTTTGTACACGTTGATGATGATTTTTAAGATTTGGTGAATAATTATGACGATAATGATGATTGTATGGATGATGATGATAATAATCATTTCTATGAGGAATTGTTGAATATAAAAATGATGGCTGATTAATGATTGATTCATTTGGATAAGCAAGGATGTTTACTGATTTTGATTTATAATGCGATTGTTGTTGTTGATAATAATCAGTAGCTACTGCAGCCATAGCTGCCTCTATAAGATCATTTGATAGAATATGCGGTGGCGGATAGAATTGTTCCATTGTTGTTGTTGTTGATGGTAATTGTGATAAAATAGTAACAGGATCAATATAATTGAATAATGTATGATTATAGTTATCATTATTAAATATTTGTGATAATGATGATATACCACAATAAGATGATGATACATTAGCAGATGATAAGGATGATGTCGATGTTGTTGTTGATAAAATTGGATATTCTTGTTCTATAGAAGCAGTCATTGTCATTAGATTTGTTGATGTTGTTGGTTCATAATTCTGACGATGTTGTTGTTGTTGTTGTTGTTGTTGCTGAAGCCCACGAAATGCTGTAGTAGCTGCAAACATGTTGAACATTATTATGATTCTTTCTATGAATCGAAACAAAACAGAAAAGAATCAGATTTTCATGTGAATATGCTTTCACTATAAAATCTACTGATGAACTGACTGAAATTTTTCGATTTTCATAACTTTGGTTCGGTTTTTTTCCTTCAATTCATTCGGTGTTTAGCTAGCCGCTTTGTTTGTCAGTATACTGTTCAGTTCAGTATATAGTATCGAACGAAAAAGACAGAACTTTTTTTTCTGGAACATGCCCGGTTTTTCTTATTATTAGATCCAGAATCCTAAAAAGGAATGAGAGAGCTAAAAAAAATTCCATTTCAGATAAACTCGATGGACACGTAGACGAATGTAAATGGATGGCCAACCATCATCACCACCAACATTAACCGCCATGGTAGATGATAATTATGATTTCTTCATTTATTCGAAAAATTATCGGACAAAAAACCCAGGATACAAAATGCCAACCAATAATAACAACTGTATGGATAACTGTATCGTTGTGTGTGTGTGTGTGTTTTTTGGTTGATTTATAATTAAAATTATTGGATATTCTGATCTACCGTAATGATTTATACTTCTATATGAATGACTTTTTCACATTGAAAATCTTTTTATCGATTTCTGCTCCATTTATATGGCTAATCGATTGATCGAACGATTCATCATCATCATTTATTATTCAGTTTTCTGATTCATATCGAAATGATTACGAAATCCAATCAATCTCAATCCATATTTCACACAAATCATCATTATCATTGCCGTTGATAAATCAAAAATTAAATGTTATCATAAAATCAGAATGGAATTTTTTTTCTATTTTTCTATCTGATAATTCCCAATAATAAATTTTGTGTTGGCTTTACGGGAAAAAAAAATTAAAACTTTCAATTCAATAAATTCAGGTTCTTTTGGGAAAAACAAATTCTGTTCACTTTGAATTCCCTTGAGCTGTAATGACGTGATTTGGTTTTTCTCTCTTCAATATATTTATCAAGAAATTCAACTCGAAATTGATTGATATTTGAATATTTAGATTGGAATTCCTTTTTTTTTGCTAAACTTTTTTCCTAGCTTTCTGACCATGTATATTTGTATAATTAGAGCTAATTTTACCAAAATCATATAAAGCAGCAGTATATTGCTTTTAGGCAATTTTTTTCATTGAATCATTCTATCATCAGTATTATCATCATTTTGATTTCCAATGGGAAATAACATACGATGTTTTTGGATTTGCTTGATTTATCAAATTCTGAAAAAACATGATGATTCTTTTGATTGATGATGATGATGATGATTTTTCTGTTTTTCTGGCCATTTCAAATGCCACATTTTCACGCTTAAAATCCTGAGTGTTATATGGATATTAGCCGGTAATTCAATGTTATGAATTTGTTTTTGCACGGCAATGATATTAATCCACATTTACAATTAATACTTGTAGATCGAAAAAAAATCATTGCATATTTGTGATCAATTCAACCAAATGAATTATTCAACTGGAAATAATTATGGATGGCAACTTACCATTTTTCTGTTTTAATTTGATTTTCATTCGATTTCATTGATTCGCCACAATCCGAACATCATTATCTTTGATTTGAATCAAGGTAATCACAAATTGAAAACAAATGAAAAAAATCTCTAAATTTGATTTCACATAAATAAATGCAAAATCATCATTATTTCGGCATCAGTGGATAAATTTAATAATAAAATCGATAATTTCATACATTTCTCTTATACCACTAATGTATTACCCACATTCACTCATTCGAAAAATCTTTTAATCTTTATTTCCGTTTCTATGTTTGTCTTTATGTATATTGTGGTCAACGCATTTGCATTGCAAACCGCACACACACACACACATATACAGTAATCCATGATGAAACAACAGAAAAAAATTGTTTCAATCAAATATCAGATTTTCTGTTTGTTTGGTCAATGCTTCCTTTCCTAAAACGTATTGATAAATCAAAAAAAAAAAAAAAAAAAAAACGCATCGATCTGTTAATTCCTTTAGGGGCTTTTAGTATTTTGAATGTTTTCGATGAAAATCTAGGCCATATATATCACACACACACACAAAGTGTAAAGTAACGAAATTCAATGTTTTGATAAGCAAATATATAAAAAAATAAGCAATTCACATGATTTGAGCAAACAACAACAATAATAATAATAAAATGAAAAACTCAAAGCTTAAGAATTCTTGAAATAGAAAATATTTTCGGTTTTTTTTTGGATTTTCCGGAATAATTTTTTTTCGTTTCGTTGGTTTCACTTTTCGTCACGTCGTTGTTGACAATTTTCAGAATTATGTGATGTTGAATGCCATGATGATAACGGGATTCTTGTTTATCAAGAATATTTTTCACATATGACGTGTTCAGTTTTTTTTGTGATAAATATTAAATCTAAAATTCTGGCTTGTTTTTTTTATTCCATCGGAAATCTTTTTGAATTTTTATCTCGTTTATTTTTTATCGCAAATTTACACAATATGATATTTTTTCTTGTCCAAAACCGAAAAAATAATCGTTTTAAAATCAATGATGACAATACAAAAATCAAGAAAAAAAAACATTGTAAGAATTCGAATGTTTTTTCATCATTAATGTTTTAAATCCGAATTGAATGATTGGAAGAAATACAAGATTGAAACCAGAGCATATCCTTGAAACATAATGGAACATTGGATAATCAAAATAAAGTAAAAAACGAGAAAAAAGCAATTATCGATTTCTTTGGAATTTTAATCCAGAATTGGATTTTACATTTCATCTTAACGTTTTTTTAAAGGTTTTCCTTTTCGATTTCATCAATTATATATAGCAAGCAAAGGCTAATATTCTTTCTATACTTACTTTCAACAATTCGTTTGTAATAAGAAGTAAAGTCATCATCTAGTAATAAGCTTGAAATGGAAAATTTTGTGATCAAATATATCGATGGAGAAAACGAGAACATTTTCATCGTCATTTCAACTCAATTTTTTGTTCCAAAAAAAAGAAAAAATAATAATAACATTATTTTTATGCGAAAAAAACGAAAGGAAAAAACACCAGTCAAAGAAAAAAAAATCTAAATATCAAAAAAGATCAAAAATAATACCGAAAAACATTATCGGCGTATGGCATCGATGACGACGACGAAGACGACTACGACAACAAAGGAGGCAGCTGTCCTAATAAAAAATTCACAAGACGTTTCGATGGGAAAAGAAAAACAGATTCAATGATGAAATCTCAGTACATTTATAATAATACTATAATATAATAATAATCATTGTCATCTTTACCAAACATATTACTAAACACAGTACATTTGGTGGTGTAGAATTTTCTGTTTTTTTTCTTGGTACATTAAGAATTTTCTCATCATAATCATCAAAATCATGAATGGAAAGAAAATAAATGCTTTCAATTCTCGAGAATATAAATGGCTATAATAACAAGTAACAGCAGTAGTAGCAGCAACCATGAAACCTTTAACTATGTTTTCTGCATAACCATAGAAAATGGACATTCAGAATTCAAATCAAATCGCAAAATAACATTTGCAAATAATATTTTCAATCATCATATTTACATATTTCGATAATAATCAGTCAAATTTAAATTGGTTTAAATTCGAATCGATTATAAACACAAACAAACCGGATGGTAAAGAATGTTGTTGTTTATTAAAAAAATTTAATGTTGATTCATACAACAACAACAACAACTGCAAAAACAACAAGTTTAATGATGCATTTAGTGAAGTGAAAAAAAGCGAAACAATTTCCAAAAATTTCCATCTCGAATGATTGAATTTTCAATAATGATGATAATACGTAATACGTAACACACATAAACACACTCAAAGAGGTTTGTGTATTGAATTTATCAAATTTTTTTTCTCTCTTTACTTTGCATTAAGAATGTGCAAACAAAACCTCGATAATAATTGAAAAGTGTGAAATGAAGAAAAAAAATTTTTCTGTTGTTGTAACACCTTTTTTCAAGAATTTGGATGATTGATTCTCTTTTACATACTTGATATATATCTCTCATGAGACTTTTGTCATCGCCAAATATATAATGGAAATAACAATAATATAATTTGAACTACCCCAAAATCGATGTGTAAATATAATACGCTGGACATCGTGTATAAGACGCTTCTAACTTAACTTTTTCCACAAGAAAATAATCTCTTTTTTCTCATATAAATCGCCAGCGCGCTCACGTTTTACATCAAAGTTTTACGGTTAGCAATGAGGATCGATTCGAAGGAAAAAAATTAACTTATTGCCAATAATTCTTGCCGTGTATCTATGTGTGGCTCTTTTATCCAATTTTTTCTCGCTGATGCAAATATTTGTACTGCAAGCCAAGAACTAAGAAAAAGAATGAGAAGAAAAATCCACTTTTATTCCAAAAGCATCTTTCCCTCTCTCCGTTGAATATGATAAAAGAATCTAGTAATTCCAAATTTATCATCATGGCAACTTATATGCAATTTTTTGTTGTAAATAGCTACCCATTATGAATCTCCATACCTGATGAAAAGCATTTATGATGATTATTGCCGTAGTACTGATGAATTCAGGAAGTCAAGTCAACTCTTGTTCATTATGCAATATATGATTGTTATTTTGCATACAGTCGTTTTTTGTGTAAACAAAAAAAAAAAAAATAAAAATTGCATTAAAATGATGATAATCAGAGGCTGAAAAATATAAAAAAAAGGTAGTTGAAATCCGATTATATCAGCTCTTCTCAAACAGTGGTAAGAAAAATTAAAATTTTTTTTTTGCATAATTCTACGAAAATTTCAATTGAAATTTGGATTTCTTTTGACCGAAATGCTTTTTCGGTAATTGCCCATTCTTTAATTTGTATTATTTTTATGTTTTTTGATAAAGTGGCCCACGGAAAAATTTTACTGCCAACACTGGTCCACGGCCGAAAATGTTTGGGAATCTTTGTGTTTTTTCACCGTCTTATACACCCACATACACAGACAGAAAATTCCTTTTTTTGTTTTTTCACTAAGAAAAAAATGTTTTCAATTATTTCGTCCTGCTAAAAGGGAAGAGAGAGAGAGAGAAAACGTCAAAGTTTATGGTAAAAAAAAATTCACTGTGTATGTGAAAAGAAAAAGATTAAAGGATCAAATGAAGTAACAAAAACAAAAAATTCAATGGAAACAAAAATCCATTTTCAAACAAGAAAAAAAATTACATCACTTGTGTGACCTTTAATTTTTTTTTTTTTCTTTCTGGTTAAAATTTCATTTTTTTTTCTAATTTTATTCGATTATTATTAGTAGTGGCAGTTAGTACACGAAGATAGAGGTGGTATACTTAGCATGTATGCAAAAACATGATAATTCATAAGAAAAATTCTAAATCTTGAAATTCATTGATAATGGCGTTGCTAAGAATCTTGATGAGATGAGAATTGTAATGACCATTTTTGTCAGTTTCATTAATAAGCCCAACGCACTAATGTGATAATCGTTAGAAATTAATTTTTTTTTTTTTTTTGGTTATCCATTCGCGTTTCAATTAATGGAATGATTCAAAATCTGTTACGACATTCGTAAACGATAAAAAACAATTAGGACAAATGTATGAACCAAAAAAACACAACAGACAATTATTGTCATTATCCGGCATTAACACTAATAAGACCAAAGAATACTATTTTGATGAAATATAGAAAGACTGTCTTAATTTTTCTCTGCTTCGGGTAATCACTTTTGTTCAGGATTTTTTAGATAAAGATTGTTTGGTTTTTTTTACTCAAAACGTATCATGACAAAAATATCGTTAATCGGGCCAAGGAAACCTTCTCCCCCTCAAAAAATGAATGAAACCCAGAAAGGATCAGATTGTATTGGTATGATTATTATGATATTTTTGTTTCTGGTATTTATAAATCAAAATAGAAAAAATTTTAATTTTTCTACTTGGTTACCGGGAAACAACAACGATAATTATATTGACATTTATATGCTGATGATGATGATGATGATGATGATGGTTTATAAAAAATTTGGATCAAACAAATAATCATAACAAAAAAATGATAATAATTAAATTTCCTCAAGAAAAAAAATCTCATCACACACATCAACATCCGTTAATTCGAATCCATCAAATCAGAAAATAGATTCGATAATTTGATAATTCGATTATAGGAAGTTTTTCTTTTTTTTTGGAACGCTCACCCTTCAGAACATTTCCTAAATAGAAACAATCTGTCATACACGATATATATCAGAATTAAGTAAAATATATATGAACAACACTTCATCATATCTTAATCTCATCTCATCACACATATCACGTTCAACAAAAACTATTATTTCTATACTTATTTTATATTCGTGAACTTTAATAATATAATCATCATCAATATATATATGATGTTATACATGATGAATGGTGATAATTCATGTGTGAAAAATTTCTTGTTATAATGAATGCATATATAATTCCATCAACGGAATAAGATACAAGAATCAAATCTTTACTTTGTAATTTTAAGGTCCACCACAGCTTGTGTGTGTGTCGGACTGTAACGAAACAAAAACAAAAAAAATTGGAAACAATAAAATAATATATTTTGGAATATTATGATTTTTATTTTGTTCTATTTGTATTTTTGTTCGTCAGCGAACCATTTTCATGTATAATAAGTTATTCTTTAATTCACTGAAAATTCATTTCCTATTCACCACCACAAAAATAACAAATAAAACATCTGGCTTCTGAAAAAATGCACACAGAAATAATTTTAAAACTTTTTTCTCCAAATGAAAAATAACTGAATTTAGAATAATCAAGAAAAAAAAAATTTTAAACAGAAAAAATTTGTTTTATATACTTCGCTTACAAATGGCAATAAATCAGAGAAGAAATGTATGCATATGTAATGGTCAAATAAACATTATAAATTAAAGTAAATCTTTTTTTTTCTTTGTTCCAGAACATTTTGTCATTTTACGAATAATGAAAATGGCCAAATTCGATTTTTTCCATCTTTTTTTTTAAAAAAATTCTTATAGGACTGCGTGAGTATCGTGTAATAGATTTAGAATCCCATAAAAGTGTCTTATTGACGATGACAATAACATTCAAATTTATGTTTTCCTATGAAAAAGAAGTAAAAACTAAATTTTACACTTGAGGGAATCATTGCTAATTCCATAATTCCGAAATCGTTTATTTTTTTTTTGACAAACAAACCGACATTGACAATTTTCTTTTGTTCGATAATAAGATCGAACGAACATTGTAAATTTCTGAAACGATTTTAAGGGGAAAAATTCAATTATCAGAAAAAATGATCGTTTTGAAAGGAAAGAAGAAAATGATGAAAGAAATTACCATAAAATCGTGACTATAAGATGCAACTATCGAAATGCAGATATTTTTTCCTTAAAGTAACTATTAAAAATAAGACTATTTATCAACATTCTTTTTTGCATAAGATGTGTCTTATAGTCGCGATTTTAAGGTAATTTTATCTTTAGGAAAACAAAATTTCTGATACCTCTCGAAAGAAAAAATAATTGATACAAAACGAATCAAATAGAAAAATTTGGCACAAATTTGTCAATCCAGGTATATTTAAATGGAAATTTAACTGTGTTTGAGTGAGAGAGAAAAAACAAAAATAAATTTAAATGATCAATTTAGATGATCATGATGATGATAATTTGGTCACAAAAGACTCTCGAGTGGAATGACATGTGCCAATTTATCCATAATAATCAAATAATCATATCACATCATGAGATTACAACAATCATGGAATGAAAAATTTATTTTCTATCACTTAGCATTAATAATAACGATAATAATAATTATAAGTCGATCCGGTTAAAATTTTTTTTATTAAATTAGAATTTTTTTTTTAAAATTAGATCAATGTTATTCGATTTCTTATAATGACAGCCAAAATGGTTGGATCATTTCTTTTTTTGCATTCATTCAATCATCGAACATCATCGTCATCATCATGCAATTTGGTAAACGACATTTAATTGCCATACTATGTCTTTGTTCAACTATGATGGCCTATATTGGCCGTATCAATCTATCAACGGCAATCGTAGCTATGGCTCGTGATAATGATATCGTATCGATGAATAAATCCGAATCAAATGAATTTATTACCGATGTTTGTCCAGATCCCGATAATATCGGAAATGTTTCTCATCAATCACCAACATTGGATTTCCAATCATCAACTGCTCAACGTTTTGATTGGAATCAAAAAACTCAAGGTGTTATATTGGGTGCATTTTTCTATGGATATTTTGCCTTACAAATCGGTAGCGGACGTCTGGCTGAATTATTTGGACCTAGAATTTTATGCTCATTAGGATTATTCATATCCGGAATCATAAACATTTTGACACCTTTGCTTAGTAATCATTATGGTTTATTGATTACAAGTCGTATTATATTAGGAATATTTCAAGCAACTATTTTTCCATCTTGTTATGCATTGACAGCACGTTGGATACCTGATCATGAACGGAGTACAATCAATTCGATGTCATTTATTGGTGGTAATATTGGTTCGATCTTAGCATCATCATTAGCCGGTTATCTAAGCCGTCATGGATTTGCCGGTGGTTGGCCTTCAGTTTTCTATGTTTCAGGTTCGTTTATTTTTTTTTTATCATCAAAAATTGTGTTAATGATCAATAATCAAAACAGGAGCATTGATAACAACTTTTAGCATTTTATATTTCTTTCTTATACGCGATGATCCATCATTACATTGGATGATATCCGATAGTGAACTTAAATACATTCAAGCAAATATTGAGGGAAAAAAACAAATACAAACATCTCTATCATGGCTTCGATTAATTAGTAGTCGTGTAATCTGGGCCGGTGCATTCACCCATTTCACAATGATATGGTCATTGACAGTTTTTATATTAAAAATTCCCGATTACATGCATCATGTATTAAAGATTCCCTTGGAAAAGAATGGAATATTTACGGCATTTATGAATATGGGGGAATGTTCGAGGTAAATATTGGTGAATGGTAGTAGTTTTCAAAAATCGAAATCAATCAAATTTTTTTCTGCTTACTTTTAATAGTTTATTAATCAGCGGATTAATTGTGGATAAAATCATCAAATCCGAACGTTACGATAAGACTACAGTGAGAAAAATATGCCAATCAATCACACAATTCGGTGGTGGCATATGTCTTTTATTGATTACTGTAGCTAATTGTGATGAACGATTATTTTTAGCTGCCGCAACGTTGATGATGACATTGAATGGTGTACAATCCGGTGGATTGATTCCATTACCTTCGGATTTATCTAATGAATTTAGCGCAACAATATTCGGAATATTCAATATGATTGGTATGACAAATGGTTTCATATGTCCATTGATAATTGGATATATACTAGATTCTAATCCACATCATATCAAACATGGATGGTGGACCATATTGTATATAACAGCTGCATTACGTATAGCTGGTGGTATTGTATTCACATTATTTGTATCATGTCGACGACAATCATGGAGTGCAAAAAATTCATTATCATCATCACCATTATCAACATCATCGTCATCATCATTGAGACTATAACGATGATCATCAATAATTAAATAAATTAATTAATTTATTGTTATGTTTACACGAATTTTTTCCCTTTTTTCTTAAAGTTGACACAATGTTCATGTTTGACTTCATCGTTTTCATGTCCGTTTAAACGTCGTTAATAGTTTTGTTTTCTTGAATGTAGTGACAAACTTTTTTTTTGTTTTTATCATTTTATGATTAACTGAAATTTATATTCACACTCAAATGTGTTCATCATCAAAGATCATTTCTCATAGAATATAATAATTAATTTCATTTCAATTATTTTATCCTATAGGAAACAAATATTACAATTGAAGAATCTCAAGGAAATACTAATCAAGGTTTTTCAATATATAAATTTTCAATTTGCCAGATGTCTTACAACAAAAACGACATTTTTGTCATTATATGAAAATAAAAACAAAAAAACTCATGACAATAACAATAATTCCAGTTCCAGACATGCATTGACCATGCATATAGATTGAATAACAGAATTCAGATTATTCCACCCAATAAACATAAAAACTAAATTAATTATAATCACAATATCTGCCCTATTCAGTTGTTATTGATACCAAATTAGTATTAGCTCAATGAAAAATTTATATTGTTTTTACTATATCGTGGTATTAGCAGTCCAAAAAAAATATGAGATTTATACGATTTAGCTCAAGAATTTCAAGTTCCATTCTGTAAGAATCATCACACAGATTCTGAAAGAAAGAATCTATTGCTAAATAAAACATATCAAGTGAAAAACGAAACAAAATTATTGCTTAGTAAAAAAAAGTACAATGCCATTGGTATCGGAAAACCCAATGGGGATAATAGTCCACGAAAAAAAGTTTTTAACACCAACAAAGTAATCAAAAAAAAGTTTGTAACTCTTTTACACGGACAAACACAACATATTTTGGGCGGATGCAAGGATTCATTAATTTTATCATTATCATTACAGATTGTTTTTAAATGGAACATCTTTATTTACAATACTTACGAGTATGAGATATATGGACAGCGAAAATGGTTTTTTTCTTCCTTATTTCTTTTCACACATACCATTAATTAAAACTTATGGTAGAATTCTTAATGAAATTTCTTTGGACAAAATTCTAGAGTTTATTGTTTGCATTAATCAAGAATGAATGGAAAGTTAAAATGTCATAACCATAAAAATATGTTTTGATTTTACTCATGAAAATTGATTAGACAATCTCCCAAATGAAGGGCAATGAAAATCATAAGGAACAATTGTGTGGATAAAAATGAAAAATAAATAATTCATAATTTGTTTTGTTAGAAAGAGAAAAACAGTTATCTTTGATATTATTTATTCAATTTAATCTTAGAAATAAAATAATAATTTCATAGCAAAGAAATTTTTTTTATATATGAAAAAATAACGAAGATGGTGCTTATGATGATGATGGTTGTAGGTGATGATCAGATCCAATTTATGAATAATAATAATAATAATATGATTATAAAGTATAATCAAGTTCATAGCGAATATAATTATTTGTAGAATCATTCGGTATACGTGGATAGCCAGCGATAAGTGAATCCTGGGCACCAATATACAGTGTATTGTATACTTTCCAATAAACATCACGAACTTTTCTGGCTGGATGAAATAGGCCCTAAAGAAAGAAAAAACAAAGAACATTATTAATGATTCGAATTATTAATGAAAAAAACAATGACATACTTGTAATGTATATTGTAACATTTTATTAGGCCCAATTGCAACACGAAGACCTTCGATTGAGCCCATGAATGCCTGAACTAAATGTGGTGATGTTTCAAAAATATTTGGCCAAACATAATTCAGCACGTGTGTGAGCGCATCTTCACAACCGAATCCATATACTCCTAGGGCCATATGCTGAACGACAGAACAGGCCGTTTGACGATGAACCAAATCACTAAATAAAAATATGTGAAAAAATCCAGTTAGTCAAAGTCAATGATTCAGTTGTTTGATAAACTTACCGATCCATGAGAGCATCTTCGAGCAATGGTGTAACAGCATAGATATAATCTTTGGCCATTTCACCAATATATTCAAACAGAAACGAAAATGATTTTAGTACGCCATTTTGTACGTTTAATTCTGGCACACGATATTCATTCATTAAAGCCGGAAGAACAGTGAACGGAGAACATGTTTCAGCTACGATGGCTATGGCCACAGTTGTACATACACGATTTTGTCGCTCTTGAACCCGTAAATTATTCAACAATGTGGCAAGAACATCATGTGGACCGATAGCTTTAGCAATGTAGCCAAATGTATTTACCGCAGCTCGACGGATTGCTTTCTTATGAGCTTTTAGTAATTCCAGTAGTTCGAAACAGATACGCATCCATTCACGAGCCGATACATATTCAGCTCCACGATCAGCGATACGACCAACAAGATCGATACAATTTTCCTGTACTTTTTCATGACGATTTTTGAGAATAGGTGTTAATCTGGGTAATAGATCTTTGATCGGTGGTGTCATCTTTTCCATTCCTATAACATTTACAATGGCTTTTAATGCACCCAAAATAGAGCCCAATACTTCGGGATATTCTTCACCTAGATATTCATACAGTACAACACCCATATGGCTCATTAGTTTCTCCTCCTGACACACTTTCATAACAACAGCTATTTTGGATATTAAATCGGCTGCCTGTTGTCGTACTTTTGCAGATTTATTATTCAAACGCCATAAAATTGTACCACAAATCTGTGGAAGATATGGCTTTACACGTTTGCCTAATGTATTCACAACAGTACCAAAACCATTTAACATGACCATATCTTCAGTGGTCTGTTCCTGGAATGAATAAAGAATACCATCGATCAATTGTTCTTCAAGACGAGAATCGATCTGGGATGCACCAAGATTAGACATAATTTTTTCAATAGTTTCCATAACCATTTTACGATAGGCTTCATTCTCATCCTTTAGGTCATCAACAATTCGAGTGATAATTTCAGCCGCTTCAACTTTGTTAGCAATCTCTACGGTTGTGTCTACTAATTGTCGATAATTACGTTTATCCAGTGCCATACGATGATTCCAAAAATGTCGAAAGAAATGTGGCAAAACCTCTTCTTTGATATATTTCGGTTCAACACCATCGGTTCCGCAACATTGTTTAACCACTTTGAGTACAATTTTTTTCATCTCTTCATCCGGTGATTGAAATTCACGAATCAATATGAACATTACTTCACGTGTATAATCATTAGCATATTCAGCATCCATCAATGGTATTAGATAGCCAATAGCTTTTAAGAAGGCAGCCAAACCTTTACCACGATGTGTACGGATACCTTTCCATAATGGTTTAAGAACTGAATCGAATGATTCGATACCATATGGTGTTGCAGCTTCAGCCAACGCGGCCAATGCCAATGCCGTGATCGTACGAACTTTCTGCTGTTCATCAACCAATCCATGTTCAATAATTTCAACCAAATTACGAAGATGTGGCAGTATAGCACATCCCATAAGAATGGCAATTTGTTGGACAATTTTAATACCAGTGTGACGAGCTTGCCAGGATTTTTTACTTCTACAAACAGCTTTCAAGAATGGTAACAATGATGGAATGCCCAATGCAGATGCAACTACTGCAAACGCTCGGGCCGTAGTGTTACGGACGTATTCATCTACGTTTTCAATATCAGGACGCATAGTTGATATCATTGTGGCCAAACCGGCAGCTTTTGCTAGATTCGATATGATTTCACGACCTTCAACACGGGCATAATAGTCTTCATCAATTAATAATGGTTCAATAACGACAAGAATTTTGTGAACATAAGGACGAACAAGGTCATCAAGTTTGTAAAGGATACGATCGATAACTTTGACTAATAAATGCCTTTCCTGATCTTCTAACGTAGGCGACATTAATAATGGTAGAATCTGATTGAACAATGGACCTGCACCGAATTCACGAGCTTTATCTGTGATTTGTCGTAGGGCAGATTTTCGCATCGGTGGTGTTCCATTCTTAATCTTTAGCAAAAGTTTCATAATTTTTCGTTCTTTTTGTTCATCTGGACTCAATGTTTCTTCATCAACTTCCGTGAGAAGTTTGTCAAAATATTGCAAATCATCAGGCTTGAGCGTTGGTAGATTCTGTCCTTTCGGTTCGAGATCCATCATCATTTTGGAGCCGGCTGCTGATCCCAATTCATCGGCTTTTTGCATAAAAAATCCACCAACCATTGGAGTTGGTGTGGCCATCAATTTCCGTGCCGGTGTACGAATCGGTTGATAACCTGAAGGTGGTGGTAAGATTTTATAACCAGGTGGGAGAAGAGCATCCAATTCTTCATCGGTTAAAATTCGATTTCGTTCATCAATTTCACGTTCCCAACGAAATGCTTGCATTTGTTCCGGTGTCATGGCTACCATATGGCTAGGAGTTGGTGTTGCCATTGCCATTGCTTTCGTGCCGATAGGTGTGGTTCCTGATGGTGTCATCAATGCAGGTGTTTCATCCCATCGTGATCGCCGTTTTGATGATCCAGGAGTTTCACTTTCAATTCCTTCATCTGTTTCAATTCGATCGATTTTAGGAGTTTCAGCCCAACTCGAATATCCAGATTCTATACGTTCCGTTTTGGGTGTTTCATCCCAACGATTGCGTCGTGATGATTTGTTTATCGAATCTACGCTTGGCGTCTGAGCACCACCAATGCTGCTTCCGATATGAACAGGCGTAGGTTCCCACTGAGCTGGTGTTTTTGAACCATCCATTCCATGTGCAGGTGTTTGATCCCAACGACCAGGTATAGCTGGTGTAGCAGCTTCATGATAATCCCATGCTGATTTTTTTGCTGTTGGTTCCGAGAATTCACTGCAACTATCTGTTGCTGAACCAACACCAGAATCTAGTGATGGTTGGTCCCATCGTCTACGTTTGTTACCACTAGATAATGATGATGTAGATGAGGACGATGTGGTCGTAGGTTTCAATTCACCAGCTTTAGCTTTTTCTAATAATTTCTTTTTTAATTCAGCTTCTTCATTGCTTAACGTCGTTTCTTTGATAATCATCTTATATGTACGAGCATTAGGATCAGGAGTTTTACCACCTAGATTGATAATAGAAAAAATAAAAATTTTAAAGAGAAAAAATCGATTAATTTTTATGATCACTGTGAATAAAGAAATCAATAATCGGCAGCGGTTTTTTTTGCGGGAAATGAACACTGAACTCGTGTCGTACAATAATCGACAATTACATTTCTCTGTTGTGAATGAATGTGATCACAATGGCCAAGTGAATGAATCAGAATATTTTCAGACTAGAATTAGATAGTAGATTAGACCGGATGATGGTCGTGTGAGCAATACTTACTATGGATGTCAATCATATATGCCTAATCGTTCATGTTATTTGACGCTCACAATTTTTTCAATAAAATGAATGCCTGTAATGATGTCGATTAGTAAAAACTTGAAAATGTTTTCAATTTTATGAATAAAAATATTCTTTCCATACGGCAACACAAACCATTTTTAAGTAAATTGCCGTGATCATACGAATGATTCTGGACATACTTTTTAACACACATTATAAATATATGAATGGAGTATCCGGAAAAGTTTCTAAAAAAACGAATATTCTTACCTTCGGCGAAAACGTCGATACGTTCGGGTGATAGTTGACGGTTACGGAATCTACGTCTATATTCATCTTCACGATCAGCAACTCGTGGTACACGTCTATCGGCTAATGGATCATGATTCTATAATTTATTGAAAAAAGTAATGTTAGAATGTGAATAATTTTATAACTCACATAAATAAACTCACATCATCGACAACATCCTGTAGATAATTTTTTGGCGCCTGAAATGCATTGATCGCTTTCTTATATGCATCATATTCCTCATTATCGGCCGAGCCGTTGGCATTTTCTGTATCTTCATCCTGTATTCGATAAAAAATGTTTTATTTGTCATCATAAATACATGGAGTAAAACTTACATCATATTCGGCATCATCATTGGCCGGTATGGATGTATGATAACTGCTTAGATTCGTTCCACCATAAATATCAGTATCCATGTTGGCCTTAGCCAATGATATTCGACCTTCTTCATTTTCACCATTTGCTGCGGCTAAAGCTGCATTTTTTGTTTGAATTTCCACCACTTGTTGTTCGATTTCTAACGATAAAAAATAAATGATTTTTTTTTGAAATGATTACATCAGATTGACAAATGGATTTACCTTCACGGGTTCGAGCCGGTTGCGCCATTATTAATGATTATGGTGATGGCCCGGAAAAATTTTGCGTGGAATAGTTGAGAATATTTTATTCGAGGATTCAGATTGTAATCAAATGATTCAAAAAATAAAAAATAGTTAATAGTTAATCATAATAAACACATCACAAAAATAAACACACGCGAGCGAGTCGGGAACCAAAAAATCAGCCGCAAAATGAATTGTTCATATAGTATGTAATAATATCAACTTTGATTGTGGACTTTATTATCAATTTCATAAATTTAATTTAAAATTACTTTATTTAAAGATTTAGTTTATTAAGAATATTTAGTGAATATTGGTAGGATACTTGGCAATGAGGTCTACCAAAGTAACATCAGGACCTTCCATTATATACTTATAGATAATAGTGTCGGTAATTAAACGTTCATTTTGTTCAAAATATTCGATATAATCAAACAATGATTTATGATTAATAGTAAAATTTTGTCCTTCACGCCATTGAATTATAGCATAGTCGATATGATGAAGTAATTCTAATAGTTCTTCTTTTTCAACATTATTAAATTCATCAGGATGAATTATTTCCGCTCCTCCAGCACGAAGAATATTTGCACAAGACATTAGCATTTTACAATTGAATTTAGTAACATCGAATAATAATAAAAATTTATGTCCATGAAACATAGATTGTTTGATCTGTTTTAAATGATTATTCCATTTAATTGCAGATTTCATCAATTTAGGACCACATGTACCAATTTTTTCATCATCAATTCCATTACCCCATTGATATTCTTTTTCATTCAATAATGTATTTGTTTTAATGGAATCTTCTATGTAATTTGGCTTCAAAATGAATGCACCTGCCACTATTGCTGCATAGACTTTTTCAGTTCCACATGGTTCAACAAGGATGAGATGTGTAAGTTCGCTTGTGACAATTGAATCATCTTTAATAATTATTTCGGGAATTTTTTCATTGCATAGTTTTGAAAGACGTAATTTTTCTTCCCGTTCAAATCCGGAAAACATAATGGTTGGAATAGGTGCATTCATTTCCAAATTTTGTTCTTCATTTCCACCTTGAATTAATGAACACATATTACGATCGCATTCATATTCTTCAACATCATCATTTTCGACATCTACTTCGTCTTCAACTTGATTGAGTTGAGTTTCATTTTCATCATTCATTTCTTCATAATTATCATCTTCATCTGGATTATAGACATTTTCATGGACATCATTCTCGGAACTTTCCGATTCAGTATCAATATAATATTGATCAAATGGTAAAATATGTCCGGTTTCGAGTGAATCGTAAATCCATTTTGTTTGAAGGCAGGGTATATTCATCGTTTTTGCATGTTTATATTTTTCTCCATTCGGTGAATTCAATAATAAAATTGTATTCTTTTGAATTGGTTTCATTATCAACGAAGGATTATAATGGCCACCATTTGTTTCGACAAGATTTTTTATTTCTTCACGTTCTTTCATAGATTGCTAAAGAAAAAAAGAAATGATTAATCAATATATAATTAATCAGAAAACCAATAAAAAACATACACCTGAAACGACGATATTTAGCTTGTGAAAAATTAGCACCTGATATTTGGAAACAATATCCATTTCACCTGCTCGTCGATATTCATATTGATATTTTAGCCAACATGATTCAATCCATTCAATGTTCATGATCGGTATATTATTCTCAATTGCTGAACGGGTTTTTTGTGACAACATTGAATCGGTAACCAAAAACGAGGTGGTGGTATGTAAATTATTACAATATTTACCAGACATCATTTCGATTTTATTTTTAATTTGACGTTGTTTTATCGGTGATAAATGTGAGCTAGTTACTTCTAATCCACGCATACATTGGCTAAATATGGGATATGGTCTTAATGGTAAATCGCAAAATGGTTGCAAACAAATATTTCTAAAACAGTAAAAAATTACAATTGGACTGATAATTCGTAATTCTTTATGTCGTAAATATTCGAATGAACTATTGGAATCGTCGAAATTTTCAATAACAATCCGGTAGGATGGATCTTTGGTTGATAAATTTTTTATTTTTAAATAATCGAAATCGATCCACTCGGCCCGATAATTTTTATGATTCACGAAATCAAATGCCTTTTTCATTCGTTCCGATTGATGGTCAATATTTTTTCCATTTTCTAATAGAAAATAAAATCTTGATTCATTTTTATTCTCCATCACTTCATTCTTGAATTGAATTAATATATAGTGAAAAAAAAGAAATTTGTTGAAATGCCGAAAAATTGACAAGTTAGAAAACGTGACCAAAAAAGCAGAAAATACTCACAAACTCGGCTATCATATTAATTATACAAAATTCAACGTGCACAGAAAAAAAAGTAACTTGGAGACTGGTCTCCACACTTTTTTTACTGTGTGATGGGCGCGAAATTCTGAAAACAAGCTGCCTTTAATATAGTACGTACTTGGCAGCCAACTTTTATTAACAATCAATCATCAGAGTAAATCAGTCTAAACAAACATTGTTATGAGGCGTTATTGTTAATGTTACCGTTAAGACGTACTCGATTTTCTTTATATCCAGAAATTATATTCCATAAAAATGGTTAATGACGAAAAAATCGATTGGCTTGCAATTTGTTCCCAAAACAACATCGAAGCAATAAATTTTATCGATTTCATAAAAGAAAAAATCGCAACCTGTCCATCGGATAATTCCATTAAGTCAGATAATAATGTCATCATTTCAAAGGATTATATATCCTTAATGAATAGATTGATCAATAATTTTTCACTATTACCATTCGTAGTCGAACCGATACCAGATAAAAAATTCTGCTGCAAAATCACCTATAAGGGTAAGGATGTCGAAGGAATTGGATTGTCAAAAAAGGAGGCCAAACAAAAAGCTTGTAAACAATTGTATGAAATTGAAACTGGATATGAAGAAAAACCCGATAAAAATCTAACAAGATCCGAATCGGAAGAATCTAATTCAAGTTCTATTCGTTCAGATTCATCTATCAAGGTAACAACACCATCGGACGAATCTTCAAAATGTTTGATAGAAAAAACAACTCCCATAATATTACCGACATCACCATCAACGACGACAACATTTGATTACATATCAAATTTACAGATTATATGTTCCAAAAACAGGCAATTTACCAATATGCCTGATTATACATTCAAACAAATTGATCACATACATTATTGTACATGTTATTTACAAACTAAAGTTATAAATGGTCAATCATTTAATGGTCATGGTGAAAGTACTAACAAGAAAGAGGCAAAAAAACAAGCAGCGCAACAGGCATATGTCGCTTACAATGCTTATTTTGGACGATAATTATGTAGTCAGTCAATCCAATATCAAATACTAATTGTTTCGGCAATTAAAAAAATTATTTTTTCTTTTTGCTAATATTAAATACCAAATAATCAATAATGAACATCATGAATAAATATTTGAAATAATTGTTGATTTTCTGTTTTTAATTATTGTTTCCATTATCATCCTCAACATTATTGAGGATTATTTTTTTTCATCGAAACAAACAAAAATTTATAATAAAATGCAGGGGAAGATGCGATGATATTCGGTATACATTTTTTTTGGATAGATCCCATGGATGTTTTCAAAAAAAAACGAAATAAATTAATACAACATCGACAAAAGATTTTGATGAATAAATGATGAAGGCCGAAAGCAGAAAAAAAAATCGTCAATTAACAAATAAAGTGATACATCATAACAAACATTCGATTCTGTTCTGTTTTGTATACAAATTTATCCACATTCAATTATTTTTGTTTTTTTTTTGTTTACAATATAATTTTTATATATTCTTTTGATGATGATTAAAAATCCATTACAATTATAAGATTTTAGACAAATATTATTATAATAATCAAATAAATCATTCAGATACAATATATTCTTTTTTTTCGTTTCATTCGTTTAGCCCAAAAAAAAAAAAGTGGGAGTGGTGAAATCAAAATCAAAATCATGAAAAGTGTGTCCACCAATCCACACAATCATTAGGGATACGCGTTCAGCGAAAAAAAAATTGTGAAAAAATACAAATATAGATTTACAGAGAAAAAGATAATATATGATTCATATTTATATATACGGTGTGAACAAACAAACGAAAAAAAAAAATATTATGTAATAGGTGTGTGTGTGTCGAATGTTTTCATCTTGAAAACAACAAAATTCAATTACAATATTTCATTATCAGTCTGTGTGTGTGTGTGTGTGTGTGTGTGGGTGTGTAATATAAATGAACAGATTTTGTGTATGAAAATGGAAAGCGAACAAAAAAAAATTGTACATTTCAAATAAACGAAAAGAGAAAAAAAAATTACACACATTTATATTATATACGAGATAATATCAATCAAGCAATCAGTTTAAAATGTAGATAAATACGGAAGGAAAATTTTTCATGATGACAAATATGTAACGCGTGTGCATCGTATGTTCTTTGTTTGTTTGTTTGCTTATGTTGATTGATTGATGATAAATTAATTATTTGGAAAAGACATGGAAATAAAAATACTTTGTGAATTTGAACAAAAATCATAAATCGAAATTAATCTAGATAAAAATTAGATTCTGGCCAGGGCAAAAATGATCAAATATTCAATTGTTTTTGATGATTATAAATTCCATTCATTTAAAATAATTTGAAATTTGTATGTTTATATATCAAATATGTTTGAATTTTGTTTTGTTTAGTGTGTTTGTTTTTGAAGGGAAAAAAAATCAAACTATCAGTTTTTGTTTGAATCAATTAGGTTAACTTTCAGTAAATTTTTTCTCGGTCATCAATTCTTGAAAAAAATAAACTTCAACCAAACACACAATGAGCGCCCATAATCAAGTGAGAGAGAAAAGAGAGGGAAGAAAATAAATTGTCAAGAAAAAAATTTTACAATTTTACATACACACACACACACACACAAAGAGAAAAATCGAACAATTTGGACACTTTGGATTGAAATTATTAGAAAAATTGTTTTTGTTTTCACAATATATAGTTTATATATCACACTATACACCATCATCACCATCATTGGATCTGGATATTTTATGGAAACATTTTTGAACAAAAAAAAACTGAGAAAAAAAGTATATCTAATTCTGCCATATTTATTTAAATGAATCAGAAAAATAAAATTTCGTTGACTAATGTGTTCGGAGATCAGCATCATAATCAGATCAGAAACATTAAGAAATTATTGATAAAATTTTGTACAACAAAAAAAACAATGATCGAAAAAAAATTTTGTACAGAAAAAAATGAAATTATTAGAAAAAAAAATATTTATAATCCAAAATCCAAAGATTCCTGATTCTCCCCGACTATTTTTCTCTCGCACTGATATGGACCTCTATCATTATTCGCTATGTACGTATGTGTGTGTGTGTGTGTGTCAAGACTTTCCTGTAACCAGAAAACATGAAAAACCGATTTGTTGTGTGTAAAGAGAATTTTTTTTGTTATGGCAAACAAATGATTAAAAGAAAAATCTAAACTAAACTATGAAAGTTTTTATAATTAATCATGTATGTGTTTCGATGATTGGTTATCTGTGATTTATGAAAATATGATGATGAAAAAGAAGTTTTCACTTTCTTTTAGAGTAGCCAAGCTCAATCTTATATATGAGAAGGACTTACTTATCGACCGGCTCATTATTGCAGCCATTTGTACTCGAATTTGTACCGGTCGTAGATGTTACAGTATTTGATGATGATGATGCCGTTACATTATTATCAGTCGTAGTTGAAATGGCAGCAGCTGCATGGGCTGCGGTAGTCGTCGATGATGATGGTGATGTTGTCACGGCAGCAGATACCGCAGCAGCAGCAGATTTAGATCCAGTGTTCATATATTTTTCCAATTTAGCAAGAATATGTTTACCATAGGTAAACCGTCGTAATGATGAAACATGAGGTCGGATTCGCATCAACAATGTTTTCCGTTGCTGTGATTCAGCTACTTCAATCATTTTCTGTACAACATAATTGGCATATTGATCTTTCATCATAGTATATAGAGCACTGTGTATACATTTTTTCAAGGCATAAAAATATTCGTAAAATTTAGAATTGATTTGAATATTCAGAAAAAATACTTACTTATCAGGATAATTGCAAACTTCTTCAATCAACATCGAACGTTCGGAACGCATAGCCTGTGTGATGCATCGTTCGACAACATTGCTGTTCATTAAAAAAATTATAATTTATAGACTTTGAAAATAACACAAAATTCATAAGACAATTACCTTGCAAATTTATGCTGCGACAATGCCAGAACTTTACCACGTACCATCATAATGATTTTCGTCTTATCTTCAGGTCGACCATGTTCAAGTACATGTTGTACAACATAATTACCATATTGATCTTGTACTAATGCTTCAGTATGTGTATGTAATTCTTGCAAAATGCTTGCCGTTTGTTCAGCGTTACAATGTTCCAATATACGTTGTATGACACGACATCCATATGGATGGGTTGATAATGCATGAACCTGAATTGAAAAATGGAAAAAAATCATTAACGATAATGCATATTATTGTAACTCGAATGTATCATAATACCTGGCTTTGAAAAGCGTTGATAATAAATTGTAATGCCGATGGTTCAATACATTCTATACATTTTTGAACGACATGATTGCCATTTTGATCTTTAACACATTTGAGAACATGACCATCCAATTCTTTCACAATCTCTTTTTGTTGTTCAGTTGATATTGATTCCAATGCTTTTTGTATCACGCGACAACCATACATTTGTAGAGCTAAATCCAAAACTGATCCACGGATGGTTTGGGCCAAAGCTTGTTTTTGCTGTGGTGTACCAAATTCAAAAAATTTCTGTATAACATAATTGCCAAACACATCGGTCATTAGCTGATAAGCCTGGCCAATTATCTCGTTGAACACCAATTGTTTCTCGTCATCAGAAGCTCTTTCCAATTTTTGCTGAATAAAACGAGATCCATGCTGATCTTGAGAGAATTCAACTATATGATCAGTAAGATCATGTAATGTCAAATTTGGTAGACGTGAATTCCGAAAATCCTCTAACAATGTCGAACGGCCAACATTCTTCTCGATAGATCGTCTATTTTCATGAAAATGGATAAATAATTATTTTGATCAAATATCATTCATATAGACTTACGTTCGTTGATTGTTGCCACCACTGGCACCACTTGTGGAACGATGGCTTGTTGTTGTATTGTTGAGAATAAAATTATTCGCTTGTGACTGATGATGATTAACCGACGCCTGTTGATGGATACCAGCACCATTACTAAAATGATGTAAATGATTAGACGAATTCAATGATGCTGCTAGAGCATGATGTGATGAATGGGCTGCAACTGCTGCAGCTGCCGCGACATTATTAAACGTATTGTTCAAATTGGCCGATGCAAATGGATTTTGTTGATTAATCATTCCGTTTCGATTCAAGAATTTACTATCGGGAGGTGGTGGAGGTCCAACATTCGGTATCAATCGCATTCCATTCATATAAGCTTGATTGGGTGCAGTTCCTGTCATTGCATTAGGTCCAAATTGATTGACAGCATCCATTGGTGGTGGTGTCATGTTACTTCCAGGTGGCGGTAATCCTAGGCCCATCGGCCCAGGTGAATTGATGTATGGATGATGAAATGAGGCAGCATTGTTTAGGCCGTTTGCTTTGGCAGCCGTAGCTGGACCAGCAGCAGCATTCAATGCATTAGCCATATGTCGATTGAAGACCATACTTGCTTCGGAAATCATTGTAGGAAAAATATTTCCTAAAGATCCCATTCCAGCGGCGTTCGATGAACGATTATCCAATGAATCACGACGTGGTGAATTAGAATTACCAAGTCCATTATTACCTAGGCCTGAGGCTCCAATAGGACCCAAAGCTTAATTGAATCAGATAATATCAATAATAAATCAACAGATGTGTGCCGGAATATACATACCAGGATTAGGGAAACCCATTTGTTGGGGAGCCAATTGAGGAGCAGCTTGATTATTGCTATGAGCATTGTTCAACATTTGTGGATTAGATTGAATATTATTGTATGCGGCTGCTGCTGCAGCTAAACTTAGTGCTGCTGAATTATTTGGCAAAGCCGATGTATACATTTGTTGCTGTTGTTGGTTACCATTTGGACCAGTCGTTGATGCAGCAGCAAATAAGGCATTATTTTGCGATTGTGGATTCTGTTGCGGATTGGCCGCTGATACAGCAGCATTTGGCAACATTCGAGCAGCGGCCGCAGCTGCCAACATATTGCCGTTTCCAGTGGCCGTTTGTAACATATTCATCTGTGGTTGTGTCATAAGACGATGTAGATGGGCTGCAGCCTGTTGTGGCATAGCACGACTTGAGGCTAATTGATCGAAGAAATTTGATGGAGCTCCAGGAAATGGAAATGGCAATGGACCAGCAGCAGTAGCCAATGCAGCTAATTGTTGTTGTTGTTGTTGTGAATTGCTACCGCTGGTTCCATCATTCGATTGATTCTGTTGTTGTTGTTGTTGATGAACCGCGGCAGCAGCAACGGCAAGACTTGTTGGAGATAATGGGCGATTAACAGCTCCAGAAATCGATCGACCTGATTGTTGTTGCTGTTGTTGAATTCCCGATGAAGGTCCAGTTTGGCCGACAGATGATTGACCTTGCATTTGTCCATTAGAAGTGGCGCCAGGTGGAACAGCAGCATTGGGCATTAAACCGGTGGGAAACATGTTCCATGGTGCAAAACCATACGCAGCTGTTGCATATTGAGACATTGACATTGCTGGTCCAGCGGCAGCAGCTAATGCCATATGACTCATTGGAAACGTATCCGCCGGAAAGTATGGATTCTGTGGATTTTGAGTGGCGGCAGCTGCAAACATATTGGCCGCATTGGCAGATGGTTGACCACCAGAGGCCGAAGACATTGCCTGATTTTGTTGTTGAGCAGTTGTCATATTCAGATGTTGTTGCTGTTGATGATGATTAGAAAGTATCGACATTGTTGATGGATTATTGGATCCGGAAGCATGACGAGTTTGATGTTGAACTTGTTGATATAATGCCGGATTTGTTTGTCCGTAGCCATCCATCAATGAATCGGCTGTAGCTGATGGCCCTAATGATAATGGGATGTAATCAGAGAATGGATGCAATTGATCCATTCCATGCATTTGTAATTGATCCGGATTAAAATCGGCAAATGGTGCTGGATGATGATGTCCAGGCATTCCACCTGCTGCTGCAGCAGCAGCAGCCGCTGCCATCATTCCATCGAATTTATTCATTAGATGATTTTTCGGTACACCGGTCACAAGTTCATCACTATCATCGGAAGAAAGTTGATGCGATAGGCCTGGAGCACGATTGAAAAGTTTCGCAGCAGGATCAATAGAATTGGTTGGATCATCAGTTCCGTTCCCACTACCAAAACCGTTGGCAAGGCCACCATTAGCATTAGGATGATGATGAGGCCCTTTATCATTATTTTTGCCTCTTGCCGATTGGCCACCAGCTTGTTTGTCATGTAATATACGTGAATTAAGTCTTGATTCTAGATTATCTTTTGATGGTGAATTATTCAAAACATATTCGGCCATTTTCATTCCAATACCACCAGTATCTGTTGATCGAGGTGATAATAGTGTACCATCATTTGCGTAAGCACTAGCAGCACGTTTTACCATAATCGGTTGAGATACAGCATGTTCAGAAAGACCTGAACCATTTTCCGCTACAGTTGGTCCTGTAGAAGGTGGTCCAGTACTCCAAGTAGAATCACGACCCCATTGATGAACTGGATCGGGTACGGTGAACAATACTTTTGATGGATCAACATCGGCATGATTTTTCGATGATGGTGTATCTTCAATACCCCAGATTTTCTTTGTAGTCGAAGCAAATGGTCCTTCACTGTCCAATGATAAAGTGTTAAAACCATCTTCAATTTCTTGTGTATCACTTGGTACATTATTCTATTTGAAAAAAAACCAAAAGTAATTTAACATTTACAGCTAAATGATAACGAGAGAAAAAAACTTACATCAATCAATGTAGTTTCATCGGTGCCGCCAAACCATCGTGATGATTTAACAGCATATTGACCGAATTCTGAATTATTATCTTGTCCACCGGGATTTGGTGGACGTTGAAACATATAAGATACCATAGCATCATCTTGAGTTTTCGGTTGTGTTGTTGATGATGATGATGGTGATGTGACGCCATCATCAATCGAATTATTTGCCTGTTGTTGTGTTGCAGAGGATGATGATGATGATGATTGAACATTATTTGAATTAGATGATGATGATTGATTAACTGATGAAACACCTTTAGTTGGTGTTGTCGATGTTTGATCAACTAATTTAGATGTTGCTGCAGCAGGAGATGCTGTAGCCGTACCACTTTGACCATTTAACATTTTTTTAAATTTGTTGCAGCGGAAAAATATCGCAAACAGAAAGATGAATATCGATTGCTTGATGAATAAGTAATGTTGATGATATAATTCAATCCAATTGATAATCAAAATAATAATTTTTGTCTTTGAAAATAGAATCGAGCCAAAAGTAATTAATGAATTAAATATGGAAAGACAACAATAAATTTGATTAATAAAAATTGTTGAAATTGATTGATTCCGGTTTGATATCTCAATATATTCCAATATATCTTTGGGATCAAAGCCGAAAAAATATGTGTTGATGAAACAATTCTTTGATTTTTGTTGACACAGACAGGTTGAGTGTGAGAAAAAGAATGATGAAACAATTTACAAAATTCTTTCCGCTTTCCAGCGTGTGTTATTTATCTTTTTTGTTTTTTTTTGTACATATACAAATAGAGAACGAGGCAATAAGATTTTACATTTAAAAAGCAGCCAAAATAATCGAGCAAATTCGACCTTTTGAGTTTTTCTTTTCTTTTTTTTGAGATAAACACTATACAAAATACAATATCAGATTATTCAGTGTGATGATTTTTCTGTTTTGTTTTGGTTTTCCTTCACTTTTCTTAAATATATATGTTTTTTATGTTTCCTGGTTGCTTTTGATCTTTGATACACTTTACAAATTGGTTTTTTCTCAATGAGAAAAAAGAATAAATCAAGTTTTTAGGTAGGTAACATCACATCAGATAATAATAATAATAATAACCATAATAATAGTTCATTCAATTTCGTTCTTTTATACATAATAATCATTGGAAAAATATTAATTTAGAAAGAATTCTGTACAGAATGATCATATATGTCATTAGTATTTGGAATTGATTTGATGAAATGAAAAACAATATTGATGATAAATATAATTGAGAAAAATAATAAACATGTGTTCAAGATGTCAACGATGATCTAAATTCATATTTTTTCATTTTTAGAATACAAATCAAACCATTCCTGACAAATGTCAAGCTAATTAGAATATTATTTATAATAAGAATATATAATCGAATCTACTTGCTGACATTCGAATATGTGGAGGATGACTTTTTTTTGATTTTGATGATTTTGAATGAGATGGAAATTCAATAGAAATGAAAATTGAAACAGAATTCGAATTGATTGAATAATGAAATATGATGTCAAAATATTAAACAAATGTATACAAGTGTTTGCACACATACACAATACACACACTTATTATTATTGTTTTCATGATGGCAATGATGTGCGTGTGTTTGTGTGATGTGATGTGGTTTTCACATTATGCCAAATGTTGTATATATTCTTCGTTACAATATGGAATCAGAATTGTTGTTATTATAAAACAGACTATATATGATTTACAATATTTGCTGGGAATATTTTTGTTTGTTTTTTAATCCAGTTAAAAGAGATGATGATTTGATTGGCTCAAATATAGTTGATATTCGATTCGTTGTTTGATGTTGATAACCAATTTTGTTATTTATTTGCCTTTTTCAAACACACACATAGCTCTAACCTCCACTTGGTTAAAGATGAAATGATGATGATGGTTAATGATTTGGGAGGTATTATTTTCATATGATAAAAAATTGGAAAAGACAAATGAAAATAAAATAAAAAATTTTCTTCGATTCTTTGTGTTTGTTTTGTTGTCTTCAAAGATCTTCTCGACAACGACGACGATGATGATGATGATTATTAAATTGGCCGACACATACCAAACCACCACACCATAACACACACACTTTGAGTCTCTGTATATACGAAAATTGGATACGATGGTGCTGGATTTCTTCGTTTCGTTTCTTCTTCAATTGTTCAGGCAAGATTATTAAGAGGGGATCGAGTTATATGTGTACATCAAGAGACAGCAAAAACATATAGCCAAACGCAACAACAAAACACACCGAGTAAACGAAAAGAGCGACACATATGGCATTCGTAAAAGGAAAAGTCATAAAAAACTGGTTTATTGTGACTATAGCCAAAAAACCGATGTGTATATACTGGGTGTCTGTAAAGTCACTGGCTGATTTACAATTAGGATACAATTGAAATCAGCCAGTTACTTTACAGACACCCAGTATAAACAAAAATGAATATCAAATCGGAAACATATAAATACTGTATATACAAGTAATAGAAAGAGGGTAAAAACGATATGCATAACAACAAGGGTAGTGGTATACAACAATGGACGGTATTATCTGTTTGATGATAAGCACTGTATTAACATCTATACCGTATCATCATCATCATCATCATCCTTATTGGCTGATAATGATTCGAATCAAAATCATCAAAAAAAAAAAAAAAAAAAAAAAAAATAAAATAAAATAATCACAAAGTACGTATAATTGTAAAATTAAAAAAAAAAACAAAATTCATTTGAAAAATCAATCCAACTAATCTATTTGACACACACATGATTTAAGTAATAAATATTGAAAAAACAACAAGTGAATCAATTAAAAAATACCAAAAAAAAAGCCAAATTTACAAATTGAATGTATTTATTCTCATAATAAATCCAGATATAGGGCATCATCAAGATATTAATTAATTTGTAAATTATAAATAGACTTAGAATCCAATCATAAATTACCTCGCTTTTTATGTTTATTTATTTGTTTATTTTTGTCATTTTTTTGATTGAATTATTTGAGGAAAAATCTTTTCATTAAAAAAAACTTTATGAAAATGTTTAATGTAAGTTTTATTTAAATGTGATTTTTGAAATATTCAATGCCGAAATTGATATTGTTTTGACAAAATTGACTTCAAGTGTGCAAACGTTTCGCATGTATAGCCGGGTTGTTCCAGGTGACATTATACTGTTTTTTTTATGATGCACTTTGACCACCTAAAAGACCACCACCCATCGATGATGATGACGCCGGTGGATTCTGTTTTAGCTGTAACAATATTGAACGCATACGTGATGTATCACGTGTATTTCGTGATGTTTTCGGATTAAAATCACACATTCGACTAATCTTTTCCCATGCTAGACCACTACTTGCCGGTTGTTCATTGTCACGTTCGGATATAAATTCTTTTTCGGCAGCTCTAAATTTTTTTTCCCAAAATAATTCATTCGTTAGTAATTAAATTTTTGATAAAAAAAAACATCAACAAAAAGCTCATGCAAACACAGAATAAAGAATGTCTAGAACATTACGAAATTTTTAAATAAAAGCACCATGGCAAGCAGATATTTAAAAAAAATTAAATTGGCAAATGAACTTACTTGCTATTCTCTCTAGAATAATGAACATTTGTTTAGTTTAAAAGTTAGTTTACAGATGTGGTTGTAGTAGAAAAGGGAAAAACACCCACCCCCATGATAGAAAGTAGATTTTTTTGTATTTGGTTAAAATCAAAATGGAAGAAAAGAATGAAAAGAAATGGACGAAAGAGAATAAAGATTTTTTATGTCACATGTTAACACCAAACACCACAATTTCAAGAAAACACCCTCATTTCATGAATAACATGACAAATAGAACATACCTATTTTGTTTCTTTGTTTTTTCCAATTCTTCACGATATCTTTGATACCATTCTTCCAATTCTTTTTTGGCCTGTTGCCTATGTTCTTCAATTTTTTCCTTTTCTTCTTGATCTTTAAGTTCAAGGTTTTTTACATGTTGTTCACGCCATCTTTTTATCGATTCCGGCTCTTCAGCCGGTATGATTGGCTGATTCATCATCATTGATTGAGGTGGATCTGTATTGCTTCCTGATGCCGACTTATTTAAGGATAAATCCGATATACCATTCGATAGGCTATTAATTTCCCCATTAGCTTGTTCCGATTCATTTAGATCTCCATTCAATTCTATAAGTTTAATTGAGAGTGAAAAAACAAGTTTAATTTTTGTAATTTTTTAATTTCAATAATCGAAACTTACTGATATCATTGGAATCAAACATATCATCAGTTGTCGTTGTTGTAGGTTGGGCATCCTTATTGAAATCATCATCAAGTTCGCCAAGAACAGATTGTTCACGTGCAAGAAATTCAGCTACCGGATCATCAGTTGTCGGTACAGCAGAAGAATCAGCAAAATCTAAATCGGCCATTATTTCAGCTGATGATTGTTTTTATGTAATGGATATGCGATTTTGATGACGAGAAAAAATCTTTTAAAATCTAATCCAACTGTCATCATAATGGGTGTTATGTTATAATCATTTTATTAAAAATAATATAAATCCTATGCTCACCTTTAAATTGAATTGGAATAATCGTATTTAATTATCGTTCAATTGATATCATTAACAATAATAAGAGATGAAATGAAATAAAACACTACCAATTGTTTTTTCTTTCACTTGCTATTTGGGCTAAATTTTGATGAGTGATGATAATAATGAAAAAGGCTATGAGTCAAATTTAATGACTCAACAAAAGAAATACGAGTCAAAGTCAAAAAGTCAGCCGGAAAAATTTCTTTTGATTGGATTGATTAATGAATAATAATAATTATATTTACAAGTGAAAAAAAACGGAATGGATTTGGTTTAATGTAAAAAAAAAATCTTTTCGAATGTTTTGAGGTACGATTCGATTGTAGATTTTTTGAATAAATAATAATTATATGTAAAATCTTCGAAACACTACGAAACAGAATCGAATAGATTAATATAATAGGATAATGATGATTGAAAAATCACACGTTGTATGAAGATTTTTATTCAATTTTGATTGATGATGATGTACAAACTAGCGGCTTTTTACGTGAATCTAGGCGTTTTTCTACATATAAAGTGACAGAACATACAATGATTCGTTAATAATGTATGTGGTAAATAAATGTATGAAAAAAAAATTTTTTTTTTTGCTATTGGCAATTTCGACAAAGTGTGGTAAAAATAAAGACAAAAAAAATTATGGGCGATTTAAAAACAACAACAACAACAGGACAACTCATCAGCAATATATTCAATGCGATGATGATGAAGAATTGGCTGTATTCAAAGTTTTTTTTCTTTGTGAATTTGCTACTCATCCAAATATATTTGAAGACGCAGACTCAAGAAAAAAAACAATATCATTGATATATTCAAAAATGACATATTCAAAGTTTTATTATTTATAATCGATAGATGGCATTGTTAAGATTTGTTTTTCATCAACACCTCGTGTTGTTATTTATCGTGGAATAGAAGAAAAAAATCTTCAATCAATCGAATCAAGAATATTTATCTTTTTTTTCTTTTGTTTATCATTATTTTGTCAAAGATGTTCGATCGAACATTGTTTCTTCGTTCAATATTGGAAACATTAGAATGTTGGCCATCCTTACAGATTTCTATTGCAAACGGTATGGGTGGACCGAATACAACCACAAAAATTGAATGGTTATGCGATTCAATTGTTCAATTATTTCGTGATAATAATCATCTTATTGTCCAAGATCTTATTGATTTCATAGCAGAAATCTTAGATAATGAATTTGATACCATTATTGAAGATGGATCGTTAGAAATGATTTCGGAAAGCATTTTTGGATATTATCAAAAAATATTGGCTGGTGACCAAAAATTTGTTTTGGATAAACTACAACAAACTAAAGAAAAATATACTGAAACAAATAAGAGAGAGAAAGAAAGACAAACTTTAACAACGCCATCATCGTTACTTTCCTGTTCAGAACAAACGACGACGAGTGGTCAACAAATAGCTACGGATTCATTAATGATGATGGACGATGACAATGATAATAATGATTGTCCTGAAAATGATGGTTGGACTGTTGTTAGGAGAAAGAAATAGATATTAATTTATGTTTTGTTTTTTCAACGAAAAATCTGGAATATATTCATACAAATGCATTGAATGAAAAATCGATTGATTTTTATCAAATTCTATTATAATATTCTGTAAAAAGCTAAATGATTCATTACAATTTTTTATTATTGTAAATTGTTAAAATGAAATGAAATGAAAAAAAATAAAAATTATTTTGTTTTTCATTAATTGTATATCAGATATAAAACAAGATTCCAGTTAGAATTGAAGAATTCATAACGACATCTATGAGAAGCGAGTATAGAATATGGCTTTTCTCTCAGTTTTGTTTGACTTTGATGTAAATTTTTGTTTACTATTTTTATTATTTGTTCCAAATAATTATAAGTGTGTGTAACATAATCTAAAAACTCAGCTAATTATTAACAATTGAAAAAAATATTTAACAAAACTCGATTCTTTAATATGGGTCATTCATTTCAAGTTGCAAATAATGTTAATTTCATGATCAATGCCATTTTGTAATTAAAAAACGACGAATGTTTTGTATTCGATGAATAAATGGCTGCCGGCCTTTATGATATTACGAATGATGTACTCGGTAAAGGTCATTTTGCAATTGTAAAACTTGCTAGACATTGTTTAACGGGTAAGAAATCAATGGCTACATGAATTAGATTACCGAATTAATTTCATTTTATTTATATTTATATTATAAACAGGTGAACATGTAGCTATAAAAATTGTTGATAAAATAAAGCTCACCAAAGAAGGATTAGAACAATTGAGCTGTGAAATCAAATTATGGTCTATACTATCTCGACACGAACACCCAAATGTGGTAAAACTTTATCAATGTATCGATACCAGGACCAAACTTTATCTAGTCATGGGTATGTAAATTATTGTGAATAGCAAAAGACACTATTTTTTAATTTGGCAGAATATTGCGGAAATAATGTTTGTGATCTATATGATCACATACAAAAAAAGAATGATGGCGATGGTTTGGACGAGAATGAAGCAAGACATATTTTCAGACAGGTAACATTAATCAGATTTATTATCGATGAAAAAAATACCAACTAATGTTTTTATTAGATATGTAAAGCGATTTTCTACTGCCATTCTTTGAAAATTGTTCATCGAGATCTCAAACCTGAAAATATTCTTATCATCAACAATCAACTACAAAAGAGTGATATATTGGTCAAGTTGATTGATTTTGGATTCTCGAATCAATGGTGTGAAGATGAGCTGCTTAGAACTTCTTGTGGATCATTGGCTTACTCAGCGCCAGAAATTTTATTAGGTAAATTAATATAAAATCGAATTATTATCTTTTGACTTATTATAATGAATTATTATTATTATAGGTAACCAATATGATGGTCCAAAAGTTGATATTTGGGCATTAGGGTGCATCCTTTACATCCTTTTGTATGGCCATAATCCTTTCATGCAATTCAATGACAATGAAACTTTAATCAAGTTTGTTAATGAATAACTAAAAAAATTGTATTCAAACTAAAAATCAATTTCCAGAATTTTAGACTGTTCATTTACTACACCAGAGAAATCATCAGTAAGTGAATCATCGATTGGCCTGATAAGGAGCTTATTGAAAAAAGATCCAAACATGCGATTGTCAATCAACGAGATTCTAAATCATCCCTGGTTAAATGAGCAACATTATGATTCATCCGCAATTGATTTTACAAGCAAAAAAGAACCGATAAAAACTAACAAGAATTTGGTACATGACTATATAATTGATCAGATGATCAATCAAGGAATCAGTATCTCGAAAGATCAAATCAAAAATATTATCCGAAATGAACATATTGAAACAACTGCTGAACCAAATGAGAGTTCTGCGTTTGAATATAGTGTCAATGATCATCATTATATCAAAGCTACATATCAATTATTAAAAGACAAATCAACCAGAGAGTTCAAAGGTCAAATAGATCCGAATCATCAGATTAATAAATTTCGTCAAAACAAACGTGGAAATATTACCAGGAGACACGGTGATTTAATACGAAGTGATTCTCAAACCGTAGCTACAATTTCAAATGATAATAATTTGGATAAACAAAAAAATTTATCAACACTATCCGGCCATACTCAGAGTTTAACCAATTTGGAACTACCGCAAAACTCTACATCTTATGTACTTCCACTTGCACGAAAATGTTCTATAGTTTCAGAAGAAGGTAGCATTTGTGCTGAAAATAGTCTTCAAGACAATAGCCTAACATGTATTGATACAAAAAGCCAAGAAACTTCAAATAATGATACAGATAAATATCAGAAACAACATTTGATTGATATATTTGTAACCGATTCATCATCTAATATAGCCAAAATAAACCCACCGGAAAGTTGTGATAATTGGGCTCAGAATGCTTCTGATTTACAACCAAGTAAAAAAGACATGGGATTGCATCCGGTTTCGAGTTCTCCTGACTTTTTGAAATCAAGCGATGATGACACGATAAATATCGGAAATGTTTGTCATGTAGATTCAAATAATTTTGGATTAACTGAACCAAATAATGATAAATCATTGTTCGATTATGGCAAAAATAATAATGAAAAGAAATTAAGCAATGTCCGAACGAAACAACAGCAGTCAACCACTAAATTCGATTGTCCACCATCAATAACCACGAATAAATCTCCTTCAATGAGAGTGATCATACAATCAAAATCTTTGAATAACATTGCTTTCATTGAACATCATGATAATGATGATGTAAATGATTCGGATACAGTGGACATAAAATATTCACATCATCATTATCACAATTATTCACAAAACAATACTTCAAAGATGACAAATTCAGTGTCGACTGTTAATATAAAACAAATAAATCGTGAAAACAGCAATAGTAATAATAATAATAATCGTACAGAAAAAAATGATTGCTGTAGGATAGATTAGGATATATTCAATTATAAATTGAAAATTTTTTTTTCTAAAACACCCTCATTCTCATTTGAATTATTTTATCTCTATACATATGAATAAGAATGTTTTCTATATGAAAATTTGTATATTTTCCATTTATAACGATCAAATGAGAATGATTTTTATTTTATTTAATTTTTGTAAATAATTCATCTGCTTAACCTCATTTTATTTGTTTACTCTCTTATTATTTCTTTTATATATATAGCATTCATTTATCATCTAGAATAAAAATTTTCAATTTTATTTAAAATAACTATGAAAGGTGAATTTCATTTACAAATTGGACATTTTCTTCAATGATTCAAAAAATTTCAATCGCCGAGAATGAATTCTGTTCTAGTTGTTGCACTTGAAACATACAATGCCATCCTTTATCGTCAAATGATATTAAAAATAATTTTGGCCAATCTTTGTTTACAAACTGTCTATTGTAATAAACACATTATAATGGATAATGGATTTCAAGATTGTGAACGTCGTATTTTTTGCTGTTTTTGATCATCATACTTAATTTTGATAATCATTGAATTTTTTGCTATATTTGTTTGAAATATTACTAAATTCTGTGATCTTGATTTGCTATTATTTGGAATTTATGTTTTTACAAAACCATGTCATCTTCTTTATCTCATAAAGAAAAAAAGAATAGAATTGGGCATTTTAAAAAAATTCCCGAAGCAATGCTGGAGATAATTAATCTGAATGTTGGCGGAAAAAGATTCACTACAAGCAAAAGCACTCTTTGTTCAGTCTCGGATACATTCTTCACAGCTATGCTGATGGGAGGTATACCAACATCTCGTGATGATTCTGGTGCTATATTCATTGATCGTGATCCCGATTTGTTTGCAATTATTCTCAACTATTTGCGGACCAATAAATTACACAATGTGAATGAGCACAACTTTGATAGTTTGATGGATGAAGCCAAGTTTTTCAGCATCACACCTTTAGTAAAGAAACTAGAACTTCGTGAGAATATGATGTCTGCTCAAACTTGTGGCGGAAATATTCTGTTTGAGGTTTTGTAAATTTTTGTAAATGATTTAATCTAATTTTGCTGTTCTTTCTTTTTTTCATAGTCTTTACTCAAATCAAATCAATCATCTGAAGTTAAACAAATGATACCATTCGATCGTGGCTTAGCCGTGGTATTCAACCATTTCATCAAATTTTATTTTTTCTCTGACAATAATGGATGGAAATGCGTTTTCGATTTTGAGTACAATTCAGACGAAATTGAATTAGTGGATTTTGTATTGGAATCTTCATCTGTGAGACAGTTCCTGATCGCAATCTATTCAAAAGAGATTATTTTGTGGAAAAATGGCGAAAACTTGCATAATAATAATCAATATAATGATCCATATAATGACCCATATCGACCAAGAAGGGTTCCTATTGAAATCGATAAATTTATAGAGATTGGTCATTATAATTTGAAAAACTGTCGTGTTGATTCATTGTTTTTTATTCGATCTCAACTTGGTAAGCGAAAAAACATAAACTTTAATACCTTAATGAATGAATTATTCTTTTTTTAGTTACTTTATGTAAGAAAAAAGGTCGCATTGGAATTTGGAAAAATTCTCGCTTGTTTGAACAAGATCTGAAAGAGAATGATACCGTCTCTGTGATAACTGCATTCAACAAAACAATGATGGATTATCTTTTCCTCTGTTCTAATCATGGCGTAATATATCTAATCGATATGCAAAAACTTCCTTTTACGATTGAGTGATGGTGATCTATTAATTAACGAATTCTACAAAGATCCTGATGGTGAAGAAATTACAGCAATTTCATGCTTATGCTCTGATTGTTGGCGGTTTAATTTAAATCATTGTTCACATTGTCCCATCGAAATAGCTTATGGAACTAAAAGCGGTACGGTCCATATCTTGGTTCAAAATCCGGAAACCCAATTCCAAGAGCCACAACTTTTCCGTACAATTCGAGTACATTTGAGCCCCATATGGAAAATAATGCTGGACCATGAATATTTAATGACAATGTGTACTAAATTGCATGTTCGTACTTGGTCATTGGTCCGATTTCGAGGAATGATTTCGACACAGCCCGGTTTAAAGCCTCAATCCAATTTCGCGATCCGTTATTCGGGCCATAGTTTGGATAACCTTCATGATATTGGTCCATATGGACATCAAGAAGGCTTAAAACAAGTATTTGTCGAGATACCTTATTCCGATTGTAATTATGCAAATATAATCTATGCATCTAATGGCCAAAAAATTTGCACATTAGAATCCGTGGATGGATCGAAAATTACCTCCGTATGTGGTTTATCTATCGACATTCGGGACCGAAGATTCATCTTTACCGGACATGAAAACGGTAATGTTCAAGTATGGGATCTGAATCCAGCTATGAAAAGAAAAATTAAAGAAAATAGACCTAATGATAAAAACAGGTCATCATCACGACCATCATCATCCATATCTGAAAACGAATCGGATCATTCCAATTTCGATGATGAATAATTTCTTTTGTCAATTTTTTTCAAAAAATTTGATTAAATCACTCATTCATTTGTTAAAAATCAATTCATTCATATAATTATCTTTTCTTCATTATCATAGCAGTATATAGAAATAAGAAACAAGAGAATCTTATCGAAAAAAAAACAAATGAGTGAAACACAAAATAAAACATCCGGTTTTTTTTGAAGACAAAAATGTAATTCATGTAGTGTGTGTATTATGAAGAGACACTGATAGTGAATAGAAAGATGATATTCTGTTAAATGAAAAGGTAGATAGGCATATGATGATTTAATTAATCTCCTAAGAAAAATGATAATGTGTTACATAATGAAGCATGTTCAGGTGATGTCTTGATTTTCATCATCATCATCATCATCATCAGAAATGATCTTAAAGCAAATAATAACAATTTAGAAAAAAAAATCTGAAAATGATAATGAGTAAAAATTAAAATATGTTTTGAGAATATTTTAAAAAAATTTGCTGGTAACTTTTAGTTGACTTAGTTATCATAACAGAGGACCGATCGAATGAAAAAAGAAAAGAAAAAAAATTAATGGAAACAAAATAATTTATGAGTCCTTGATGATTGATTGTATCATGGATTTTTTCTTTTCATGTGTTGATGTATTAAATGTTGACAAAAGAAAAATGACATTCTCGATTTTCGATAACGGAAAAATGATAGAATGAAAGAAAAACGTAATTTTAAACTTAATCTAAAAAAATGAAAAAAAAGCAAAATAAAAATCGTGTGTATTCGGGGTATTTGAATCAAAATAAACAAATGAAGCTAGAAGTGGAAATATGTTTGAATTTTAAGATAGGGAAAAAAACAATAAATATTGCAACTTGCAAAAAAAAAATTTGATTTCTGGGATTATGAAAAAGTGGTAACCGGAAAAATAATGGATGTGGTTAATGGCCGTCTATATCAGATTCGAATATCGTGATTGTTTTTTTTGGTAGATGTTTTCATGACGAGATTTGGATTTTTGTTCTATGGTTTTTTTCAGGTTATAAAAAATTAGTATATTATGCTTGATGATGATGATGATGACGACTGAAAATGAAGGTGGCGGTATTGTATTCGATGATTATAGATTTTTAACAATGAAAATAGGCTTCATTTTTTAATTTTTCAAAATGGTTGTAGAAAATTGTTTGAAAGAATTAATGAATGTTTAGACTAAAGATTGTTTTTAGGTGACAGAAACAAAAAAAAATTAACCACTTGATGCGAAACGATACATAATCAATTAGATATTGCTAATCAAAAGATATTTAAAGATTTGATTAAATTTTCAATCTCGAATCTGATGTTGAAATAGGCAAAATGTGTGTGTGTGTGTGTGTGTGATTGGTATGGTTATTTGAATTATATAATAATGCATATTATCACGTTTTTCTTGTTTTAATAACAAATGTTCATTCCGAAAATGATGGATCTTTTTATGTGTAATATATAAAGAGATGACAATATCACCATTAAGTTATTTAAGATGGATCTTAGAGCATGTTTTATGATCGTTTTCATGTGTTTGTATGTGAAAGGGATGTCAGGTATGAATGAATGAATGAATATAAGATGATCATTGAATAATTTCTTATATAATAATTAATATTCGAAAAAAGATGTTAAAAATATAAAACTTTGAATTCAATTCCAAATTGTTGATGTCTTTTTTTTCTTTTCATTTTGTATATATCAGCTTAGATGTGATAATTATTGTCATGATTTAGGTGGTTAATCCATGGTGGTTCACCAACATATAATCATGATAAAATTCATCAATTGGACTAAAAACATGAAACATTGAATTATATAATTATAGTTAAATTGAAGAAATTTATAATAATTAGATCAGTGGTGTTAGCAAAGAGAAAAAACAAAGACACTAACAATGGGATAATAACAAATGAGAAAGAGCAAAAAAAAAATAAATGAAGCAAAATATCGACGATAATTGATGTGAACGGGTAATGCAGGAAAAGGATGGAAAATATATACCCTAATCAAAATGAACACTGGTATTTATTTTTATATAATAATCTCTTATTTAACTATAAAGATCTTGGTTGTAGAATTTTCTCCCTGGCTGGATGTTTTCGAAAAAAATTGGCGTTGATGTATGGGCGTGTGTAGATGTTAGTGTTAGTGACGGATGGAGGGAGACAGAAAAGAAATTTTTTATATTAAAGAATTAATGTATATAAGGGAAATGTGATGTGGTGGTGATGACGTGTGTATTTATCGCAAAAAATTGGTAATCTGTTGTGGATGTTGTTGTTGATTAGATCGTTTTGATTCTTCTTCATTTATTTGATGTTCGATCAACACACGAGCAGATTGAATGGCGTTTTGTGAACCGCTGATCGTAACGATTCGATTACGAGTTCCAGGAGCGAATATACCTTTCTTTGAGATTTGAATATTAGCTCCGCTTGAACGTTGTAATTCAACTAATAATTTGCCGCCATGTCCGAGAATTGCACCGATTATGTTGTCACTAACCTCAAGTTCAAGCTTGTTTTGAGTCAAATCAGATTGATCAGTAGGAGTAGGACTTTTTCGCATAGAATTCGGACTGTGCAATGCACCAATACCGAATGAATTGTTATTGATTGACATTGATGGATGAACATTCGAATTATTATTACCAGGCGAACTTAATGATGGTGATGAACGAAATGTCTCAAACACAGAGCCATCTGGCATATGAAGACGATCTTGACGACCTGCAGGTGATGAATTATGAGTGAAAGAACCGTGTGTAATGCCCATGGCTGATAATGAATTTCCGACTGAACCAACAGGCCCGAACAAATTGTTGCCACCATTTCCAGAAGGCTGAGGAACATTGCTACAACTTTGATCAAGGCCAGGAACACCTCCTTGTGAGAACAAGGTATTCTGATTCATTTGAATGCCACAATTATTGGTTGGAGTGCCGGTGGTCAATCCCATTCCTAATCCCCCTAAAATCGGAGTGCCATTAATCATGCCATTCAGACCAAGACCCAAGCCGAGCATTCCATAATTAGCCAATGTAGCCATGGCAGTACAGATTTCGTTGACAGCATCTTCACTATAGCCACAAGCTCGAAGCATGCTTCGAAAATTCTCAATCATCTGAGTTTGAGAGCCTGAAGGTGAGTTCTGGAATACATTCCCAAATTGGACCATATTGCCAGGACTGTTGGTGTTTTGAGTGCCATTGAAAGAATTATTCAAGGTTGGGCTCATGCTATTCAGACTGCCATTAGAACTATAATTCGGATTGCTGTTGTTGGAATTGCCAATACTTGAGCTTGACACATTAGCATAAGGGGAACCAGTTGGATTGAAATTAGCTACCGGACCGGTGACATCAGCATAACTGACATTCAAACAGCTTCCACTTTGAGGATCTTCCACAATTTTGGCTAATATCATTTGACAAGCTTTTTTGTTTGATTCAAATTCACCAATAACAGTGATACAGCGTTCAGCTAGAGCGTGATCCAATGATTTCTGAGATATTTGTACGTAAGCTCCACTCTCTTCTTTGATGTGTTTTATGTATGTACCAGCCTTGCCTATTATCATTCCAGCTGTGCTGTTCGGCACGAGGATTTTCACCTTTTCCACCAACAAAAATTGACATTATTAAACGATTCTTCATTTTGTACAAAAAAAAAATCTTTATTTACTTGTTTTTCTCTCTCGGCTGGCTGCTTGTTGTCAAAATCAATTGCCATCTTTGCATTTGGATCAGGTTTTTCTTTGATCTTTTCCATTATGAATTCATTGATCCGTATGATTCCTTCAACCGGCCCAGAAATCAGGCATACACGCTCATTGGTACCTAGAATGGAAAAAATTCAAAAAACAGTTTCAAAAAGAACGTACTCACTACCTGGATAAAAGTCATTGGATTTGGACATCTTAACACGAGTGTTGGTTTCTTTCTGAAGTTGGCCAATAGTTTCGCCCCCTTTCCCAATGATGGCTCCAGCCGCGACGGCCGGAACCAAGATTTTAAGGTGATAAAGTTGCGCATTATTACCACCTAGAATAGAATGAGCCAATGGTAGAATTTAAAATTATGGATGACAATACTAATTTATAATTGTACGTACCTTGAGATGGGGATGATGGGGAATAGCTCATTTGGTCTGGATACCAAAAAAGCTGCACATCTGTTTTAAACAAAACAAAACAAACCAATGATGTTAACAAAATTCATCGATCAATGATCATATGTCACAAATAATCGACAATAACAATCGAAATGAGAATGTTATGCAAAAAAATAAGATGAAAGGTCACACTTGGCAATTGCCAACTGCAGAGGTGAATTGAATATATTCCAATCGTAAAGCAACACACACACACACAAACAAAAAAAGAGCAGAGAGTAATGCGCGTCGGCGATACGGCTAACACACAAAACAGACAACAAGCAATTTATAGCATCTATTTTGATCCAAATTGATCGACAGTAATATAACTTGCATAGAAACACTGCAATGGCTTAATGAAATAATACACAGAATGGCCACACCTTTCCCCGGCGCTTAAAATGTGTTCAACAAGCTAGCGATAGGAGGTTCATGCTCATTTATTCCTTCAATGATGCATTATTCGTGGACAAGATTTTGCTGGACAACATTAATATTGTTCAACGACGATGTGATGATGATCATTTTATCATCATTAATTTCTGACCTCTAGTTCAAGGTGATAGATAGATGATAACCAATAAATGTTTATTCGATCCAAATTCCTAATCATAAAATTTTTGAACCATCTTTAAAGTTGTTACACTTACTAGTTTACACCACCACTACCATCAACACTAAAAGCATGTAACCACCATGTGGAATATGGAACACATCAATCATAAGACACAAAAATGTTATTTAAATGAATTTTTTCAATCAATTCCAAGAAAATAAGATAATTGTGATGATGGTCAAATTTTAAATCAACACTAAATTGATGCATTGAATGAAAAATTGTCCTGATTTATTTTTGATGTTTGTTGTAAATGTGGACAAAAATCAACATTCAACAAATTATTAATGAAGACGAGGTCCACAATAGACCAGTCAGACAGACAGACAGACATACATTAACACATCCCATCAATGGTGAAAAAAACAAAATACAAGCCAAATAAATGGAAAAAAAATATGTATCTGAATATAGTGGCGACGATAGCGACGTTGCTGCTGGTCGTATTCTCGGCCAAGTTGATGGCAAAATAATCAATAGACACATACAAACAAATATAATCTATAAAGCTAGTCGTCCACGAAAAACAGGCGTATTCTGAATTTTTTTTCATATAATCACACTCTATGTCCTGTCATCGAGTACGTGCGTGCTTCAATGTTCAACGAAGATAGTTCATCATCATGAAAAAAGGGTTCGAACAAAAAACACACACGACAAAAAACTAGTTACGTTGCTTCAAGACATGGATAAAATAAGATATACATGTATATATGATCGCTACCGTTCTGCATCATCATCATCATCATATTAGCCAACAACATCAACATCGTTCGTCCGTCATTTTCGAACAAAACATATAAACACTTGTGCTGCCATCTTAAATCGGGTCAATTTCTGAAATACCATTGTTTTAGAAATAACCACAATTCAGTCAGAATTATGATCTATCTGAATTGTATATCATATACCATCCAGATAATAGGAAATAGGTTTCAATAAGATGCATTAAAAAATGCTGATGTTGACAACCATAAAAAGTAGAATCCATCATCATTAATCATTTGATGATATAAATATATTTGAAAATATCAAATTATAAATAAAACAATGAAAAGCAACTAATATTTACCATTTTCATCGGTAAAATTATCAGCCGATGATTGTGGTGGTGGTGGTTGCTGTGATGGAGATGTTGAAGATGGTCCTTGCGGCTGTTGTTGTTGTTGTGGATGATAGCGTTCATTATTATTATTATTAGCAGGATTATTTGTTGTTGATGATGACGATAAAAGGGAAGTGGCGACAACGGCTGCATTTCCACTGCCGGTAATCATTTCTCTGCCACCAGTCGATTGATCACCACCAACAATAGATTGTTGTTGGTCAATATAATTGTCATTTCGGTAACTGGTTGGTCTGCTTGTATCTAGAGCCATCATGATGTTTTCAAGTTTGAAATAATGATTGATTGATTAATAAAATTTGTGAATTTGATGAAAAAAAGGATGAACTTTATTAAATGAGGTGATGATGAACTCAGAGATCGGATGAAAAATATGAGAAATGAAGATCTTGGTTGGAAAAAAGTCATAAAATGATGAATCAATTTACAAAAATCATCGAAAAACATATAAAGAAAAACACGGGCACATTTAGATGAAGAATGATGATTCAATGGCCAAAAATCTTTACAGAGTTGATCATTTGAGTAATTTATTTTAATTGTAATTCAATTGTAGAGTTCCGATGATTAGAGAAGAAAAAAAAATTATATAAAACAAGAAAAATAAAAAAAGAATTTAATTTATTATTATTATTATTTGTACAAATTCGGCGAATATATAACTTATTATTTATATTATTATTATTATCAAAAATGAGTTTATATGTAATGAAAATCTTATTATAAACCAATAGATAATTATGATTGGATCATGATTATCATATACATACATTGACATGCTCGCCACTAAATCAAACCATGCTCTATCTCACATACACACACACACACACACACACACACAAACACATTTACTCAATCTTGTCTTTTATATATTTTTTTTCTTCACTTTACAGGATAGATACGCCGCCGTCGTCGTCGTCGTCATCGACGATGAAATCAACCAAGAGATCCTCAAATGACATTGTGTCTCTCACATTATTAACAACGTAAATAAAAAAAAAACATCGATGATGATTATGATGATGATGATGACGACGACAACGATAGAGGCATCATGCACACATAAACAAAAAATACAACGTAAATTGTACTTACAATATTTTTTTTTCGGGAAATGTTCCAAAAACTATAACAAATAATTTTGAAAAAAATCAAAATATGAACCGGATGAGATAACTATGAATGAATTCAAAGATGTATGCAAACAATATTACACCGTGTATTTATATTTGTTTTTTAAACGAAAAATTATTATCCAAAACCAAATAATTGTTTGGTTGGATTTCAATTTTGTTTGGCATGCGTTTGCTCAAGAAAATGAATGTATGTAATGTGTTAGCAGTATGGAAAATAATTATAATAAACCTATGATGATGATGATGATGATGATGAGATGATGACGACGATGAATGGTCACAAACCATACACACACACACACCACAAACACAATTCGATACAACCGGCTTCAAGCAGGCAAAAAAAAAATCGCATTAGTAGATCATTGAATGGAATGATGCGATCATATCCCATCCGTGATGATATAAGCACAAACAAACATACATGTATATACATGATAGCTGCTAGCTTCACATTGATTTAATATACATGCATATACGAAGAATATGATTTCCACAATTTTCTCAATGATTTACATTGAAAAAGTAGTGGCACAAGTTTGACGATCTATCGACTGGTCATGTTGTATAGGGTATTTTAACGAAAGACCGAGTAAAAAAAAAAAAGAAAATAATCACATGTGTTTTGACCGTCGTCTGTCCGTGTACATGAGCATCATCTAGTGATTTTAATTGGAACAACAATCGTCATTGTTACATAAAAAGATGATTTTTATTTTATTTCATTTCGTTTTTCGTTTATTTATATTATCAGTATAGATTTTCTACAATTATTTGACAAAATTTTCTGAATAATTTTCTCACATGGCAGTGATATTTGTGTGATAAAACAATGATATGAATTGGTAAAATCTTTTTGTTTATTTTTCCAACGAAAATATAATTGACTAAAACCTTTCTGGTACCATAATTGATTGGAATTTTCACTGTCTAAATCTGTAATCAAATGTATAATTTTATTATATAATAATAATATAACTAAACTAAAGAATAAATACCTGATAGTAAATCTTGTGAATCAAATATCAAACAATTATCATCATATAATAGACATGTTGAACGTGGTGAAAGATGATTAGGACTATTGTTTAACGATCGAATTCTTGATACAAATGAATCTGGATAATCAAAACTCTAAATAGATGAAAAAATGGGGAATTATTAATAGATTAGATTAGATATATTTTAGTCATACAAAATGTAAATCTTACGGATAAATTCAATTTATTTGATGGATTATCTGAAATCGAACTGAATTCAAAAGAAAAATATAATTAAATATATATGAGTTTGCTTTAAAATTACCGTTGAATTTTTCTTTTTATTGCAAATTCGCCAAAACCATTTGTCTCTGAATCTTTAACTTTGGCTACCCCAAGATATTGGCCGTTTATTATCGATTTCTAAAAATATATAAGAATCATTCATCGGAAAAAAATTATTTTACAAAAAAAATACCTTTTCACGATAGGCATTATCGATGGATTCGTAGTTAAGAGAGAATGATAATAACACTGATGGTTCTTCCGTTGGTGAGAAGGAAACCAAAAGTTCAATATAAATAATTTCAAGGTAATTGAGAATATTTTCAAATAGAAACTAAATAACCCAGAAATTAGTAATACTTGAAACAATGATACCAATAGTGAACTTACCTCTTCGTAATTATCAACATGAAAATTGATCATCGGATATGAATATTCTTCCATTCTTTCTTTGTACAAAACTGAATGCTGACTTGGGCTAGAAAATACTGATATTTTTTGCTTAGATAATACATGATAATGATTTGCGCTTGTTCGTGTCAATACTGCAAAATAGATTGTATAATTTAATTTTTGTAAAATTATATTCAAAAATGCCGTTTCCTGCCAATCGATAGCAGGATTATCAAGAGGTAAATCGGTGCTTGATTTTCTAAATACATCAATCTTTTCAAAATGATGAACAAATTAAACATTTATTACACTAAATAGATTAATTTTACAATTATACCTTGAGACGATTAATTAATGCTTCATCGATTTTATAGATGAAGAACAATAGATCATCATCATCGATTTCCAGTCGATGTTTATCATTGAGAAAATGGAATAGAAATAGCGTTTTGAAGAAAACTCGTGAATCTAATTGAAATACGAATTATATGAATTGAATAATCAATGAAAATTTTCAATATTATTATTATAACCATTTTTATGATATACCTTGTTTTTGCTGGAAATGATTGTAATGTAATTTTATCTCATTAATAATGTTCATTGCTTTGATTTGATTACATAAAATGATTTTTTAAAACTGATGGATCATATTTGACAATTATTGCCATGGCAATAATAATATTTATCAGAGTGTATGTACTGTAAATAGAGTACGTGACGGTTTGTTTATAAATGATCATTGATCGATGAATGATTTAAATTGAGAAATTCTGGATGTAAAAAAAAACATGGATCCTATTGATTTTATCAAAAAAATAAATTGCTTCATTTGCTGTAAGGAAATTAAAGAACATTGTGACGATGTATTTGAAGATTTTTTTCGTTCTTATGAACAACACATGTTGAACAATCATTTGATTGTGATACCAAAATTTCAAAGTGTTGATGAATTTTTTGATTTTCTAAGAAATTGTCATTCGCTTGATCAACTACAATCAGAAGATCGATGTAAACTATTTACGTTCAAAAAGTTTGATAAAATTGTTAATTATTTCCTAATCGACAAGTATCAAATGGATGAAACAACAATCAAAAATGTTGTCGAAAAACATTTTCTTCAAAACATTTTGAATGAGGCACAAAAACAAAGAAATGATAGCAACTTTTCACGAATGTGTCTTTTCTGTAGAAAAATATTCACTGAAAATCGTGCCCAACTATTCAATCATTTATACAATGATCATAATTTCTTTGTAGGACATCCGGACAATATTTTGGATGCCCATGAATTTCTGGATGTTCTTGAGAATAAACTGAAAAAATTACTATGCCTTTATTGTGAACGGGAATTCAAAAATTGGAATGTTCTTAAAGAACATATGCGTAAGAAAGGTCATAAAACGTTGAACCCGAATAATCGAGAATATGATAGATTCTATTTGATTAATTATCTTTGTAATGATAAACATTGGAAACAAATTAAAAAGGTAATTTAAAAATCAATGTTTATTGAATATAATCGATTCGTTGTTTTTTTTATATATATAGGAAAATGATTTCTACATTGATAACACTAGCAATGATTGGGATGATTGGATCGATGATGATGATAAGCTGGATTGTGTTTGTTTTTTCTGTCCATATAAAAACAAATTCGACAATATTCGCCAACATTTACTTGGAGAACATGATTTCGATTTTGATCGAATCTTGGCCATTGACGATTTTTATGAACGAATAATGGTTATAAATTTCATGAGAAAAAATATGCTTATTAATCAATGTTTTTTCTGTCGGGATTCATTTCAAAACACAGAACATCTTGTTAAACATCTTTCAAATACCCAACACATTACGAAATTACCGCTAAAAGAATTTTATCATTCACCAGAATACTATTTTCCAACATTAGATGATGATTGCTTCTTAATGTTTCTTGATGATTGTGATGATAATGTGTAATTTATGTGAAACAAAAAATTATCGATGCTTGATTAAAAAAAAACTTTTATGATTGATTAATAATATCGAATATACTAATAGAATCATTTGTTTTAGTTCGCTTTGTTTTTAAAGACTCGTCAGAATTTTTCATCACCTCTTTTAGCCGCTGATCACGAATGATAAATGATGTTAATGATGATTGATTTTTCTTTCGATTCGAAGTGAGAAATTTCATCGAATTCAATTTGATCATTCGCATTTTTTTCACATTATTATCTGTTCGTTCGGATGGATCATCTTCGGAAACCTGTTCAATTGTTCTCTTTAATCGTACTACTTCTTGAAAGTTTTGGCTATCATGATCATCTTCCTCGTTGATGGAATCACCGTTCTCACTGTTTGAATCGTCAACAGTATTGATGAAATCCAAAGGATCGTTTTCGTCTCGATTTAAAGTCCATTTGAATTTTTTTCGGCGATTATGGCCGTCATCATAGAGATCTCCATCTTCGAAAAAGTATTCTTTCAAAATCATCATTTGTCTTTTATCCTCGTCGAGCATGTTTTTGCTTAAAAAAGAAAAATTTGAATGAAAATAATTACATATTTGCAATTACATATTGGAGTCATTAGTTAACTTACTTGTGAATTTTTTCCACTTGTTCTTTCAGTTCATCATCATGGGGCAGGCCATCATCTTCGATGAGATTTTCAACAAATTCTTGATCATTTTCATCATCACTTTCGTCGCTACTAATCTCATCTTCATCTCCAGATAATTCAGCTTCATCTTCGAGAAAATCTTTGATCTTCAAAGCTTTCGGCTTTTTTTTAGTTGATTCTAAATGTTCGTTCTCATCATCATCATTACCATCATTGAATCGACCAGAACATAATTCCATCAACATCTGTGAATCAAAGTGATTATTATTATGATTATGATTTTGCAAGTCAACAGTTTCAAATGGTGTAAGCGGAAGATTCTGCGAAACATATTTTCCAATGTCATCTTCTTGATAATCAAAATGACCAGAATAAATGTGTGGATCAATTTCCGAAAAAGTGTCGAAATTTTCTCCATTTTCGTTCTTTTTCTTTTCTTCATGATTCTCTTCATCTTCGTCATCAATAATGGGTAAACGTTTATATTTCCTCAAACGGAATAGACATTCGTCATTATCTATATCGTCTTTATCCGTCTTCTGATTATCTAATGGGATATTTTCGCTTATTTTTTGCTCTTGAGATTCATGGTCGAGTTCATCGTCGTCAATTGAATGTATACCATCATTGTATTCGACAGAATCAACATCATCATAAGCTTTTTCTTCTTCGTTTTTTTCTTTATCACTTTCAACACTTTCATTATCAGTATCATCTTGATTATCATCATCGTCAGTTAATGTCAGTTCTTCTTCAACATCTTCGTTGAGTTTTTCATCTTCCAATCGTTTGTTTAAATTCTCTTGCTCCCATTCTAAATTTCTTTTTTGTTCCATTTCAATGAGCATCTTTTCACGAATTTTTTGCCAACATTCGGTCGATCGACATTTTTCTTCCTTTTCCAATGATTCATCTTTTTTACGACTTGAAACAAACTGTTTAATAATTGAATTCTTTTTCGAACCAATCAGAATAATTTCTTTAGGCTTTTCTTTGGCGATGGTTTTATTTAATGGCGGAACATTTTGTCTAGCATTCATGAGCAAGGTGCGAATATCGGACATTTTAAATTAAAAAAAAACTTAAAACGAAACAATACAATTTATATAAAAATCAACTCGATTGAAACGTCGTGCCAGAGTTGGCGCTAAAATTCACATAATAAGACCCGTTCATAAACACAATAATCAAATTTTTCAATTTCAATATGTTGTAACAAATTGTACACACAATTACATTGAAAAATTGATAATTGATAATCATTTGTTATTTTTATAACCGATGATAGTAAATAACATCGAATTAAAATCATTAAATAATGACATTAAATTTTCTTCAATTTTGGCATTTCTGTTCTGGTATGCCAGACCAATATCTTTGTACAGGAATCAGCTTTAGGTTCCAGTTCATTGATTGAATGTATCAATTGTGTTAGCAGATGAGTTTCTTGATAACCACGAGGTACATATGGCGAAAAATAAGCATCATGTTTATCATGGATTAGTTGTGAATTTATGGCAAAACCAGACATGTCTATTGGAAATTTTCGTTTAGGTTTCCAAATGGAATTGAATCCAATCACTTTTCCGTTTTCTATCAAAGGTTTTTCCACCATTAAACCACCAACTAATCCAACGGGAAAAACTGAAACTTTTTTAGTATTACGCATTTCTTCAAATAATCTCAGATCATAAGTGTTATCATCGTCACCAAAATATACGATTCCTTTTTCGGTTGTGTTCTCTCTGAGCCATCGTAGAGCTTCATTTCGTTGCCAAACACCTCTAGGTTTAAGCCAATTTGGATCACGACGACTAGTTTTAAATGATTTGGGTGTTTCAACATTTAGATGAGTGTATTCAAAATTTTCAAAGATTTTCATCTTGGATATTCTTTGCAAAAATTGCGTAATAAGTAAAGTTTTTTGATCACTATCTTCAACAATAATCCAATGAAGATTGGAGACTAACAATAAAGTATGAGAAAGTCGTGTTAATTCGGCCTCTTGAACAGGCCTAGAATAAGTTGGTGTGATGAAGAATATTTTTTCATTAACATTTTGCTTTGATAATTGGTGGATAACGGTTTTATCATCATAAGTTACAGCTACGAATAAAAAAGTTGGATAAATTTTTAGAAAAAATACTTCAATAAAACTTACCAGGACATTTTTGATAAACTATGAAATAATTTAAAAATGTCAAAGTTAATAGAAGAATTGATATTTGTAAAAAATTTGTAAATTTCATGTATGTATTCTACGGAATTCACGACAATGAACGGACTGTGAATAAAACAACAATGACACAACGTAAGCATGTCTGGCTCACTGATGCAGTGTTTCAGCTGATATGCACACAATTTTTGTCAATATATTTAATCAACAGTTTCAAATTACCTATTCAAAACCATAAAAGCGACAATGGAAATTGAAGATTTCATCAAAGGTCTACGATTATTACATTCCCGTTCGCCAGAATCATCGGATGAATTGAAAAAATTACTGGATTTTTATCATGCTAAAAAAATGAATTATAATTTGGTTAGTAACAAAAATGAACGAAACAAATTCTAATAAACAATTATTTCAACAGGAATCACGAAAACCCAAAGATAGCATCTTGAATGCTTTTTCTTCATTGCAAAGCTTGAATCAAGGAATACGTGGTGAAGATAAGAAAACAAAAGCTTTAGAAGAAGATTCCGAGACAACAGATATCGAAGATAATGAAATGCTTGATTCGAATGATGCATCCAATATTGTGAATAATCAATGTATCATATGTAAACAAGGGGAATCCAATAATCGTCTTTTAGAATGTCAAGAATGTCGATCATGTTTTCATCCTGAATGTCATAAACCAATAGTTCCCAAAAAAGATATAAACGATCCACGATCAATTTGGTATTGTTTTAAGTGTAAAAATACTGGCAGAAAGCTTAACAAAAATGCTATTGTTGCGACTAACAGTGGAAAAGTGATAATCGGTAAGCGTAATAATGGTCTAATTGTTTTTTTTGTAAGGGTTAAATTTATTTCCAATTTACCAAAGATCCCAATAAGGTAGTGAATGCACCGAAATCTACTTTAGATACAATGAAACGCCCTAATAAGATTGCAACTACACAATCGACACCGTATCATCCGATTTTAAAGGCAATGTCCACAACAGGAACGGGTATGGGTAATTATGTTCGTCAATCTTCCACAGTGGCTATTCATGCAAATGTGACAAATAAAACAAAAACAAGCGCCACTATTGGATCAATACATTCTGCATACAATCCATCTACTACCATATCTAACTTGGATAAACGTTTGGCTAATATGAAAAAAACAAAATCTGGTCTCAAGTTTTCCTAAAAATTCGTTCCATTCCGTTATATTTCATGATAAAATAAAATTTTGCGAAAAATTTCAATTATTTAAATTCAGTACAATCATTTTAATGGAAGAGTTCGCGAACTTGTTCGGCAGGTATATGATGCGTTCTTCACCGCCGAGGTTGCAAAGTGAGCAAGGTGTGTGTGTGTGTGTGTGTGTGTGTGTGTTTGATGTTGTCAAACCTGAATTTATGTTGTCGTCGTGTGATGGTGCTTGGTGGTAGTGATTGAAAGTTGTCAAGTCAAGCGTTTCATCAGAGCATTACACAAAACAAAACAACAATAACTAATAGCCAGTTGTCAAAGTCAGCACACACCCTGGATTATTATTTCAACTGATTCGTTCACATATCTGGAACACAAGACAAGTAGCATATCGAAAATGTCCAGAATGATCCATAATGCGGACATTTCTTATTCCAGTATCAATGCTGGAAATTTCAAATCAACTCGATCGGACAGTAAGTATTTCAATTGATAAAAATTCATTGATTAACTAATCCATGTGAAAAAATCCTAGATTGTTGCCGGACATGTTTCTTAAATTTTCCATATGCAACGATAACTTCAACATTTTTCGTTATATCCGGATTGATCATCAGTTTCATAGCTATATTCCATCTGTTGGGCATTATTGATCGACTAGCACAAGATTTATTCTACAAACACTTTCCTTGGTCGAATGAAATCAAAGTGGTTATGTTGTTTATTCTCGGTTTTGTCGCTGTTGTTATACTGGTCAATCTTGTTATTGGATTTGCAACATCATTCCTGAAATTCGATGGCAAACCATCGCAACGAATGTGTTTCTGCTGTAGAAATTCTACGACCAATTGTTTGATGCGTTTCGTATTCTCTGTCAACCAATTAATATTTCTCATATTCTTTTTGCTGTTCATAACATTTACACTGTTTACATTTATCTTATATCTAATGAAAACCCTGTGTAATTCCGAACAATTGGTTAGCGAAGTAGAAAAATCTTTTGATAATCCAATGGCACATCAAGAACATTCCATAAATCTGCAACCATTTTCACATTTTTTCCATTTGCCACAAAACGAAACCTATCTGTTGCTATTCAAAGAGAATCGTTTGAAAACATTATGTAGAGATTATGTATCTACATTACTTTTATATACACTGATTTCGTTTTGGGCATATTTCTATTGTTCGTCGGTTTCTATTGCTATTCAATCAATTTGACCGTCAATCGTATTCGTATAGCTACCTACAAAAAATACACTGAATTATTATATTTAAGTAATTGTACGGAAATGAATGCATTCAATGATGCATCATTCGATGGTAATGGAGAACGATTCTAATCACAAAATGATTTCAGCATTGAAAATATTTCATAATCTTATCACTTTATTTTTTGATCATTTCATTATCATTATCACCAAATTTAGAAGCTTGATGGAAAAACTCACATGTATGAAAACAATTAATTTCTTTGTAAATTTTTCTCTCGAATCTCTTATTTCTTGAATGTCATCAACAGATTAATCAATTATAAATTTAAATGTATTGGTTGAAGAATAAATTATCGATAAAATCCATGTCATTCGTATATCGAAATGGCTGGCAACAACAGCAGAGACGAACCAATTCAAATATCGGAGTAATTGGCATTCCATTCTGGTATGGCCAATCTAAATTGGGAACAAACCAAGCACCAGAAACATTACGTTCGAAAGGCTTGATCGATAAACTATCCACTTGTTTCGGGCAAAATCATGTCATAGATTTTGGAAATATATCACTTGAAATTGCTCCAAATGAATTAATTCTCAACGATAATCAATGGAAAAATCCCAATGAATTTAATTTATGGCGAATATGTCAAAAATCAAGTCAATGTATCGAGAATTTAGTTAAAAATGGATACGTTCCTTTGATTCTAGGAGGTGATCATAGCATAGCTGTCGGATCAGTAATGGGCACACAACGAGCTTTGGCCAACGATCTATCTCTGGTTAGATTGTTTTTCCACCATTAAAATTCATTGTTTAAATCTTCATTTTTTATCAGATATGGATCGATGCTCATGCCGATGCAAATACGGTTCAAAGTTCGTATTCAGGAAACCTACATGGAATGCCTATATCGTTTCTTGTAAAAAATGGTATAGCAGCTACTAAAGTAGAAAATTCTGAAAAAAATCATCAACAAATCAAGCCTTGCATCAGTGCCAAAAATATTGTATACATTGGTCTACGTGATGTGGAAATTCAAGAGTTGAAGCTATTAAAAGATTTAAACATAACCTATTTTTCAATGAGAGATGTCGATCATTTGGGTAAGTGTTATCATGTTCGAATTGTTCACAACTAAATTTTCTACATCTGTTGTCCTATCCAAATGATTATCATTCAATGTACACACACATAACACACACCTATCCAAATATTTAGGAATCCAAAAGTTATTGCCAGAGCTATAGACAAAATAGATCCATTGAATAAGAACAAGCTACATGTTAGTTTTGATGTAGATTCAATGGATCCAATGATAATACCATCAACTGGTACACCAGTCATGGGTGGTCTAACATTAAGAGAAACATTTCAAATTGCAGAATATATTGCCCAAACGGGTAGAATGATTGCTTTGGATGTGGTTGAATTTAATCCTAACATAGGAACTGAACAAATTGTTGATCAATCGGCTCGATATATTATCGATATAATAACAACGTTTTTTGGTAAATCAAGACTTGGCTACTATGGATGTAGTGCGGAAAATTTGATTTGAAAATGTAACTATACATCAAAATATAAACAGTCAACAACAGCAAACTATGAACAAAACAAAAGCCATAATCATAATATAAATTGGAAAAAAACCATTTCAATTATACAACGCCCAAAATGTTGTTGCCAATCATTTTGTTTTGAAAGAATAACTAAACCATTCTTGTTTTTTTTTCTCAAAAACATTATTAAAAGTTTATTTTTCATAGCATACATATCGTGAAATTGTCATGATTTGCAAAAATTAAGAATGGATGCAACAAAAACTATGTATACAAATGATGTGATGTTGATCAGAAGAATCGTTAGGAGTGCACATAAATGTTGATCATTTTGTATGCACAAATGAACAAAAATTATTATGATCAAGACAGCTGTGGGAGGAGGAATATATGGAATGAGCAACAGCGGCCTTAAATAAGCACGTTTAGTATGATGATGAAAACATTTAAATTGTGTAATTTTTTTTTTAGGTTAAAAATAAATTTTATTTGTTTGAAATTTGCAATTCTGTAAATCCTGAAATCAGAATGTGGTGCTTGCTGTAAGTCGATTAGTGTAGTCTTGTTAGGCAATTTGGTGTCCAGGAATTTTTTTCATGAAAAGCTTTTTAGAATATTTTCTGATTTTAAAACACTGAACGTTATACTGAAATAAAGATTTAAAAAATGAAAACACTGTCATCGGAAAAGGAAAATCTCCTTAAAAGCCACATTTGTGATCTTTATGAAAGTAAGTATTATAAATGATTTGTGATCAATAAATTTTATGTTATTTATGATGATTTTTATTATATTTAGGAGTCAATTATTACAACAATAATCCTTCGGATCCTCTGAATGAAAATGATCAAATTGAAGATTCTATCAAGAATATAATCGAAATTGAAAAAGGTATTTCCATTATCCTTTTTAATAATTATCTTATTGTTTGTATTTAAAATAGAAATTGCTTTCAATCTGCCGAAACGAGCTGATAATTTGAAAGAATTCATTGAATGGTGTTCCAAGAATCAAGTTCCAGCTAATAAGTTTGAAATCAAACGTATCAAAGATGATGAATATGGTTTGTTTGCCACTAGTAATCACAATGAGAATGATGTTCTATTCGAAATCAGTCGCAAAGTATTCATGACCAATGAGACAGCGGCAGCCGATATCAAACTAAGTATGTTTGTTCTAAAAATAATTGATTTAGATTGGAATAATAATTTTATTTTGTAGATCAATTTACTCAAGATGTTATCTTCAAGCATATGCCCAATTTAATTCTAACTTTTCATTTGTTGTCGGAATTGAACAAGCCAAACTCTTTTTGGGCGCCATATATAAAAACTTTACCAACAGCGTATTCAACTGTATTATATATGACACAAGAAGATCTGGTTCAACTTAAAGGTAGCTCGTTGCTTGATGAAGTTGTCAAAATGAAGCGCAATGTGGCCAGGCAATATGCCTATTTTTGGATGAAAATCTCAAATGAGCGAAACAAGTCATTCGGAAATTTTACTTATGAAATTTATAGGTTAGTCCATTCTTTTATTTTTTTTTTGTTATTGCAATTAAAAATTCTATATTACTTGTCTCTTTTGACAGATGGGCTTTATCCACTGTGATGACTAGACAGAATTCGATTCCATCTAAAGCGGATAAAAACCAAACTACTTTCGCATTGATACCATTCTGGGATCTATGTAACCATAAGGAAGGAAAGGTCAGTTAAATTATTTTCAATATCCACAGAATTTTATGTTTTTTATTTTTCATCAAAAAGATGGTTACTGATTTCGATGCCATCAAAGACAATTTGGTTTTCTATGCCATGAAAGACTATAAAAAAGGAGAAGAAATTTTCAATTGTTATGGAAGCCGGAGTAATTCGGATTTTTTTCTACACAACGGATTCGTTTATGATACTCATCCATGTAATACGGTTCGAGTAAAGATTGGAATCAGTAAACAGGATCCACAATTTTCATTGAAGGATACGTTATGCCGTAAAATTGATATCGATACCAATGGATATCATGAATTGGAACATAAAAGTAAAGGATTAAATCCAAGAGTTTTGGCTACTATTCGAATTTTCTTCCTCGATAATGGTAATTGTTCATCTAATCAAAATTAATTAGTTAAAATTTTATTTAATCATCATATATATAGAGGGACTCGAAAAATGGATCAAATCGAAAAAATCCGAAATATTGTTTGAAGAAAAATGTGCCGATTTGCAATATTTGAATGACAAAGTGAAGGAATTTTTAGCAATGCGATGTAAATTATTGCTAAAACGGTATCCACAAATCGATAAATTTCGTAATCCAAACATTGAAAAGATAATCAAAAAGGAGAAACAGATTTTAGAAAGTTATTTAATGTGATTTATATCGATATTCAAATGGACTGAAATGGAAAATCATCATCAAATGCTAAATAAAATGAAAACTATAACTTAAATATCCACTCTGATCGTTAATAAAATTCATGTAATTTGATTGCTTTTCAATTGTATAATATACATCAGATTGAAAATGATTTGCTATGTTAAATATTTACAAGTATTTTCGTGTATGGAAGAACATTCATGATCAAACTTTAAGATGATTGGGTGAAAAAGCGTACTTAAGCTGATATGCATCGGCTACAAGCAATTTTACTTCATTCTCGGACCAGTGAAACGTGGGCAAATTTTGTAAACGTAACATTAATCCTTGAAAATCAGCCTCCTGTAATAAGCTCTTTGACCAGAAACGTAAGAATGCTGCACAAACAAACAAATGGAAAGCAGAAGAGAACGGCGTTCCACAATTCATTGATGATGAATTCGGTTCAAATGTATCATTAAAATTGTTGGATGGCACATAGGTAGAAGACAATGCTCCTTCGGATAGATACGTATCCCATAAACGTATTATACATCGAAGTGGAATCTCTCTTATTAGTAGATTGTTCATCCACCGGAAAGCAAATTGTATATATTGAACCGAGTTATTCTCTAAATGTTCATGTAGTTTTTTATCCACTCTAGATACTACACGTGACAGCAGATTCACCAATCGCTGTATACCAGGTTGAGCAAATGTATAATTATCTTGAATCGAATCAAGCAGCTTATTAAATGACCAATATGAATCAGCTTCGATTATTGCTAATGTTTCGTCGGATAATGTAGACACATCAAATAATTCAACATCAGCGAATGAATGTCCAGGTACGAATTCAGAAAGATAAGTGACGAAAAAAGGTGTTACAAGATCATTCATTCCTTGAACATAACCGGAAGCAGGATGGCGAATGGACCAAATGTATAGAATACGTTCAAACATATCTTTAACAATCGGCTGCTGAAATATCGTTATTAGTGGTTGCATTCGAGGAATATCGATATGAATTTGCCGATACATTTCGTCATTTTCTTGTCTATTATGATAATATTGGGCGACCAAATTTTGGTATTCTCTTTTTTTATTTTCTGAAACTATCGCTCGTTTAGAACGAACAGTCGGAAGGTATCCAAGCAATAATTTCCATGCCAGTGGCCTAACTTCATCAGAAATTCCACTCCATGTGATTGTTCGCAATAGACTAAGATCAGTGATTTCATCTTCATATAATAATTTTTTGAGTTTGGCCAATTTCGGATCACCATTTTTCAGTTTATCTGGATCGTGATACGATGCTTTGGATTCTTCTTCAGGCCGTTTCGGTGATGATTCATTATCAGCGAGACCCTGAGCCGATTCTGATGAAGGCTATTATATAAAACAAATAGTTCATAAATTAATATGTTTTTCAATGAAAAAAAAACTTACGATTTCTTTGATGAGAATAGATGATTTATTGTTTCCGAACTTGTGCTTATTGTTTGATGAGTTTTGTGAATTTTTTTCCAAATTTGGATAGGAAATCTTGTCCTCTATTTTATCATTCCATGCATCATCACAAGAAGCGTTGAATTGTTCAAAACTATAAGTAAGATTATTATGGTTTTTCTTTTCTTGTTTCATATCGACTGGAAATGAATGTTGTCTTTCGATGGCCGATGATGGTCTTGCTAATCCGGGAATTTTAAGAATTGAATTAGCCATCATATTTTGATGATGATTGCTTGTGGTTGTTGTTTTGTTATTACTGTTCGATGTACTTGTATTCGGCATATTCAACAGGCATACACACACACACACAAATATATAGGCAAGCAAACAATAGAAATAAAAACTTCCAGTAACAATCAAAACAGACAATAGTCAAGACAAACAAAAATATAATGATGGTTGATCATCATCATCATTCATCATTAATCGTTATGAATCATTTGAATAAATTGATTAAATTGGAATTCTTTTCAACTTTTTTTCACTAAAACAAAAATTGTGGTTCGCGTTTTTTTTTCTGTAATTGAGGAAAAAAATCATATATAAATTGTCTTTATAATTGTTTTGGTCAAATCACATATTATCATCATCATTATTATATATGTTGGTGGTTTCTTTATGTATTTTTTACTGAATGAATGTAGTCGTATACGAAAACAACAAACACACACACACACACACACCTACATTCATTTATGATACAGATGAGTGTTTACCTTGAAAATTTCAACCAATAGATGGCAATGTATATCTTTATTTTCATAAAATTCATTCAAGTTTATTGGAATGATGATAAAAAAAATGTATATATATAGTTCAAATGGTGGTCTGTTTTTATTTCAATTAATTAATTTTTCATGTTTTTTTTTGATATAAAAAAAAGATGTAATATTTATATATTATATATTAAATTATATTTACAAAATAATTATTTTCACAAGATGAATCAAAATGAATTAAACAAATACAAAATAAAATTCAATTCACAATGTGCTTTTTAATGGCAATTTTTGTCTGAATAATTTTCCGAAAGATGAAAGATAAATTCTTAAAATGGAACCAGATCTTTATCGTTTGGACATTGAATGCCTATCAGGTTAGAAAGTGTTTTTTTTTAATAAGAAGACTAATATACCACAAGTGTATAAACTTACTATTTTCTCGATACTTTTGAATGGCTCGTTCACGTTCATTAGCATCGAAATACCAAACAGTAATGGCGAAACGCATCCTTGTCGATGGCATCACTTCATGTGGATTACGGCGATCAGACCAAAAGAAAATGACTCGATTAAATCTTGGTTCAATATCAGCAACTATTCCATCATTCATTTGTGGAAATAATCTTAATACTCCTCCATCACGCTAAAATGAAAATTGAAACAATGAAAAAAAATTTCCTAAAACATCATGATTATGATTATCATTACTTCACGCATGTAGTCCTTATTCAAATAGTAAATACTCGTGATACATCGTCCATCATTATTTGGATTATCCACATGACGAACATATTTTGTATAATTACTAGGATAACATGCAATCATTGCTTTCGTTCTACGGGTAATTCGATACTTTTGAAACTCTCCAAAGGCGATATTATTGCATCGGGTTATGATCGAATCCAATATTCGAACAAGGAAACCAATATTACAACAAATCTGTTCATTGCCTTCCACCCAAGTGATTCGATCACCTCGTATTAATTTAGAATTGGAATTAGCTTTAATGTTGACCACTTGACCAGGTTGAAAGAATCCTTTTTTATACAAAAAAGTTACTTCATTTAGAATAAGGTCACCATTTTGTAGAAAATCATCGATGACGCAGAAACCATATTTGTTCATATCTTTCAGAATGATCTGACAATATTTGTTTAAATCTTTTAAAACATTATCACGATTTAAATTTTGATGAGTAAGACTATAAGATGATGAATGGTTACGAAAATTAAGTTGTTGATGACTATTATTCACAATATTGTTTGCGATAGTTCCTGTAGATGAATGTTGATGTTGTTGAGCATAGAAATCGGAAATTTCTTCTTCCTGATGATGCTGCTGTTGATCAATTGTGGATGAATCAAAATCGCTACTATTATTCTGTGAATTCATCAAATTATATGAGAAATTTTGTTTTATGAATTATCATTATATATCATTGTGTACTTACAATTCCAGGGTTGAAATTATTGACAATTAAATCACTGTTATTCGCCATCATAATTGATTGATTGTTTGTTGCCTGTAAATCATTAGCCAATATATTCATAATTTGAGGCTGTTGTTGTTGCTCATTAAAAATTTTCAATATTTCATCATTAGATGATGATGATGATGATGATGATTGACCTGACGGTGGTGTTGATGAGAACATTTTTTGTTGATCAAGTTGTTGTTCAATCATCATTAACTGTTCTTGTTGTGGATGGCCATTGTTAATGATAATACTATTATTATTATCATTATTATTTAGGTAATTGTAACCATTTTGAACACACCAACGTTTATGCTCTTTCCAATGTGCAAGCTGATGTTCACGTCCACAATAATTTGCTTTTAGACATCTTCCACACGATTTAAGATTATCTGTCTTACCACAAACTTCACATGACATTGTGTTCGAAATGAATGAAATGATTTGATGACTGTATGCAAAACAACAACAACAAAAAAAAAACAAATTCAAAACAGAACTGATACACACACACACACACAAACGAAATCCTGGGTGATAGAGATGACAATTTCAACGACGACAATGATGATTATGAAAAAAGATATTTGGTATTGATCATGATGATGATTGAAATGCATAAAAACGAATCTCAACCGCCAATGATGGATTTTGATCTGCTATAGCTGAAAAAGTGTAATGAGAGAAATTACTATAAAAAAAATTAAACATTGAGGTTATATGAACTGATTTTTTCCATTCCACATACACACACACACATATATATATATCATCAATGAATTGATAGTTTGAGGAACTGTGTGAACAAAAACTAAAATGAAATGAAATTCATCTTGGCATTTGTCCGTGTGTGGCGGCAATAATAATATCTTGTATACAACACTCTTCTCACGTAGACCTCTTTTTTTCATAACAGATGAATGAAAACGTCCTCTAGTGTTGATATTGATTATTTAATTTTTGTAAATAAAATTTTTTTTTCTTAAAATATCAATCATCCTATTCATTGAGACACTTGGAAAATTTAAATCATTGATGGTGTATCTACCGCTTTGATGGTCGATAATAGTTATAAAGGGGTCGTATAAAATTTTGTACACTTTGATGAAATTCAATTATTTATAATGATAATTTAATTTATTAATTTAAAAATTTGATTGAAAGAATGAATGATACAAAGAATGAAAATTTAATGAGTTCAACGTCTGATTAGATATGTTCGTCCTTGATGTCGATACTCGAGTATAGACATGGAATTATTCTCCGCTTTGTTGATCATACATGTATCGATTATTTTGCGATCATCACATAGGCCAAGTTTGATAATTATCACTAATGCTGCTGATTGTTCGGCATTTTTTTTTGTATTTTCCAGATATGGTGTAGCATATGATTTACCTTGGAAATATAATATTGAATGGAATCTTTTCTCAATTTGTTTAGTTTCAAAACGGGGATTTTCGAAATTGTTTTTCATTAACCATTTATTCAGAATGGTTTTTGGATAATTTGAATGAGCGAAGACCCTTTTAACAAATATGATTGGTAATTCAATCATATCGTTGTTAATGGGTGATTTATCCTCATGACCATTATCTTGTATTGATGTAGGAATTATAGAAATCTGTTTGTACAAATTTCTACTATTGCAGATATTTTCATAATAATCGTTTATTTCATATATATCACTGATAGTTTTAAGATCACGAGCACCTAAATGCAAAAAACCATAGTTTAATCAGGTTTATTCAATTATTAATTACAATTCTTACCGGCAACAAGTTTTCCAATGCCATATTCTTGCATATTGCCCAACATTTGTAATATACAATATTTAGTGTTGCCAGTTGTATTATCATAACGAATCGCTAATTTAAGATATTCTTTTATCACATCATCAACATCTTTGATCATATTGGATGGATTAAATATTGAACAATTCTTCATGGCTGATCGTGAAACCATAACAGATGATGCACGAGTTTTTTCCTGAAAAATTTTCATGTCCTCATAATTGTTGATTCTACAGGAATCACCGTTGGCAATCACCGGTATATTCAATGTATATGCGGCTGCACGTATATAATCATTACGATTTGGATGTCTGGGTCGTTCATCAATGGTGCGTCCATGAATGGCAATTGCATTGGCACCAGCTTCTTCAATCAATTTCAAAAGATTCAATGTAGAATCAAGACTATCAAATACTCGAATTTTACAGGAGATTGGTTTTCGAATTTTCGCTTTCAATGATCGAATTATGTTTTGAACCAAATCTGGTTTCTTCAATAATGCAGCCCCCATACCACCTTTAATTGAAAAGGATTTGGGACAACCCATATTAATATCGATACCGGCAACGTCATCTTCAACCATTTGTGCCGCGATGACAGCTCGATCAGGATCGTTTGTTCCAATCTATCAAGATGAAAAATTGATTAATGAATTTTTACAATTCCTCATAATGAAACACATACTTGCAATATAACTCTGTCTTTTTCCAATGAACAAGTTCGAAATACGACAACACCATCATCATCAACAATATAACTCTGTCTTTTTCCAATGAACAAGTTCGAAATACGACAACACCATCATCATCAACGAAATCAATAGTTCCTAAAGCATCATTTACATAACGTTTCGATTTTATCAATTTAAAATCGATAATTTCATCTGTATAAACAAGATCGGCCCCATATTGAAGTGCTAATATACGCATTGGTAGCGTTCCAATTCGTACCATTGGGCCAAGGATCATTTTGTTCCTATACAAATGATTATGGTCATTTTCTGAATTCGTCATTGTCTTTTTGTATCTATGATAAAAAGATTCATCACATATATATGTTTATTATTTTATTCTGCGAAATTTCGTAAACGTAAACAAATCAAAAAAATCATCGACGATCATTTGGCACATGGCATAGATGCTATTCAAAATGTACGATCTCTCGAAAAGTTGTGTAAACATAGTCCTCATTGCGAATACTTGATTGAGCATTGCTCAATTTCCAGAAAAATGGATGATTTGGTGTATTTCCATAAATATTGAAATACTAACAAAGATGGTAATCATTAACGATAATAATGATAATAAAAAAAAACTTCTTAACCAACACTAGGTCTTAAAACATTTATAGTTTATATCAAAAATTTCATTTTTACACCCATAAAATTGAGATTAGTCTTTCATATCATAGTAAAACAATCCAATGTAATAAAACTTAATCAGACCATTCTTAAATTCAACAATTTTATGTAAATCGACATTTGTTTTTTGACATTACGCATTTAACGGTTGAAAGAAGAATTCATAGAAAAAATGACATCACGAGATGTTGAACCAATTCTGGACATTAATGGTGATGTTCGAGAATCTGAACCAACGCTGGACACGTATGAATCATCGACTAATATAAACGAAGATATTGATAGCATCGAAATTGATAGGTAGTTATAATTATCACATTTTTTTTACTTGTTCTAATTTAAATTTCTTTAGATTTCATTTGGCTCGAATTCTATTCTTCATGATTGGTTTGGTACAATTGTTGCCAATGAATTTTCTAATCACTGCTGATGATGTAAGTGAGCACATTTTTTTTGTCATATCACGGCAATATAATCGTGATTTTTTTTTATGTGGAAAAGTTATGGAATTACAAATTTAGAGATGTAAATTCAACAGATACTCATGATAAGACAGAACTTCAGAAATTTTTTGATAGTTATTTGATCATTGCCTGTAATTCACCATTTTTACTTGTTTATCTTGTTAGTATGACACAATATTTTCATAGGTAAGTTCAATTCAAATTAATATTGTGAACTATTGATTCTTAAATGGGTATTTTTTCGTAGGATTACCATTGATTTGAAAATTCATCTTGCTTTTATATTTACCATCATAACTTTTGTTGTAATCACAATTTTTGTCAAAATCGATACTGATGGATGTAATGTATTTTTCTTATTACTAATGTGATATAATAATCATGGTCATCTATTTATATCGTTTCAGATCAAAATGCATTTTTGAAAATATTATTAATTCTAGTATTCATTGTGAATGCAGCTGCCATTTTTATTCAGGCAATTTTCATTGGTCTTGCTGCATTGTTTCCTTTGAAATATGTACAAACAATGGTTGCCGGTCAGGCAATGTCCGGTTTATTTGCCGCATCCACCAAGATATTCTCATTGTTGGGACATCGTACATTGGTGAACAATGTTTTCATATTTTTTCTTCTGGCCAATTTGGTTTTGATAGCAACGTTTGCACTATATTTGTACATACGAAAAAAGGTTTTATAATTATTAGTTATTGAATTTCAATTGTAATTTTTATTTACTATTTTCATAGCCATTCTATTCATCATTTGTATATGCTTCATCTAGCTTGGAAAACAATGTTCCAATGAATTTGTCATTATTTGGACAAATTTTCAAAAATGTAATGTATATCATCATTGATTGTATTCTCATTTATATAAAATCATTATGAATTATAGATGTGGCCATTCTGTTTAACGCTTACGTTTGTCTTTTGGGTTACAATATCCATCTATCCTAGCTTATTCGTTCTAATAACACCTGTTGATCATGAAACTGTTATACCAGAAAAATTTATTCTACCGATAACATGTTTTCTTGTATTTAATTTGGGCGATTTTCTTGGTCGATATATGGGACAATTTGTTCTGCTCACTAAAAATCATGGATATACCATAATGATAATTTCATTATTTCGTTTATTGTTCATTCCTATTTTTCTCTATTGTAATGCTCAACCTAGACATCATTTAGTGTTTTTTACATCCGAAACATTTTTTATTATATTCAATTTTATATTCGCATTACTTAATGGTTATCTTGTATTGAATGTATTTGTTAATGGGCCACAATTAATGCCTGAAGAATATCGTCATATGTCAGGATATTTTTTGATTGCATTTTTAGGTCTTGGACTTACATTAGGTTCACTTACATCACCATTTGTTATCGATCTTTTATAATAAATTTTATATTGTAGAACATATTATTAGATTATTATAAACAATGATTATAACTTTATATATATATTTTTTTAATGTTATTTATTAGAATAAACATTAAATCAATTCTACTTTATTATTTCTATTTTTATATGACAATCCTCAAATGTCCTCAAACGTATCAATAGAAATTATCAGTAAATAAATTTAGTTTAAATACTGAAGAAAAAGTCTTTAATAATTTTTGAAATTCCTTTAGCTTGTTGTTATGAAAAAACGTATTTGTATGGAATAAAGAGGGGGGAGATACACCAGGTAAAGTATATAAATCAAACAAAAACAGAAAATTGGAAAAAAAATTTTAACTTGTATTGAATAATTGACCTTCAACATATAATATATAGACATACTTCAATGAATGTGTGCATCTCACCTTTCATTTTTTTTTCATTCGTTCATCTTTCTATCTATCTATCGTTCATTGACAAAGAAGAGATATGGTCATAATCTTGGATACTGATAATGAGTTTTAGGCGTCGACTTGATCTTGTTCGTTTAATTTGGTTTTTTTTCATTCAAGTTGTTGCTCTCGTTTCGAATGTTAATGATTCAAGTGTGTGTGTGTGTATTTGATCTAGTTAGCCCGTCTGGCAACATTTTCTTACCCATCATATTCTTTATAAAGTATATTATGTGTGTGTGTGTGCTTGAAAAGAATTTCATAGTCATCATCATCATCATCATTATTATTATAGTGATGCATAAATCGAATCAAGTAAGTATGAGTAATGTTGAATTAAATAAAATAAAAAAAAACATTCTAGGTCCGCATCACACAAAATATGCATATATGCACATGCAGAGAAAGACAAACACACACACACACAATGATTGGATTGTTTAAATTAATTTTTTTTTCAGGATTCATATCTCTTCTTCACTGTGTTTGTTAGCTTTAAAAACTTTATTATTATTCAAATTTGATTAAGATTTGAATTCAAACAGGATTTTCAATGTATATAAAAAAAGTGTGAATATTTATTCTTTTTCTTTAAAAAAAATACGAATCATCATTATAATAATAATATACAGGTTTATATTTATTTATATAATAGTAATAGGACGGACATACAATCAATCAATCAGGAAACATAATCATCAAATAGGCTATCCAAATCATCAAGAATGATGCCTTCCATTTGTTCATTATTATTATCATGATGATGATTGAATTGTTGCTCTTGTTCTATAGCTAAGCATGTACTATTAACATTATTATCATGATTATTTTTCATGTTCATTATGGTTTGTTGACTTGTTGTTTGTCTATAATCGATTATGTTACTTGTTATAAAATTATTATCTGATTGTTGTTGTTGTTGTTGCTGTTGGCGATTATCAATTAAATGATCAAATACAAATGTTTCCATCATATTCGACAAACCAACGACTTGATTTTGCTGTGTTTGTTTTTGTGTATCACTGTCATGGTTATTCAATGAATATTGCCCACAATAAATCGGTTCACTAGTATTGCAATATGGTTGATTAGAATTAGAATATTGGTGAATATTTTTATGGATACCTATATGTAAATTCGGTATCATGGAACTTGGTACATGTTGAATGTTGCTATTGTTACAGCTTATGCTGTTGCCATTATTCAAATTATTGGAAATGGTTCGATTTGTCACTGTGGTGGAAATAGTAGCTTTATCTTTATGATTTTCACTCGATGGTTGAATATTTTCATTATCATGGCCATAATTTGGACATTCACTTTCCGTTTCCGGTTGTCGTAATATTTGTGTCAATGCTGAAATATAATTGACGGCCAATTTAAGCGTATTGATTTTCGTCAATTTAGCCATCGATTGACTGGATCTTTCATCTGTTATTGAGAATATATCAGGAACAACACTTTGTAATCTTTTGAATGCATCATTAATTTCTTGCATTCGACATCTTTCTCGTAAATTGGCAGTCTTTCGACGATATTTACTCAATGGTGGAGGCTTATGTTTGACAATCGGATTACGTGATTCATTACGAACGTTTCGATTAATATTACTTTGATTGTTGTGATGATGTTGAATTAGATTTGATTCGTAGATTATATTTTTTTCCAGTCGATACTTTGACGATCTTTTCTTTTCTTATAGTCATCTTTGTTTTGTTTTGATCATTTTGATCATTATGATCTTGATTGGTTTTGGTCACTGTCGAATCCATTTTGTAATGATTATCACACAAACAAACAAACAACACAATGAATCAAACACTGGTAACGGAAAAAATGTATTCATATCATGTCAGTCAATTGTTTTATGAAAATAGCATTAGAATCAAACAAATTTCAATTTTAAAATCATCATCATAACATGATTACTATAAACTGACTCGACTAAGAATGGTATGGATTAATGCAATCAACGATTACTTTGAAATGAACGACCAAACCGAAGAAAAAACGACCAACCAGTCATCAACGACTACTGCCGCTCATCATCATCATTGAAGCTTGTTCGCCACATATATGGATATGTGTTTGTGTGTGTGTGTGTGTTCAATTAATAATCGTGCATCAAATTTACGTCCTCATAGGTGAAGTGAAAAATTGTGTGGGATATATCTTCAAGTAATCTTATTATATGAAACGACCAATAGTTCGTTTCTTTAACGATGAAAACAAGTCCGCCTATACAAGTGTTCGAGAGAATATTTTCCTTTTTTTTTCTTAAATGAATTTCAAATTGTGTATAGCATCATCAATGATTATTATGACGGTCTTGGCCAAGTCCGTAAACGCTACGAAACATTTGGAAAGAAAAGAAGAAATCCTAGATTTTTTTTCTCTCTTTCTTATTTTTCACCTTTTTGGTTGTGATGCTCATAGCAAAAATGGCTCTATGGGCTAGGTATGAATAAAATGTTTGTGTATGTTTTTCATGTACTCGGAACTTTAATTCTAGATCAATAAACGAGAGGGATAAAAACAATGTGATTTATTGACCATAATCTTCATACCAGCCATTAATTGAAGGCATTATAAATCAAATTTTTATTTTTTTCGTTCAATAAGTTATCAATTTCTAATCAATCGAAAACTTGTTGATATTAGCATTATAAAATAATCAATGGTCCGATTATTGAAATGAAATATCAAAATAACAACAACAAATTTTGCTGATCCTGTTGTTTACGAGTTGATAGAAAAAATCATTTTCAAAGCAAAAAAAAAATCTTTAATTGAAGCAACAAGTGGATCAAAAAAATGGCCTTATAAAACAAAAAAAAAATTATATGCAGAGATGGCACTATTAGTACTACTACTAATAATATGCTGCTGTCAAAATCGATTATTTTCTCTCTTTATACATATTGATATTGTGGATATAAGGACCATGAGGATGAGCTGAAACACAGGATTGCATGAAAATCCAATAATAATAATAATATAGAATTAATCTTAATGGATAGAATTATAATCTTTATAATATCCAATTGGATCAAAATGAAACGTAAGTGGTATGTGTGAGTAATGGGCGTGTGTGTGTGATTACCGCCTACTATTTATAATAATCTATTCTATTAATTCAATATATCACAGAAAAGAAAGTGCGCGAGTACTGCGATTTTGGCGAGTATTTCGGCTATTCGAGTGTATATAGCCGAACAATTAATATAAGTGCAATGTAACAAAAGTTTTCGATTGTTTAATTTGATTTCCATCATACGTTATTTCGAATCATAAACTAATGGATTAGAATTATGTCGATAAAAATGGTGTACAAAACGATCCAACTATTCCAATTCAAAAAGGTCTTCAATGTGATGGAAAAAGATTTCACATTTCATTTTTCTGTAAGTTGAATATGATATTTTCGTGCAGTTTATGTGTTGAGTAATGAAATCTTATAAATTCAAATGGCACATTTTACTGCCGGATAATTATGAATTCCCGGTTTGATGATAACTTAAACGTATTTTGAGGTGTCCTGTGTGTGTTTGTGTCGGAGGTTATACATATATCGTGCTTTTGTATGTTTATTCCATCAGTTGTAGTGGTGGTGTTGTGTAGTATAAGTGGTATGTGTGAGTAATGGGCGTGTGTGTGTGATTACCGCCTACTATTTATAATAATCTATTCTATTAATTCAATATATATAATAGTAAACAATAATTATCATTTCATTTTAATAGTGAAATAATAATCAAGTGGTTTTTATTTTATTTTTTTTTTCATAATCACTAAAGTATTATGATCATCATTATTGTACTAAATGTACGCGTACAGAACAAATTAAATTTTCGCGATTGTTGAATAGAATAAAAATAAACGCAATTGTATCAAATGATTGATACATATTAAATTAAAATCAATTCACATAAATTGATTCATTGATTTTTTCGGACACATGATTCAAACAATATGTCAGCAACAAATTCTATGAATCTATAATTGAATCTGATTATTTGTTTTCGTTTTGCAATGTTATGGTCGATATCAACTTATATTACATCTAATCTTAGTTCCATAGTGTTGATTCTATTATTTCTACGTTATTTGGTATCATTAAATAAAGATAAACGTTTGCCTAAAGGTCCCAGTGGTTTTCCACTGCTTGGTTATCTCCCATTTTTGGGAAAAAATCCTCATCATACTCTTTGGAAACTTGGCGAACAATATGGTTCGATTTATACGTATGTAATATATATTCCATATTAAATAAATAAATTGAAATATTTTCCATTTTCAATCGTAGACTGCCACTTGGTGAGCAAAAAATTGTCATTCTAAATGACTGGGATTCAGTGAGAAATGCATTACGAAAAGATTCTTTTCTTGGCCGTCCTGATGTTTCAATGTTTTCATTGGTAACTGGAGTGAAAAGTCAGTATTAATAAATAAATAAATTAATTACTTTTGTTATAATCATTATCCTTTCAATAATGATGATAATCATATCGTTATTATTATTTAGGTTTAATCGATGATAATCACTCTAGTTGGCGGGAAGATCGTCGATTTTTTGAAACAATATTCAAAACCTGCTTTGATAGTCCAAATATTTTCAAAAATCTAGTTAATGAACTCAAGTCATTGTTGATATATTTGAAACGGTCCAATGGTACTCCAATAGAAAGCCGTAAAAATATCACAAAATATGTGAATAATTTTTTCTATTCATTTATCTTTGGACGACATTATATTTCATCGAAATCGTTATTCGATTCAGCACTTTTTCTTAGAATTTCGATTTTATCGCTATATCCATCATGGATAGCGAAAACCTTTTACAAATTATTTGTCATGTTTAATCATCATCATTTTACATTATTTGCCAAATTTTTCAAGTAAGATTCATTGATCACATATTTATCATTATTACAAAACATTTGCGTAATTTTAATAAATACAAACAGAAATGAAGCAAAAAATCATTTCAAATCAATGAGAAATGAGTCTTCCATTCGTGATTTAATTGATTATTATATTTTGGAGATGCAAGCCAAAAAAACCAATTATACATCGACTACAATGTCTAGTGAGTATCATCATCATTAATTTTAAAATGAAACAAAATAACCTGTTGCTTTTCATTTTCATTTTTATTGATAGTCGATAAATTGCGAGCCAATTGTCAGGTATTTCTTAGTTTTGGCTGTGAAGCTTTTATATCATCATTTGAATGGTCATTAATATCAATGGCTTATTTCACCGAATATCAACAAGTTATGTTTAAAGAGATTGAAAAAACCATAGGCTTACAGCGAATACCCGATTTCAAAGATGAAATTCGAATGCCATTCACTACGGCATTCTTGAATGAAGTATTTCGATGGAAAACTGTCCTGCCTTTCAATTTTACACGAAGGTATACATCATAAATTCTTTACCAATTAGTGATTTTAACAATATTTTTCTTTTTTTAGATCTACTGATGATGCCACTATTTTAGGTCACTTTATTCCCAAAGATACATTAGTTGTCGCTAATATATGGGCTGTACATCACGATTCTGCTATATGGGAACATCCATTTCGCTTCAATCCATACAGGTTTCTTACAGATGATGGTAAAACTATGATCGGAGATCATGAAGGATTCATGCCATTCTCACTGGGCAAAAGATCTTGTGTAGCCGAAACATTTGTTAAAAAATGGCTTTTTATTTACATTGTCGTCATTCTGCAGAATTTTTCCATTTCTTCACCTAGCGGTGAAGAAGCATTTGATGAAGTATATCATCTAACTGTTCGACCTAAGAAAGATGTTCAATTGACATTTCAATGGCGAAATGAGAGTTGATTAATCCTATCGTGTACATATCATCATGTGATTTTTTTCGAAATAAAAATTATATCATTTTCAAAGCAATTAATTGCTATCACAATTAAATGATTGTAATTTGTAACAATTATGTATATTGTTCTTAATTTCATTGTTAGATGGCGCGTTTTCTTTATGAAAATGATCGAGTTTCGGTGTTTTCATCATATTTTTATTTTCTTTAAAAAAAATTGGTCAACATTATCATCAAAGGTATTATAGTTTTAGATATAATTGTCATATGATTTGATTTATTTTGTTACTTGTCAATCACTAGATTTTTGTCTGTTATTATCATTAATGTTGCAATAATTTGTTTGTATCGATACGGATATCTTCGTCACATCGAGAAGCAAAGAACATATTCATTATTTTAACTTTATTATATACCCAACAGTAAAAACAACATCAAGAAAATGATGCACAACTTTCATCTGCTTAGAAATCCAAATTTTCGACTGAACAAAGTTTCTCCTTTGGATAATGGTACATTAGTGACGTTCATCAATAATTACATGTACGCTATGATTGGAATGTTTAATGATTTTACTGAGCATCTGGAGACGAAATTAATCACTTTGAATCGTAAGATCGATAATATCTCTGCTAATTTAGTCATCCTTGAAATGAAACTTAATAGTGTGAATAGTACATTACTAAGCAATGATATCGGTGCCGATGTTAATTTGAATACGGTAGAACAACATAATCAAGTGATGACCGTGCCGGAAATGCTTAATGTTGATAAGGATGGGATAAATGTACAAGATGATACGAAAATTTATACAACGGAAACAGTGATTGATCAAACGACAACATCTCAACATCAACAAAAAGAACAAAATGATTCGAGTTCATCAGAGCCTGAAACGAATTTGTCAAATAATAATAATTCAGAACAGAATGAAAGTTTAGAAATGTACAAGCGAATGCTTAGATTCGGTGTGAATGAAAATGCCGTTCGTCAGAAAATGGTCATTGATGGCATCGAACCTTCATTATTGAATTTATAAATGAAAATTATTGATTTTCTATTAAAATTCTATTAATCCAATGAAGAAAATGAGAGACGGCCGTATTAACGCCCGGAAAATTATCCGCACATGTCACACCAAAATCAATGATACCGAAAAGAATGGCTCGATCATTTCTATAGGCAAAAAATGGACCACCAGAATCCCCCTAAAATATTTTTGAATAAATTTCAAATTATAATGAAATAATAATAATTTGATTCAAATGATTAAACAATCTTACACTACAGGCATCTTTATTCATTGTATATGTACAAATCTGTGAATGTATTATATCTTGTTTTAGTTTAGAATAAATGCTGCGACATTCATTCAATGGAATGATATCTAGGTCTACTTCTTGTAAAATCTGTGAAACTTTATAACTAGTAAAATTTCGATAACCCCAGCCAATGGCACGACCTTTTTTTAAATTATTAAGTGATTCAAATGAATAATCCGGAAGACAAATAGGTCGAATCGTTTGGCCAAATCGCAAAGGTTCTTTTAGTCTGATCAATGCCAAATCGTATTTCTGTCGACCTTGATATTTTTCATGTAAAATTATTCTATCAATTTTCTTCATAATCAAACGCTTGATATTGATCGAACCCACACCGATCGAATAGATTGATGATTGTTTCGAGTCACGAAAATTATGTGCAGCAGATAAAAGCCATCTTTCATTTATGATAACAGCACCACCGAATGGTATTGAATAACGATAAAGCATTGCTGCAAATGGATATGATCCATCCAAACTGTTTTGGCCATTTGCAATTCTTTCGAAATGGCCGGAAAGTCCACAGCCAGGTAAAGAGAGGCTATTTTTCACTTGAACAATGAATTCTATATTGTCAATCACAATGAATTTATCACAATGAATATTATCAGATTTGTATAATAAAAATGATAAAATAAAAATACGATACATTGTTTGGTAACAAATAGATTTCCAACATTTGTCGCAAATTTTAGCTATTGTAAATTAATGGAAATAAAATCACATAAAAATTAATCAGTCGATTTGTTCGATTTTTAGAACCGCCACCAATTTTGGAATATTGCAATAGTCAATTCCAATTTGACTAAAGTGAAAAGTATCGTCGAAATAGTTGTAGTCTTATAAACATCCAACAGCTGGAATTGCTTTCGTCATGGATGTATCAACGGATATATTATCAGCATTATCTTTGATCAATTCGGGTGACGTTACCGAAAATGATTTATATTTTATATTCGATCAATGTAATCAAACAATTCAAAATAATCAATCTAACATTTCATCGTGTTCAGAAATCATTAGAGTGCTCATATTTGCTATTAATGCTTTGATGCTTGAAGCTGTCAAATGTCAAATCAATCATGCTACTTTGATTCGTTCACTACAAGATAATGGGCTTGATTGTAGCACAAATAAATTTAAATTATTTGAAAATTTTATTGAAAAATCCATGAGAAAATTATATCACAACATTTCAAATCTAGAATTGGAACCAAATATTCGTTTCAAAGATCTGGAATGGTCACAGATGTTGGATTTAAAAAGTTCAAATGGTGAAAATATTCGTAAAAAGAATTACATCATCGATATAATTGGTTCAAAACCTTCCAAAGATGGCAATAATCATTCGACAACCGATTCTATTTCAATGATATTTTCCGAACAAGGAATACAGGATTTTTATGTGACAATACGTGATTGTATGAAAAATGTTGAACATTATATTTAATTAATTAAGAATCAGAATTCAAATAAAAATAATTTGCTTTTTGTCTATTTACTAATTATAAATTTAGTAATCAAGTAATTTTTTCTGATAAAAATAATCCATTTTTTCTGATCAATTAATCAATCAATCGATATCAAATATTACATTGAATTTAAAAAAAAAATTGGATTTATATATTGTGACCAAAACAACTTGGAAATGTTGGCTCTATCATGTCGCTGTTAGAGATATATTTATTCTCTTTTGCGTGAAAAAAAGGAAAAGGATTTTTCTTTTGCTTTTTTTTATTATTATTTGATTTCCTTTACTTTTGGTTGGATAAAAAAAACGTTTCATTTTTTTTTTTTTTTTTTGATTTATGACTATAACAAATTTTACCATCATTTATTGTTGTATATGTAATATTTGGCAAACACAAACACACATACCGATCCAATATACAACGAAATAAAGATGTTTCTTCTGAAAATGATAAGTATTATTAGGAGGTGTGTTGTTTTTGAAATGAAAACATCTATTAACAATAGTTTATCATATTTTTTTTTTTGCTCATTTGTAGGTGCCTGCCTGCTCCACCGATATCATTTTGACGACGAGTTGAATTTACCTGCGACAGTGTATATGTGTTATCTATGGGTAAATTATTATATCAATGTGTGGTGCAACCAGAAAAAAAAATAGCAACAGACGTTTTGGTTTATGGTTAACAGCCATCGTATTTTCATCATTAAATATATTCATCACAAGAGAATTTAACAAATATAATGGAGAAAAAAAATACCGCTACCGGTTATATAACATTTTCTGTTAAATTTGTTTGTAATTAGAGTGCTATAGAGGATAATGACGGTTGGTGCTGATGATGACGATTAAATCGGTTATTGTAATGTGAATGGTGGTGTGTATGATGGCGTCATCATCATTCATATAGTAAAAATAGTGCAAATTTAGATTTAAAAAACAGACATATATAGTAGTATATGGTAGATAATAGTAGATCATACAATAATAAATAGTAAGAATAATACACTTCAATCGAATTCCATTGGCCTTTTTTATATATACTTTGCATCTAAATTCATTACAAATTGAATTCAATCCAATCATCATCATCATCATCATGTGTTGGAATAAATAATGTACTGCAATTTTTTACGGTCACCGATATCTCTATCTGTTATCGGTTTTTTATTTGTGTGCGTGGCTGTTCCGTGAAAGGTAATTGATGATGATGATGACGATAGGTTGTATAAGATAATTTTGCTACCACCGTTAGTTATAACCGTTACCATCACTATAACAACCACCACCATTATCGTGGTATCTTTCTATGTATCTTTTCATAATAGGGCTTCGTAATAATAATGAGGAGGAGGATAATGTTTTTAGAAGCAAGATTTTTTTTTTGGGTGATTGAAAGAATTATATTTTTGTATGATGATGATGATGATGATGGTGGTGGTAGGAAAATGAGTCAAGAATATATATTCTTGAGCATACCCATTCTATTCACACACACACACACACATTTATATATACCGTTATGTTGAAAAAAAAATTGTCTTTCGGCCCAATCAGTAGGTCGGTTGTTTAGATTGGTTGATCGGGTATATTCACACAGTTTGATTCGATTCGGTGCCATTCTTTTGTATATGTCGTGTCAATCGACGTTATTCTATCGTGTCGACTGCTGTTGTGTGCGCGATTCAACCAACAAATTCATTTCGTAGCTTAAATGTAGAACACAATAACATAAACTAATACTAACTTTTTACTAAGTTCTTGTATATAATTTTTTTTTTATTACTATTTAGGTAGAACAATATTTTTTTTTATATTTGGGATTCACTCTTGACTCGATTCTTCTGTCGCCGTTTTCATTTTTTTCTTTTCGTCTTTTCAGATACCTTAGTTATTGCTTTTTCTGTCTTTCTCTCAATACATTCATACATACAAAAATATACAAACACAGTTCTGGCTCATTATCCTTTTGGTAGCCACCACCAACACCACCACCACCACCAGCACCAGCAACAACAACACCACCACCACTACTATCATCATCATCAATGATCCAGACAACAGACTTTAATCTATTTTAATTTTTAATATATTTATTGTGTGACTATGTGACTTACAATTGGTCACTGAATATATACAACTTTGGGTTAAGAAATGGGAGGAATAAATGCAAAAAATAAAAATATGATGAAGTTCTTGATGATCCAAATTGAGCTGCCAACAATTTTTCCTGTAACATATTCTTGTCATTGTGTATAAATTTTGTGTGTATTCGTTTGTGAGTGTGTGTGTGTGTGTGTGTGTGTGTGTGTATATCTAATCAAAATTTTTCTCCATTGTCATTATGATTATCATCAACGACTCTAATAATAAATTGTTTGGTGTATTGTAAGATTCCTCTTTGATTATTGATTTTATTTTTATTTTTTTTTTATCATAATCATCATTAAATTCTTTGATCAACATAATTATCAATGTCCATCCATTTCGTCCATTATTATTGATTATTAATTAATCGAGCCAATCTTGTCATTCATTCTTGTCACAATATTGATATCTGAATTTTTTTTGTTGTTGTTGTTATTTTTTTTTCTTGACCTGTTTATAATTATTTTCTTTTTTTTTTTTTTGTCTGCCAAAATAATTCCAATCCAAATTATTTCCTATTTTTTTTTTTTGTTTGTTTGTTTGTTTGTTTGAATAAATCGAAACATATTCACATTTTTCCATCAAGTTCGATTCGAATTGTATCGAAAATATTTTAGAATCGAATGAATCATTCAAAAACGAATGATTTATTCAATAAAAAAAAAATTTTGACATTCACACAGGCAGCAAATTTTCCAAATGTTTTTTTTCAAACATCAAACAATATCATCATCATCATTTGAAAATATTGGTCAGCTATATATTATCGTGATGTTTATGATAATCATTTATGAATGGAATTGTTGAATGCCATACCAACATTATCATGTTTCATTTGTGACTACAGTATCCGCAAACATACACACAAATACACATTTACACACACACATACACACACACACACACGTATACAACCAACATACGACACACCACGCGATTTGTCAAATGTGTTATATCATACCATCTTTACAATTCATATTTTTTCCCGTATTTCTGTAATGAGACTCTCACCATTTGATCCAGTCTTCAAAGTTGCCTAGTCAAAGATTATTTTATTAAAAAAAAAAAAAAAAAATTATTGCCGTTTGAAATTTGATCTCCTGTTTTTTTTGTGTTTACGAATTTAAAAAAAGTAACAACAATCAAGTCAATTCAAACATAAACATACACCTACTCACATATATCACACACAGTTTATCACCATGCCTTTTACCGGAACTTTAAAGCTTAAAATTGTCGAGGCTGCTGATCTGAAGCCTACACAATTGTCCGTTCGCCATGTGCTCGGCAAGAATCAATCAATGGTTATTGATCCGTTCATTAATGTTGCCGTTGATGATTCGGTAATGGAAAGAACTACGGCTAAATCTCGTACATTCAAACCGGTATGGAACGAATCATTCAATCTGGAATTGATTGAAGCCAAAACACTGCAATTAACAGTGTTTCATAAATCAGCATTATCCGAAGAATTTGTAGCAAATTATTCGCTCACATTCGATGAGATTCAAGAGAAACATGAGGATAATGATTTTTGGGTAATTTATTTATTTGATATGATTGACTAAGATTTATTCATCACTTATATCATATATATACATACTTTATGAATAGCTTGACTTGGAACCAGTAGGAAGATTACATGTTATGATTGAATTAGTTAATAAACCGGAACTAAGACCACCGAAAGAATTCCATGAACGTATTGGTTTCAATAATAGGCGTCGTGGTGCCATGAGACGTCGTGTTCATCAAATAAATGGTCATAAATTCATGACGACCAACCTAAGGCAACCGACATTTTGTTCACATTGTAACAAATTTATTTGGGGACTAGCTAAACAAGGATATCAATGTCAAGGTTAGTCAAAATTATAGTTCTTTGTTTTAATTACAATTAATTTTATGTTATAAATAATATATTTTTACAGTATGCACTATGGTAGTGCATAAAAATGTCATCAATTCGTTGTTGTCAAATGTCCTGGTTGTAAAAAAACAAATGAAGAAGATGTAAGTTATAAATATGAAATAGAGGTCAATTTATTATAACAAATTCATTATATTTTAGGCATTGGCCAGTGGCAATCGATTCAGTATCAATGTTCCACATAGATTTTCCGTTCATAATTACAAGATACCGACATTTTGTGATCACTGTGGTTCTATGTTATATGGTATTATCAAACAAGGCCTCAAATGTGAAGGTAATTTCTATATGATTCATGCTGAACGATTCTATAAACTAATCAAAATTGATGGATAGATTGTGAAATGAATGTTCATAAACGGTGCCATAAAAATGTGACAAATAACTGTGGGATCAATTCAAAAAAATTTGGCGAAGTATTAGGCGAATTGGGAATTTCCAGTGAAAGTTTGAGTAGTAATAATAAATCTAAGAAAAATAAAGTCCCAATGAATGAACAGTCGCCTAGCAAGTCATCGTTCAATGAAAGATCGCATACATCACCATTGCCCAATATGACCATGGACCAATTGTATTCTGAAGAACCATTCTGCAATGCAATGTCAAACATGCGTCTTTCACTGATTACCAATAGTAAGAAATCATTATCCGTTGAAATTATATCGTGATTACTTTTTTATGTATTGCAGATGAAAAACAACAGCAAAAATCGTTACAGCAGAGTAACTTGAATCAATTGATTGAATCATGCTCTAAACGCCGCTATGACTTGGACTCATTCAGCTTTTTAAAAGTCTTAGGCAAAGGGAGCTTCGGAAAGGTGATTGCTAATTATTTCTTTTTTGAACGAATTTTTACCAATTTATTCTCATTATTGAATAATAGGTCATGTTGGCCGAACTGAAAGGAACCGATGAAGTGTATGCCGTCAAAGTTTTGAAAAAAGATGTCATTCTTCAAGATGATGATGTCGATTGTACCATGACCGAAAAACGTGTTCTAGCGTTGGCTGCCAAGCATCCTTTCCTGACGGCATTACATTCATGTTTTCAGACTCAAGTAATTTTCAATCAATAAAAAAAACACTAAAACTCTTATCAATCAATTTTTTGACAGGATCGGTTATTTTTTGTTATGGAATATGTCAATGGTGGAGATTTAATGTTCCAGATACAAAAAGCTCGAAAATTCGAAGAACCACGTGCTCGATTCTATGCGGCCGAAGTTACGTTAGCATTGATGTTTCTTCATCGACATGGTGTGATATATAGGTACTGCAAATTGGTTGCCTCCTTAAAATCTCTTGCATTCAGAATTAATTTATCCTTTTTAATCGTTTTTTGTCATAAATTTCAATTTTAGAGATCTAAAATTAGATAATATTCTCCTGGACAGCGAAGGACATTGTAAATTAGCCGATTTCGGCATGTGCAAAGAAAATATCATTGGTGATAATACGACATCTACATTCTGTGGTACTCCTGATTATATAGCACCAGAAATATTACAAGAACTTGATTATGGAGCTTGTGTTGATTGGTAATTTTTTTTATTGAAAAAATTTTACAAAATTCACTTTTTTTTTTCATGAACAAAGGTGGGCATTGGGCGTTTTAATGTATGAAATGATGGCCGGCCAGCCACCTTTTGAAGCCGAAAACGAGGATGATCTATTTGAATCAATTTTACATGATGATGTTGTCTATCCTGTTTGGCTTTCCAAAGATGCTGTCGCAATTCTCAAAGGAGTATGTTTTCAATTTGATATAAATTCATTCATTCATGTTTTCCATTTATTAAATCATTATCTGAAATTATTTTTCAAATGTTTTATATTTTAAATTATGAACCATGAACCAATAGTTTTTAACTAAAAATCCCTTGAAACGTTTGGGTTGTGTGCCTAGTGCCGGCGAAAGTGCAATACTAAACCATCCATTTTTCCATGAAATCAATTGGGAATTGTTGGAAGCAAAAAAACTCAAGACCCCATTTAAGCCAAAAATTGTAAGTGATTTTTCATCAGTGGATTTATTTATATATTTTTTTTTGATTCATTTTATTGAATATTTTTTAATCATTAATATTCCTTCTTTTTTCCATCATTTTCAATCAATTCAGAAAGCCAAATGTGATGTCACTAATTTTGATCAAGATTTTACCAAAGAAGAAGCTGTTTTAACACCGACCAATGTCGAAACAATCAGGTCGATCAATCAAGACGAGTTCAAAGGTTTTTCATTTGTAAATGAAGATTTTAAGCCATCAAGATTAGATGTGTTTATTTAACACCATCAAATAACCGTTTGCATATAAAAAATTGTTGAAATATACATACAAATACAAAAAAAAAAATTAAAATGCAAACATCATGAAAAAAACCAAGCCATAATGATGATATACATCTACCTACTATATATAAAAAAATATGAATTAAAGACAAAAACAAAAATGGCTCCTCCCGCATTTTTTTTTATCATCATCATCATCATCATCATCATCAAATTAGATTTGTTTTTCACTTTTTATTGTTTCTTTTCCCCTTTTTGTTTATTCATTCATCCATCCCATTTTCAGTCATTATTCCCTGCCCATTCACACGCACACATACATATTTAACATTGAAGATTTCATTTTTTTTTCTCTGTTCTTATATCACAACGACACATTAAAAACCACTTCATTACACTAGTCATATTTTTTTCCATATATTATATATTGTTTTAATTATTATTTTGTTTTTTTTTCATTGATGTTTTAAATTGAATTTGTGAATTTTTTTTGGACAAATGAATGAATGAATGAAAAAAAAATTTTCTAAGAATTTAAAAAAATCAATTGAATCTTATTTCGATATTTTGAATGCGGTATTGGGATTCCCATCCTTTGATTATATCGAGTTTGATGATTGAAAAATCATTTTCAAACGTTTGATAGCTTCCTATAATGCGGGAATTCCAATATTTTTTTTTTGCAATTGGATTGATTTTTTTTCATTCAAACAAAGAGAATATGAAATGTTGGGTGATGTCATATCATCATCAGACTGTTTGATGATTCGAAAAAAAATTGTTATTGTCGTCGTCGGCATCGTTGTTGTTTTTGTTGTTGCTTTTGACCGATATTAATGATATAACGGTCATGTTGTTGATGAATGAATAGAAAAAAAAAATTATCAAATCAAATCAAATTGATTCAATTCGAATTGAATTATTATCATACAATCAATCAATGATTGAAATGACTTTATAGATTATCTTTAAATAATATTGTTGATTAATGATTCGATCAGAAATCAATGTTTTCGTTTATGTTTGTATCATCACATGTAATGAAAATGATCAAAACCAATAGAGAAAAAAAATGAGAGCATATATCGTGTTATTATAACGGTACCATTTTTTGGAATGAAGCTCCTGTGTGTGTGTGTGTGTGTGTGAATGGTTTACGTGATAGTTAAATTTTGTTTTTTATCTATTTCATCGATCAATTTGAATATCGTTCGAGAATTAAAAAAGAAAGTGGAATATTGTTGGCACATCATAAATGGAATGATGATAATGTTCAATTGAAATCGGTCGATCGATTAATCAATTAATCGGATGATATTTTGAGCTATGATCGCTGATGTGATGATGTGACTGTTGCACTGTTGTTGTTTATTTAACTTCAGAATAAATAACTTTGTTGTTCACCTGTTTTTCTTAATGCAATAAATTATTATTTGAGATTACCAGAGATTAATTGTTACCATGCATTGATTTTATTATAAAAAAAATATGATATTTATCCTTGAAGGTTCCATTTGTAACAAATATTACAATTTCACGAGTTGCGAATTTAAATTCCTTCATACGTCATTATTATTGAAATAAAATGAAATGTGCAAAAACAAACGGACAAGATGATGGACTCATATTTAAAATGGTATTGCCCGAAATGATGAGTTATATTTATAATGTAAAGAAAAAAAACGGTGTGATAAGCATGATAGTACATCATCCGGCTATGATGTTCAACATTGATTCGAATGATTTGAAAAATAATCGTCATCATCATCGTTATCACATGTCAAATGTATAATCTATTCATTCAAACAAGATAACCAAAAAAAAAAACTGAATTGCATTATAAATGTAAGTATTGATTGATATTGATAAATATGTGCCTGAATAATTAAAATGGAAATCCTATCAAACATCATACGATCATCAGATCTTTGATCTTTGATTAATTCATATAAATTGATTTACTATTTATGAATTGAATTCTCTACGATCATTCGAATCAATTTAAGGAGATAATTTAGAAAAATATTTATCAGGTGATAAGAATAATTGAATCAACAAATATGATCCAAAGATCATGATGATCATAATCAGAAACCATTAAAAAACAACAAGATGTTATTAAAATTCTGATGTAAGTTCATACCATAATCAAGTAAGCTCAATTAAACTATGTAGTCGTAGATGATTAACATTTGTTTTTGTTTTTTTTTAACATATACATGTCCTGTAGAATGAACTAAACTGTTGTATAGGCCAAAGTATATATATATAGATAAATGTATTGAACAGAAAAAAACATTTGGAAAAAAAGCTGATGCAATCTCATGAGACGTTTACATATGACTCTTCAATGATGATTATCATTTTCTTTGCAATCATTCACACATTGCAAGCTATATGCATTTGCGTATATATATGAACACAAGAGAAAAAAATGAGATGAAGTTCATCTTGACAAAAACAAATTTTTTGTTCCCCGGTCTATGCCGATTTTTTCTCCCTCATTTCATTCCCTATTTGTTTTTTCATTGCATTGGATATGTACGGGATAAGCATTGGCGGTTTTTTTCAATGATAGATTCACGAAACTGTATTTAAGTCGTTGTTTTATGAGCCATCTTCATCATTCAACATTTTGAACACCCTCAACTCTAGTAAATCTCTGGATACAGCAGTGAATCTATACGATCATCGTTAATTATAAAAACGTTTATTTTTTTGTCAAAGAAATAATATATTATTATTTGCATCTTGTTAAGTCCTTGTTTGTTGAATTATCACTATTTTTCGAATTCAATCTGATTTTTTCTTTATCAATACAAACTGATTGTTGTTGTTATCCTTATTTGCGATATCAAAAGATATTTTTGCCAACAAATAAAAATCATTCCGAATTATTTTGGTGAAATTCCAACATTTGGAAATCATTTGATCAAAAAAAAAAAAAAAAAAAAAAATTTAGTGTCACCGTCCTGTATATCGCTGTGAAAATATATGTTGGCCATCATTATCATCAAGCATCATCTTTCACAGTTATTATTATTATTATTATTGTTGTTGTCATTTTGAAGAAATCCCCAATAATTAATGTTTTTAATGTTGCATCAAATTTCTTATCACTCTATTTACAACGGTTATCATCGTGCCACGAATCTATCGAATTGTGCCAATAGCAATAATAATAATAATAATAATCATTATAATTGTGACAATAATAAAACTTGATATTTATCCTGTTCACGGATTATCGGCATTCATTCATTCATTCATTTTGTTTGGTTAAATTCAATTTTGACCAATTTTTAAGTTATTGGGTCCAAATTCATCATAATCGAAATAATGACTGACAAACTTTTTTCAGAAGATTCTTGTGATTCGGATGCTGAATTACTGAATAATCTGCCATTGAATGGTGGTTTAACGAATGGTAAAACAAAAAATCGTCAACGGCGATTAAGCCTGAATCTAGCTCAAACGATACCACAACAGAAACTCATTGACCCTTCATTCGAACCGAAAGTATTGCGCAAAAATAAATCAATTGCCCGAATAGAATCTTATGGTACATTGGCCGAAGAAAGCAAAGTTTTGGTTATCTACACAGGTGGAACTATCGGCATGGTCAAAAATGGTTCTGGAGGTACTAATTACTTATTATTTATTAGATTATACAGGAACATACATTTTTTCAACATGAAATTATTTTCAATTTAGTTTATGAACCACGTCCCGGAGCTTTTACACAAGTGTTGAAAAAATATCCCCAATTACATGATTCTGAATATTTTGAAAAAAGTTGGCTATTACCAGATTCAGAACATTTGCTAGTTTTACCGTAAGTATTTGGGTAAATATTCATTCATCAAAAAACTAATGCTATTGACATTTGATCCAACAACCAGTGATACCGGAGAGAAGAAACGAGTAATTTACACCATTTTTGAATATGATCCATTACTGGATTCATCGAACATGACCATCGATGATTGGGTTTTGATTGCACAAAATATTAAGGTGTGACAAACATTTCCACTGCTGAATTATCTTTTAGCAACTGATTTTTTTTCGCTCATAACAGAAAGAATACCATCGATTCAATGGCTTTGTCATACTACATGGTACTGATACAATGGCATACACAGCTTCGGCTTTATCATTCATGTTGGAAAATTTGGGCAAAACAGTTGTCATTACTGGATCACAGATTCCGCTTTTCGAAGCTCGTAGTGATGCCAAAGAAAATTTGCTAAATTCGTTGATAATTGCTGGCAATTATTCTATACCTGAAGTGGCCATACTTTTCAACAATAAATTATTCAGAGGCAATCGAACCTCGAAAATAAGCGCCTCAAAATTGGACGCTTTTAATTCTCCCAACATGTCACCTCTAGTCAATATTGGCATCAAAATTGATGGTAAGTAATTTCTTTCATTAAATCTGTTGGCCACCAACTAACTATGAATTACAAATAGTTGATTGGAACAATGTTTATAGACCTTCAACAATTGCAAAAGTACATGTTCATTCAAAACTTAATCGTAATGTAACTTTATTACGATTATTTCCTAGCATCACAGTCGAAACGGTAAGTACACGAAAGGTTTTGCTTGCAGATACAGCAATCTAAATGAATGATTGACCATTTTCAATTTTCTACAGATTCGAGTCTTTCTACGAGAACCTATAGAGGGTGTGGTGCTACAAACATATGGAGCCGGAAATGCTCCTTCCAATCGCAAGGATATCTTGAATGAATTTCGAGAAGCCACTAAAAGAGGTTTAATTATTGTAAATATAACACAATGTCCAAATGGAAAGGTCGATCCATCATATGAAACTGGAAACGCTCTAATAGAAGCCGGTGTTATACCTGGTTCAGATATGACTCCTGAAGCCTGTCTTGCTAAACTATCATACATTCTAAGTAAAGACGAATGGTCATTAGAGAAAAAAAGAGAGGTAAGCTGACAAGATTATAATATATATCAATATATAATTCGATTGACATATTGACAAATTTCTAAGATGGTACGCACGAATCTACGTGGCGAAATGACTGTAATTCGTGAAAGAAGAGTCGAAGATGTCAGCCTTGTTCAGGCAATCGCAAGCACGCTGAAAGTTTCAACATCCGATGAAATCGAAAAACTGCGTTCAGCACTATATCCAGCGATTGTCTGTGCTATCACTGCCCGTGGCGATGTCGAGAGTTTGATTCAGCTTAAAAAGAATGGCATCGATTTATGTGCTTGCGATTATGATATGCGTACACCATTGCATATAGCCGTCAGCCATGGTCATAAAGATGTGGTTAAATATCTTCTATTCGAAGGTGTCAACGTACATGCTAAAGATAAAAACAATGAAACTCCATTGCATTTGGCCATAAAAAATCAACAACATGAAATTATTAAAATGTTGATTGAAGCTGGTGCCTCTTTGGACCTTCCCAAGAATCGAATCGGTGATCTTATTACAAAGTAAGAATTCAAAATCATTTTCCAAAGTTATTTTTATACAATTTATTCATGCAAATTTTTAATTCTTTGTTTCTATAGTGCTGCAGCAAATGGAAAATTACAACTTTTAAGATCATTACGATTGGCGGGAGCAACATTAGAAGAGAAGGACACGTTCGGTCGTCAATGTATACATGCTGTATGTTTACACACTCGCGGATAGTTTATTCCACTTTTTATCAATGTAAATTATTAACAACCTGAAATGTTTAGTTTCACCAATCCATTTAATCTTATTATTACAATATTTAATTTATTTATATTTTTAACGATGTGATTATTCGATTTGATATATATTATTTATTTTACCTTTAAAACAAACTTTCTTTGAAAGAAAAATCCTGGCACTTTTTCATACCGTTATATTTTCCTCTGTTTTGTATCATTATTTTAATAATTATAACGTTAATCGTGTCCATGAAAAATTGAAAATAAAGTTAATAACAATATGAACAGAATTAATAATCTTTTTCATTTTCTCTAATTCCAGGCAACTGAAAGAAATCAATTGGAAATTATCGATTATCTAGTGAACGTTATCAATGTTAATCGACATAAAACAGATTTATATGGTCGTACTGCCAAAGATATTGCCCAATTCTTTGGTTATAAACATATTCTACACATATTGGAAACAAGAAATTTTCAAAAGAATTTCTGTTGATTTTACTTGTATATATTTTTTCCTCTTCAATATGTTAATAATTGTTTTAATTAATTTTTTGATGATAATTTTTTGTTCATAACTCTCTGTGTTTTCTGTTTTTTTCGAGTGTGAAAAAAAATTTAAATAAATTACATTTGATAATCCAAGCACCAGATGACGTTAAGAAATTTTATTCAGATATTCATATTTTTTTAGCCATGCATACATGTGATCGATTGATATGATCATCTCCAATCCATAATAATAATGGATAATCCTAAGCTAATTATTCATGCATTGAAAAATGCTCAAACCAATACAGAGAAAATAGCAACTCTAATGTTACTTGGTAAGAGATTGTCTAATCTAAGCCTCGATGAAGAAGAAAAAACAACAATATTCCAATTAATTGATGGCCACTTTCTTATCGAATCCCTGAAAAATTATCTTGAAAACAATGACGAATATGAATTTGCCATCTATATTATAGCATATTTTTTCAATGAAATTGCTAAACAGACAAATAGAAATCAATTCATCCAGATCTTTTGTGAAATATTATCCGTTTCTCAAGAAAAGCCATCAAGAATTCAACAGGAGGTAGTGGAAACTATTTTAGATTGTTTTGATTATATTTGCTCTAATTTGTCGCTCTATGATGAGGTTTTTTTATTCGAATTATTTTTCAACAATTTGATCATCAAATGTTATACACCAGGCAATGAATTGGAATGTCATATTTCAAATATTATAATCAGTTTAATACGGAATTCTAACAACAATGAAAATGTTGAAAAGTTTATGGAAAAAATTTGCCAATTTTTCGTTTCCGATAAGTCTGAGAAAAAATTCCATTTGTGTAAATTGATCGGTATTATTATCCGAGATGGACCTTGGAATCATCAACAAATCGTTATTGCACAATGGATTCCAATTCTTCGCGATGAGATATTCATTCTTTTCAGAATCGACTCCCAGATAAATTAAGAAATTCGATTATTAATCTTTCTACTGAGTTGATAATGAAATTCGAAGGCTTAGATTGGATCAAGCTTAAAAGATGGGAAGCATATAATTCAAAATTCTTCATATTATTGCTTAAATTGATTGTTATTGAATTAGAAATTACTTGGTCACATACGAATTGGCCACAATTAATAAATGGTGAAGTCGAACATTATACTCGATGTTTGGTGATTTTTGAACATATTTTTTTCACGTTAATCAAAAATGTGGATCTGAATAATGTACCCGATGATGACCAGTTAAAATTAAATGCCGATGAGATTGTTGATTCCATCGATACCATTCAACGAACAGTGAGCCAATTGATTCATTTTTTGCTAAAAGCTTTTGCAGAAAGTATGGATTCACAAGCTGAAATTAAACAAATAATAATTTCTTCATTTCGTTTTTTATGTCTTTATGCTAAAGAAGAAAGTGAAACATTTCGAAATGAAATAGACCATCTTAAACCATTTATTATAAAATTTCTAGAACAAAATGATCCAGAAATTGAAAAATTACGTAATTTAATAAACAACATAACTTTTAATTGAACAAAAATTGAATAAAATATTAAAATTTTACAATTTTCTTTTCTCCTGTTTGGGTTATTAGCTTTTCTAAAGAAAACTCATCGACATCAACACCGCAATCCATGTTATTAAAAGTTGACAATAAAATTTCCTCTTCTTCCACATTAGTTTTCTTCTTGGGACATTCTTTTAGTGTGTGGTTTATCGAACCACAACCACGACATTTACCTCCACGTGGAAATGCACCATTCTTATTCATTGAACAATTTCTTGTCAGATGTCCGTTTTGGTGACAAACAAAACATTTAGCAAATGGCAGGCTTACATCATTGACGTCATCAGAAGAAAGCTGTTTCATTTTTTTCTGGTACTTTGTACATTCTGATAATTTATGTTCAAGTGAACAACAAAAATAGCAAATGTTTGTTAGTTCATCCGGATCGGATTGAAGCGGACAATCGGATACTAAATGTCCTGGCTGTCGACATTTGAAACAAACACGTTTAATATCGTGCCGAAGTCTATTTTCCTCGTCACGACGTTTTTTCCTGATAATCTGCTTGATTTCGTCTGGGTCAATATTCTTACGTTGTAAAATCTTTTTCAATTTGTAAATTTTTGTTTCCACATTACGAGGAAGAATGACGAGACCTTTGTCCTGACGATTTTTGGCACATTTCATGTAGAAGTTGTTTGTTCGTTTGCTTTTGATTATTCTATCAGTAGATTTTTTATATTCGATATTTTTCTTTGTCGTTTCATCGCTGGTAGACATCAATGTACATTTGAAAACATTACTTCTAGTTGAGTTTAATTTTTTTCCTTTTTTATTGGCCATAATGAAACAATGATAAAAAAAATATTTGTCACATCGATATCATCATACGAGCATGCATGCATGCATGTTTTTAAATCCATCTGGTTCATTGGGATTCCACACAAATGACGTCATCTATATTTGTTTACAAAAAACAACAAAATGTCAATACAAACTTTTCGTGATAAAAAATTTTATTTGAACAAATTATTTTTCAATTATGAATTCAATATAAATGTTCAGTTTTCAAAGTTACAGATTGATGAATTTTGGTTGTTCCTGGAGAAATATCTGGAAAAAAAGAAGAAACAAAAAACTTGTCATGATGATCCAATCAAATACGACAAATTGATACAAAAATTGACAGGTAAAATTCCCGAAGAATGGATAAATATCGACAAATTAAGGGAAGAATCTCATTTAAAAGATGTCAACATTTCTTTGGCAGAACTAAAAGAATTCCGAAACATCTTGCTCATATTTGTCGATTTTAATCTGAAAAGAAAAGAGAAAAAATTAGAAAAGCTTATACAATTTCAGAAAAATTTGCCAATCTATGAATATAAAGAAACTATCTTGGATAAAATTAAATCAAATTCGGTTGTCTTGATTGCTGGCGATACAGGTTGTGGAAAATCAACACAAGTACCTCAATATCTTCTGAGAAATGGCTATCAAAGAATCTGTTGCACTCAGCCTCGACGAATCGCTTGCATTGCACTTTGCAATAGACTAAAGTTTGAAACTGTCGATCAATATAACTCTGAAGTTGGGTTCCAAATTCGATTCGAAAAAAGTCGAACAAAATATACAAAGATAATTTTTATGACTGAAGGTTTACTTTTACGGCAAATGATTGAAGATCCACTGCTTTCAAATTATGAAGTAATTATTTTGGATGAGATTCATGAACGTCATCTATCCAGCGATTTTCTGTTGGGAGCTATCAAATGTTTATTGCATAAAAGAAAAAATGATCTCAAAGTTATTCTCATGTCGGCAACGGTCAACTTTGATCTATTCTCTGATTACTTTGGCAATTGTCTTGTGATAAAAGTTCCTGGTCGTCTTTATCCTATCAAAACTGAATACTTTCCTCCGGATAAAGTGAACATTTTCAAAGCCACAAATAAAATTAATCCTGAACCTTATTTGAAAATACTTCAGCACATTGATTCTCAACATCCATCGACAGGTTTGTATATTTTGTATATTTAAACAATTTAATGGCATAATTTTTTTTTAAACAAAGAACGTGGTGATGTACTCGTATTCTTAAGTGGATTTGCAGAAATCGAATTTATTGGCGAAAAATTAAAAGAATATGCAGCACAGAATAAGCGATGGATAATTATGTATCTGCACAGTGCATTATCATTATCTGAACAGGACAAAGTATTTGACATTTCTCCTGAAGGTTATCGTAAATGTATTCTTTCAACGAATATTGCCGAAACATCAATTACAATTGATGGTATTCGTTTCGTAATCGATTCCGGTAAAGTTAAAGAAATGTATTATGAACCGAAAATTCGTATGCATCGATTGCAAGAGATATGGGTGAGCAAAGCATCGGCTGAACAACGAAAAGGTCGAGCTGGTCGAACCGGGCCGGGAAAGTGTTTTAGACTTTATTCCAACAGTGATTTCGAAAGTTTTGACAGTTTTTCCAAACCAGAGATTCAACGTGTTTCGCTTGAATCGTTAATTTTGAATATGATTTCAATGGGTTTGAATAATGTTCGCAAGTTTCCTTTCATTGAAGCACCTGATGAGATGGTCATTGAGAATACATTAAAATATTTGATCAATTATGAAACATTGGATGAAAATGAGAATATTACTTACTTAGGTCGAATCCTTTCAAAATTACCAGTTGATATTCCCATTGGTAAAATGTTGGTCTTATCCGTTTGTATCAATCTCTACCAATATGCATTGTCGATGGCTGCTTGTCTAAGTGTTCAATCAATGACCACTATTCGTTCAAAAAATAACAAAGAAATGCTCGAAGAAAGAAAATCAATGATTTCATTTGATGGTGATCTATTCAGCAGTTTGAATTTCTATAAGCGATGGCTCACTATGAAAACTTCAAATCAGAATACACGTTCTTGGTGTCGACAATTGGGCTTTGAAGAACAACGTTTTCATGAAATAACAAAATTAAGAAGACAATTTGAAGAAATTCTCAAAGATAGCGGCCTGATTGATAAACATAATGTAAACAATCGTGATCAACAATTTTTGAGCAAAACGGAAAGAATAGCTAAACACAGTGGAAAAAAATTATTTAAAAAATTGAAAATTGAATTAGAAATGTCTCGAAATAATAAAAAACGTAAATTACTTCAAGTATGTGATAATGATGACGATGACCGAATCAATGATGATCACTATAATTACAAAGAATTGGAATTCAATTTATTATTTGACTCTCATTATTTTAAGGTTGGTAAAATCTTTATAGATTTTTATCACTTCTATCTACTTTTAATTCCTTTAATTGCATGCAGGACAATGAAGAGAAACATTCACTGAAAAAAGAGGAATTTGATCTAATTAAAACAATCATTGTACTTAGTTTCTATCCACAAATTTCCATTGCCGATCTAGACAATTCCTATCAATGTGGATCGGATCAGATTTTTCACACCAAGGTAATTTGAATAGAAAGAGAATGCTAAATTGTGATTGACCATCCCTATCATCTATAATAGGACAAACCATTTGTCGTTTTACATCCATCCAGTGTTTACTATAGTGAACCTGAATTTCTTAAACCATCACGAATTGAATCCAGTGAATTTGGTGATCTATCATATGAACATAGCTTACTCGGTTACATTTCATTTATAGAGACAAACAAAAGCTATATTTGCAATTGTTATCGATTGGCGGCTATACATGTTCTATTGCTATCCGCTCAGGAAATCGATACGAATCATGATTGTAGTAGAATCATTTTTGATAATTGGATCGAAATCAAATTGAAATATTATCAAGATGGACAGGATCTTTTGATTGGGGCATATAAAATTCGAGACAAATTGAATCAATTATTAATATTGATTTGCAAAGGTAAGTTTTTCAAGTTATGTTTTTAATGATAATTTACGAAAAATTTGTTTTTACTGCAAGATTTAAATTCGCGCGATAACGACACTATTGATGATGTCGGTGATGATGGTAAAAGTCTTTTTCAATTGAAACAAAATTTGATCGAAGAAATTAAATTATTTATGAAATGTCGAGTCAAATATTCCATGAAACGTTTATTATCAGCGGATTTGAAAACAATTTATACAAATACTATTGTCACCATAGAAGATATGCATGAGAATTATAAGAACAAATTATCTAAATTTTTGATAGACCAGCATGGTCGCATTGGATCCAACAAATCTGCAAAGATTTCACATAACAAAGGAGGTTTTCATCACTTATTTATAAATTATAATTGGTGAGTTTTCTTTATTGTTCATTTGTGAAAATAAGATAATTTATAAGTTGAAAATTTTTCTTTTTAATTATAAGTTTAAAACAAATCGGAAATGAAACGATAACCGACAATCGCCGATGGTTTTTTTGTGAAAAATGTAAGCAAAAAATGCATTCAACACCAATCGAACAGGTTAGACATGAAGAATTATGTGGTAAAAAAAGTGATCAAGATGAAAAATTGAAAGCTAGTACAAGTAATTTAAAACGTTATTATTGTTCTCACTGTGAGAAAGAAATGTGGCTGTCGAACATCGATATACTTCGGCACCGAAAACAACATTCATGATGATGATGATGATGATGATTCGAATTCATTTTGACATTTCGAACAAAGCGGAACAAACTTATCGAATTAACTACATTGATTTTTTGTATTATAAATGAGAAGCTGAAAAAGCGTGACACTATGGCACGTGTTTGGTCGAAACATAGCAGTCACATCTGTCAACTTTTTGTTTTGTCAAAATAATCAGATTTGGAGAGTGGTTTGGCCAGAATTTGATTAGATTGGAACAGACCATTCGACATTGGTCTGGAAAACACAATTCGAATATTTGTTATATATTTGTTTTGATACAAGTTTCAGGGATTTATAATTTATAATAATAAACTTTATTTTTATTATAATAAACCTATTAACCGAAACATTTATTACAAATCTTTGGAATTAAAAGTATGATTTGAAAATAGGCTCACATTTGGAGTTTGTTTGTTTTTTTTGGAAAACTCTGCTAATTCTAGGATTGTATTCTGTGTTTCTTTAACAATTTTATCTTGACATACAATCATCATTTTCCAATTTTAATGTTCATGTTTATTAAATTCAACAACACTTAGATTTGTTTTTGATGACATTAGATTCATAGAATTTGCGCTATATAGTCAAGTCAATTATTATTATTATTATGATGATGATGATGATGATGGCCATTGGCATTCACATTATTCGTATTAATGATTACGACCCGACCAACCATAGTTGGTTGTAAACATAATATAGTATATATACAGTTTTTTGCGGTCGATGATGCGAAAGCATGGATGAATGAACATCCCTATTGGCGAACATGGAACACGGTCCAATGATCCATATACATACATACATACATACACACATGTATATAACAAGCGTGACAAATCTGATCGGAACAAAAAAAAACGAGCGAGGAATCCAACACCCCAGAGATTGTCTGTGATCGGATCGTACCACAGATAAAGCGTTGAACAACTTAATCATCCATAATATTTTCAATGTTTGTATAATGCTTTCCCATAGAAAATGAATGCTACATGATGATGATGATGATTACAAGAATTTTTTTTTCAGTGATTCGATCTTCATATTGTTAAGTTTGGTTCAAACCAAAATGACAAACGTGTTTAAAGTATAAAGCTATAGTAGTATAGTATAATAACTGTTTTATTTTTCATTTTGATTAAATCAATGTTCAATTTAGTTCAATTGTCGTTTGTGTATGTATCTATGTGTATTGTTATTTTATGGGTTCCGTTCAGCTTCTGGAAGTGAGAACCATAAAATAACATGTTATAAACAAGGACTACAAATTCGTTTGGGAATTTATTTCTCATTGGTTCAATCTTTTAATGTATATAGGCTATATAGGCTCGATTCTCGATTCTGATTTGTTACTATTGGTGTTACGTTGAAACGTTGTAGAAGGCGTCGCTAAAAAAAACATACAGAATGTCAAAGTAAAAAATACTTCAAATATTATTTACTAAAATTTGGATTTATTCATTTTGTGGCTTCGATATGGCAAACAACAACAACAACAATAATAAATAAGCCATTCATTTTAAATGGTTAATGTAGTTAAATTGCTGCAATAGAAATTGTTCTGTCCATTTGTTGTTGAAAACCGAGTCCATTTCATTTTTTTTTTGGTATTCTGTATATAATAACAATAATGAAAAATTATGAAGATCCTAGTTCACCAGGAATAATCGCGGAAAAGACCCTGCCAGGCCATCTGTCCTGTTCGGGTCCTAGTGTCAGTGGTAGTCTGGTCTATGCGGTTGAACCAACACTTCAATCAAGTGATTCATGTTTGAATACATTTAATAACAATATTTGGCCAAAGACAAAGTTTTCATCATCATCCGTATCGACAGTAGCTGCCACTAGCAAAACCAATAACGATCCAACGCCGACGGCAACAGTTCCAACTGGATCATCACAGTTTATATCAATTCATCATTCGATTGATCACTATTTTAATGCTACTTGTGTTGCATCATCAACCACACAAACAATTCGAAAGTTACCCATCGAACAAATGGAACATAAAATCAATCCAATCTCGGATTTGTACACACCGTTTGTAGCCAATAGTTCATTAGAAATGGCCAAACGTGTCGTGGTTCACGATCATGATTTGTTAAAAAACAAAGATTGTTGTCTACCAATGACTGGTAAAGATATGCATCGTTCAAAAAATAATCTTCTATCAACTAATCGAACCAAACAATTATCATTCAATCCTCAACAATCAAATCTTCGTCTTGTTCATAATCTTGAAAGAATTGAAAACATAACAAGCAAAATGAAAAAACAACAAAATAGCAACAACGAAGATAACAACAGCAATATTAATAATCCTCATAATCAACAATCGACTTTCGATTGTGATGCTATTATATCCATTGAGAATTCCGGCTCACATAAGAATCGGCTAAATAAATCGATCAATGTAAGTGATAATTATGTAAGTCTCATTCATTTTTCGATATTTTCTACAATTTCGTTTCAAACCAATCGATATTTTATAATCGAATAATTTTTTATCAATTCACAGCATGTACGTTTAAATATAAATGCAAGAGAACGACGTCGAATGCATGACCTTAATGATGCCCTTGATGAATTACGGTCGGTCATTCCATACGCACATTCTCCGTCTGTACGAAAATTATCGAAAATTGCTACTTTATTATTGGCCAAGAATTTTATCTTAATGCAAGGCAATGCTATTGAAGAATTACGTCGACTTATAATCTATATGTATCAATCAGGCGTACCATTGCCACCAAATTTACCATCATTATCGACGGTCAATACAACCGGACAGACAATGAATGTACAGCAAGTGGCCAATATAATCGAACAATATGGATTTGCACCGGAGGAAACAAGTAATTCAATGACAGGAAATAATGAATGTCAAAATGATAGAAAGACACAGACTAAGCAATCATCATCATCAACGGCGAACAAAATGTCAAATCGAAAAGTTAATACAAAACAAAGGCAACAATCAACTATTGATGAAAATAATAATGCACATTGATTGATGCATATATACATCACCACATACAATAAACATCAGATTTGTATTTCTTTGCCATTTTTTCTCATCACTGCTATTCATATATTACATTTAGAAATTGATGTAGGAATGAGATTTTATCATTTAATAAATTTTTTTCTTTATATTACATCATCATTAAGATTCTTTTTTTTATAGAATCAAAATTTTTTTATATTAAATTTACTATTATTCTTATTGAATAATTCATGAATAATATCCATTCGTACACGTGCTGTGTGAATCATCATCACCATTATTATTTCTTTTCAAATATAGAATCATTCACATAACCGACAAATGATTGTGTCATTTTCATTTGGCTCGTGTGTGTGTGTGTTAACATCCGATACTTTGTTAAAGTAACCGAAAACAAAATGATATGCTTTGTTCCTGTTATAAAAATGCATTTACTTATGTTGTTTATACATTTACATGAGAGTTCAAGAGGCAAACACTATAATTTTATTGTTGTTGGATCGATCCAATTGGTAGCGCCACCACTGAGTCGAAAATTATAACTAACAGCCATTATTGTCGATGATGATGATGATCATCATCATCATATTACATAAATATGTACTGACAGGGCAGTTTCTTTTATTCTCACTTAATTCAAGTTATAGTCACAATGCTAAAACATTGTTCATACAACGGTAAACATTAGAATACTGAGTACAGTTAATGATAGTCATTGTGACTATACAGAGCTATAGAGCGTCTGCAATATTTTGATGACGGCCGATCCTCTTGAATTGATGAGAGTGTGTATTCTGTAAGAATTTTCAACAAACAAAATTCTCATATTCTCAATATATACCTCGTGGTATTTGTTTTTTTTCATACATGGAGTAGTATTTTTTCGTTTTAATCATTATTTTAATTTGTTTCTATACCGACCATAATGATGATTTAAATTATTTTCAAATTTCACCGGCTCGAATTGGATGACAAGCTTATTGTAAACAATCATCATTATCATAATAATAACATGGAGTCAAATTTATCGATAAAGCAATCAACGGTAAATGTTTCCTTTGAAAATCATTTGACAAAAAATCGTAATAATAATAATAATGCTAACAAACAATTGACTAATAAAAACGGTTCCATCCGAGAAATCATGATTGATGAAGATGAAATTAAAAAAGAAAACGAATCCGAATCTGGTGATTCGATGAAAGAGGAGAAGCGTTTCAATCTACGTGCTCGAAGAAGAAGAATTTCTGAAACGTCCAATACTGGTGAGGTGTTAAGAAAAAACAAAAAAACTCGATTGATAAGCCAGAAAAATGATGCCAAATGTAATGGACAACAAGAAGGTTCAAATATGGAAAACGATCAGTCGACTACAAATAACAACGATGAAAAAAACTCAAAGATGGTCATTTATAATTGCAATGATTATTTAGCAGTTCGAAATGAACACAACAGCTTCTTTCTTTGTCGAGCTAGACAAAACATCTACAAAAATGGCCGTAAAATAAAAATCAAATGGTACAGTAATGATGAAGACAAAGAAATTTACCGCCCAGATTTTGATGATTACATAGATTTCGAATGCATTCTTACTAATCTTCGGGTAAAACGTGAAAAAGATGGTATTTCTTTGCCGGATAATGAAAAAAATCGTGCATTAAATATTCTTCAACGTGCACTTGATGTTGAAAAAGGAATCAATTTACCACCGGATCCTCGTAAAGTTTTAAGTGATGGTGTAGATATTTCGATTATTGGAAAAGTGAAAGAAGAAGATGTTTTGTCCAAAATCAATAATAACCATGATGGGATTGAACATAAAAAATCCATAAAGTTACCTTCATTGACAATGGTCGATGATAATAGTGGAAAAAATAATGGAACAATGACGACAACTTCGACAATCGTTAACGATGACAATGAAAACACCACATCATGTGATTCTCAAAGGCGAACAAAAAAAGCGAAATTCGAAATAACAAAAAATTCTTCGGAACCACATGGCTTAATAAACGAAACAACGCCACCAATATCAATTGTTGGTTCAATAACAAAAAATGCTATCTCCAACGAAACTATCGATCAATGTCAAAAAGAAAAAAATATTTTGTTCGAAACCAAAATCACACTGCCATTCATATCATCTTATGTGAATTCAAAATTATTGATCCGGGCTGTCATATTAGATGATCATGAATTTCTTGAAAAACTAGCCGTTAAAAACCATCTTGATATTTGCTCAATATCTATTTCTCGTTCAGTTTCAATTAAAAGAAACGCAATACATTATGCCATTATTAAAGAAGATATAAAATCGTTACAGTTATTGAAGGAAATTGAAAAAAACATTGTTAGCTTCGATGATGATTATCAGTTGCCTTGTTCGCTGGAACTTGATCATTGTGAATTAATGATGGATGCAAAGGAATATGAGAAATATAATCACCGAGAATTTCCTTTAGACGAATCATATGTTGAATTTGCTTTGAAACAAGGTGTTAAACTTAGTTTCATTCAAAGAATGATGCCGCTGCTCAAAAATGGCCTTGGAGTTTTTGATAAAAACATTTTGACACTGCTGAAATGTGGCGATCATGAACAAGCAGTGGTGATGATGGAAAAAATTTCTAAAACTAAATTCGATAATAAGAGCTTTTATAATATTCATCAGTTTTTGAAAGGTTATATGTTATCCGAAAGTGACAATAAGTGGCTAGAATGTTGTGTAAATAAATATCTTAAACTCTATCCAATTCATCTTGCAGCGATTAATCCTGATCCATTCATGTTTCATCACATGATCACTATTACACCTAACCAAATCTACCAGAATGACTGCCAAGAATGGATGCCAATACATTACGCTTCTGTTTGCCAAAGTAATGTTGAAACGATTTTTTTGTTTTTATTAGACTAACTTACAAAAAAATATAATTTTTTCTCTGATTTTCAGCATTTTTCAACCTTAAACATTTGCTCAACTTGGGTGTATCGGCACGTCTATCCGATGCTAAAGGAAATACGTCACTGCATTTAGCCACAAAATACAATAGAATACAAAATGTGAATTTAATCATACAATATGAATCTTCCCAGAGCATTATCCCATCATTATTCAATACATACAATCGTAAAGGATACACACCATTTCATATAGCTTGTCAAAAAGGTTTTATCGAAATTGTCAAGATATTCATCGATAATCGTGTTCAGATTGATTTCGCAACATCTATTCATTCAGGAGAATTGACATCGTTGATGATTGCATCCAAATATGGTTATTTGGAAATTGTCAAATTGTTGGTCGAACAAGGAGCTACGATCAATATCTTTGATAAAAAAAATCGTTGCGCTTTGACTTATGCTGTAAGAAAAGTTTTATATTTTCATCCGATTTATAATGCCAATTCTTTTTCATTATACATAGGTGATCAATGGACACTCAAATATTGTCACATATTTTCTCGAGATAGGTGCAAATCCATCACACAAAGATTTGTTTGGCAACAATCTATTCCATTATGCATTGGCTTATGGATGGCATTCTTGTTTCGAATTGTTATTGAAAACAAATATTAATCTCAAAGATACAAATACTTTCGGTCTGACGCCCATATACGCAGCTTTTAAGAAAGGTCATTTAGGATTCATTCAATACATTCTTAAAAAGAACATTCTCAATGTCAATGTTCCAGTCAACGATACCGGAATCAATATGACAATGTTGGCTTGCTCAATGATAACAAGTAGTCGAACCATTAGCCATTTGCGAATGCTTGTCGAAAAATTTAAATGTGACCTTTCCAAAACTGACTATGAAGGAAACAACGCGGTAATCTTGATTCAAAACTTATATAATTTTTATAACTAATTCAAATTTTTCAAAATATAGCTACATTATTTATTGAAATGTGAAGCTAAATATCGAAATTCGAGTCCAACTGTGGTAAGCTTCTTAGAAAAACTTTTAAATTAATGTTTGATATTCATTTGGTTTGTTTCATAAACCTATAGATAAATGAAATTCAAGATGCTTTACATATTTTGTTACAAAATAATTGTGATATTTATTCGAAAAATAATGCCGGAATATCTCCCATCAATTTTTCACTTTCCAATCAATGCTACGTATCATTTTCTCGTTTTTTCCATGACCATCACAAAACTTTTTGTTTTCTGCAAACATTATCAACGAATGAATATTTATGGCCCATGATAATTTCAAATATTCTTAGTCAATTTCATGTGAATAAAGGTAATTTTTCAACTTTCGGTAGATTCATCATCAATGAAGTCGAAAAGGATAAGAATTTTTTTAATCTGCTTAAAAGTTTGTCTATGAGAACAAATGCAAGTGGAGATTTGCCTATCGAATTTTACATCAAGTTATCAAGTAAGCAGATTGAACTAAAATGATTAAATAATTACAATTTTTTCCATTGTAGAACATTTATCATCGACATATGAAAATGATGAGCACAAACTTGTAAATTTTTTTGACTTTTTAGTGAAATTTTATGACTGCGAATTTTTGAAAGACATATCAATAATACATCTTGCTGCTCGATATGCACCGGGTCGCATCGTCAAACGTTTGATTGATAAAATCGGACTAATGTCCGATATTCGAAACGAATCAAATCAGACACCGTTGGCTATCGCATTGGTCAATGATAATGTATCGTCAGCTGAAGCGTTCCTTTCTTCCAAAATTAATATAAATGTTGAAATTGACAGCATGCCTTGTTTCTTCTATTACTTAAGAGAAAGTTCTTCATTAAATCTTTGTTCATATTTCTTAAAATTGGGTGCCAAACCCGATTATATTGATAAATTTGGCAATTCTTCATTACATTTAATTTGTGCAAATGTTGAACGAAATTATTTTCTCGAATCCTTCAAACTTTTGATTGATCATAAAGTTAATGCTAATAAGAAAAACTATCAAGGTTTGTCTATTTCATTGTCCAGAACTTTTTTTTATTCATTTTTATCCTTCATTTTTTCTAATAGGTCAGACTGTTCTTCATGTCGCTTTCAAAAATAATAAATTTTCATCAAGATTATCCGATTTATTGAATACATTCATGAAAACTGATATCGATTTATATGCTAAAGATCAGAATGGATATAATGCATTCAATTATTTGTTTATGAATAATACCTCATCAGATCCAGTAGATTTGTTCAAACAAATCGATACAAAACGAATCAAATTTCAAGACCTTTTAGATAATAAACAAATGAATCTTTTGCATTATGCAGCCAAAACGGGATTTGCTCAATGCATTACCTACTTTTTGCAATATATTGATCCGAACTCTATTGATCTCGATAATTATTCTCCTCTCTCATTGGCTATTCTTAACAATCATCTAGGTTTGTAGAAATTTTCTATGAGAATTTTAATACATTTTATTATTTTTCTTGTAGAGTGCACGTTGTTATTATTGAGATCGGAAAAAAATCGGATTTTAGATAATTTGGAATTTATCTTGAAAAAGAATATTAAAATAAATTTACTTTGTCATATCTTAAAAAATGGATGGAAAGGTAAGCGATATTTAATGAAAAAACATTCCGTAATCTATTTAATTTGTTTAGATGCATTCTTTCTCATTCAAGAAAGGGCTATTCGTCAAAAAGAATTGAATGAATTGATCCAAATATCAATCAAATCTCAGTGTTTGACGTATGCGTCAAATTTGATAAGATCAAACATTCATGTTGAAGAATATAGTCGGTTATATCTGCAACTGTTTGCTAAATATACCAGCGCACAATTGGATATGGAAATTCAAAATGACTTTCTAAAGATTTTTAGAGATGATCTTATATCGACAATTTTTGTTGATCTATTTTCGTTGGCATTTTATAATTGGAATTTCAATCTATGCAAAAAACTAATAAAAACTTTTGGCATTAACAATGTATTGAAAAAAATAAAAGAAAAAAACGTCGATTTATTGCCGCTTTGTTTCAAAAAATTAGTCTTTGAACGTCAAGATTTGCCTCGAGATATGATGGATTTGATTGAATTGATTTTGCAAAAAGGAGAGATGGACCATTTTCAAGAAATAAATGTATTATCAAGCTATCCGATCGAAGAGAATAAAGATTCCATTATGGAAAAGTATCGAGCTTTCTGTGAACATGATCATCGTTATCAAAATCGATATTCTTCGATCAAATATTCTCCTCTAATAATAGCGATCATCATGCGATGCCATTCGACAGTTGAATGGTTGCTTACATTACAAATAACTAAACGATTTATTGTCGATATTAGTTTTGTCGATTCTCATGAACGTACTCCTCTGGTGCATGCAATTTTAATAAATGACAATAAAATCATTCATTCATTGTTAGATGCCGAGATTCTTCGAAAAACAGATTCTCAAACTAAATCCTCTGTATCATATAACCAACTGAATATTTTAAAAAGAGATGTCAATCAATTAACTGTGTTTCATCATTTAATATCTCCATTCAAATCAGGCAATTACTATAAATCTAATATTAATTATTCAAAACTATGGAATATGCTTACTAAATCGGATAAAACTAATCAACTGATTGATGAACTCTATCGATTCTGCAATGGAAAAAAGGCACTACAACTGATTAATTGGATGGAAAAAACATTGAATATTGGTTCAAATATATCCTCACATTCATTCAACAATGTGACGAATGAAAATTGTGTTATAAATCATTTTGAATCAAATTGTGAAACTTTCATCAAATCTCATTCATTATGCAATGATGATTATATGGCTGATTTGCAATCAATGACTGCTCAAGATTATCGACTAAAGTAAGTGTGTCTATTTTTATTTAGAAATTTTTGACTAATTTATTTTTTAGGCGGATAATCAAAGATCAAACTTCGAAAATTCCTTTTGATGTAATTTTCACAAAATTGGATTATCAAAATAGTGATTATGTCTATAATTTTTACAAAGTACAATTACTTTCATTTGGATCAAAACATTGTCTATCAATTCGTTGGGGGCGTGTCGGAACCAAAGGAAATGTAAAAATTATTTTATGATTCTCAAGAAGAAAGCATTGAAAATTTCAAAAAGATTTTCGCTAAAAAGTCTGGCGAAGATTGGGATCATGTTAATGTTTTTGCTGTACAAGAAAAATATGAAAGAAACACCTCAGATATTAAAACAGGTTTTAATTCCTGGAATTCGCAAGAGCTTTTTGAAAAACTCACTTCCGAATCGTCAACCTCTCATGAAAATACAAATCCAGATTTTAAGAAACTTATAATGAAATATATGAAAATCCTCCATCTGGAAACCGAAAATGATCCTGATCAATCCTGTAAAAAGTTGAGCACAAAATCTATCGAACGTTGTTTATGTGAGTATGGCAATTTAATATTGATTTTCTTATATTTAGATATTCTTTTTTATCAAAATAGTCATCCTGAATCGATTGTCCAAGCTAATCGCTTTTAATGATCTAAGTAGGACAAAAAATCAAAAAGAAGATCCTAAATTATTGAATGATATGATAGACTTGAGCGAACAATTTTATTCACACATTAAAATCTATGGATCTCATTATGATCAACTTAAACCCATACTAAACATGAAAAATATTCGAGAAATCATTCACGTTGTCATGAAGCTAAAATCAATGGTTTCCGCCATGGAATCTTTGTTTTTATCTTTCCATTCAAATTCCAACATTCATCCATGGAATTCTTTAGATTCATTGTTCCGTTGGCGATGTCGAATTCTGACCAATAAAGAAGAAATTGATCTTATTTGTTCGTACTTGCATGGTCCACAACATGATGATCATGATTGTTTGAACCATTACGAGTTTTTCAAATTCAACAACTGTGTCGATTGGAATACGAATAAATCTTGCAAAACCTATTTACTATGGTGTCATTTGAAGAGTTATGAATTTTTAAGTTTTTTCTTTGGTGGATTTGATGGCCAAACATTTTTACTGCATTCTGATCTGCCTATCATCATGAATGTATATTATTAAAAAATTTGCATTTATTTTGAATTTTAATTTTTTTTCTCCTTTTCTTGTAGGGCGTTTGTTTGACTAACAGAATTAGTAATTTTGAACAGACGGATGATTTCTGGATACTTTGCGAAGTTTTGATACAGAATCCAATAGAAATTGATGATATAAATGTTTTAACAAGCGAAAATTACGAAACATTTATTCGTAGTAAAGATTGCCTTATCTTATCTGACGAAAAAAGTGCATCACCAAGTTCGAATCAGGATAACAATTATCTGCTATGGAAAGGTAAATTTCATTAAAAATTTTCTTTGTAAAGATAAATTTATATTTTTTTTTTTTATAATTTAGGCTTCATAGTTCCTATGAATTTCGAAATCGGTAATTCAAAACGATTCCTCTATTTGTCTCCTAAACAATTAAGGCCACGTTATTTATTAAATTTTAAAAATACAATGTAATGATAAACATTGTATTCTAGTCTTTGAATTGAATTCGATAACTCTCATCTTATCATTCCATCGTATTTATGTACAAATTAATTATTTTATTAATTAATTATTTATATTTTTGTGATCAATATATTATTAACAATATGATTTGATGTTTTGTATAATTTTTGAAATGAATTAAAAATTAATAAATTAAAATGGCGCACTTTATGTAATTAATTTTATATTTTGTCAGTAAAATTGTTGAAGAACTGTTGTTGAAAAAGAATTTTTTTAATGAATAAAAAATACTGCCAAAAAAAATGGAAAGTTACTGACATAATTATTCTGATGATGAATCAGAAAAATATTCACGAATTGAAATTACTGAAAGCGCGAGATGGTTTGGTCGAATTTTTTTTGTTCGAAACCGACATGCGCAGTACAGTTAACCATGCTTATTTCACACTCTGGTCTCACCACACTCTGAGCGTTTGATTGAGCGTATTCTGATCTATTTTCTAATTAATATTCCATTGTTGTAGATTTGTGTGCGGCGGCAATAAATTAAAATTTTCAAATGAATACATTGACCATAATGGAATCATTAATAAATCCACAACCAATTGAAAATTACATCGATTTAATTATTGTAATATTATTATTTATGTGTATATATTAAATTTTTAATATTTTTTTTTCATCAGCATTACAATTCATTAGATGAATGTTTTTCAGGTTTTACCAAAACATCACCGCAAAATGATTTTACAACCAAAAAAGTATTACAAGAAAAATTGATTTCAATCTTCAAAGATGTTGAACCAAATCTTGTTGAATGTAATATCAAATTTTATATCGATAAAATGAGTAAAACAATCGGTCACAAACAGAGCGATTTACTGTTTGAATTTCTAGTAGGTATCATTGAAGCTGATCTAGTGAAACCGATGTAAGTATATTCTTAATTTTTTATTTTAAATTTCTTATCATGATTCATTATTTTTGGTCAAAGGATTGTTTGTCGTTGTATCCTGTCAGAAAATTTTGAATTGAACAATGAAATCTATTGGGTGAATGGATTAAATTTCATTGAACGTATCATCCATCTGGTCAAATATAAAGAAGTGCGAGATATATTAGCTATATTACTCTCAAAAATATCATTGATACCAATCAAATGTTCCAAATCAATCTATCAACAAGTGCATGCCTTTCATAACTTGATAGCATTGATTTTGGATCGAGATACAAGTCTGTTACCAGCTTACTTGGTGCTTGATGAAATTCAAAATAAATTCTACACAGTTCTACAAAATGGAAATGGTCATTGGGTAAATTTAATAAATAAATTGCTTCCTGTTTCAACTCTTTAACTCAAACTTTTTACCTTTTTTAAGGCGTTTTCTAAACTAATATCTGTATTTGTCGATAGTTTTCGACCGATTGGTATGTTGAATTATATCCAATATAACTTGTTATAATGTTTTATTTACATTATACATTCTCATGATTTAGCCAAAATTGTTTCACATTCTGGACGACCTCGTATCATGCCTATTGTTGGATATTGTTTCTGGATCAATTCATTAAATTTAGATGAAAAAACTGCTAAATACAAATTGAAAGGCCTATTACCATATGATAAGGAATTGAATGAACCACAATCAACATTATTATTGCAAATCATTGAACAAAACAATTCTCGTGAAACCATTGCTCATATTCTTTCGTTGGCCAAACATCAAGATTTGAAAGACAATCGTTCCATTAATATTATTGAAAAATTATTAATCGAACTTATCGTTAGTACAGTCATCAAAAGCTGTAATTATAAATCAATTTTTGAAATCAGTAATTTTGAACAGTTTGATTTTAATCAAATGGAAAATGATATTGTTCAAATTGTTATGCTTTGGAATCATATCTCATCTACAACTCTGTATTTTGTTTCTCAATATCAGAATATTTCTTTTTCATTATTGATCAACAATCTTTTGGAAAAGCTTTATGAGTATAGTAAAATATCACCAATCACACATCTGATTAAATGTCGAGAGTTTTTGATGTGGACGCTCTTGCAAATATTATCCGGAATGGAATATCCAACATCATCAGATAACAATTCATCTAGCCAAAATGACAATCTTATTATTTCAAATATTTTAAAACTATTCGATCTATTATATATCGAAAAAGAACCTCTACCCTTGCCAGATTTCCGCAAACGAAATAGTGTCTTCATAATGTCAGCAGCTTCGATTTTCATTTTTATAACAAAAAATGATTTGGATGGTTTAAAATTTCAGCCTCGAATACCAATCGCAATCAAATTACACATCGATTATTTACGTCATAGTTCAAATTTAAATTTGACGAAAGATTACTCAATTGCTATTTTATGCAATTCTTGTATGTTTTTTCAATTATTTAATGCTATGTCACCAATTATTGTTTGATTTCTACCAATTTCTAGATTCATCCAATCCGGAATTGTACTCAAAAATATTTAGATATTTTGTCGACAATATTTTAGAAACCAGAAACAAAATGAACACATCGACATCTGTACAGCAAATGAGTGATGATCCTCCAATCTCGATGGAAATGCTTGATTCGTTAACCATTCACACTCGAAAAGAGTGAGTTTCTATTATAGACTTATAAATGATGATTTTATAAATCGTTTAATTCATGACAGGTTAACATCATACATAATGAAACGTTTTTTTAGTGTTATGCAAGCTAAAACTGTACCAACATTCCCTTCATATTTAGTAGAAACATATTGCCGGTTAACATCAATTAGTGAAATCGATCAACATGAAGAGACCAAAACTTGGAGTCAGTTGATGGTACAAATTTCCAAAATTCATGGATGGAGCTATCTATTTAGTTTGTTAGAAATCTATTCTTATCGACTGCATCGAATAAATTGTGCCAATCAAATACAATTGTTGCGACAACTTTTCAACAAATCGATTGTTACTCAAATTAATCATATTCAACTATATTCATTCATGGAAAATACTGCATTGAAAATTTTGTATGGATTTAATTGTTTCGAATTTATTGCTTTTTGTACTGTGCGGCCAAAGATAGTCGATGAGACTTATAATTTTTTACCACCAGATTCCGAAGAATTATACAAAATTTTCATATATACATTAGCTCGCGCTACCCACATAACTGGAACCGAAGCATTATCCAGCGAGCAATATGTCCATTGGGTGCAAGAAATTCTCAAAGAGATTAAAAACCTCAATAGCAATTTGGCATGGCCTTCATTCACGCTTCAATGTTTTCCACCGATTATCAGTGAATTTTATCAATCCAGTACCAAAAAAGAAACTAATCATGCACAGTTGAAAAAATCTGTTGATGAAGAATATCGTCGATGGAAATCTATAACGAATGATAATGATCGTATCAAACATTTTACTTCGCAAGGAACCCCGCCGTTGATTTATTGTCTTCTTTACAAAATGCTTCTGGATAATGAACATATTCCACAAGTATCTTATAAGATTTTAGATAAAATTGGTGTTAAAGCTTTATCGAATCACCTTCGAACTTTTGCCGATTTTCTTGTACTCGAATTTGCTAATTTACTCGGTGGATCACATGTAAGCAAATCAAAAGAAGCTGTGAATGATCTCATTTGGAAATGCCACGTCGTTACTTTGGATAAACTATTATTATGTCTAGCTTTACGAAGTTTTGAAGGAAACAAAGCACAAGTTTGTTTTTTCATCATTCAATTGTTGATTGTTAAAAATTCCGATGTCAAAAATCGTGTTAATGATTTTGTTAGAGAAAACTCACCCGAACATTGGCAGCAGTATAATTGGACAGAAGTACAGAATAATTTCCTCAGGGTTTGTATATATATAGTATATATAGCGATACGTATTAGTTAACGACTTATTGATTCTTGTTAATCTTGTTTAGAAATACCCGGAAAAATATTATTTCGACCATTTACAGGATGTCAACAATCTGGGAAGTCAGATTAATATACCACCGATTTTCAGCAATATTTGTTTGAGAATATTGCCAGTTTTTGGTTTGTACAAACAATTAAATTGAACTTTTTCATTGACTAAAGATTATTTTTCTAATTATAAGATATAATTATTCATCGTCTTATCGAAATGCTTTCATGTGGAAATGAATTCGTCTCGAATTTTGTCGATACATTATTGGATGAATACGGCTGCCTGTATAAATTTCATAGCTACCCGATCACATTCCTGTACAATACCCTGCATTATTATGAAACAAATTTAAAGGGAAAAACGAAATTGAAGAAAAAACTGGTGTTTACTATCATTAATGCTTTTAAAGATTATCGACCTAAAAATTGGGCCATATCTGAGCCATTTATGAATTATTGTCAAAAAAATAACGATGAAGAATGGAATCCTGGTAAGATTAATATTTTCTCAATGTTTGATTGTTTATTATAATAATAATTAATAAAATTATAAAATTAGATCCAGAATATTACAAATTTTTGATTGGACGATTTGTCGACACATTATCTTCTCCAAGCAAATGTCCATTCAGTATGACCGATTATCGATTCAATGAATTTTCCAATATTCAATCACATGCTCTGTATGTAACTTGTGTGGAAATTTTAGCATTGCCTGGAAAACCATTCGATGTATCGAATCAATTAATCAATGTTGTAGCCAATAGCCATAAGAATATATCTCGACAAGATATTGAATTATGGATCAACGCAATCGGTTTGATATTCACGGCATTGCCTGAAAGTTATTCCTCTGTACTTAAAGAACGTCTTGTGGAACTATTGAAAAATCCTCGTGCTTTCCTTGGGAAGAGTTTTTTTCACATTTTTGATTTCAAAAATAGCCATGCAAATTTCTATGAGAACGATATGAGCTACACAATGGCTTTATCGCATTCTTATTGGTATCATGGTACATTTGGCCAATTATGTTTGATGCCACAATTCATAAAAGAAAAGATCAAACCGATCGTTCAGACAGAAGAACAATTGATATTGGTTTGCTATTTTGTTGGACCATTTTTACAACGTTTACAAAGTGAACGTACTAAATGTATTATTGCTATAGCTCATGAATTGTACCAAATGTTGGATACGGTAGACAAGAAATGTACTCACCTTTATCATATCGACACTATTTGTGACTTGTTTTATCATTTCAAATGTAAGTAATTAACTATATTACATTTATATTTAGATTTATATAAAAAAAAATTTTGTCCACAGATCGATTTACTGGGAATCTTTTGCAGAAATATATCGATGAACGAATAGATACAATGCGGCCAGAACTTCAACAAAAATTACGTTTTCTTTCTCAAATTTCTGATGATTCTGTCAGTGGTTAATGATTCTTTGATTATGATTATTTAAACTTAATGTAAAAATTCTATTATTATATGATATATTTTATTAATGTAAAAATAAAATTTAATCAAAGATTTTTTACAAATACGCGCCACATATCAATAAGTTTTGAAATATTTCAATTTATACATGCCATTTATTAGTAAGTAGCATGTAGAGTATGAAAAAGGTTTTAGAAAATGTAATACAGTGGTTACTCGACTTACGAATATTCGGACTTACGAACAAAATTTTAACAAAAAAAAAAAAAAAATTTTCTCTTAATTTGAAATTCTAAACTATTCCAACGAAAAAAAAATGTGTAGAATCAACCAATGATGATTTTTTTAGTTGTCGAATAAACTGATAAAGTGTTATAAATGATGAAATTACTGAATTTCAACCGGATATTAAAAATTTTTTTTTCAGCAGTTTTTATATTAAACACACATATGCGAAAGTCTATCATTTGTTCAAATTGATTTCCTAATTTTGAATGAAAGCTTTTTCAATACATGATTTGTTACCATTAAAATGTTAGAAATTAGACTTACGAACATATTCTTCTGGAACGTAATTGTTCGTAAGTAGAGTTCCCACTGTATACTCTTATAGCCACACACATGATCTCATTGATACCGAATCATCGAAAAAAAAGCAAAGAAAAGAGTGATGATGATACCACTTACACACATTATTAGTGTATAAATGAATAGACAACCAAAACAATTGTTGAAGATTTTTTACTTTAAACAATTTCCAATGGTCCATTAAATAATCCTTTGTTTTGTGAATGAACAGTTTAAAAAAGAATCACTATTCCTGAGAACAAATAAATTTATCGGGCCATCATTATAATGTAATTTCAATATTCTTTAAATAAAAAAATAAATTCATCACTTATGATCATCATCTAAAATATATCAATGATTCTTTTCATCGAATAAAATCTGTAACTAAGACATATTAATTCCAAAATCCCAGTGATCGAATTTCATTATCATCATGTCACTTATAGAAAGTTTTTGTGATAATTGTAAAGAAATGATTGTTCTTCTTTCCAAATGTAAATAAACATTTAGAAATTTATCATGATTTTTAAAAATTTATTTTCATTTTCAGATGATGAATGCCAAACATCCGAAGATCCGGATGGTCATATATTGGAAAGAGATGATCTAAATTTGTTGATTAATTATATGAATAATTGGTCCACCAAGTAAGAATAATTGTAATTGTTAATCGTCATATGATTATTTTTTTTTGTTTATTCTTCCGCTCATAGACATTGCACTTGTTGTTATAAAGATCAAAAAAATTTTACACGCTTCAATAATCTGGTGCAATCAGTGATCATAAAATCTTTTAATTTTCTCAATACCATTATTACCAAGGAATCAAAATATTCATTATTCTTCGAAGATTGGAGTAATGAAGATAAAGAAAGATTATTGCTATTATTGTCAAAGGTGATATTTCAAAAAAATTTTTAATGCTTATCTAAATATTTTCATATATTACAGGCATTTCAAGTTTCTTTTCCTCTCTATGTTACATATAAACATTCTAATTATACAAAAAATGAAGAATTATCGGCTAAAGAGATAAAGATCTTGTCAAACTATTGTGATCTCAGTGATTATGAAATGCCTATATTTTTGATGCGAAAAATCGTCCACTTCATCGAAACATCCGGATTCAAATTGTTCATCGATTGTTTTAAAGAATCTGATCCAAGTTGTCTTACGATCTCCTATGCCAATTCGTTGATATCAACAATACAGAGCCTTAAGTATTATTTCAATCTGTCTGCTATCAATCCTGAACTAGTCACATTGCGAACACATGTGATAAATTACCTGTGTAAAATCCGAGATAATGATTTAAGAAATACCACTAACCGAGCAATGTTTGAATACATTTGGTCAGTTGTAAAGGAATATAATTTCAATAATTTTGGCCTCGATGGAGATGGATTGAAGATTGCTCACAAGTATTTTACATCATCAACATTAACAATGCGACTATCAGGTTTGGCTCAAATCAACACCTGTATCACTATCTACAATGATCTCCCACATAACTCAATGAGTAAGTGATTAAAACATTAATTTTTATCGAAATTTCAATTTTATTTAAAATAGATGTAAATATGGAAAATATAAGAGATCTTCTTGGCCAATGGTTGATTGAAAACAGAATTCTTGAAAATATTTATGGACCAAATTCACATGTAGAAATGATTAAGCAAAGCCATTTCATTCTGAATTTTATCGCGCCAAGACTTACCGCTGAACATGTAGATCTCATTTGGAGTGCAGCCCAACTTAAACATTATGAACGATACGTGCTTGATATACTCTGCCAATTGATAAAAAACCTCAAAATAGATATTGTATATCATCTATACAATCATTTATGGAAGATCAAACCAAAGGATTATTCTGAACATACATTGAACCTGGCTTCAAATGTTATCAAATATATTTGGTTATTCAATGGAATTCAGCCCGATATGCTTTCGAATTGTTCATATATGTCTAATGAAAAAGTTGGGTTCGACGAAAGCATTTTGAATAAAAATTCCATAATGTCTTCACTATTTAAAGGTTAGGGTGTGTGTAACTATATTGGTTTGCTAATTTATTTTATTCCTTTCTTCTATCTCAGAACGAACAATCAAGACAAACAGTTCGTCTGCAAGCTCGATAGAAGTCAGTGATGAAGATGAAGAGGATGAATTTGATGTAACTTTGAGTAGTCCACAAATGCATGAATTGGATAAAGCAACAGCTCCTAAATTGAATATTGGCGATGATGGTGACAATCAATCTTCGGATAGCGAATTTGATATGGAGATCACTGAGAATGTTTCTGATTCACAAAAAGACAATGATTTTAAAATTAACGGTATTTTATTTAATCACAACCAAAATTTTAATCTATTATATTCATTTTTTATGCCTAGGTGATGAATTGAGTAGTTTGAGTTGTCACATACAAATAAAGGAATATATGAATAACGATGATCCCGCTGTTGATCCATCTATCCAATGGCAGAACAAAAGAATGAATCCTGGTGATGATGATGGTTTTGATAACAATAAAATGGAAATTGATCTTGGTTTGTTAAGTGAAGATTCTGTTCGAAATAAACATCAAGACTTTGTAGATCAACCACCTAAAACTAAATGGAGAGGTAATTTAAATAATTTAATATATTAATCTAACTCATTTCCATAATTTTCACCCATTATAAGATGATTTTCGATTCCGAATATCTGATGTGCACAAACCTGGAAATACGTTATTATATGATATTCTTCAAGATGACATGTTGAATTCTCTTAATGAAGATTTGGCTAATGCTGCAGAAAAAATATTCTGGAACACAATCTGTTGTGCTAGTAATCGGGAACTACGATTTAAATTCATATCAGGTTGTCTGGAAAATTTGGCAAGAAATTATTCAGTTATCACATCGTTGCGTTTGCTTCAAAAATTATTCTCTTCATTTTATCAATATCAGGAAGGTAAATTAATTCGGAAGATAATTCACAACTGTGAAAAAGAAAAGAATATGTTGAAATTGTTTTTCAACAATCTCAGTCTCTTCATGACTCATTATAAGTATTCGATTGCAAACTGTGACCAAAAAGATGATCAATACTATCGACAATGGTGTATGCTGAAATCGCAATTTTACTCTCCCAAAGAGGAAATTCAAATAAGGCTGAATTTTCTTAGTTTTGTTTTTATTTATGCTGGTTCGCACGAAAATTTGAACTTTTCGCAAGAACATGTAGACATTCTTTGGGATGTGTTCACCAAATGCGAATCTAACGAGATTATGGATGAATTTTTTGATTGGCTTCTAAGTAAGTGACATATATCTCTTTATGATTTTTGATTGATTTGAATTCTAATATCATTTTAGATCAAATAAAGCTTAATAACGGCTTGAACATTGATATCATCAAGCATATATTATGTGAAAAGATGCCATTCCTAAAGCCGGAATCATTTTCATTGATTTCGCTAGAACTTCTTCAAAATCTACATGGTTTCATTCTTTCTAAAAATTGTGAAAATCCTAAAACATTTAATATTGTTGTGAAGCTGCTATGGGATATTGCTTTCAAGAATCCTAACCAGAATGTTTCCATGAATGCTAGTCGTCATCTAAATAATTATTATATCAATCTATTGAGCTGTACAAATCGTTTTGATAAAGAAGAAGAATTTATTCGCTCTTGTATTAGCTATTTAAAAGATGCATCAATTTTGCTTCCCATTTCTTGTAACCGAAGTCTCTTGATCATTGAAAGAGCTGTTATATTGCTGAAAACTTATTTGGAAGTATTCCATGCAAGATATTCCTTTTTTTTTCGTTCTCTCAAGCTTTCGTCTAGTTTCGATCTATCATTGCATCGCATTCCTGACAAACCCGAACCTGTGATTAATATAATGGTTTGTTCACCGTTCAACGACAAGAATACATTTGAATTTTCAATGTTCGATTATATTGGAGATCTTCGAGCGGAAGTTCAACATTGGTGGCGTTCTCTTCGAAAGGCATTGGAACCCGGCCAATCTACAGATTTAGATCAACTAATTTGTCTAGTACTGAACGGTAATTAAATGATTGTTTTATTTTTTTTAAAATTAAAATTAATATTTCCATGCAGATCACGAAATTTCTTTTGACTGTGATGAAAAACGTTTGCTTGAATTGAATTTCAAGGACAACCAAATGAACAACATCTCTTTCCATATTTGCAAGCACACCTTAACCAAATCATCAAACGTGTTATCCTTGCCATTTTCGAACGAAGAGTTCAAACAAAAAAATCCTAAGAATCTCTTAATTGAACAAAGCAATTTCGAACTCTTATTTATACTGATGCAACAATTAGACATGATTAATGTGAATAATTTAAAAGCTCGAATACTGTCTCGAAATATCTGGGAAATTGTGCAGATGTTACCAACACCTTACCAGATCATCAAAAATTTTCAGCAATTAGAGTCAAAATTCTATGCTGTTCAAAGCAATGATAAAGAAAAATTTTCTATTAATCAATTCAGTAATGATGAGATCAGCTGTAGTGTTGATTATGATGATTTTTACAAAGAGATTTTTCCGTCAAATTCCAACCAGAAATTAATTTACGCTTGTCAATTAGTAGAAAATTACCGTAAAATTAACAAACATTGGCCACAGGTATTTATCGAGACTGGAGGATTACGCTTTTTTTATCGAACATTTATTGATGTCGTAAGTTCGATCAAATTGAAACGAGATTGGACTGAATGGAAACAAGATTGTCTCACATCGTTAGTTCAAATTTTATATCAATTCACCAAAGTTACGGTGAAAAATGATGACGTAATTCATAGATTAGAATTTGACAAAACCTGGTAAGCATTTTTTTTGTTATCTATCTATCCAGTCTAACAAACTTGTTCTAGCGATCAAACCAATTTGAGTTCATGTTCTAATATTGAAATGCGGAAAAATAAACGAATACGAAAAAACTCTCTTGAAAAAAATTCTTTGCTGAAATTCAGTCCAGAAATATTGGCCATCATAGAAGATAAAGAAAAATTGTTGGACGCTATAATGATAATTTTGAACCATGTATTCATGAATTCTAAGCTCATTTATCAAACTTCCATTTGGTCACGTTCACAAGTCGTGCTCATCACATTAACATTTTTCACATCGTGGTGTTATTCTGATCCTGACGTTTTCTATTTGTTTTTTGAATCAAAAAATGCCAAAGAAATCATCAAAAAGCTCCTTATAGACGATGTAGATCAAATGGTCAGAAAAGAATCCAGTACCGTGTTCTCCCGCGTGTTCTTAAGCCTGAATCCCGAATTGTGCTGCAAATTTCTTCCAAAGTTTCTCAAAGTTTTGTTGAGTTTTCTCGAAGAAGCATCATTGGTCAATATCCCACGAATTTCAAATCGATTCTGTTCTGATGACAAAGAAACTTTTTGTCCTGGCAATAGAGATTATTTTATATTAGTCTGTCGTTTGATTGATCATTTATATTCACAAAAGCCTAACTCTAAAGATGATATCGATTCTGAAAATTTACCGATTCAAGTGGCCAATCTAATATTCAATCGAGAAAACTTTGAATTGAATAAAAATCAATCTGAAGATGAAGGTCTAAAAGGTCTATTTTTATTATTGACGGTTATTCTGAAGAACAATTCACTTATCAAAAACAGACAGGAAAGCAAAGAATTGATAATTAGAATATTTGATTGTCTTTTTGCTTTGCCAACGTTCAATCATCGAGAATCACCTAAATGTAAAAATATTCACACTCGTAAGACTGCTTTTGATTTATTATTGGAATTGATCAAGGGCAATGAAGATAATTATGTCATATTGACCAATCTACTTATTGATCAACATCGCCATGAAATTCTTGGTAGATCATCACCTTATCCTTGGGAATATTGGCCTCAAGATGAAAGCCGTTCTGATTTTGTTGGATTAACCAACCTAGGTGCAACTTGTTATATGGCTTCTTGTATGCAGCATCTTTTCATGCTTACTGAAGCACGAAATGCTATCTTGACTACTAATTTGTCAACTGTCATTAAGCATGAATCCATTCTGCGAGAATTGCAGAAAATGTTCATTTTCCTTCAAGAATCTGAACGAAAAGCCTATAACCCAAAAAACTTTTGTAAAGTATATACAATGGATCATCAGCCGTTAAATATCTGTGAACAAAAAGATATGACCGAATTCTTCACTGATCTGATTACCAAACTCGAAGAAATGACTCTAGATCTTAAAGACATGGTCAAAAAACATTTTAGTGGATTACAATCCAACAATGTGGTTTCCCTAGATTGTCCTCATATCAGCCAAACTATGGAAGAATTTTATACGCTTCGATGTCAAGTAGCTGACATGCGGGATCTTTATGAATCTTTGAACGAATTGACTGTTAAGGATACCCTTGATGGCGATAATATGTATAATTGTTCGGTTTGTGGAAAAAAAGTACGTGCTGAAAAACGAGCTTGCATCAAAAAATTGCCAAAAATTTTGTGTTTTAACACGATGCGTTATACTTTCAATATGATAACGATGACCAAGGAAAAAGTCAACACTCATTTTTCATTTCCCTTCGTGTTGGACATGGCCCCATATCTAGAAAAAAATCTGTTGAATCTACCAAATGAAAAACTATTCGACAATGGTGAGCTAAACGAGGAAACTAGTACTAAATATGATTTGATTGGCGTAACTGTGCACACTGGAACAGCTGAGGGAGGTCATTATTATTGTTTCATCCAGGATCGAGATCCACAAAGTCCTACACGAAATAAATGGTTTTTATTCAATGATGCAGAAGTTAAGCTATTCGATAAAGCTCAGATCGCCACCGAATGTTTTGGTGGCGAGATGACTAGCAAAACATATGATAAGGTAATATAAAAAAAATAAGTATTCTTTACAACATCTTGATCAACATATTTTTTTTGTTTGCATTTAGACCAACGATAAATTTATGGATTTTAGTTTCGAAAAAACGAATTCGGCTTATATGTTATTTTATGAGAAATGTGAAGATATAAATACTATTAATAATGATAAAAATCAAATTCCAGCAGCTATAACATTTGAAAATCTATCGAAAGAATTGATCGACTGGATTTGGAGCGATAACATTTCGTTTGTACGCGACAAATTAATTTTTGAACATGCATATTTTGATTTCATTTGGAGAGTAGTCACACAAACTCCACACACATTTTCTGGTGTTATTTCTAGTCAATCAACATTGATTTCAATACGTTTAGCAACATTGTTTGTTTTAGAAACGTTAATTCATGCCAAAGAAAAACCGACAATTCCCAGTTGGATAGAATTGTTGATAAAACAATTCAATAATTCAAAAAAGGCTTGCGAATGGATTGTGAATCATCTTGCTGAAAATGATTGGTGGTCGATGAAAATTTTATTCAAATGTTCCAATCAAACCGTACGCCAAATCTTTGTTCGCCTATGCATACATGTCATACAAAAACTGAAACCAATACATCCATCGATTTATATGCATCCACTTGCATCGTCAATAACCGAAGATGGTATCCGTCCATCAGTTGAGCTCAATCTGCCAGTTACGGCTTTCATCAGACGATTGATTTCATTGGTCAATTCAGATCTAATAATTGCCAGGCCGAATATCAAATATCTCGCTGAATATTTTTCATTTCTTTTGGAATTTGCCAAACAAGGCGATGAAGAATACAAGTTATTACTTTCGATTGGAACAATCTCCACTTTTGTCAACTTTTATCTCAATCACGGAAAAATCGTCGGCGATTTCTCTGAATCGTTTAGTGATAATGAAGACGAAGATTTTGATGAAAGGTAAGTTAGTAAATTAAAATTTTTACTGAACGTTGTTGGTGAATCTGTTAAATTTTAATATTAATTTATTTATATTTCTATAATGAAATGGTGATAGACCTCAAGCCTTTCGACCAATATTGGATGAAAAATTTCCCAGATTAGCATCTTTAGATAAAATGCTTTGCTTGGTTGTCTATTTGGTAGAGAAGGCTCAAAGCCGAAATTCTCATTTGATTCTTTCCAAACACGATTTCGATGCGCTAATCAGCAACAAAAGTTTTCAGTTTCTGCAACAACTAATTCGAGACAATATAAATCTGAGGCAAACTTTTAATTTGATTTGCTCCATTTGTAATCTGGACGATTCTTTATTTTCACACATCATCAACATGATATTCTCTTCAATTATTCAATTTCCAGAAAGTAGCGCCATGTTTTTCAAAATTTTGTCATTTGTTACCGAATCTGCTTGGGTTTCATCATACTTTTCTAAACTGATCCTGCCAAGAATTTGGGATTTAGCCGAACCTACAACATTACAGACATTGGAATGGTTAATTCAACATGTACCCAAAAATAAAATTTTGCATGATCATGTATTATCCACTATGGATCATTGGGTCATATATTTTTTGGTAGAAAATTCCATACCAAGAGTTCGATCAAGTACTGCTCAATTATTGATTTCGTTGGTACCTTCTTCGGACAATTCATTTCGACAAAACTATCGACCGTTTCGTTCGTTTCCATATACAATCAATAAGGAAATCGTTTTAAACAAAGAAAGTTCAACCATTATAGACCAATTATTCAGCTATCTACTCGGACTAATCAAAAAAGTCAAAATCTATTCGGATTCTCATTCGCCTAACACACAAAAATTGTCTAATTATTTTTTCGTTCTTACCTATCTTATGGTCAACACAAAACAGAAACGTTTATTTATTGCTCATTTTAATGACTTTTGGATGCTTTTTGAGACAAAGTTATCCGAACCAGCCATTCCTATTCATCAAAACAAACAGGCATTCTTGATGTTTTTGTATGTTGCATGTCAAGAATGCAAAGATTCCATCAAATGTATTGTTCAGAATCCACATGTGTACAAGAAGATTGCATTCAATTATATTCTAGCCGATCATGAAGATCAGGAAGTAGTAATGTTTAACAAAAATATGTTACCCTATTATTATGGTTTATTAAGGCTTTGTTGTGAACATTCGCGTTCATTTTCTCGTTATCTTGCATCCCATCAGAATATCCAGTGGGCATTCAAAAACATTACTCCATATTCGAATCAATATTCATTAGCCATCCAAGAACTTTTCAAATTGATCAAATTATTCACCACTGTTCACGAGGATTCAACTGAACATGAAACTAAAGAAGCGATGAATTTTAAAAACATGACATTGAAATTGTATCTACATACCTTGGATCCAAGTGTTCATTGGGGAACTATCATTGCCGTATTGAAAACTTTGATCGAAACTAACGATGATTTATTCTTTATAATACGAAACAACGGATTATGTATTTTGTTCCAATCATTCTCATCGTTGTATGTTATGTTTCATCAAGCAACTGCTTGCCATATTACAACCGAATTGATTGATTTATTGAAAATTATATCATCATTATTGTCAGCTTTTGAAGAAAATTATGATTCTCTACAAGATTATAAATCAAACTTGAAGACATTTTTAGATGTAAAAAAATTTTTATTCCTATTAAACTCCTATACGCCTTCAAATCTTCGGAATGCTTTGTTTGAAGTTATTTTTAAATTAATCAAAGTTTTTCCTTACGATTATCTTATCGGTATAGCCAAATTTTTATTATTCCAACACATTGTGTTCGCCGAACAGAATTTCCCTTTTATTATTGGACCATATTTCCCAAAACGAGGACAAAAAGCTTTTCAATCTAAATCCAGCCAACGGCCAGCACGTCCAACATTTCAAATGTGCTTCAACGTTACCAACCTTGATGCAAGCAATGAACATGATCGTGATTTTGATTATGATCAGATGGTTTTCGAATTTTATCGTCCTTATTATTCGTTCATCGATGAAATTTGCCGGTTTGCTATCAAAAAAGAATTGGTTTTCGAAGAACTTGTCGATCTCACTGTTAAATTGGCATTAGAAAGTCTTTATTTTCGCAATAATAATTTCATCACGCTCTGGCTTGACGCATATGAAAACCCTGAATACAATTCCCGCAGCATTGTAGACTTTCTTTCAGTGAATAATTCTTTCCATGATTATATGAAAATTATTCTGTTGAAAGAAAAAAGTTGGCTGAAAGATGATCTTGTTTTTCGTTTTTTAAAAACATTTCTAGCTAAGGTAAATTGTCATCTTTTTAATTTGCTTTTAATTAAAATTCATCTCTTTATTTAGGCATCTCCTCGTGTATACACTGTCAATATTGTAAAGCAAAATATACTGCCATTGATGGATAACTTATCACAAAATCAAAACCCGAGACATATGGAAGTTGTCCAACAATTAATTTGGGTAAGTTGATATTACTTTGATTTTATTTTTTAAGCAATAATGATTGATTTGGCGATAAAGAATTTATTGGCAATCAAGCTTTTTATCGAATCCAATACAATGGTCAATCAGGAAATAGCTGACAATTTTAGTGGGAATTTGAATAGTCTGGAAAAAATTTACTCTGCTCTTGAAATTAATGGTAAGTTCATAGATGTTATAGAAATTCTAAAATAATAAAAAATGATTTTTAGATGATTCTGAATCGGAAAAGAAAATAGCTGACCACTTAAAAAACAACCCGGAAACTAAAAAACCAAAATTGATGTCGAATATCGAAATTGGTGAAAATGAGTCACCAAAGTCGATTTGTGATGGCAGCCAAACTTCATCGTATTACGATAATATGCCAACCATTGGGTCAATCAACACTGATATTGCTACCATAAAAAACTACATTGATCGTATATTGACATTGATTCGTGATATTCGTGAATTGTTGAATAATTGTTATTCTTCATAATATTCATTTCAAACATTTTGTATTCATGAATAACACATTTTATATTTCCTAATCCTTTTCTATGATCATCTCCCAATATTTTTTTTGTAAAGAACTTTTTACTTGTTTCATCTCTTTCATTAATTCATTCTATTTGACGTTACTTCATTACCAGGAAATTTTATTCTATCCATCTCTCTCTCTCCATTTTTATTTACCATCAATAAATTCATTTTAAAAAATTTTCAAATTTCGAATAGCGTTTATTCGCAAATGTTGTTATTGCATGCATACATGCATGCTTTAAAATTTTAATGTCCACTTATTTATGTCCTATAGTAATATCATGTTTATCATTAAGTGTTCATTATTTAAAATCTCCAATTGGCTATTCCTTGGTCATAATCATCTTAGAAAATTTTCATCTAAAAATATGACTCAAAAACTTATCTGGGTTGATTGTGAGATGACTGGATTGAATGTCGATCGTGATCAATTGCTTGAAATAGCTTTGGTAATCACCGACAGGGATTTAAAAAAGGTGTTGTTTATTTTTTGAAATTCGTAAAATTAATATCTCACATTGATGTTTTTAGCTGGATCAATTTGATCCCATTCATATCAATGCCTCCTCACAGGTTCTAGAATCGATGAACGATTGGTGTCAAAAACAGTTTCGAAGCAACGGCCTTTATGAAGAATGTTTACGATCCAAAATTCAAATAGAAGAAGCTGATAACTTGTTGGCAGAATTTATGGTCAGAAATAAAATCAAACAGGGAATTTTAGCCGGTAATTCAATAGGTAAAGTTAAAATTATTTAGGTTATTTGAGAATAATCATTTTTATTAATTTTTGATTGCAGCAACGGATCGACAATTTTTAAACAAATATTGTCCAAAATTTGTTTCTCATTTACATTATCGAATGGTAGATGTGTCCTCAATCAAAGTCTTGGTAGATATGTGGTATAAAGATCGCGAATTCTGGAATGTAAATACACCGCACAGAGCCCTTGGTGATATCAATAAGAGCATCGAAGAAATTAAATACTATAAAGAAAAATACTTTTTGAAACTTTAATCAATCATTGAAAAAATTATTTTTCAAAGTCCACATTCGGCAATGTTTGGGCCGTTTTTGATAAATGTTTCCAATAAATTTGCTGTTTTTTGTGACAATTTTGCTTTGTCTTGTTCATTGATGTAATCAATTGCTCCAAAACCAGCACAGATTCCATTCAATTTAGCAGCTAATGGTGATGTAATTAATTTGGAATCATCTTGCAAATCTGTTTCTTGCATAATGGATGGATGTTTACGGAGAAAATATTTTTGATGATAATTCTCTGCATTTGTAAATTCATCTAGCTGGACAATTCCAGTCACTATTGGAGAGGAATAGTAGGATTTTTTCAACTCTAAAAATTGTTCTATGCAATTTTTTTCATCTGCATTTCTGTAGAATATGGCTGACATGTATTGGCGTTTATGTTTGATAGTAGGATCATGTGATTTCATGAACAATTCGAGAATTTCCTATCAATTTGCAAAAATATTGATCATTATTAAAAATAGTTTTTAATCTGAAATTCAATTATCCGAAAACGATACCTCAAACTTAATAGTGTTCGGATCAAACTCTATGTCCACCGATTCGATATGATCACCGATATTACGATAAGTTGGATTCTTGGTTGAACCACCTGAGTATCCAACTCTGGTTCTAATTATTCCTAAATGGGAACCAAAAATTGCTTCCGCGCCCCAAAAACATTGCATTCCCAGTGTGATGCGTGCCATGCTTGTGATATATCCGTTAATTCAAAGTCCAAAACCTCACTACAACGCCATAAATAACAAATACAGTGGTTTTCTTTTAGCTTAAAAGCTGATTTTTTTTCTTTAATGATCACTGAATGGGTCATAATAGCAATTGAAAATTTCAAAAAATAAATAGTTACATTTTCATTAAGTTTTTAAGGATTTATAATTCTATCAAGTAACCTTAGGTCTGGACGAATTAATTGGTTTTCCATTATATGCTATAGAAAATTGTGCTTCGCTTAATGATGGTCGTCTTGGAACGGATTACCATCGTTAACCGAGGTACCACTGTATTAACAGCTTTACAAAAAATAATCATTTGGGATGTTCACGAGCATAACGATCAATAACACCGTCAAGTTCGAATTTGAGATCATCAATTTTGCTGGGATTAATTTTCTTCACAACATGATCCTTGCCAAGTATATAATTAAACAAGGGATTCAATGAAAGCTTTTCTCTTTCCGCTTTAAGCATCTGTTCTCTTTTTAACAAACTTTCCTCTTGTTTTTCCATTGTTTTGACCAATGAATCAACATCCATATAACATTCAGTCATCTCTTTTTGACGTTGCATTAAACGAGATCGTTGATTTTTGATATGGCTATTCTTTTGTTGTCTCATTTTTTCGGTAGGCTGAAATTTAACAAATGGAAGATCTTCAGCTCCTTGCCATCTTTCAGGATAGGACATCGACGAAGTAAACCAACTGACCATATTTGCAAAACCTGATGACGTCGATTCTTGCGAGTTTTCATTTGTTCCATCTTTTGATGCTCTATTACGATGTTTGATATGTTCAGCTAAAAATTCGCATCGTTCATAGTGATGCCATTTTGATTTGAGCGCTTTGATTTTATCCTCAATCACCATCTGATCTTCATTCGAATTTTCAAGTGCTGCTATTTGCTTATGAACACGTGTAAAATTATCTTTTAGCAATTTGATTTTTGACACTATGTTTGCCTCTATTCAATTAACGTAGATTAGCAAATTAGAATTTTTTTGAAAATTATTACCTATTCAACATAATTTCGAGATTACAAACCTGATAGACCGGAAAATTCTAGCCCCAACCTTTCTAATTGAGATGCCTTGAGCAAAGGATTTTTAAAGGATTCCGTTTGTTTTGCCCAAAGAGCAGGACATTTTTTAAGGGCTTCGATAAAATCGACTTCAAGTTCAAGTGGCCATTTTCCTATGGATGAAAATTTTTTTTATCGAAAATTCAATCGTTTAACAATATAAAATTTTGAAAGTTACCCGAATCTATAAATTTCTCAATTAATCTCTGACGTTTTGCATCGACTACTATCGGGTGAATAGTTTCTTCTTCATTCATTTCAAATTTTGGCTAGATTTTTGAATTTTTTCACAAAAAAAATAAAAATTGAATGTGGACGTAAAGGGTACAGTCTCGCTGAAACTACACACACATAATTTCAACGTAAACTCAATGTGGAACTCACCGTTGTAAGGAGCTGAATGAAAATATACAACAAACGTTGTGAAAATAAATGCTCGTCTAATTTATAGCCAAACCGAACAAAGCGCATACTCCTTGCAGTAAATTATATTGGTTATTCAAATTTGTTATTTATAGCATCAAAATTAAAAAGGTTGGAACTAGAATTTCAGGTTTGTAATTTCTGTATTCTGATAAATAGATCATAATCATAATTTTCAAAAAATTCTAACATCTTAATAGAGTATCAAAAGATGGAACAAATAAAAACTCGCAAGAATCTACATCATCAAGTTTTACAAATATGGCCAGAGAAATGAGAATGCTATATGGATGTTGATTCATTGGTCAAAACAATGGAAAAACAAGGAGAAAGTTTGCTAAAAAGAAAACAGATGCTTAAAGCAGAAAGAGAAAAGCTTTCATTGAATCCTTTGTTTAATTATATACTTGGCAAGGATCATGTTGTGAAGAAAATTAATTCCAGCAAAATTGGTGATCTCAAATTCGAACTCGACGGTGTTTTATTGATCGTTATGCTTGTAAACATTCCAAATGATTATTTTTTGTGAAGCTGTTAATACTCAGCAATGTAAAAAATTTAATAAATTTAATGGGAAAAAATAAAAAAAAAAATTATACAAATTTATGTACAATAAAATGGCTAAATAATTGTAGCTGTATAGGTTGGCTGAATGACCACTATGGAATTTGATTGAACGGATCCTGCATTGCAGAAATATTCTGCATAAATATCACGAATTCGTTTAGCATCGAAAGTTGGATTGTTGTTCTTTGTTTTTGGTTTTTGTGAGCTTTCAATATGTGTGGTTCGCAATGTATCAAATGTTTCTTGGTTATAGTTGAAGCCTTCTTCAGTGAGAATCATATTGTACAGAAGTACACAAGTCAGAACGATAAAGTCAGAATTATCAGGCATGAATTTTGACGAATTCAAGCATTTAAATTTATCGATCAATACGCCAAACGAATATTCTGCCACTCTTTTCGCTTGGTTAAGTCGATAATTGAAAATTTTTTGCTGTTCATTGATATATCTTTCTGGATATGGACGAAGTAAATTGGTTCGCAAAGGATAGCTATCATCGCCGATGAAAAAATATGGCAAATCAATCTGCGGCTCGATGATGGGCAACATTGATTCAGTTGGAACTTGTATCGTTTGATTGATTACTGATTGACCGAATATGGAATTGGAAAAAAATTCCTTATCGCTTTGACCATTGTAGACACCAACATCACAACAGATGAAACGATAATCAGCATCAGTGACAGCTTGCATGTAAATACCATATTTGTTGTCAGAATTCTTAATTCTAATATGTTTTCCATCGATAGCGCCTAAGCAATTTGGTATATTCCATGTGGTCCAAAATCGATTTGAAATCTGTTTAAATTCTTCGACAGTAGGAAATGATAGATATTTTTCCATAAATGTGTCGCAAATAGCTTGACAAACTCTAGTCACAATGCCTGAGATTGTTTGATGAGCAATACGAAGTTGTTGTTCGCTAACACGATGGGATACACCTTGTACTAGATATCTGAAAATTTATACATAATTATGAAACAAGAAATACTCAGTAATTAAAATTTTGTAGCAATACCTTATACAAGCGAATAGTTGTTCTTCTGGACTGATTGGTTTTCGAATTGAACGGCGAGTAATTTTATCCTGAATACCATTTAATATCAGCATGAATGTCTTTTCCGACATGCCAAGATATTCATAGAATGCTTCTGGATTAGATTTTAATTGAGGGAATACTTTTGCAAACTCTCCTTCTTGATCACGAAGTTTGAATTTGGGAGATATACCGAATCTACGTGATGAATATAAAAGGCCAGAATTTTGTCGAAGCATTGACAATAATACTTTTTTACGGCGACGTATCTGATTCACTTTCATGGCTTGAAGATTTATTATATCTGAAGACATTATATCTGAAATTTTATAAATTAGACAAATAAAACAACTATATACTATAAATATAAATGTTGATAGAAAAGTTAGAAGCAAAATAATACAACTCAAATAAAATGAAACAAAACTAATTCTGTTGAGGCTGTTGCATGCATACATGCATGTACCGTGCATGTACGACATGATGTGAACATACATAATTTCATATGATGATATGCTCTGCAAAACATGCTTTTCATGATCAGTGTTTGAATTCTTTATACAACATTCAAATTGTTCAATCTGGATTGGAATCACTTTTTTCTCATCTAAAAAAATGGCACATCAAAATATCAAAAATTTTCATAATCTATTGGTAAATTGTATACATTGTTTTCAACGTATCAAATTAAAATTTTTTATTCAATTTCAACCAGCGTTCCAGATTTTTATCTGATACTTTACGATTTTCTAGCTCAAAAACTTCTAGCGGTTAGTGTTTTGAATTTAATGAGAGTTTAAATTATTTGATAACAATTTTGATTATAAATCTATTTTCCTATTGATGATAGAGATAAAAATTCCTGATAATTCAAAATGTATCAACAAAGTTATTCTTCTTGGTCGATGTTTAGCTGAAGCAAATTTAAAGCCATTGAATAATACAAATTATGCTACATTCATTATGGCTACAAATGAATTGCGTCGTACTAAAAGCAATGAAATTGTGAAACGCTCGGATTATCATAAAGTTTTCGTCTATCAACCATTTTTGGCAAAAAAATCTCATAATCTAATTACAAAAGGGTAATGTTCATTTTTACTTTAAGAACTAATAATTACAAAATTTTTAAATCAATAACGAAATCATCTATTACCAGGACTCGATTATATCTTGAAGGAAAGCTAAATTATCGAAAATATGAAAATCAATTTTTCTCCAACATAGTTGCCGGTATTTATTACATTGAAAATTACTTCCAATTGACTAATCAAATATATTTATTTTTTTGACTTTAAAACTTACAGAAAAAATATTATTCATTTCCGGTACCAATCAACAATTTGAACTTGATAACGATGACATTATCGAAGAAATTGATGAAGAATTTATCACTGAAGGTGAAGAACAACAAAATGTCCAAGCTTCGGAAAAATATTGATTGCAATCATGACAACTACATTGTAGTCACCAATCACATTTTTTTTCGTTCCATAGTCTCATGTTGATCATTTTCGAATTATTAACAATATAATAATTAACAATTAACAATATAAATAAATTGAAATTGATATTAGTGAATTTGTGAAAAAAAAAAATAATAATTGAAAATTGCAAAAGAGGTCGCACTGATCGACTCGACTAGACCGTTATTATGAAATACAATGAAACGTTTTTCTTTTATCGTTCAATACGATATTGCGCTTGAATGCATGCATGCTTGCCCGTCAATTTAATCACAGATTGCATTTTTTGATTATTTGGCATCAATAATCGATAATGCCTGGAGAAATCATTACATTACAAGTGGGACAATGTGGTAACCAAGGTATCTTATTTTTGAGTTTCATTTGTTGGTGATTTTTAACATTTTTTAATTTTTTTTGCTCAATTCAATCAGTCGGCTTTGAATTTTGGAAAAAATTATGTTACGAACATGGTATCAATTGTGATGGACAATTAGAACCATTTGCCGAGAAATCTGGTATTGAAAGAAGAGATGTATTTTTTTATGAATCTGATGATAAACATTATATACCTAGATCCATTCTAATGGATCTTGAGCCACGTGTTGTAAATAGTATTATGAATAGTAAATATTCAAAACTATTCAACAATGAAAACATTTATATCTCAAAAAATGGTGGTGGTGCTGGTAATATTTGGGCCTCTGGATATTCACAAGGAAAATCATTGAGTGAAGAATTTTTCGAAATCATCGAAAGAGAAGCTGAAGGTGCTGATTCTTTGGACGGTTTCATTTTGTGCCATTCAATTGCTGGAGGTACTGGATCGGGTATGGGTTCCTATGTGCTTGAAACCATTCAAGACCGTTTTCCTAAAAAGATTATTCAAACATACTCCGTATTTCCCAGTCAAGAAGAAAGTAGCGACGTTGTTGTTGAGCCATATAATTCACTACTTACATTACGAAGATTGACCGAAAATGCAGATTGTGTTGTCGTTCTGGATAATGCCGCTTTATTTCGAATTGCAGTGGAAAAATTACACGTAGAAAATCCCAACATGTTACAAACAAATTCATTAGTTTCTACTATCATGTCAGCTTCGACTTCAACATTGCGATATCCTTCTTTCATGAATAATCGATTAGCCGAATTGATCGTACCATTGATTCCTTTTCCTCAACTACATTTTCTCATGACTGGCTATACACCATTTACCACTGAAAAAGAAAATCATAGTGAAGTAACATCTGTCCGTAAGACAACTGTCATGGATGTAATGCGTCGATTGCTTGATGATAAAAATATGATGGTCTCCACACCAATACAAACCAAAAACGATAACCATTGCTATATTTCAATATTGAATATTATTCAAGGTGAAGCTGATCCGGTTGAAGTCAACAAAAGTTTAGCTAGAATTCGTGAATCAAAGCGAATCCCATTTATACAATGGGGTCCGGCAAACATTCAAGTAGCCCTTTCACGAAAATCTCCATACATACAAACTTCAAATAAAGTTTCAGGTTTACTAATTGCCAATCACACTTCGATTGCTCATGTGAGTAATATCACTTTAAAATTCCTTGAATGCTTGCTAAATTTTTTTTTATATTATAAATATTCTAGCTATTCGAACGGATTGTATCACAATATGACAAACTCAGGAAACGAGGAGCATTTTTGGATCGTTTCAAAAACGAGGAAATTTTCTCACAAAATCTGGATGAATTTGATAATTCTAGAGTTGTCGTTCAAGAATTGATTGATGAATATAATGCTGCCTCAAAATCGAATTATCTTGAATTGGCACTTTATAAATAACAATCATTATTGTACCTCAATATTTTTTTTTGAATATCGTTTAATTAATCGAAAAAGATTAAAAAATTAAAAATTAAATGTTCTTGCTCTTTTGAATTTTTTGAATTTGCCTGTCAAATGGTAACATCATATTTGATCAAACTCCGTGCAGCATGCTGTGTGCATTCAACTCATGTTCTTTGCACATGCATAAAAATCCATGCTTGTGAGATTGATGAATCTATGCAGATATTTTTCATTAATTTAATTTGATATAAATCGATTTATTTACCATCATCTCGTTATAATCATGTCCAGTCTATCCCGATTCAATGTGGCCAGATCAATGTTGAATGTAAGTGGCCATTCGTTATTTTTTTTATCTCAAATCTTTATTTCTATAAAATATTAAATTTTTTTTTGGCTCAAAGGATTTTTTTCGATCTAGTCAGATAATCAGCAGACGAAATTTATCCGGCGAAAGTTCCGATTCAGAACAAGGTAGAATGAATGTTTCATCTAATTTTTATGTTTTTTAAATTAATATTTTTATTCAAACGAATATTTTTCCCATTTCAAACTTTTAGCCCAATTGGAGAATGTGGATACTTTTAAATGTCTGAATCGTGTTACACTATTAGGACGAGCCACCGGCCCAGCCTCATTAACCAGATTAGAAAATGTAGATTTGGCTTCTTTTACATTGGTTACAAATGAACTTCGTCGAAATCGATCTAATGAATTGATTAAACGATCGGAATTTCATAAGATTCAGGTGTTTATTCCAAGATTGGTACAAAAAACTATACAAGTTGTACAAAAAGGGTATGGCTATTGGATCAGGTTTTAGTGGAAACAAATTTAACAAAAATTTTCATAATCACAGATCTCGTGTGCTTGTCGAAGGAAAAATCAACTATAACGTTCGTAAAGGTGAACATGGGAATATTCATTTCACAAACATAACTGCGGGTAAGATTATTTTATATCTATTAATGGAATTAGTACATAATTATGATTTCTTTGTTTTTAGAAAATGTTGTCTTCATCACAGGCAATAGAATGAATATGAATAAAATCGAAAGCGATTCTGAAATAGTCGAAAAGCAAGAACAGTTTTGAAAATAACACCGTCTTGTTTACGATTTGGAAAAACAAATTCGTTGCCTTCATTTGAAATTATTAGACGAATTTTTCATTTCATCATTAAAATAATTGAACAATTACTTTTTATTAATATCAGCAAAACATTGTTTCATAGATGAATAATCTATATTGTTAAATCCATTCAATAAAGATTCGTAGTATTCCATGTTTGATTCAATTTCTTTATAAAAATTGGACGGATTCTATTGGTATTAAGAAATAAGATATAATTACTATAATAATGAAATTTAAATGTTGAAATTTTACCATTTCATTGAGATCCAACTTGGGTGATTTATAAATATAGTCCTTATAATATGGTCCTAATAATGTAATCGATTGACAATAAGCAAATGCTCCATTAGTGACCATTTTTCGGTAGGCGATCGATATATCAAATTGATTCAGTTTCAATGAATCGGCAACTAAACCTTGTATAGAAAATGACATTTGTTGATTTAATCGAATTCGAAATGGTATGCAAGGATGAATCCTACAAAACATTGCCCACAATGCATATAGAACGTAGAACGCAAATATACGCGATTCTAGTGAATTTTTTGACAACATTTTGTTCACTATGAATTCGCTTGTTTCATCAAAACATTCTCGTATGAATTTCGTATCCTGTTTGTGTATCATCCATGCTATCAAATGAGCAAATTTAAATTTTTCAAAAAATTTCAGAAATTCTTCGAATGAAAAGCTGAATATTTCATGATTTTGTTGAGGTAGTTTATCGTTTGAATTATATTGCTGTTTCATAATCGGTTCATAATCGTCGTCGTCATCATCATCACAGCGGGTAAGATCAATAGTATTCGTAACAATTGATGTTTTATCTTTGAATTGATCAAAAAATCGTTCATATTCAAGTTTGAATTTATCCATATTACTATCATTAGGTTTATTAGTAGGACAATAATAATATAGCAAATCAAAATCGTATGGCATACATTATCCATGCATGTCAAATTGTACGAAAAAAATACACTCTGAAACATATTTGAGCGACACCATGCGGCAGTTATATAGCGAAAATATCCGTTGAGAAATCCAAGAAAATTTCCAATTGCCCATGAGCCAATGAACTTGATGTAAATGTAACCGAAAGACGCGCGCAACTTATAATTAGGGATTTTTTTGCTATTCATCATTTTGTGTATCCTAGCTAGGTCTTGAAAAAACCTCTGATACTTTTGCCTCCTCTCAAGTAGCATCATTTTCTCATCAATGTATGTTTATGTGTCCGTATGTCTTTTTACTTTTCTTCATCTTGTCTTGTCTTGTCATTAATTTCGTTTTGTAATAATTGGTTTTATAATAATTCAATCAAATTATAGATTAATCTGTGTTTTTTAATGATTAAACATGGCTTCAAGCATGGATTCCGTCTCTTGTTTAGAATTGGCGCTCGAAGGTGAACGCCTATGCAAAGTTGGTGATTTTAATGGTGGTGTTGCATTCTTTGAAGCAGCTGTAAAATGTGGTACGAATGACATGAAAACATTATCAGCCATTTATTCACAATTGGGTAATGCCTATTTTTATCTGGGCAATTATTCCAAAGCTATGGAATATCATAAATTGGATCTATCCGTTGCCAAGTAATAATGACAGAATCTTAATTCGAATATTCATCTGATAAAAAAAAAAATTTTATCCATCAAAATATAGATCAATAAATGATCGGATTGGCGAAGCAAAAGCGAGTGGCAATTTGGGTAACACATTAAAAATGATGAATCAATATGATTCAGCCGTGTCTTATTGTAAAAAACATCTTGATATTGCCCGCGAATTAAACGATAAGGTAATATTTAAATGTGATGTAAATCGTAATTTTTTTTAATGATTCAACTAGGTTGGTGAAGGACGAGCTCTTTACAACCTGGGAAATATTTATCATACGAAAGCCAAAAATCTTGGTCATCTTGGAAGTCATGATCCAGGCAATTTTCCAGAGGATGTCGAACGATGTTTAGAAATGGCTATTAAATATTACAAGTATATTTTTTTGTTTATTGTTTAATTTGACACACATTTATTTGATTTGTAAATAATAGAGAAAATTTAGAGCTAATGATCAATTTGGGTGATCATTCAGCACAAGGTCGAACATACGGAAATCTCGGAAATACGTATTATTTATTGGGAAATTTTTCTCAAGCTGTCGAATATCATCAAAAGGTTTGTATGAAAAAAATTGTTAAAGTATTATGATTATATCAAAAGTTTTTTATTTAAGCGGCTGGAAATTGCGGTACAATTCAATGATAGAGCAGCGGAGAGAAGAGCCCATTGTAATTTAGGAAATGCTCATATATTTCTCGGTGAATTCGAAAAAGCGATTGAAAATTACAAGTTCGTATATTATTTCATACGATATCTTTTGACTCTAATCATTCTTTTAATTGTAGACAAACATTATTATTGGCTGAAGAATTGAAAGATCAATTGATTGAAGCTCAAGCATGTTATAGTTTAGGCAACACATATGTTTTGCTGAAAAATTTCGATATGGCTATTGAATATTATCTACGACATTTAGCAATAGCCAAGAAAATAAATGACCGGATAGGCGAGGGTCGAGCCTATTGGAGTTTGAGCAACGCTATACAAGCGATCGGTGATCATCAAAAAGCAATGGAATATGTTCAAAAACATTTAGAAATTTCGAAAGAAATTGGAGATTTGACTGGACAAGAAAATGCTGAAATCAGTATCAGCAAACTTCGTCAAAAACTTAATCTTGAATCGGCTACAAACGAAAGGGTGAAGAATATAATGCGACCTAAACGTATTAGTATGAATAAACTTGAATTACTCAACCTCACACCAGATCAACGTAAAAATGTTGATGAAGTATCAACCGCTTCAAATATGAAAGATAGAACTAGGGCAGCCAGTTTCGAATGTGTTTCAAAAGGAAACGATGAATTCTTTGAATTGCTTTCAAAGTTTCAAAGTAAACGTATGGATGATCAAAGATGTTCAATTGAAATTTTGTCCAACAAAGAGAACATTCCAAACAAAACTGTTAGTTTCATTGATGAAACTAATAGTAATAATAATAATAATAATATAAATAATAACAAAAAGAAAACCAACATCCGTGGTGATGAAGCAATTTTTGATTTGATTGCTGGCATGCAAGAACGTCGCATGGATGATCAAAGAGCTACATTGCCCACACGTACGACCACGCACAATTCTAATGGTCTTCAATCCAATTTCACTAATAAGGTTAATAATACTCAACAAAATAATTTGACTAAAAAACGCACACAGCGTCAATATTCATTGAATACCATTGGTGCTCGAAATGCATTAGATGATGACTTTTTCGATATGCTCATACGTTGCCAAGCAAGTCGTTTAGAAGATCAACGTAGCGAGATGCCCTCATCATCATCGGGGTTGTTATTGAAGAGACCATCTGAAAAACGTACCATAGACAGGCCAATCAGTGTTTCTTCAACGCAAAGTAATACACCAGTAAGTATTATTAGCATATTTGATAAATAAATCTATCGATAATCATTATAACTTTTTTTTGAATTAAGACATTTGCCCCAACAGTACCAGATGAAGATTTTTTCAATCTAATCATGCGTTTTCAATCTAATCGAATCGAAGATCAACGTAGTGCTTTACCACCAAGTACTGTTGATTAATTATGAATAAGATGCAGACCCATTTTCATTCGCAGATAAAAGTTTTGCAGCCATAAAAATTTTATTACATTGTTTGATGATGATAACTGCCACCGATTGTTTTTCATGACTTAGTTTGCGATTTCTGTAATATATTTGATGATGATTATGATACGATTAATTCGATGTAAACCCTATTAATTCGACCTCTTTCATTTTGAAAAAAATAAAAACATTTTTCAACCACTCGAAACAATTAAAACTTGTACTTAAATTTTAAGGAATTTATTTATTTCGATTAAATGATAGAAAGTGTATTCGAAAAAATCCATTAAAAATAATCAAGTCAAGCATTTTATAATCATTCTTTGTTTAAGAACTGAAAAATTCCTGCTTTCAGCAGGAAAAAATACAGGTTTACAGGCGCTTATGTGTCAGTGTAATTATGAAGATTGGCATAATGCTTCAAAACAAAGGAAATTTTAATCAAGTATAATTCCATTTGATTTGCTCACGGAAATCAAGTACTTATACGAATTTGAGTTCAGAAACTTAGATTCCAATATTTGGTGGTGGGACGAAAGTTTTTGGACCTTTTTTTGAACAGAGCAAATACCATTTTAATTATAAAATGATAATAAAAGTTAGTCCCAATTAAACTTACCAGCTTCACATCTGGCAACCTGTTGGTAAGATTCTAGTAATCGTCGCTTTCGTTCTTCACATTCACGTTGACGTTCTCGTAATGCTCTTTCATAAGCATCAAGCTTTTCTTCAGCTGCAGCAGGAAACTTGGGTGCAAGGGCTTCAATAACTGGTGAGGCAGGAACAGATGGTGCTAAAGAAAAAAAAATAGAATTTCAAATAAACATAATCCGAAAAAAATTGATATAACTTACTTTTTTTGACAATGGGAACGCCGCCCGACATTTGAAAAGTTCCGACATTAGATGTGTTTTTAGAAATCTCATATTGTGAAACTATCAAAAATAAGAAAAATTGTTCCTGAAATCAATCAACCAATTATTTAAAAAAAATACCATCAATTTTATTGACAACATCAAAATCGACTTCCTTAACAGTGCCAGCCGGTTGGGTTTTTGCTGCAACATCGTAAGCTGCCAAAATTCGTTTTTTTCGTTCTTCAGCTTCTCTCTGTCGTCGTTTAATTGCATCCTCAACTAAATCTACCTTTGGTCCAATAGGTGATGGTAAAGAACCGGGCGAAGTGGGAGTTCGTGGGGTTGTTGGAGCTCGAGATGTTGGTGTCGTTGTTCGGGGTGTTGGTGAAGTAGCTGTAAATCAGCAAAAAAAATTGATTCAATATTTATTCAATAAAAATCATCAAATATGTATACGTTTGAGGATATTCGTGTCAAGCTTTTTGTCGCCACCAGCCGGAGCCGAACGAGCCATATTATCGTACATTGCCATTGTTCTTTGCTTGTGTTGTTCGGCTTCTTTCTTTTTTTGTTGTAGCATATCTTCTCTGGTGTTAGTGAGACGGGTCAATTTTTCATCTCGTTCCACTGTTATGAAAAAAAATATAATTCGATTAAATTCCGATTAGGTTCCGTTTTGTCGTTACCTTTTTTAACAGCTTTTTGAGATCGAAGTTCTTTGATGCGATCTCTGATGACCTTCCGATCTTCTGGATCATCAGTTTGATCAAGCTTTTGGATAATGAATCAATTAATAAATATCATGATATTGAAATAGGTTCATAAGCAATATACTAACCAAGCTTTGTAAAAGATTTTCATCGGTAATCTGATCAAGATCGATTTCTTGTTCAATGTCATCCATTTTGTAATGTATGAAATAAAATTTGTTTATTCACAAAGACAATTAAGATCAAAATTGTGGATGAATCTCGTTTTTGTAAATGATCGAAAAAAGAAAATATCCTAGCAAACAAACTACCAAACTCACCCCTAACGGTTCTTCTGTGATGTTGGCTAAATAGACAAAAAGAGAGAGAAAGCAAGAATTAAATTAAATGAGTTGTTGATCATCAACAAACAATTCCGACCAAGAATGAAAAAACCAAAGAAATTGGCAATGATATCACTATAGTGAATATGTTCATAAATATTCTTTAAGGGAGAAAATTCTATTCTTGTTTTTCATTTTGCCGTTCGCAGTTGGTTTGTAGATCAACCATTTTACTACGCCCACCTTGTTGGCTACAGATATAAGAAATGGCAAATCATGAATTCCTCTATCAAAAAAAACAACTTTCTACATTCGTTATGTCTATGAAAGGAATTTTTGATTATTTTTCATCAAAATATATTTATATCGTTATGTTTAACTTCGGCTTAATCAGAATGGAAAACTCTATCCAACTTGGCATTTGGGTAGTTATCATAAAAAATTATTATTAGAATCACGGATAAAAGATAGAAATAATCGAAACTAAAATATATCCGTAAAAAATGAATTAAGAGATGAATAAATAATAACTAAAATAATCTTCCATCATCTTTCAGGAAAACATCATTGTAGTTGAATTAGACATATTTTTGACTACCATGATGTTTATCATGATGATTATGATTATCATTGATGAGATTAGCAATGTGATTTAATTCATACGATAAGAAGTTTATAATTATGATTATGATTTTTGTAATAGCATGATACGATTTGACGGTGATGCGGATGAAAAGAATCAAGAATTTTGAATCAATTACACACCTAACCTGTTGCCGCATTTATTCAAAAGTGAATATGAATTCATCAAAATGATATCTTGAAAATCTTCGGCATAGTATACGAGTACTGAACAAAAAATAAAAGTGCGCATCCAATATTTTTTTTGTTTGTTTAAAATTACGAAATTCTTCTTCAGTCCGAATATAACCAAATATAAATGGTTTAGTAAATAATTTACACAAATTCAATTTATTGTTGGCATTAGTTATAATTTCAAAAATGTTCCCATGTTTTCTCTGTTGAAGCTGTTGACAGAACGAATAAAATGGATAACATCACCGTTATTGGAGAAAAAAAAATTGAGAAATATTTGTTTTAGAATTATTTCATTTAATATTGCCTTCATTATTCACAATTCGTTTGCATATCTTTCTCTCTCATTTGTGTTTATATTTAAAGGCAAATGTAGAAATTTGGTTGTATATTGCTCGATAGTAACGCAATTTTCGCGCACATTTTTTCGGTAGGTGTGTGCAACATTCTTCGGCTTACCAAAATGATGATGGTGTTGAAGAAAATTTAGTTTTAATGTTATATTGTGCACAAATGGAAAAAAATGTCTTTCAAAAGAATGAATTTTATAATATTATATTATATATACAAGACAAATGCATTACGTTCGTCATCGGTTGATTAGACTTATTTTTGAAATACAGTTCCATTAAAAAAAACCATCATTGCGTGTGTATCTGTTTTGAGTGAAAAAAAACGCGATTGCAAAATCAGAAGATAAATATTATAGAAAACTATCAAATTGATCATGTAGATGACAAAGGTGATGTAGAAGATGTTGGTGATACTGAAGACGATGACGATGATGATGATGACGATGATGATGATGATAACGTTGATGATGATGATGAGATCAAAAGACAAAGATCGGTCGAAGTGATTTCATCACTTGTCATTGTTTCTAAATTCCTATCGTCCTTTTTTATTTTAAATGTAAATTCTTTTTTCGTTGATGGTAAAGTATTCATTTTGTTTGCAATGATCTGATGACAGATACAATCACATGGAGAGACCAGTAACGGCTGATCTTCACTGAATTCAATCTTTGAACCAATCGGATTATCTGATGATTGATTAGTCTGCTCATTCTTGTTCTCATCTTTGGACAAATGGTACAATTCATTTTCATCATCATCTTCGCTGGTCATCTTGTTTTGTATATTTAAAAATGATAATTATTTTTTAAAATAAAATATTATTTTTTAAAATAGAAAAAAATGAATACCTCGGAACAAACATTCGTTTCGCTACAAGTTGTAGTCACTGATATGAGATTCGTATTGGTGGTCAAAGTAATGGACGGGCTAGTTGCCGTTGTAGTTGTCGCACAGCTACAATTACATTCATAACTTGATCGATTTTTGTTATCGACAAATTTGTACTTTTGTTTGACATTTGTCACAAAACTTTTGGATTGAAAATGGTCATTAAATATGTCACCATCATTATCCAAGTCTACATTTTTCAAAGGAGTTATAGGCGTCAAATTTCCTGGTGATGCTTTAGGATCGTCATCATCATTATTATAAATGGCATCAATATCAGGGTTGAAGAATAATTGAGGATTTAGGCTAGGAAAACAACTCTTAGCACGTTTACGCAAGATTTTTGGACTTTTCAAGCCATTTTCGCAAAACTGTAGCCATATAAATGGATTACTTTTACGGCTATACTTGGAAGCTTTTGTGATGTCTACTAGAGAAGAGAAATATTTAAGTTCAAATGCTGTTATATTTAATATATTTATACCTGGTAGAATTATTTTCAATTTATTATTATCTTCTTTTATTTTATTGTTTTCGATGGCATATTTATCGAGATAAGCTTCGAACTTTTCGATATTTGTTACTGGTACATTACTATGTGGTCTTTCAATAGGCAGTGTTGTCAATTTTTTGCTTTCTAAATCTGAACCGATCTTTGAATCCTGATCTTTTCTTATTAATGGACGGCTGTTGTTATTATTGCTGGCATTAAATTCTATTTTAGTCTCTTCATTTGAGTAGTACAACTTCCTATTCAAATCGAGTTCATCATTTTTTAGAAGCATCTCAAGTTCATAACTATCATAACTAGAATCTAGTTTTCGATTGTTATTTTTTTGTTCATCATCATTATTGTCCTCGTGATCAGCAATTATATCGTCGGTTGATTCATTATTAGCGATATATTCATCACAACAAGAAACGACGCTTTCACATTCGGAGCATTCAGTTGTGTACTCGATATTCATCTGGTCATCGGTAATCTTTTTATCGTAAAGTGGTTCATCAGTCTGACATGAGCATAATGAATCACATTCATTATCTTTTTCGCAATCCAGTTGTGTAATTTGATTATAAGTAGTTATCATTGGAAGCTCTGTTTCTGATTCTTGAATTCAAAAAAAAATGCAATAAATGTTCTAATTTATAATCGTGTCATGTTTACCTGTGAAGATTTTTTCAGCGTCAATCGAAGATAAATGTCCTGTTGGACTTTGAATATAAACGACAGTATCATTGGAAGTTGTTGATGAGATACAGATATCATCAATGCTAGTGGTTGTCAATTGCAATCCGCAATCCACTATTATTGGTGATGATGGTGTTTTACTTGATGAACTGATCACAGCCAATGGTGTTTCAGAATGCTGTTTATTATCATCTTATCATTATTCAATAAATAAAAAATTTAAAGTCGATATCTATATTGATCACTGAACAAACCTTTGAAAGAAAACTTGAAAGAGAACAGACTGAATTTTCTTTCTTTGGGCTTGATGAGTGTTGGCGATTTCCTTCCAAAGAAAATGTCTGTCCATGATCCTTTTCTTTGAGTTACTAATTAACATAGAATTTTTGATTATCATAAAAAAATAGGTAACAGATAATCAATTTGACAGACCTTTTGGCTGCGAATTGAGTAATCTATCTTCATTATTGCTAATTATTGATGGTGATGAGCACTGTGGTAGAGGAGAATCATTCCAAGAATGAATTTTATTATCATCATGATCTGTTATCAAAACAGTTATTTGAGAAGATTGGAAAGTTTGATTTGTTGAACATTGTTGAGGTTGTTTCTCGTCATCCGAACTGGAACTATTCTGCTCATCGGTAGGCAAATCTTCGAAAGATGCTAAAGGCGCTAAACGAGATGACAACAATCGTTTACATTTTTCCAGCTGTTCTATTTTATTATCACAATTATTATTATTTAAAACAGTGGTCATAATTTATTGCAATCAATTATTGTTTGCCCTCAAATTGAATAGCAATTCGATAGTTATTATTGATTATAGAATCCCATTCCATTGATGAATACAAGACAAAATTAATGAAAACTATGTATATAAAAATTATCATTAGTCTATATAAATATGATCCATAAATGAATACAGAACGCATGAATATTGGCCAGAATCTGTAAAATATCAAATTTTTATCGACAAACGCCCTCTACTGTCCAGAATCAGATTGAATTTATTTCGTATTGTATTGCAATAGAACGTACATTTCGAATATACATTTTTGTAGATACTATAGTGACATTTTTTGGACTTGTAAAACAGGTCAGTCAATAAAGAAAAGAAAACTTAAAATTCATTCTTTTAATCCACATACACATACACGACAAACGATTTCTAGGCAAATATTAAAGCACATTTAAGTAAACTACTTGTAGGAACTTTTTGACGATGATCTTGATATGTGCATATCAACTATAAACAGAAAGAAGATAACATTGGAAGAAATGGGAAATATAAACAGAACGACGACAAGGATGATGAAAAGCTGATAATGAATGGAGAAAAAAAAACGGATAGCTAGTAGCATTTTGATGTTCGATTTTTCCTAAAATTAGCAGAAATTGAATTTCCCTGAAGCATCGTCACACATTCAAGTTTGTGTAACTAATCCAGTAATGTACGCGCGGTAAAAGTTTCAACAATTTTAACATGTGATCCACAATGAATTCATGATGATTATGAATAAAATTTTAGATTCCATGTCCATTCTGGTTTTAATAATATTGACATTTTTTATATTATCAAATAATCCGAAAACTGTTACACATCAACATTATCCGAATGATGATAGTAAAAATGAAGTGGTCGTTCCATCCAATAATAATAATGGTGGTGATCAGGTAGGTTGGGACAGCCATAATGAATAAATTGGTTTTTAATAACGATAAATTTTTTCTTTTAATTGAAAGGTAAAAAGAGAATGGAAAATTAGCCAAGATGGAACAGTCGTTCATCATGGAGATCATATGATTCTTGGTAGAAACTACACTATTAATATTAATAATTCAAAAAAATGCAATGATTTGCATAATGATACAATTAGTTTTTGATTGTCATTTTATCAAGTGTGGGAAATTTTGACCGAAGACAAACAATAAGAGAAACCTGGGCATTAGATTTGTTGCAACAATTAGGTAATTACAGAGTTATATTTATGGTTGGTTTGACCAATTCAAACGAAATACAAGTAAGTATTAATAAATCATCAATGATCAGAAACCTGAGCTAAATCTATGACTTTTAGGAACGATTAAAATTCGAAAGTCTTATTCATGAAGATATTGTACAGATAAATATACAGGATAACTTTTATAATTTGACACATAAATCAATTCATATGCTTTTTTGGTATATCAATCATTGTTCGAATGCACAATTTTTATTCAAAACCGATGATGATATTTATCTACATATTCCCAACATCATAAAATGGTTGAAGAATGTTTCCACAAAAAATTGTAATAATACAATTTTTTGTCGTCGAAATATTTCGAGAAAAATCTTACGAAATGCTAATATCAAAGATTTATTCTTATACTCATCATTTGGCAAAACCAATGACAAACAACTAATTGAACGGTCAAGGAAAAAATTTCAAAAATATGTTGTCGAATATAAACAGCTTCCAGGTAAATTTGATTATTCAATGAAAAATTTATTGAAAAAAGTATACAATTTTAAAATTAGGTAATTTATATCCAGAATATTGTTCCGGTTTTGGATATGCGATAAGTGAGATGGTTGCGAAGAAATTATTTCAAGCAAGTAAAACTATACCATATATTGGCATCGAAGATGTATTTATCACCGGTTTTTGTCGTTACAAAATGAATATAACCATTACTGATACTATACTATTACGTCTGAATCCAGTAATTCTTCCAATTGAAAGTCGTTGTGTATTTGATACAGACAGAATCACGAGTAATGAATTATCCAATCATGACATGAAAATAATGTGGACACATGTTAATACAAAAGGATATTATTGTAAATTCTCAAATATTACAAACATGAGTAATCCTGTATAATTTTAAATTTTAATTGAAGAGAATAATTTTTGAAAACTATAAAACAAATTTTTCATTATTCTTCATTGCTAAATTGGAAGATGCCATATTCGTCAACATTACTAATCAAATCACAGATAATAGGAGATTCAACCTGTTTTTTTAAAAATACAACATTTATAATTATGAAATTTGATTTAGTGCAAAAAATATTCTCACCCCAAGAATATATTCACATGTTCGTGATTCCATCAAATAAATGGCAACGGAATCTGGATTTGATGGATCATAACGGCATCTATGATACAAAGAAAAAATTTGCACCTTATCATAATAAAAATTAAATTAAATTTTACTTGAGTTTGACTTCCACAGTCCTTGGCCGCTGTGTCAATTCACAAAAATCACCCGAAGAATAGTAATGCCAAACTTGCTTTGGTGTCTTGCCTGGCTTTGGTTTTCTCGATAAGTCCTTTTGAATCCATTCAATGTGGCTGTCAAGATTCCATTTGCCCAAATTAATTATCATTCGTTTTTCTCCTTTTTCTTCATGAAATTGATTAACTGATTTTCCATAACAAAATTCATATTTCCACCAACCAGAACCCTGAGAATAATTATAATGGCCATAAAAAATTTTGATCATATAATATACATGCATAATACTTACTCCGGTTAAACAATATTCTCCTCGTAGAAATTTGGCAATTATATGCGAATGTGAATTCAATAATGAGCCGTCATAATCGTCTGTTTCGGCGATAAAGTTAATACGCACTTCTTTGCCATTATCGAATGTATTAATCAATATTGTTTTGCTTTCCAAAAACGAATCACCGATGTTTTGTTTAACTTTAGACTTCTGCGTTTTCATTTCTAATTCAATATCGCCAAGCTCAAATCCTTTTGGAACTTGTTCGTAGTTTTGTCCATAACATGACAATTGATATTGTTTTCTATGGATTTTTTCAGCTAAAAAATATAATTACGATATTAAGGAGAATCAACATAAATGAATAAACAATACCTTGAATTTGGGAGAAAGACATAGTAAAGAGGATAATACTATAACTTCATATTCACAAGTTGTTGTTTCTTTTATCGAATACAGCTCATGTTTTCCAATCTCATTACAAACATACAGAACCCTGGTAAAACGTTTTTTATTTGATAAATCACACAATGTGCCACCAGTCATATTCACTTCAATGTAAGGAAGTTGCATATCTTCTATATTAATCATCGGTAATCTTAATGAGTCGTCCATTTGTTCGTATATTTTTTCATATTTGGCAAAATCATCCATATCGAATGTGCCTAGATAATATTCCTGAATTGAGCCCTAAATCAAAAAGCCGTTTTATTTATAGGAAAGATAGCTGATGATAGCATTTACTTTTATTCCTGGATCTTCGTGAAATTGACGTATATATTTTCCATGGCAAATTTCGTACTTCCAATAGTTTTCAGGGCGATAAGAACATATTTTCTTTGTAAATAAAGGTTTCAATAGTTGATACGGATTGAGATCATCATTCTTGGTTGCATTAACATTTCGCTTATTCTGTTCAATGATTAAACGTTATTAAAATTGAATTAAAAATTTTTCAAAAGCATTTTATCACCTCTGCATAGACATTCGGAATAATACATCGATATTTATGTTGGTTCTCATTGGTCAAGATGAGTTCTTCAGCCATCAACTATATGATAATAAAGGTTTTTATTTTCGAAAATAAAGCCAGTGTGTTACTACTTACAGTTTCATTACTATTCTGTGAATCAGTAGAATCTAGCCAATTTATTTTGTATAAAGTAGCATCATCAAACGAGAACAAAGATTGTGGTTCATGCTGATTATTCGAGTTTGAATCAAAATCACTAGCAATAGGAATTTGTGATTCGGATGAATGAAATTCTTCATTGCAGCTGATAATACCATTGCAAAATATAAACCAAATTATGAATAGGAACATTTTATTATTGGTATTGTTTAACACGAAAAATATAAATCGTTACGAAACGTGTTTCAATTTTATTGGATTAATACATTCTTGTATTGTATATAATTATATATACAAAAATATCTGGATCCTGACACACAAGGTGGCATTACTTATGGGTCAATCTACTGGAGTTAATAATATGTGAAGATTTTTGCAAGAATCTTTTTTTTGTTGTGTACACATTTTAGTTCGGAACTATACAAAATAGCAACAGAATCCAAAATTGGGTGTTTTCACCTGTTAGATTATTTCATATATTCTTTGAAATCAACAATGTTACTTTGAAAATTAATATGTTGTTCAATATATTTAATATTGTGTTCATAAATGTTCTTTGTATTGTAACGGCATTTCCAGATCAAGCTAAATGGTCATTTACAGTTAACAATGAAGTAAGATGATTAGCCTTAAAATCTTTATATAAAATTCATATATCTCAAAATCCAATCATTTCAGGGAAATTGCCATTTTTTCAGTGCTCATAGTGCATTATTCGCTAACTCTACCATACACATGCAGAGTGAGTATAGAGAAAAAAATGATCAAAATTACGATTTCCCTTATTAATTTCGTTATTAAATTATTTTCAGTTTCTTGTGATATGCCAATTTCATCCAGAGATCAAAATAAAATCAACGTAGGTTTAGTTGTAAGGTCATCACCATGCTTTGAAGAATATTTCGGATCTGAATACTGGATGGTATGAATTTGATTATTTTAAAAATATATATCCTATTCAACATGTGTTCATTTTAGATGGCTGATTATTTTAGCTGGTATTATCATTGTCCTGCAGCTTTGTTTGGTGATTTTGGATATAAAAATATTAGCTATCTGAAAACTGATGAGCTAAAATTCTCATGCAATCATTTGGTTAATCTGAAACCGTTAATACGCGGCGAGTTTGTAACAGAATCGATCGATTCATCCAATAGTCGACTGTGTCAAACAGATGATACATTATGTGATAGTTCCTCGACAATAAGACACATTTCTGAATCGTCCAACACTCACCAAATTGTATGATTATAAAATTTTCCATGCAATTATTATAAAACTTGATCAATTCATAGAAAAATGGCCATTCAATATCTGTTCCACATGACGGAAATTATTTATTAATACTTTTTATCCGTTTTGAAAATTCTAACGAACATCGTTTTAATCTCACTGGTATGTATGCTTTAATATTTATTTGAAAGTTTTTTTTAATTGATAATCTAACTTGATTTAGTTGATATAAATTTTGAATCAAATTCTGGTCAATATCTGTCCGCGGTCGATTATCCATTGTTGAAATTTTATGGCTTTATGTCTTGCTTATATTTCGTATTTGCACTTACATGGTTTATCGTTTCCATGATTCGATGGCAAGAATTGCTAAAGATTCAATTTTTTATTGCAGCAATTATATTTTTAGGGATGGTTGAGAAAGCAATCTTCTTTGGCGTTTATCAATCATTGAATATCAATGGAATTTTGAATCGTAACACATTCTATCTAGCGGAATTATTCTCTTGTCTGAAACGGACATTGGCTCGTGTTCTTCTCATTATTGTTTCCAGTGGTTTCGAAATTATTCGGTAATATATCTGGATTAATATAATTTTATAAATATATTAATATTGCAACTTTATTTATTTGTCTCAAATTTTATCAGGCCACATCTTGGTTCAAATCGAAATAAAATCATTACAATCGGTATATTCTATTTTATTTTAGGAACTTTTGATTCAACCATAAGAATCTTCAAGGTATATTTAACGATTTTACAATAGTAAAATTATAGTCGTCTTTATTGATATTTTTTAATCATAAAGCCTAAAAATGATCTTACAAACGGGAATCTATTTGCCGAAATGCCTTTGGCATTATTAGACAGTATTATCAGCTGGTGGATTTTTAGCAATCTTGTACAAACAACAAAAATTCTTCGTTTGAGACGCAACTGTGTTAAGCTTGAATTATTCAATCAGCTTACAAATGTTCTAGTCTTTTCTGTGCTGGCATCAATCTCATTTATGATTTGGCAAATTCATAATGTAATTTTCAATACAACAATAGACATTAAGTAATTCTGAACATCCTTTGATAATTTTTAAAAATTTATTTAGCACAAACTCACTTCATGTTTAACAACATGGAAATATTTATGGATTGATGAAGCTTATTGGCATATCCTTTTCTCAATAATTTTGGTAGCGATTATGGTGTTATGGAGGCCTACTAATAACAATCAACGGTATTATTTAAATAAATTCATCTTATTATCTCAATTCTAGTGATTGACTTTATTTCAAAAAGCTATGCATTTACTGCTCTTTTAATGGATGGAAGTCAAGATGAATTAATCGGTCAATCGAACAATATTGAAAATACAAATGGTATGATTAAATTAAAATGAATGAATTTTTTGATCATTTCATCTGTTTTCATTCTCAAGGAGAAATGAAAATGAGATTTCAAAAATCTAGCAGTCAAAATGATAATGAATCAAGTAATAATGTTATAAGCCAAGAAACGGCTGATCATCTAAAATGGATTGAAAATAATATCAAAACCACAACATTGATTGATTCGTATGTTCTATGCAAAACATTTTTATAAAAGTTAAATTATATATTATATTATTATTTTCTTTTTCTGTAGGACTATGCCATCTCTTATGGACTCGGATGAAGTACTTGTAATATATTTTATTGAAAATATCAACTAATCATTTATCTCGTTCATCAACATAGGAACTAATTGACACCAAGTTTGAAATGAGCAAGATTCAATGAAACAGGATTGATAGTATAAAATCTTTATGAATGATATTATTTTTAATTTTTATTTTTATGGTTCATTATCATATAATCATCATAAATAAATATCGTTACTCATTGATTTTTTGTCTCATGATTTTGTGAGGTTATACTCGATGAGAAAATTGATACATATTGATACACATACAGTATATAGGTGTTCGTCGTTTAGTTGTACCGAAATTTTACAAAAATGTTGATGAATCGTTTCCACACCTTGCGTCATGGATTTGACGTAAAATTTGTCAAAAACTTGTTCCAAAAACAAAATCTATGTACAACGACTATTGTTCATGAAAAATTTGATTGGCAAGATCCGTTCAGGATCTATGATGAATTAACGAGTGAAGAACGTGAAATCAAAGATCAAATGCGATATTATTGTACCAAACAATTGATGCCAAGAATTTTGCAAGCAAATCGGAATGAACATTTTGATACTAACATTCTGAAAGAAATGGGTGCTTTAGGCGCTCTTGGACCAACATTAGAAGGTTATGGATGTGCAAATGTTTCATCAGTCGCTTATGGCTTGATAACCTATGAAATCGAACGAGTAGATAGTGGTTATCGTTCATCAGTCAGCGTTCAATCCTCTCTCGTAATGTATCCGATTTACGCTTTTGGATCGAAAGAACAGAAAGATAAATATCTACCGAAATTAGCCAAAGGAGAATTAATCGGTTCGAAACTTTAGTTTTTGTGCAAACATTTTTTTATATTTTTATTTTTTATTATTGTAGGCTGTTTTGGTCTGACCGAACCTAATCATGGCAGTGATCCAAGTGGAATGGAGACCAACGCCAAATATGATCCATCATCTAAGACATATATTTTGAATGGTACAAAGACTTGGATCACAAATGCCCCAGTTGCAGATATTTTCGTGGTTTGGGCTAAGTGCGATAATAAAATAAGAGGCTTTATTCTTGAAAAAGGCATGAAAGGATTATCCGCGCCTAAAATCGAAGGAAAATTCTCTCTTCGAGCATCTGCTACCGGAATGATAATTATGGAAGATATTAGAGTACCCGAGGAAAACATTTTGCCTAAAGCTGAAGGATTAAAAGGACCATTCATGTGCCTAACCAATGCAAGATTTGGTATTTCTTGGGGCGCTATGGGTGCAGCTACCTCCTGTTTTGAAACGGCCAGAAATTACGTATTAGATCGTAATCAATTTGGTAAACCATTGGCCAGTAATCAAATCATTCAGTTGAAATTGGCAGACATGTTAACAGAGATTAATCTTTCCCTTCTATCCAGTCTACATTTGGGAAGACTTAAAGACAAAAATATGTTACAACCCGAAATGGTTTCGTTAGCAAAGCGCAATTCCGCTGGCAAAGCACTTGCCATTGCACGAGTTTGCCGGGATATGTTAGGCGGTAATGGAATCTCAGATGAATATCATGTCATAAGACATATGATGAATTTAGAAGCAGTCAATACATATGAAGGAACACATGATATTCATGCATTGATTCTTGGTCGATCAATCACAGGCATACAAGCTTTCAAATAATGTGAATTGAATAAATGTTTTGTTAATTGAAAAGTTTATGGAAAGTTTTTTCTCAATTAGTTGTGTACATGTGTTTTCAGTACTCATCGTCCTTTTCATGAAAATGACAAATCATATCGAAACGTTTGAAAATTTGACATCTGATAAATTTGATTCACTTGTTGAACAGGTATGGTGGCTATCGAAAAAAAAATTTAATTGTTAACTATTTTGAAAAAACTAACGTCACAGGACCTTCCATTCATAATTCGTCAAGCTGCGTTTGGTTCTTGTTTACGAAATTGGAATAAAGATTATTTTGGACAGAAAATAGCGAGCAAACAAGTCTCGGTACATGTTTCAACAAGTCCTTTATTGGATTTTATAAACAAAAATTTTAGCTATTGTGTTTATGATTTCATCGAATTCTTGAAACTCTGTTCCGAAGAAAATGGCCTATATTATTATCTACGATCAATAGGCAATCATAGTTCCAAAGAAATCGCAAATTTGAGTGAACAATTTCCTGAAATCGCTAATGATGTTGAATATCCAGAATTTATAAATTTTTGTGCCGAAGAAAATTGTCCTAATGAGAATGAATGCCCAAATCGACATTTGTTTTCAAGCGTTCTTCGTATATCGTCACGAAATTTATCCATATGGACCCATTATGATGTGATGGAAAATATTCTACTTCAAATCATTGGTCGCAAAAAAGTTATTCTTTTTCCACCAACCGATGCACCCTTTCTTTATTTAAAAGGTGATAAATCCGAAATTATAGATCTAGAGGCCCATGATTTGGATAAAAAATATCCAATGTTCAATAACGCAACTAGATATGAATGCATATTGGAACCAGGCGATTCTTTGTTCATACCATCAATGTGGTTTCATAATACCAAAGCAATAGAATATTCGATTGGGGTGAATTTTTTTTGGAAAAACCCACAGCTCATTCATCATTATGATCGTAATGATTTTTATGGTAACAAGGATCTCAAACTTGCAACACATGCCTATGTAAATCTAGATAAAGCTCTCCAGCATCTGAATAAATTACCTGATAAATATCGAAAATTTTATATTTCAATGTGTATTGCCAAATTGAATAAATCATTAAAATCCATTTCGTAAAATATATAGTATAGTTTGTTTAATTATTTAAATTGAAAAATTTTTGTTTCAAAAATACATTGTTTGTGAAAACAGTCTGTCATGCATTCATGTCAAGCTGTCTCACAAAACTCAGCGTTGAGTTTGAATGAAATTTGTATTTCATAAATTCTTATTCTTAATAAAGAATCATCGTTTCTGTGAAAAATGAGTGACCCATATAAAATTCAAGCGTCGAAATTATTTTTCAATTTTTTCCAAGATAATCAAATTTTTCCACTCGAAAAAGTGTTGGATTCGGCAATCTATCTTCTTGAAAATGGTGCACCATATCGTGATTTAGTATTGGAATTCTTCACTACACTTTTTCGTGAATGTTGCCAACAATATTGTCTAATAAACTCATGCCTTAAACATAATGTAAAACCTAAAAAGACCAGATTTATTGTTTTGATGCAATTTATCAAAGCTTTGAATCAAAGTCCAGCAACCACTTCGTCCAAATATCGTAATGATGAAATAAGCAAAACCGAACCGATGGAGATCATTGAAGATTGTCCATTGAGTCCTCCTAAAGAGCCTATCGATGATTTCGATAAAGAAGACTTATCTTTAGGAAATCATGTACAAAATGATTTACTGGTTGTAATGAATTTGATAGACAAACAATTGCCTAGAATTGCTACGGCGCTTATAAATCTTTTAAAACGAGATCAAAATCGTCATCATCAACATGTTCGAATTTCCGATTGGGCATTAACTTTGGCTACGAACATCAGTATCTATAAAAACAATTTAATTGAAAAATCTGATCCAATGAGTTTATCTTTGGTTAAAGCCTTAAGCTTTTGGAAACCATGTTCTTTCATGCAAGTCTTGATTCGAATAGTATTTAATTCGATTGATATGATTGAACCGGCAACTTTAATCAATCAAATTTTAAAATATTCGCCTAGTTCTGATTGGATTTTAGCCAATTTATTAACAGCAATATCAGATAATCGCCTCCTGACACAATATTTGGAACTTTTAATCAACCATTCGTCTTCGTTTGCAACAATCTATATACTTTCTTATGTTTCAGAACATAACCCTTACGCTATTGTCAATTGTTCAAAATCTAACATTCCTTTTTTATTGAATTTATGTACAAATTCCAAGCCATTGCTTGATTTGTTGGCTCAAGATATTGTCAAAAAAGTTAATGTACAAACAATGAATGAATTTGCTGAACTGCATACATTCGACGAATTGAATTCCAGCATATTGTACTGCATTTTAAATGCACCCAATGCTTTTCAATTGCTGAAGATTTCTTTCAATTTGATAGTAAACTCAAATTCATCAGAGAAATTGATAGAAAAAGTTTTGAACATTTTGTCATTGATGGTCAAACAAATGAACGCAACGATTTCAGGAACAAATCATTTAATCCAATCAAATACAAGTTCTATGCATTTTTCTTATATGCCTCATCTCCTTCAACATAACACTACTTACGATGGACTTCAATCTAATGCTGAAAATTTGGCTTTACAGAGAAAAAATACCAACTATTTGCTAGCTATATTACGCAATCATATCCAAGAACTTGTCGATTATTTCTTCTTCACACGTAATCCACAATTGAAGAAAATTCAAATGAAATTGGTGAATTTGACTTGTATAAATTATGGACGGGAATTCATAGTTGAAGTGTTTCATTATTTAATGAATTTACCTCAACAACCGGCCATCAATATTTCAAATTATCCGAATCCAAAACTTAGTAATCAATTTTTAACGTTACTCAATTCATTACGTATTGATTCTGGATATGAAGTTTACGATTGTATCAAAGAAACCTTGGATTTACAAAAGCCCAAAAAGTTGGATTTTTGGGCTAATCTAATGGTATTCATAGAATCAAAGCCAATCGAATTTGAAACTTCAATTTTGGTTCAATATTTAAATCAAAATATCAATGAAGATTATACAGATATCATTCGCGTTTACTACATTTTACGAATATTTCTCAGAGTATTCGATCATTATCAAGAACTATATTCGCGCCAACAATATCGGTTATGTGTAGCTTTGATTAACATTTATTTCGAATTGATTGACATAATGAATGATAATGATGACGAAAAACTGTTGATATTAATTATGGATTGTTTAGTCATTTGTCAAAAATTTCTTAAGAATTTCTCAGAATCTTTACCGCTGAATGAATGTATAATACTTAGATGTACACTCGATTTCATACGCCAAAAGTCACATTTATTTACCAATTATTATCCTGTGAATTCTATCAATGCTCCAACAAACAATGGTCATCAATGGCCAAGTTTATTGAACGAAAATATGAACAGCAATAATAATTTAAAAATGAAAAAGAATCCATTAATACCGTTCTATTCAGCGCAGAAGAAACAGCGTTACTTAAATAAAAATTCCTCCCTCAACAAAAGATTAGTACTCGATTTGCTTGAACATTGTGTGAATGATACGTCGTTGTTTGCCGAAAATTTTACCAATTCATTATCGAATCAATTATTATTACGTGATGTTCCGATACTTGAAGAAGATCCTAAAGATGGTCAAGTTCAACATCTCAGGGTAAGAAGTAAAAGTTCATTTGCTATTTTAAATGTATAATAACATTTATATTTCCGTTATAATAATAAGATGACTTTCGAAACTGATCTCCACATTTATCGATTGTTTGATCAAAATCCAATTTTATGGAATATTTTACAATTATTAAGTCGAAAGAAAAGTTTGAGCAATTGTTTGGTGATTGTTCGATGTATCATCAATGTGCTTAGGACTAATTTAGTATCGTCTACTTCTAACGAAAATCATTTATTGGATACACAGAGGTAAGTATCAGATGATAATGTTGCTCTTCGACTTATTGCTATTTTATCATTCATTAACAGATTCTTATGGACAATAGCCAACGATGAGATATTACCGCGTATACCGTTCGTTTACATCCCAGAAACGATTAATGAACAGATCAAACCGTTTGAAGTGGCCTATGTTTTGCATGACATTGCCAAATACATTCGTGATAATCAAGATTCACGATCAAATGAAACATGTCTAAGGCCTTATCTAATGCGATTTCGTTCAATTCTGGCTCATAAGAAGCCAAATGAAGCTTATTTGAAAATATTTAAAAATCTTTAATATCAACGTTTATTAATGAAAATGAATTTATTTTCGCCATTGAGAATCCTTGTCAGTTAATGGAACATACATGACACCCATGATTCGCTTTCTCTTGATTGTACCGTCAGCCAATTTGTCGATTTGTTCCAAGGATTGATCACCGCCTTTTGGTCCAACCGGAATGATCAATCTGCCTCCAAGTTTTAATTGATCCATCAGCTATGAAAAAATGTAAAAAAAAAAAATTTATTTATGACAATAAATTGCATAATAATATACATCTTGTGGGAGAATAGGTGCCGCAGCTCCAACGTGAATAGCGTTAAATGGTGCATGTTCGGGAGATCCTTTCCTTCCATCACCAACTAAAACAATAAATAAACTGTTTTAGCGTAAAACTGTTTTATCAATTAATTATCTGTTACCTTTAATTATGACTCTTTTCGAAGATAATAAATCAGCATTTTCTTTTTTAATGTTTTCCAGCGATTTAGAAGCTAGTTCAGGAAAATGTTCAATACCAATTGCTTTACCTTGAGGACCAACCTAATATATAAATAAGATGATTTTATGAACAAATTATTATCAATGTAAGAATCCAAGAGGACAAATTGGTCTAATATTTATAGTTCGACGGCTAACGTCAAAAATTTTTAATATTATAATGGAAAAAACTTCATGCTACAATCAGATATAAATATTCTATTCTTACCATAATTGCCATGCATGCAGTCAGATAACCAGAGCCAGAACCCACATCTAAAACAGTTTCTCCTTCGACAAGATGATCTTTAAGCAATTCTAGAGCATATGCATGCTATGAAAAAAAAGTTGCATAAATTGTCAAATAATAATTTTTGAACCATTACCATGTGAGGAGCACTGATGGTAGCACCAAAACCAATCGACCTAGGAGAATCAACGTATTTTTCGTTATCAATGAAATTTCCACGATCTACGGATAACAATGCATTCTCTACGCGTGAATCCTGTATGATGCCATTCTCTATTTTAATTGTATTTTTGGTTATTATTATTGTTATATTTGGAACAAATAATTGAAACTTACTTTTCAGATTTTCCACCAATTCTCTGTTTGTTTTTCCATGTGATCGCCAAGCCATATTCGTATTGATCAACAAAGAAGATGAAAATAAAAGTAATGTATACCTTTTGGTTAACCTTTTGATAAACAGATTTCGGCAATCAATTAATAAATGCATTTCTCATTTTAACCTAAAGATCAACAATATAATTTTGGTACGAAGACGAGCGCGCCATCAAGTATCAATAATGAGCAATTGAAAATTAATGTTTGAAAACTAATAAACTTTGGCACATTGTGGTTTTGGTTTAAAATCATTATTTTGTTTCATTGTTTATTTGGTTCGACTTTTATTCCGGTCAAAATAAAACCACTACAAGCATTCATTACTGCGTCGGGTCTTGTTCGATCATTGAGTACTTGATATTTTCTAAGCCATGTTTCCGATAATCGCAAGAATGCACATTGATTTTTTATCCTCAGAAAGCATTCTTTGAGCGGTTCAATAAATGGAGAAAATACAACAAATGGACGTGAAATAGAAAGAAAACATAAGAGCGTTTCAGTCAATGCACAGAGGTCATGATGTTTAGGCATCAATAACAATGCATCAAGATTTTGCTCATTTAAAATAGCTAGAGCTTTTTCCTCTTCCACTTGAAGTTTTGCATTTGTTCTTGGCTTTTTTCTAGAATTTTCGGAAGAATTATCTGCGTCTTCAATAAGCAAAGAGGCCACTTGATTAAATGAAATACAGGAAAAACATTTTTCCACAGTTACTGCAGGAAAATTCAATGCATTCACAGCTTGACGTTGACCAGCATTGCAAACATCAGCCATGTCTATCTGGACAATTGTACAATTCCCAGATGTTTTCTCGAATATTGATGCACTTAATATACCAAGATTGGAATCGACCACCAAATATTTACCACCAGCCATTACATTGCTTAACGTTAGCATCTGAGCCAAACTATCAATTCTGAGATAGCTACAAAATTGAAATAAAATTAATATTAATATATATTCTATGTTATAAAATTTTGTTGATAAATTAGTTACTTATTCTTGCTAGGGCTCTGTGAGTAATACATTTCCATTAAAAGTTTAATAGTCGGTTTCATAATTGTCACAAGGCAAACGTATTTCCGCTGCTTCTTTTGCAAATATTTAACCTGTGAAAAGACATTTTTTTCCTCAAAAGTGGCACTATTTTCAACTAAAGTGCGGATCACTTGTTGACCACTTTTTTCTTTTTTAATCTTTTCAATATCATCTCGAGTTAGCTTCTGTGATGAATTATTATCCAGTAAGAAACGATTGTCTTTTTGTTGAATATTACCATCGTCATCTGAGTTGGAATTCGGATTCATTGGATCAAGGTAGTCGATTAATTTAACCAACTTGAGAGTTTTATCCTGTGTTAATTCAAATGTCGATCCATATTTTTGACCAATCAATGAATCGGTAAGTATTTTATGTTTGAAAAAGAAAAAATATCTGCAAATAATTGATATATAATTGTTTAGAAATTGTTTTAAATATTTTTAAATAATTACTCATACTTTTCTCTGCCTAGTTTGATTAATTTACATGTGTTGACTTTGAAACTTTTTCGCATAATTACATAATGTTCGGGTTGAATAATATTATCATTATCAGCAAGTTGAACATCCATCATGTTATGTTATTATTATTATTATATTAGAATTAAAACTAAAAATACTTTTCGACCCGCGTGGTTTTTTCATACCAAAAATGTTTTTATTTTTACTGCAATGATCCATTAAGGTGCATTTAGTCAGTTTCAGAATAAATCAGTATCAATTTTAGTTTCACACAAAATCAATATAAAATAAAATCATGAATTATCTTTAAAAATGTCCACTTCTTGTCCTGGAATTTATTGTGGCCGAATTTGGATCAATGATTCTTGGAGCGATTGTATGGTAAGCTTAATGTTTTATAATTCTATTTACAATTTGCGATTATAACGATTTGAAACAAGGCATGTCCTCGCGGATTTCGTTCGAACAACGATCACATTTGTGAACAATGTGACAACGATCTGCAGCTTTATGATTGGATCTATCTATCTTTTATGGTCGTAATATTCGTATTGATTCAGCTATATTTCGTCGATAAGAGCACCAGATCGGATAAGCTGAATTTTATTTCGTTGACATTTTTTACGGCAATCTTTTGCGAGACAATATTGGCTTCAGTTCTTTCAGTACTTTTGTCTAACGATTGGAAACTAGAGTTAAAAACTTGTGGTGTCAAATCTTTCTCTGATTGGTATACTCTTTTTTATAATCCATCATTGAATGAACATTTTCATTGCACAAATGAGGCCGTATATCCACTCTATTCAATCGTATTCCTATTCTATCTGATCTCACTTGGATTTGTATTGATTCGTCATTTTTATCTTCGTGTAGTTAGTTGCATTATATACTTATTGACATCTTCTAGCCAAATCAAAAATCTGTACTCCAAAAATTTCCTGACTAAAAATATTTATTATGTATTGTATTCGATTCCAGCATTGATGTTCATACACGCTATGTTGGCTGGTGTTATTTGTAAGTCAAATTTCCAATTTCATCCATAAATGATTTTTTCTAATTAATTTAATATTTGAAAATCTTTTAACTTTCAATCATTTTTCTTTTAACCTTTGCCGTGTTTAGATTACGTTTTTCCATATTTGTTAATTATTGGGTCGGTGATTTCTATTGCGATTCATTTTTCCTATCACATTGATCAAAGTTATGTGTATTTATTTCACGCCATGTTTCATTTTCGAAATTTGATCATTGTTCTTTGCCATTGGGCATTGCACGTATTTGGCATTGTTTCAGTGACTGAGATGAAAGGCAAATATGATTATCTCTTATTATTATTGGTACCATTTCCTACATTGTTCTACATATTCACATCGAAATTCAGTGATCCATCAAAACTTTGATTATTTTATTGTATCTTGTTTTGTTTCATATATGCAACATTGTATATTTTTTTTCATGCATAGAACCGAATTTTGCTTTCCAATTCATATTCAAGAAGCTCGTTCTTGTAAATCTCCAATCTCTGTGTGTGTGTGGAAAGAAATGTCAATTATTATTAAATAGAAATTAAAGATATTTATCAAACTTTACTTGGTTACATACATTTTCAATGAATTTTTCCAAGTCCTGACATTGTTTTTCATGAATCTTTTTTATTTTTTCTCGTTCTTTATTCTGTCGAACGGCCGCTGCTTTTCTTTCTTCAATAAATTTTTTCGTATTATTACTATTTTTCTCCTTTAATCGTCGTTCTTTTTCGGCTTTATTTCTCAATGTTTTATCATTGGCCACTTCTTTTGCCGTTTCTACCGAAATTTTTGCCTGTTTAGCTTTCATTTCTTTATTTTCTTTTTCAAATAATGTTTCTAGATGTTTGACTTGTAAAATTTGAAGCTGTTGAAATAATTTTCTCAATATTTTACTTTCACTTATTGTGTTTGTTTTATATAATTCCCATTCTTCTTGATGATGTCGATCGATCATCTCTGACCATTGTTTAATTTGCTGTCTAACTAATTCCATCATGGTCGGATCTTGACTCATATCATCACAATCAACACTTTTGGCTGTTTTCATTAGTTTTTCAATAGCTAGACATTGATTCTTTTGAATTTGTGTCCGTTCTTTCTGGTGTTTCTTTCTCAAATTATCCATCTCCTTGTTAAGTTTACGAAGGATACGAACATAGAATTTATCATCTTTTACCATATCGATGGTAATATTATCAATCTTGTATTCTTCTCGTCGGATTTCATCATCTCGTTGTTGTTTAATAAGAGCCAGATTTTGAATATCCGTTTCTTCAATGCCCATCGCTTTCATTTGAGCAATTCGTTTTTCTTGTGCAGAAAGAAATGCTCGAGGATCTGAAAGTGCATCCATTAGATCACCTAATCCATCTGGTACGTAGATTTTAAGCTCAATACAAATGAACAACATTGGTAATGACATTGGAAAATTTCCTTCAGTCCGAAGCGATATATGTCTATAGCCTGCTTGTAAACCATCCAATGGTAAGATTCTTTGGCCAAGCATTTTGCCATTTTCATCATATACAGCTATACGTAGAACAGCCAAATCGGGGAGAACAACTTTGCGAAATACAAAACGTTCTTCATTATAGACCGGATTAAGGCCATTTGCAGGAACCATTCTTGTACGGAATTCTTTTCTAATTGTATCTGTGGGTAATCCATACATATCGACTTCAACATAGGTGCCCACCTTTTTATCTGACAAAAATTGTCCACTAATAACCCTAACGGAACATTGAGCGGCAATAACGCCATCAACAGGTGATTCAGCAAACGGATCGAATATTCTATCTTTTCTTCTCATAAAATCCGGTTTAAGAAGATAACCACAGCCGCCATTGTATTCAAATTTTCCTTGATTCAATTGCATAGGTAAATCGGGTGTCTGAAAATTTAATGCAACCATCTGGCAACCAGCATTCCAGAATACTTGTGGTAGAAAATTGCTCGAATCAGCTCTCGTTCCTTTTGGATATATTCTGCTCAATTGTCGTTTGTTGTAGTTGACGAATTCAATGGCTTGTGTTTTGAGGTAACCTAATGCAGTGTTTTCCGCAAACGAAGACATATGATAACTATGAATGGATTAAAAATATTTTTCCTCTAAAAAATGATTTTATGACATACCAAATTTCTCTTTCTTCAGCTACATCGAATCCTTGAAATTTAATGGGCTGTGCATAATTGACCAATGAAGACAAATAAGGATGAATGTGTTGCGTAGCTCCCGTATATCGATAATTGGCCATTGCTATTTGTTCAGGTTCAGCATATTCCTGTGATATAAACTGATTCATCTTTTGATTATTTTATCATTTCTATTTGATTTACAATCTTTTGTTACCTTTTTGTCTAAAGCTTTTGAATTTGAATAAAATAATTTTAAAGTGAAATCTTTTTTCCATTAAACATTCAAGAATATTACCGATATCTTCAGTTGTTAAGATTGCCGATGGATCTTCATTCTCTTCATCTTCATCCTGTGCTAGTTGACCTTTTTTCCAAAGTTCCAATTCCACTTTTTCATCTTCAGGATTCAGTCGTTTATTTTTAATCACAATTTTATACTTTAAATCATTAGGGCTAGGAAGGGGTATTCTTGGTTCTAAATGAAAGTTTATAAGTGGTTCTCTCAGCAATAGATCGCCCAATATTTCATCACAATATTTAGCCAATTTATATTGTTGTTTTTTGCTATTAAAAACGAAAAATCAAATATCAAATAATAAATGCCATTACTAACCTGCAATGATTTTCAAACGATAATATCACTGGATATGGTGAAGTAACAAATGCACAATCACGAATGGCATAGATAACATCCTGTTGAATGGTAATATAGAAATCATTATAATAGAATTTTAAGTTGTTTTATTTAATCAAATTTTACTTTGAATAAAATATCCGTGCACATTGCTTTTCCGTGAGTGATGATTGGCTCTTGATCTTCTCCTTTACCATCCCAACAATCAAGTTCAACACAACGACATCCAGCCAATAAAACTTGTCGATACCTGAATTATATATTGTATTATTATTGTAATATATGAATTGTTCTTATTAATTCTTATTACATTTCTACTGATGATTTCCCACCAAATTGTCTTCCTGTCAAATATGTGTTATGACTAGAATTACAATAATAGTGTGATAATGATTGGTCCATATCCATGTATACATCCAGCCTGTCTAAGAATACGGGCGCATTCTCATTTGACATTAGATAACGAATTAGGCCATCTTGAGAGAGTAGACCTTGTTTGGTTAGGTCCGGATTCTGTTCATATGTGGCCATAATTTCTAAGGCTCGTTTTTCATCATAAATTGGATATAATATTTCATTTAGTCGAGGATCACGTTGTCTCTGAAAAAAAATATTGTCAATATCTTTCTTTTCGTTAATTAAATTACCTCGTTAAGGAATTCGATCAATTGTTTTGCATTGATGTAGTTAGATTTTCCTTGCGTTCTATCAATGAGATAACCAAATAATGATCATAAAAATAATGAACAATTATTCACAATATACTAACATTGAATGGAACAATTCTTCAATATCACTTCGAGGACAAATTTTATGATAAAGTTGATAGAATTTTTCAAATGTCCAATCATCCGGATGAATCGTATCATTCTATAGAAAATTTGACATGGCTATAAATTAATTTTTGATGAAAATTTTGAATTTGATTATCATTTACCTTTTCAAATGGTAAATTTACTTCTTTCATGCATTGGTAAACATATTTTTCCGTTTTGCCCGATGCAAAAGTTTTAGCCACACTGTTATTTAATTGAATAGATTTTTTTTGCGTTTTAGATTAGAAATTTTAAATAACATTCGGATAAATTACCTTTTAACTGGTATTTCGCCATTGGAATCACTTAGAAAACCCAATTTCATCCAGCTATTTATATTTAATCGATAGTATATAATCAATTATTGTTTCATATATATTCATTTTAAAAGTAAAATTATTACTGTTTTTTTAAACAAATCATCGGACAAACATTATTTGCTTTATTATTATTCGTTATGGATCGTAATCCTAATTGCCAAATCTAAAATAAACTTAAAATTAATAATTGATAATAGCTAATGTGTCATAAATATATACTTTTGCTATTTCTGGATTTGGTCCAACAATGTGCGTATAGTTAATGTTGACCATATCAGTTCCACTGCAGATTGTTAATGAAATCTCTTCAAGATTATACTTGTATCGATTTTGTAATTCAGCTAGTAGTCTGATGTCCTAGATTGATCGAACAATAGTTTAAGGATTAAGATTATGATATCAATTGTTGTGAATACCTTTGGAACTCCACCGGCACGAATGTCATTCACTTGACATAATTCTAAAACTTGTCCTTCCTATAAAAATGAATCAAATTCCAAGGTAAACATCCATATTACACACTTGTGTCATATTTTCATTACTTTTCCTTCGGATTTCCAATAAATAAAAAAGCCAAATTTGTCGACCTGTACCAATGCATCTTGTTCGTAGATTATTTCTCCTTTTTCCTAAATAATATTATTTGATGCAGTTAATAAATTGGAATTTGTTTTTGAAAATTGATTACCTTTGATCCTATAAAAACTTCCTCCCAGACGTCGAACGTGTTACCATTAAGTAATTCACTAGGAACTGATCTACACCAATTAAATTCATATGCTTTAGTCATAATGGATAATGTTTTTGTTGACAATGTTTGATGATAATGATAATGCAAGGTTAAAAAATTGATTCATTCAATTTCTAAAGGAAATGTCATTTGTATTGAACATCAATCTACAGGCTTTTATATAAATTTTATATGTAAGTAGAGAATAATAATACTATTGGTGAAATGTAAATAAATTTCTATTGGTTGTTGTTGTCTTCATTTAAAAGGAATCATATATAGAATCCAAAAACGTATCTGGACCTCGTTATATGGCGTCAACGTTTTTTTAGTTCATATGTTCCAATATTCACAACACTGCCACCACCGCCATCACCATTATCAACATTGACAACAACAAAAACATTTGCCTTGAACATGGAGAATCCATCCTGATGATGATGAAGCAAGCAACATTGATTGTTCCTTCAAAATTCGAACCTCTATACAATATGCAATTTGCTGCTGTATATGATATCTGTTTATCCTTCAGATGAATACATATGTATAGTATTAGGATTTCCTCATTCATTTTCATCTTCATTCACATTTTATTTGTTTTTTTTTTTTTTTCACTTGCTGTGTTTGTGTATATATAACGGAATGTTGAAAAGTATGCCCATTTTTCATTGACAAAATTTTAAATATTCGCCTTATGTTCGCTTGATAACATTAATGTTATATATACACTTATACATTTAACAAAATTTAATAGCATCGATCATTACGAATATAAATTCTATAATAATAGGTGACTTATGTTTTGTTTTACTCAATCATTAATGATTGTCACATTTGTCATCACAATTCACCATTAAAATAAATCAGTAATAACCTTTTCGAAATAAAATCATTTTCATCTTTTTTCTTTTTAATTTTGATTGAAAATTAGAACATCATTTAGACAAATGATAATAACGAATAAATATTGCACAGACAAAAAAAATTTTAAGAAAAAAAAATGATGATGATGATGATGACAAGGGTCAAGAAAATGGATTATTGATACACATGAATGAATTTATTTAAAAAAAAATTGAGAATGTTTTGGTTCTATATTCTTCGTGGTTTTTTTTCTATTGTTTTCATTAATTATAATTGTATTGTGTTCATCACCGTAGTAATAATCTTCATTTTATATCGTATCATTGTTTTCTCTCGTATAAATTAATTGTCCAAAAATATTTTTTCTTGCAATTTTAATGAAGAATATTCGAGAAGACAAAAACTATCAGATGAGAATATCACAAAAGAATGTTGAGTGTTGCAACTATAATATAAAAGATTGATCAATATGTCAAACACACAAGAACACACAGACATGCACGCACTCACAAAATGACAATACGTGTTAAATCTTCAATGGAAAAAAAACAATGAAAAAATATAAAAACGAAGAAAAAAAAATATCATCATGGTACGATGATATTATAATAATAATCATAAGAATGTTTTATCTGGTTTGATTGATTGATGGTTTTGCCAATATTCAATTGTACTGGAAATTCTTTTGATTGATCACAAATGTAATAAACACCAACGAACTTTATTTAATTTCTGTATTCTCAGTCACACACACACACACACACACTTGTGTATGAACGAAATGCAAACATTCAAAATTGTAGTGTTTGTCGATGGAGAAGAAATTGAGCTTGATTAGTTTTTCTTACTCATAAATGATTAATTAAGTGCATCATGATTGGTATTGCACAACGTCTCACATGTGACAGGATAATATATTTGGTGCATTTAATTTAGGTATGAAATAGTATATTGTTTTTTTTTTTTTTTTGGATGCACGACAGTTTTCGCATATGTTTGCACCTGAATTCTGTAAATAGGAAAAGTGGCAGCAGTTTGAAGAATCGAATCAAAGAATTGTCGAATGCTACACTCACAAGCACAAAATAAAACGGTTCACACTTAAATGAAGAATGGTTTGTTCAAGTTTGACATTCTTCTATGCCAAACATTTTGACGAAAAAAGATTCACCACATTGATTGAATTGTGCTTGCATATGTTCAGATTTTTGATTACATTCTTGTTGTTTTTCTTCAAGCATTCGTTTTTTCTCTTCCTGTAATTTTCGTTCTTGTTTTTTATGTTTTTCGACCAGTTCGATTTTTCGTTTATCCAAAAGTATCTGTAGTCGTTGTCGTTCTTGAACAGCCTGATCGATTAATTTTTGTTGCAATTCTCGTTTGATTCGTGCTAGTTCATTCTTATCTTTATGACATTTGCTCAACACAGTCAATTCTTCTTTGTTTTGTAAGTCTAACCGTTTCATTAGTGCCGCAACTTCTTTATCATGTAATGAAGTTAGATATTGTTTCTGAGAATTTTGAGAATCTTCCATTGCTTTATCCAATGCAATGCACAACTATATGCAAACAAAACATAAATCGTCATTATTAGTAGATTAATTTGATTGCTTATAATGATATCGTCGAAATTTTTATTCTACCAACCTGCTCATATCTGTTCTCGAACGCTTTGAATTCTTCTTTGTATTGTTCCATAAATGAATTAAAAATGTTGATTGAAAATGTTTTTTGAAGTTCTTTTATCTATGTGCAATACAATAAATAAGAATTTAAATGAACGATAAACATATGAAATTAACGGATAAGCTTACTTTGATTTTCCATTCAGTTTCAGATATTTTACCATCACTATTTGATGGTTGTTTCCTGGAACTATAAAAAGTTTAATTATTAAAAACAAAAAATGTTTTTTTTAGTAGTTAAAGCTAATGACTGGTTAGCTCTGATTCATCTACTCACCCGATTTTTTTGACACTCTTGGAAATGTTATTCAGCTTTTTGTTTTTATCCGAAAATGGTGTCAATTTATCCTCTTCTTGAATATAGTTTTCTTTGATTTTTTCTCGTAACTTTTCAAATCTTTTTTGTAACGTCAAAATATCACGATCGATTTTAGTACATATTTTTTGAATATTTTTCGTTTTTTTCAATTTCTCGATCGGTTCAGCGTCCAAAAGTGCCGTATTAGATTCCAATGACGAACTCAGCTTCTCTACGTTGAGATCATCATCGATTCTCATTTTGCGATTCAATGTATCTTGTCTGATTAATGACATTTTGTGTGTCGGTGAACAAACTTTGGATGATGGTTTTGAAGCTCCATTTAATTCCATCTTATTTATTGAATCTCCTTTCATCATTAATGAAGAATGTAATGATATTTCCGCTTGTGATGATTGTCGATTTATCATAGTTGTTATTTCTTCACCGCATCTTGAATCTGAACAGTAAGCTAAATTCGGCTTGTTCACGGTAGTATCGTATGGTTCTTCTCCAACATCATCGCCTTCATCGATCAAAGACAACAACTGTTTCGCATGTTTTTCCACCTGATAAGCTATCGGATTTGCTAGAGCATCTGCCAATTCTGATAAACCATCAGGAATGTAATCCTTAACAGTTATATGCACAAACAATGTTTGCAAGGTCACTGGTTGCATAGATTCGCTTCGTAGAGAAATATGTCGATAGCCTGGTCTTAAACCGACAAAGGGCAAAATTCGTGTGCCTAAAAATTTTCCATTTTCTTCGAACGCTGCGATTCTTAAACAAGCCAAATCAGGCAGCACTACTTTTTTGAATACAAATGGTTCTTCATCATAAATCGGATTTAAAGCATTATTTGGAACAATTTTTGTTCTTTTCCGTCTAACTGTATCAGCGGGTAAACCATACATGTCTACTTCAACATAAGTTCCAACACGTTTGTCAGATAAGAATTGGCCCGAAATGATCTGTATGAAATGATGTGTATAATTTATGGTTATAGGCTAGTTAATATGATCGTTTCTAATAAATCATTTATAAATATCAAAAACCTTTATCGAAACTGTTCCGGCAATTATTCCATCTACAGTCGATTCCGTAAATGGATCGAACCTTCTATCCTGTCTCCTCATAAAATCTGGTTTCAATAAATAACCGTTTCGGCCATTGTATTCGAAAATACCCAAATTTAATTGCATTCCTAAATCTAAAACAAATAATAATGAATGGTTAGTGAACCTTTTGAAAATGGGTAGCTAATTTTTACCTAAAGTTTGAAAGTTCAATGCAACCATTTGACAGCCACTGTTCCAGAAGACTTGAGGTAGAAAGTTGCTTGAATTAACTCGGGTCCCTCTGGGATATATTCGACTAAGTTGTCTTTTGTTATAGCTATTTAGTTGATAAAAAAAACAAAGAATTTATTTTGACGGTTTTGTTGATCTTAATGAATTGAAGTGATTAATACACATACTTTACAAAATCGACCGGTTGTTCTTTCAATAAACTAGTGCTCTGCGTTTCATCGAATGATGACACTTCAAAGCTTCTGTTTCTTTCTATTTGCCAAATAAAAAAGATTTAAAATATAATTGAAATTTACAGAGTTTTTTTCAAATCTTACTTTCGGCCATATCGAATGCTCTAAATTGTATGGGTTGAACGTATATAACCAATTGTGACATTTCAGATCGGTATATAAAGGGGGAATCTGTCGTTTCTTTGGCAACTGGAAGATCGGTTGAAATGGATTGCTCTTCATTCATTACATCATCATCGTCGGAACTGGAATCACCGCTTTCTGGATCTTCCATATCACAGCTATAGTTTTTGTTGGTCAAATCAGAGCTTGAATTCATATCATTTGAATGATTTTCATTGACATTAGTTTCGAGATCAGTTGTTTTCTGTTGGCTAGTTGACGAACTCGATTGTTGTTGCTGATTCTGCTGCTTGTTCGATCCGCCAATACTTGCTTGATTTGTATTTTCTGGACGGACTTCATCAAATGAAGTTGCTGTGGAAATGTTTGATTCTTCATGGTTTGAAGCCATATTCTTGCTTTTACGACGACTATGTTTATGTTCTTTTTTGTCTTTGATGATTATCTTTTTTAATAATAGATTCGGTGATGGCAATGGTACACCTGGTTTAAGGGGATGGCTCGGCAGTGGTTCGGTGAGAAGCATTTCACCGAATATTTGCCGACAATATTTTGCCATTTTAGCCAACTGTTGTTTGTTTGAGCAATGATTCTCAAATGAAAGAATTACAGGGTAATGAGAGGTTTTGAAAGCACTTTCTGCTATTGCTTCAAGAACTTCTTTTAAAGGAACATCTGTTACTACGGTGTATCCATGTGTAATAATAGGTTCATCATCAGATCGACCGTTCCAGCAATCGAGCTCGATACAACGGCATCCACCGAGAAGACATTGGCGGTATATTTCTACAGAAGATCTGCCCGTCAATTGATGACCAGTCAGATAAGTGTTGTGGCTCGAATTGATAAAATAATGACTCAAAGGTTGATCCATGTCGCTATTTAAATCAAACTTTTCGGACGGGATGATGGCATTATCATCACTCATAAGATAACGAAGAAATCCATCAAACGATAAGAATCCTTTCTGAGCGATCTGTATATCTGGTTCATACTGTTCAATAAGATCCATTCCACGGGAACGATTCGCATATGGATAAAGAATTTCATTTAGTCGAGGATCACGTTGTTCTTTATTTAAAAATTGAACAAATTGCTCTACAGTCATGACTTTAATGTCGCCAAATGTATGATCACCACATCTATTTAAAATATATTTTAGTTATATACAAGATAGATGTTAAGAAAATAAAATGGCTTACATTTTTTCGAAAATTTCCAACACTTCATTTCTACCGATTAGATATTTGTAGAAATCGAAAAATGTATTCATGTCGAATTTTTCCAACGAAATTGTATCATTTTTGGCGGATGATAGTGAACATGATTCAAGTGCTTTTTCAATTTTTTTACGATCATCTTTATGATTGGCGAACATTTTCATGATGCTATTTCAAATATTTATAAAATATTATATTTACATATACAAAATAAAAAGTTGAAATAACCTACTATTTTACAGGTAATTTCCGATCACGATCGGACATTAAAAATAATTTTGTATGAGCTTTTTCAAGGAATGTATAGACTGATGCGTTGATTGCCAATAAGTTATAGGCTATTTTCAATATCTCATTGGTCCATTCCTGATCAACAATTTTTTTTCAATTAAGAAATTGAAACGAAAAATTGAATGACAGTTATAAATTTAAAAAAAAATGAAAAAACTTACTTGAGCTATTTCTTTTGAATAGGTACAAAAATTGATAAAATTTACGTTGACAAAATCGGTTCCATAAACGACAGTCAAGGTCTTATCCTCTAATGTAACTTCTTGTGGTCCAATGTTGATTGATTCTTTGAGTTTTCCATCCTGTAATTGATTATCATTATCATTATTATAATTATAATGTTGAAAATCTATGTCAAATAAACAAACATTTTTTGGTGTTTTAGCATATTTTCCGGTTCTTGTATCTCTGATGCTGGATATTTCCAATAATTCAGTTTCCTATAAATCAATCAATGTCAATTATTATAATTACTTTTATCTGATCACTCTCAATGACTACATACGCCGTTTTGATCGGTCCAATAAAGGAAAAATCCTTTTTTGTCAACTTTTAAAATAACCGGAACACCAATAGCAGTATCTTCGTCCCATTTGACAAATTTGCAACCATCAATTAAACTTTTAGGAACTGATATTGGTTTCAATTGCATAACATGAACACCAGATTTGGCGTTGGCCATCTTGTTGATGAATACTAAAAAATTGATCGAAAAAGAAAATTTGGTCGGAAAATCTATATTGGTCGTAGTATACGGATGTTGTTGTTGTGTTATTGGATGAAAATTCCCTTTTGATTGCGCTATGACACGAAAAAATTGATGAAGGTTCAAAATAATGGTATTTGGCTATTCAACCAATGTGTTTAGCATGTTGAATTTATGATCGATGATTCATGGTATGTTTTGATGAACTTTAGCCTTATTGGTTCAGGCTGGTTTTTAAACAGAATAACTTAGACGTTGATATAATGGCAAATCATGACTATGCCTTGATTGGCAATGCCAAAATTATAAGTAAAATTTGATGATTATCACCATCGTTATTTGAATGCCATAGTGACCATAGTAATAATAAATAAATTAATAATTTTTGACGGTTTTAATGATGACAAGATTTATATCACCAAAATCGGTGACATATGATCAACATATTCAAAAAAAAAATTGGCACACATGACAACAATCTTGTTGACAAATGGCAAACGGAGCCCAGAAAAAAAACCACAAACCGGCCAATTGCGATTATCAAGTTAAAATGATAGCAAAATCTTTTTTCTTTTGATGGTTAATGGGAAAAAATTTGCCATCACTTTTGATTATAAGAACAAATTGGAATTTAATTTGTCACAATTTCAAATGGAAAATTATTGAGCAACAAGCACCAAAACAAAAAATTAATTTAGGCTTTCATTTCACCAGTAAAAAAAAAAATATGAATGATAATATTGTGGAATTTATGAAAGAATTTCAATTGAATCCATTTGTTTTTGCTTGCTGATGGTCATGTTTATGGCTGTTTTGAAAAAAAAAGAATTTTGTCAAATAATTCTTTTATTTTTAAAAATTTGTGTATGGGAATTTATGTATTCACAAATATATTATTATACGATGTAAATGATTACAATAACTAAAATCACCAATCAGTTAGTTTACCACCACCACCACCACAGCTATTATCATAAACATCAGAATTGAAATGCTTCAAATTCTTCATACAAACGCTATTATATATGTGCATGTATATGAATACGATTCATATCCTCATTTTTTTTTTATATTTCCATCCTCCATCATCAACATCATCACTCTCTCTCTCTTTCACACACACACACACTAGGCTCTCATCGAGTTGGTTAGGTTTTCGGTCTCTCTTTCTTATTATTTACTGGACTGATATCGATGTTTGTGCTTGTATTAGTTATTTGGTGGCGGCATGTACATTTGATAGTGAATTTCACTAGACACACATTTTACATTCCCGAACAACGATAGTAGCAACAATATCGGGAAAGATGTTGGCCGCGGCCAATTCATACCATTCACTTCATTTATATGGTGGAATGATAAAACTAATGAGGATGATGATGTTGATGATGATTTGTTTAAGCTCGTTATACAAGGAAATTGAAGAAAAAAGTAGAAGCATCCAAACAAGAGAAATGAACCCAATGTGATTGAATCCAAATGTACCGTAATTTCGCTACTATAAACCCTACGGTCATATTCTGGTGTTTACATTCAAAGCATCCAAAAAATACACTCATATAGAAACTTAATAAAAGTATATTTCACTCGTGTCCGGAGTATTTTCAGCTTAAACATATGGTATGTATTTGTGTGTATGTCAATTTGTCTAAACGTGGAATTTCTGAATTACTGCATTTGTTTGGTCACACACCAAATGGTCGTTGCTTTTTTTTCCATCCAACATTATTATATGGAATCGGAATGTCTATTTTTTCCTGATTGCCCCTTTGATTTTTTTCCTCTTATTCCTATATATATATAAATATGTGTACGTTTTGTGATTTACATGATCATCATCATCATATATACTAATTGTATGAAAAATATTTTAATAATATATAGAATCACATATACCATGTTTGTATGGTTCCAATTGGCGCGGATTTTTTTTTTTAATATTTATGTAGTAGGTTATATTATTATTTTGTTCATACTTATATATTAACCATTCCAAAGTTATAGTAATGATGATATTATTTTTTGTCTCTACTACATTTATAGCTTGTAGAGAGAGAGAGATGAATGAAAAAAATGTAAAGAAAAATCAAATAGACAATAGAAAATAGAAGAAATGATGGAGAGAGAGAGATATTTGAAGAACACAAAATGTTAATCAAAATTGTTGTTTCCCTTGAATGAATTTGGGAATTTTTATGATATTATTTTGAACCAAAATAAAATGTGGAAGACCAAAAAAAGAAAAGAAAATTGCATATCCCTTGTGTTTTGTACAGGAGAAAAACGGTGCTATAATTTCTTTTTACACATATATAATATATATTTGTTTTTCATGATCATCACATAACGGTCGATTGATTTTCGTAATTCAGGAATAAATTGTATATATTGGCATTGTTTAATAATAATTTTCCTGTTCTAAAATAATATAAACGCATACATATACACACATGATGTGCATAACATTTCTAATGGTAAAATTCTTATTATAAATGAATTGGAATATTCATTATATTTGATCGAATCTAATATAGTTCCACTTCATGACTATGGTAATAAAATAGAATGAATGAATGATCAAATATATGAGTACGAGTATAATGATGTAACGGAAAATGAAGGTGTAAGGTGAAAGAAATTATAATTATTAATTTTTTGGCCAAAACCGTATTATTATTATTATTATTATTGTTATTGTTTCATTTTAATTACATGATTCCATAATTTCAAAGCTATATATTCATTTATAGTCATGACTCTATTTTCTTTTCTAACTGACATACACATATTTCCTATGATTAAGTTGGTTTTCTGAATTGAATTAAAACTATCTCTATGAGAATTTTTTTTTTTTTTTATTCAAATATTTAAGCAAAGATATATTCATTGAAAATACGAATTTGTTTGTCAGAGGTTTTCATTATGAAAATTTCAATTATCATTCCACATTTATCTATATTCTAGGCATTTGAATGAATGAATGTGTTTTCTTTTCATCATGACATGTAGAACAACACTATTGGTTATTTTATACATAATTTTTCCTGTTATTGCAAGTAATAGTTTGAGATATTCACGTTCATTCGGAGGTGAAGAAATAAAAAATGAAATTCCAACTCCTACCTATAGATTGAATTATCATGAATTATGGTCTTTGTGCACCGGTGTTATTAATAATATTATTATTATTATTATGCATGCTATATCCATATCATATATATGTAATGCTATTTTTACAATGATAAGTTCATTTTCCAGAGAAAAACTAATGATGAGCGCTGGCGTTTATATATAAAAGTTTTTGCTTGTATGTATGTATTATGCACAACTATTAATTTCATTTTTTTTTTTTTTCATTGCGAATTTTTTCCAATCGACAAGTTAGCTATTGTTAATTTTCCAAAAAAACAAACAAACAAACTTTGATCAATAAACAAAATGCCATCATTATTAACACGTTCGATTGATCGATTGAAACATTGGTATTTCGTTTATGAGCTTCGAACATCTCTATACATGTTGGAACCATGGGAAAAGAAATTATTCAGTAAGTTTTACTATGCTCATTTGTCTATAATAATCCATTGTTTGTCATTTTATTCATTTATATTAATTTTCAATATATACAGATACCATATTACTTACAATTACAGCCAGTTCCTGCTATCTTACCTATTTGTTTTTACCAACATATAGCCGTGCTCTATTAGAATATTTGGGTCTTGTTTAATCTTCATTTTCATAAATGATTTATTCACACTTTTTACAACTAAATTTGCTTACACATGGCAATATATTAAATCTTAATCATTTATTACACAAAAAATGTTTATATTTTAATAAAAAATTTTTATTCTGAAGTTAATTAAGTAAATAAAAATAGAATTTTTTTTATGATGTGGATTCTTCATCTTCTGAATCACTTTGCTGCTTAAGCAAATTTAATGCATGGCTGACGGCATCATCAAAGATTGGTTTCGGCACCCATTGATGCAAACCGTTCGTCTCCTGACCGATCCAAGCCATTTCCAATTCGAATTGTTTATCTTTGCCTTCTTTATCATGAACCATGTATATACTGATTTAAACAAAAAAATTCGGATGAAAAAACTTAAGGAATTTTCAAAATTCAAGATATTCTTACATTCTTGATGCTTCTTTGATCAAATTTTTAACATTCATTTCATGAAATTTGATTTTCTCCAATTCTGTCTTGGCAGCTTGTCTTGCCTTCCCTATGGCACAACCTTTGTAACCCCAAGAAATACCAGAAGGATCCAAACAAAATAATTTAGGACCATCTATTGGATCATATGCAGCAAATATAACGGAACAGCCAAATGGACGAAGGGCGCTGTACAGTGTATATGCATGCATGTACATAGCCACGCGATTCTTTAAATGTTCAATAGGTATAGGAAGTCCATATTGTGAACGATAATCACGAGCCTCTTCACGAGCTCGATCGATAATAGTTCGAGCATCAGCCAACAAACCTGCCACAGCAGCGGTGATGTGTTGATCAATTTTGAAGATTCTTTTATTGGTTCCTGGTTCATAAAGTTTTGATGTGACAATTTTTTCGACAGCCAGAACGACACCATCTTTTCCTTTTAAAGCGATTGCCGTACTATCATGATAAAAAAACGAGATTATTATTTTGAATTAAAAAAGCTTTTCATAAATACAAACCCACTATTCTCGACTGCTTTGAGAGCATATTCCACCTGGAAAACACGGCCATCAGGAGAAAATTGCGAAGCTGACAAATCGTACTGAATGGTTTATTCAGAAAAATGAAATAAATTGAAATATTTAATTTTAATATAATATATTATTTCATTATTATTACCCCTGATCCAATAGCACTCATTTTGGAAATTTGTTAAAAATTTTTAAACGAATAAAAATAAAGAAAACGCTTAGTCACTTTTGTCAGTGCTTTTATTGTGAATTGGCTGTGGTATGAATGATGTTATTTCTATTTACACACATATGGGCCAACCTATCGATGAACGCGGGCATTATAGTTTTTGAATAGAAAAATTTCATTTTATTCATTGTTGTACATTTAATTTAATTTTTTTTTAATCCATGATATGACTAACAAATTCAAATTGTCTACGTATTTCATAAATTAAAATGGCTGATGCTATAGCTGAATTTAGACTTTCAGAATTATTTGATAAAGGTATTTTTAAATGATATCCATTATTTGTATGTGCAAATTCATAACAGTTAGAACTTAATCCGAAAGCTTCGTTACCAATGACCAAAACTTTTGATGGATCATTATTGTTTGAAAAATAATTAACTTGATGATAATATAAGCAAGATTTTTCGGTGTTAGATGTATGTTTAACATCAGCTATATATAAATCAAATATTTGTGGTAATATTGATGGTATATCATCCCATTTAATTTTCGAAATAATAGGAATTTTAAAATGAGCACCAGCAGCAGCTTTTATCACTTTTTGATTCCACATGTCTACACAGCCTTCAGTTAAAATTATTTTTTCAATACCGGCTGCAGCACTTGTCCGAATTATGGTGCCCATATTACCTGGATCTCGAACATTGTCACAAATCAATATCAATGGCATATTATTGCTTTCCTGATTACTGACTTTTGAATCATCTTGATAAGGTTTTTTAACGATTGCCATAATTCCTGGTGGAGTTTTCAATGTGCTGTAAGTTTTCATTTCTTTATAAGTTACTTTGACCAATTTTGTTGTTTGTTGTTCAATTAAACGTTTCAAATCGATTATATCTTTCAAATCATCTTTACGAGAGAAGAATATATGGGTAATTTTCAAATTATTCTCAATAGCATCATTGATTAGCCTTTTTCCTTCCAACATTACTGTTTCAGCTTTATCTTTTTTTATTAACGTTTTGATGATTGTTTCACTAAATTGATTATTAGTATGGCTATTCTTCTCAAATATCGGAATATTTACAGATATTTTTTCATTCGTCCAATTTTTGTCCATGTTATCAACTTTTTTCTCAGCAATTGTTTCTTGAAAACCTTCATCAACATGTTTGTGAGAATATTCTTCTGGATTAATATTATTATCCATTGCTTGTCTCTTATAATTTTCCGAAGATTTAATTATTCTCACAACGTTTGGTTGGACAACTCGTCGAGAAAAGTGGCGATGATTGGTGATGCATGATTTCAATATGATTTGAGATGGTCTGAACATTTTCGTTTTTTTTTTTTGCTACAAAAATATAATTTAATCAAAATTTTATTCAAAAATTTTCGTTCAATGAAAATCAAAAAACCTGTCCAGCATGCACAAGACATTGATGTGGATCCATTTAGGTGGAAATAGATGGCAAAAAAAAAATTTAAATTGAATCAATTTTTTTCAAATTCATATGTATATTGTAACAATAACAATATTTATACACATTATATTTTTGCAAGACTATTATTTAAGAAAATTTAAAAAAAACTAAGATTTCATGTATTAGAGTAAACACATTTAAATCATTTCCAAAAAACATATAGTGAAAATTTTTGATTTTTACTTAATAGAAAGAAGCGGCAAATCCAAATGTACGTTTAATACTTTCAAAATAATGTTTCTTCCAACCTTCTTCTGTATTATCCACATTTAATTTCGGTACACCAGTTTGAACAAGTATGATTTTAGTCGAATCACTTTGTTGTTCAATTTGGATTTCGACTTGCGAATAATGTTCAGCTGGCCAGCTTTTCAGTCGCCAAAATTGTCGAATACATTTGTTTGGTTCAAGATGAGTAAATTTTCCAACAATATTACCATCCATCAACGAAAATTGACCACCAACAACCGGTTCACATTTAACCTTGTTTCTAGTGAATGCCTGAAGAAAGACTTCTTCAGTGAAAGTTTTGTATATTTCTTCCGCTGTACATTTAAAATTTTCAATTAATTTGAGTGATGTAGTCTCGATTTTAACATCCGTTTGACTATTGTCCGATTTTTTTGATATGACTGTTTTCGATACAGATTGTTTAGAAGAATGGAGTTCTGATTTGGCTTTTTCTTTAAGTTGGGCTTCGGTTTGGAATGAATTGATGCTACCACTTTCCGTCAATTTAGTTGGTTTTATCATATCCTTGGCAAATTCATCTCGCAAAGCTATAATGTATTGTTTCATTCTATCTTGAATGATATGGAGACCTTTGGTGCGAACCAATTCTTTAAGAATTTCAGCCTGGGCACTATTCGTATCATCGATTGATACATCAATAGTAATGTCATTGGAACTATTTTCTTCGCTTAGATTAGGAATTTCCAATTTTCCATTATATTCAGTAGCATCGCCATTTAGCACTCCAATCCATGTGCATTTGATAATCCATTCATAGAAGAAGATCAATTTACCTTTGCGATTATTAGCAACAGCTTCACCATCGATTGAACTGACCTCTTTGATTATACAATGGCCCAAGCCATTTTCTTCAATTATAAGACCTTCCAGTAATGTTTTTAATTTATCTTTTGACCAATGTGATGCATTTTTTTCAGTCCTATAATGAATTATTGAAAAATTTAATAAATTTGAAAAAACTTTACAACAATTAAGTTTACCAATGCCAATTATTAACGTTGGTTGCATCAGGTCTTTCCTCGACAATCCAACGTGGATCACCTTCTCCCCATTTAGCCATTTTTATGGTATAAAGATGAATAAATTATCGAAATTTATAAAACAAAAATACGAATTAAAAGTACTCATTCAAACAATATTATAAAAAATATATAAATGCAAAAGACAGAATGAATGGCTTCCAGAAAAATCTAGTCTTCTGTCTCTTTATTGGATGTATGCGAGCATGTTTTCCCGAAAGTTTATGGGATACTTCCATAACAATATTACTTCGAGTTTCGGAATTATTTCTGACCTTAGCTGAACTTTTTTTGTCAAAGTTCTTGGGAAAGAATTCATTTTCGCTTCTGATTTACATATATCTTAAATACTTTATGTGAAAATTGATTTTACAATTTGTTTTTAATCATGTTATGATAGTAATAATTGTCTTTAATGAAGATTATGAGCATCCTATATATAGTCAATTCATTGTTGATATTTTTGTTGTTGGTATGTAGAATTAGAATAATAATTGAAATTATTATTATATTTGAATGCTTAAGCATCTTAATAAAAAAAAATTTCCAACTTTTTCTATATTCTCTATCGCTTAACAATTGAAGTTGCAAGTATATTAATATATCAGTAATCAAAAAATTGTTGATGTAACTCGACGACGAATTTTTATTTTCATCAAATGTGTTTTCACTGATCACTATCTAATCGATTATCAAAGAAACAATTAACCAAAGAATTTATTGACACAAAGAAGAAACTAATTGGTGATAAATAATAACTACGAAATTTATCATTATTAAAAATGAAGCCTGATTTTGTACGAATCGATCTTGGTAACAGTATTTGGGAGGTGCCAAATCGTTATGAAAATCTACATATTCTCGGTTCAGGTGCTTATGGTTTAGTATGCTCCGCATATGACAAAATCGGAAACCAAAATGTGGCAATCAAAAAAATTTCCAATCCATTTCAGACAGCCATACATGCTAAACGAACTTATCGTGAATTAAAACTTTTGAAACACATGGATCATGAAAATGTCATTGGCTTATTGGATGTTTTCACTTCTGGAAATGCTTTGGATAACTTTCGAGAAGTTTATCTTGTTAATCAATTGATGAGTTCGGATTTGAATCGGATAATTAAGGCTCAAAAACTAAATGATGACCATATAAAATTATTAGTGTATCAAATTTTACGTGGTCTAAAATATATCCATTCCGCTGGAGTTATTCATCGGGTAAGAAAAAATGTTCTCTTTTTTCGATTTCTTATACTTTTAGTTTGAATGCCTTCAGGATTTGAAACCAAGTAATATAGTGGTGAATGAAAATTGTGATCTCAAAATCGTAGATTTTGGACTGGCTCGACAATCTGAAACTGAAATGACTGGATACGTGGCTACACGTTGGTATCGAGCTCCTGAAGTAATGCTTAATTGGATGCATTATAATTCCACAAGTAATAATAATAACATTGATTATTTTATTCAATGAGTTTACCAAAAATTTTTTTAAATAGTGGATATTTGGTCGGTTGGATGCATTATGGCCGAAATGATTTCCGGCAGACCATTATTCCCCGGCAGCGATCGTAATTTTATATATATTAATTTTATTTCTTTTAAACTCAAATTTCAATTCATCAATCTATTGTAGACATTGACCAATTGTTGAAAATCATGAAATTATGTGGTACACCAGATGAAGAATTTATGAGAAAAATAACTAGCCAGGAGGCTCGAAATTATATAAATACATTGCCTCCAATGAAGAAAAAAATTTTCAAAGATGAATTTCCAGCTGCTGATTCTCTAGGTAAGCTAGCTTTCTCTCATTTTACCCGTTGATTAATTAATTTATTGTGAATATAAATCAGCAATCAATTTATTGGAAAAAATGCTTGAACTAGATTTCGACAAAAGGTAAGAATAAATGCATCCTAATTATATATAAAATGAATGAAAATCACGTTCGATATCAGGCTTACAGCTGAACAAGCTTTGGGTCATTCATATTTGGCTGATTATTCTGATCCAAGTGACGAACCTGCTTCAGGTATGATGAATTGTTTTATTAATACTTACTGAATTGCTCTCACTTGTGGAATTATTGTTGAATTGTTGCTTACGTTCATTTCATTAACAGATCCATTTGATGATTCGTTTGAAGAGCAAAATTTATCCGTAATGGAATGGAAAAGTATATTTATCATATAAATCATGATATTTCTAAGCTAATGTTTTGTTGTTGTTGTTGTTATTGACAGAATTGATATACAATGAAATATTGGCTTTTGAACCAAAATCAATTAATCAATAACTGGTGGCCACAAATTCACCATGAGTGATCTTCGAGTGCATTCATTTTGTTCATAAGGTCGAGAACGATTCTTTTTCGTAATGAACCTTTCATTATTTATTTGTTTGTGTTTCAATTATTATGACTGATATATTTTGTAATTTAAGTTTTTAATTATTATATATTATGATTATGATAACATAGCATTTATTCTAATGTATCATACATTCATGCAATCACAATTTATTTTATTATTGATGATGATGACATCCAAAGATAAATTTGAATTTCAACTTTGAACTCAATCTATATCAACTTGATAGTTTTTTTTTGTAAGAAAAGCTAATAAATATCCAAAGTTTGCTTTCAAATGGCATTAATGCAATAACCCTAGATAACATTTGGTAGATATTTGTTCGTTGCTGAATTTAGAATGCATTCATTTTTTTGGTAAACTTTATCGCGGTTCAAGTTTCCAATATGGCCGACAAACTTTTGTCAACTATATTAGTTGGTTCTGACATTGATGCGAACATTATCGTCAAAAGTATAGTTGAAACTCAACATTTTTGGTTTAAAATAAAATAGGCGTTGTCTTGTCTTTGGATGATACCATTGAAACGTATATCTGTTTTCTAGCGGTCTTTACTGTCTTGTGTCTTTATAAATCATCAAAGCTTTGGTGCTAACGTCTCCGTCATTGATACATTACTTTGTCTAATCGAAAACATTTGTTGGTTATTTTTAGAGTTCACATTGGCCATTTGTTGATTGATACCAAATGTGGTGGGCTAACAAACACATTGAATTGAATTACAACGAATTGAACCCAATGTTAATTTCTATATGCTTTTATTTTTAATACAGTGAAAATTAATTTAAAAAATTTCAATCCTTTAAAACATCTTCTGGTTCTCTTTGTTGAATCAAGAACCAAAGAGGATGAATTTCTTTATTTTGTTATCGATTTTATTATTTCAAAATTATGGCCATGTTAAACCACAAGTATTAAATCCGCCATATTTTAATATCGCAGAAGGCCGAAATGTGAGCATATTTTTCAATTTATTTTAATTTCAATTCTATAAATGGTTTGTTTTATAGATAACTGCTACTGCTACTTGTGGTGAAAATGTTCCGGAACCGGAACTATACTGTAAGATTGTAGGATCGAATCGACTTGAAGAATCAGAAAATTTCAACCTGATTGAAGGTCAGGCATGTGATTATTGCGATCCAGATGATCCAAGACGGGCACATCCACCTCAGTTTGCTATTGATGGTACCGAAAGATGGTGGCAAAGTCCTCCACTTTCTCGCGGAGCTCAATATAGCAAAGTTAATCTTACACTCGATCTAGGACAAGTAATTGCATTACTACGATGAAACTTTTTTTTTTTGTTAATAAATCTGAATTTTTCCAGGAATTCAATGTTGCATATGTTTTTATCAAAATGGGAAACTCGCCACGACCTGGAGTCTGGATTCTGGAAAGATCAAGAGATTATGGTCAGACCTATACGCCTTGGCAATATTTCGCTGATACACCCCAAGATTGTAGCTATTTTTTTGGCAAGCATACTTTACAGCCAATCACTAGAGATGATTCGTTGATTTGTGAGACTAAATTTTCAAAGTTGGTGCCTCTTGAAAACGGAGAAGTATGATGTCACAATCCCTTGTCAACCAGATTTGATGACAATTTTTTTTTATCATATAGATTGCCATTTCACTTATCAATGGACGACCAAGTGCTGATAACTTCTCAATGTCTACGATCTTACAAGAATGGACTACAGCTACAAATATTCGATTGAGATTTTTGAGACCAAAGACTACTTTGGGTCATTTACTTTCGGTTGCTCGTGAAGAACCGACTGTAACTAGGCGTGTATGTTATATCAATAATGTAATATTAATTAATCATTCTTGATTCGTTTTTAAGTATTTTTACAGCATCAAAGATATCAATATCGGCGGACAATGTGTTTGCAATGGACATGCTTCTCAATGTGACCAAAGTTCACCACAAGATCCGCTGAAATTATCATGTGCTTGTCAACATCATACATGTGGGATACAGTGTGATCAATGTTGTAATGGGTACCAACAATACCGATGGAAAAGAGCCACCATTGATGATCCTTTTGTCTGTGAAAAATGCAACTGTCATGGTCATTCTAATGAGTGTTATTTCGATGAAGAAGTAGCTGCCAAAAATCAAAGCAAAAACATTTATGGCAAATATGAAGGCGGTGGTGTTTGTACGAATTGTCAACATAATACTACAGGAATCAATTGTGACAAATGTCGTGATGGATTCTATCGACCAAAAGACAAATCATTGGATGCTATTGATGTATGTCAACCGTGCCAATGCGATATGAATTTTTCCACTGGTAATTGTTTCGATGAAACTGGTGTGTGTGAGTGTAAAAAAAATTTCCAACCACCTGATTGCGATCGTTGCAGGTAGATTTTTTTTATAAATATTGTTCTGGTCTAAAAACATTCATTCTTTTCTAAAAGCATTGGATATTTCGGTTATCCTACCTGTCAGGAATGCCATTGTTTCCCTAATGGAACGCTTGGAAATTTGTGTGAATTACGTGATGAAGATGAAACTTGTCCTTGTAAAGAAGGTATGTGATTATATACAATTGTTTTCAAGTTTGACAAGGTATTTTATTTTTCGACTAAGGTTATGGAGGAAAATATTGCAAAGAATGTAAACCTGGATATTATGGATTTCCAGATTGTAAGCCTTGTGGCTGTAATCTTAGCAATTCGATCGATAATTTTTGTGATGCTGAGACTGGTCAATGCAAATGTCAATCAAATTTTGGAGGACTAAAGTGTCAGAAGTGTAACAAAGGCTTTTACAACTATCCCCGATGTGAAGCTTGTTTATGTATGCCAGAAGGTTCCACCGAAGAAAAATGCAACCCTATTACTGGTGAATGTCACTGCCGCGAAGGTTATGAGAAAGGTTACTGTGGCAAATGTTCCGAGGGATATTATGGATTTCCGGATTGTATCAAATGCGATTGTAATATGGAAGGCTCAACATCCGCTTCTTGTGACAATAATGGAAAGTGTAGATGTAAAAAGAATTTTGGTGGAACTAAATGCAATGATTGTGCCGTTGGTCATTTTAATTTTCCAAACTGTGAGCAGTGCCGATGCCATTGGCGTGGTTCAACTGGACTATCTTGCGACCACTCCGGAAATTGCTTATGCCAAGAAAGATTTGAAGGTCAAAAATGTGACCAATGCAAGGAAGGTTATTATAACTTTCCTTATTGTGAAGGTAAGTGAATAAAAAAAGGATAGAATTATTCAAAAATATAACTTATTTATTATTTTTATTATTATTACCAGAATGTAATTGTAACCCAGCTGGTCTAGTAGCCGAATTCGGTGGATGTGATAAGGTCGAGATAGGAAAACTTTGTGAATGCAAAGAACGGGTCAAAGGTCGAATATGTAACCAATGTAAAGACTTATATTGGAATCTTCAAATGAATAATCCGTATGGCTGTGAAGATTGTCGTTGCAATCAAAACGGAACTATCAGTCGAATCGGTATTTGCGATACAGTTACTGGTGTTTGTATGTGTAAGACAAATGTACAAGGTCGAACTTGTGACATGTGTAAACCAAATACCTATCAGTTGAATTCAGCTCGTCTTTTTGGCTGTGTCGATTGTGAATGTGATGTTGGTGGTGCAGTCAGCTCGGATTGTGATAAATTCACTGGTCTATGTCGTTGTAAATCCAGAATCAAAGGCAAAACTTGTTCTGAAACATTGGATGCAAACTATTTTCCCACTTTTTATCAATTTCAATATGAAACTGAAGATTGGTACAATCCAACGGGCTCACCTGCGAGATTCGGCTACGATGAAGACATATTTCCTAACCATTCATGGAGAGGATATGCAATTTTCAGCCCTTTACAGAAAGAGATATCCACCAACATCACTATCACTAGAACAAGCATTTATAAGATCATTATAAATTATGTTAATAAAAATAGCGACACAGTTAATGGCATTCTTAGATTCTTGCCAAACGAATGGATGAATGAAGAAGAACAGACTGTTTCGATAGCGATGGAACCAACTAATCAGCCTAAATTACTTTATGTCACTGGTCGTCAAATGAATGGAATGATTTCATTAGGCGTAGGACCTTGGCAGGTATTTCTTCAAGCTGATAAATTCGATCTCTACATTGATTATATCGTTTTAATTCCACAAGCCTATTATGATCCAAGCTTGTTTCAAGAAAAAAGAACTGGTCCATGTCTTTATTATCCGTTGAATAATCTCACCTGTATATTGCATTCATATCCCAACTATCCAGTGAATAGCAAACATTTACCAGTAACTGAAGCTTTTGTTGTAAAAGAATCGGGCCAGCAAAAGCCATCAATGTTTGACTCGACCGAATATTTGTCAAAATTGAAAACTAAAGATCAATTCGCACAAATGGATGAAAACAATTCAAATTTAGAATTCGAATTTATTGCCGAACAAAATGGAACAAACTTAATCATTCTTAACTATCATACACCGGACAACCTTAATCAATCGATTCACATTTTAATCGAATTAACCAATATCAACCGTAATCAGACATTTGAAAGCAAGAATATTCTATCAGCATGTCCATATTTATTTGTTTGTCGTCAAGCAATAACAACTTATGAAGGCAGAATATTTTCTTTCGATGCAGTTGCAGATGATCCGTTCCGATTGCGTATTCAACTTTTGGCAAAATATTCAGCAAATATCTATGGTGATAAAAAACGAAGACAGTTACAAGTTTTACCAACCAAATTGAGCGAATCTTTAAATGTCAACACTATTACCATCATACCATTTGATAATCGATGGTCTTATAATTACATTGAACCTAGTTTCGTTTGTAATTACAAAAATTATGGATGTACTACTTCCAATTTTCCTTTAATATCAGAAGGAATCAAAATCGAAGCTGAAACTGAAATATTTGGACAAAAACCAGCACAAATTGTGGAACATCCAAACTATAATCAAGTCAATCCAGGAAGTGATACACGACCATTATTGGTCCATCTGAATGATTCCATGCAATCGATAGATATAAGAGGCTCTGTTCCAAAACCAGGCCCCTATTATTTTATACTCAACTATTATCAACCTAATAATCCGAAATTTAATATTGATGCTTTGATTCAAAATGGACACCTATATAGTGGAGTAGCAAGCTTGGAGCATTGTCCAAATAATGTCGGCTGTCGTGTAGCATTGAAACAAAAAGATGCTGAATGGAATTCCACTGCATTTACCATACAGAAGAATTTCCAAATCACATTGAAAATTCCGACGAATGAAAATTCACCTAACGTTTCTGATACTTATCTAGATTATATTATGGTTATTCCTGCAGAAAATTTTCAAGAACAATCACTAATCTCTGAACCATCGGATGGACATAAAAACATTATGGCTGAATGTATAAAGAATAACTACTACATTGATCCTAATAATACAAGTGAATTTTGTCGATCTTTGGTTTTTTCCACAACTGTCGATTTTAATGGAGGTGCATTACCGTGTGATTGTAACATTGATGGCTCTTTTGATCATAAGTGTGAAAACTTCGGGGGCCAGTGCAAATGCAAGAAAAACGTAATTGGTCGTGATTGTACGCTATGCAAAACTGGTTATTATGGTTTTCCCAACTGTAAGAAATGTGATTGTCCATCAACAGGTTAGATTGATTTTTTTTTTTCGCATATTCTAAAATGCTTGTTTTTCTGTTTCTTTTGCAGCTATTTGTCATTGGAAAACAGGGGATTGTATCTGTCCTAAAGGTGTCACCGGTAAAGATTGCGACAAATGTTTGCCACTAACATTCGGCTTCGACAGAATAATTGGATGCGTCGACTGTGCTTGTAATCCAAGAGGTGTTCAAAATCGTGATCTTCGATGTAATGTGGAAACAGGAATTTGCTCTTGCAGACCAAACGTTATTGGTAGACCCTGTGACAAATGTCGACCGGGATTTTTTGGTTTTCCCAACTGTCAACTATGCCGATGTGACATCCGCGGTACAACGCCGGAAATTTGTGACCAGAATTCTGCCCGATGTTATTGTAAAAAAAATGTTGATGGAGCGTATTGTGATCGCTGCAAAACTGATTCATATCACTTGGAAGAAAGCAATCCAAATGGTTGCACAAAATGTTTTTGCTTTGGCAACACTGATCGCTGTACCGGATCTTCAATGGTCTTTGTTCCCATTCAATTAATATCAGCGGAAAAGATTGATTTGCTCAATGTAACAAGGGATGAAAATATTTTGGAAATAAATCAAATGAAAATCAATGAAGATTATGAAATGGATTACGAATCGGAAAAATTTCATATTCGAACTAGTTTTTCCAGAGAAAAACTTGAAAACAAATTGGATTCATCCTCATCATCAATGTATTTATCATTGCCAGATGAATATTTAGGCAACAAGATAACTTCGTATGGAGGAGAATTTTCTTACAACATCATCAACAAAGTTAACAATAATAGAGAATATGAACCAGCATCACATATGCCAGACATTATTTTTATCGGCAAAAATTATACTTTGATTTATGAAAACATCGAATCACCGGTTATTAACGAGAAATTCAACGTCACTATTCGATTGCTTGAAAAAGAATTTAAAAAATTGGATGACTCCCAAGTCACACGTGAACAATTGATGATGACGCTTGTTGATTTGCAAGCCATCTATGTTCGAGTCAAATATTTCGATTCAACACAAGATACAATCGTCATAGAATTTCAATTTCGAATGGAGACCGCTGTAACTGGTGGAAGAATAATCGTCGATCCTTTATTGAAACGAAAAGCTACAAGCATCGAACAATGTCTTTGTCCACGAAATTATCGTGGAACATCTTGTGAAGAATGTGCAGAAGGATTTTATCGAATTCAACATGGACCATATCTGGGTGCTTGTGTTCCTTGCAGATGTAATGGTCATTCGAATACATGTGATCCAATAACTGGACAATGTTTTAATTGCAAGTATAATACCGTGGGTGATTTTTGTGAACGATGCCATGATGGCTACTATGGGGATGCAACCCAAGGAACACCAAACGATTGTATGATTTGTGCCTGTCCATTACCGATTGAATCAAATAATTTTGCCACTAGTTGTGAAGTATCCAGTTCTGGTTCAGTGTTGAGTTGCACCTGTAAAGACGGTTACAATGGAACAAGATGTGAGATATGTGGTGCTGGACATTGGGGTCAGCCTCATATTGTTGGTCAAGGCTGCCAAAAATGTGAATGCAGTGGAAATATCGATCCTACAGATGACGAAAGTTGTGATCCGTTCACTGGAAAATGCCGAAAGTGTTTATTCAATTCAGCGGGAGACCATTGTGAACGCTGTGCCGATTATTATTATGGAGATTCGATTGTACAGAAAAATTGTACAGAATGTTCCTGTAATAAATGTGGATCAGAATACTGTGACAATAAAACGGCAACATGCAAGTGTAAATCGAATATAATTGGCAAGGATTGCAACCGATGTGCTTCCGGTTTTTACGGATTCTCAACATGCCAAGGTTGTCAACCGTGTAACTGTGGAGAAGCATCCCATGACATAAATTGCGATGATTCTGGACAATGTTTATGTAAAACTGGTACTGCTGGGAAAACCTGTCGGACTTGCGCTTCCGGTTATTGGGGTTACAGCAAATATGGATGTACATCTTGTGGCTGTAATGAAAAATATTCACGTGTAAAACAATGTAATCAATTCACTGGACAGTGTCAGTGTTTGCCCGGAGTGGTGGGCGTTAAATGTGAAAGCTGTCCTGATCGTTGGGTTCTTGTACCGGAAACTGGATGTCAAGAATGTGGCGATTGTACACACACATTATTGGATGATGCTGATCAGATTGGCAAAGACATAGAGTTTATTGAATCACAGACCCAAAATACATCCAGTTCCGTATTGGCATATCGTAAATTGAATAGTGTTAAAGAGCAAATAAACTTGTTTAAAGATCGTATTAACAAAACATTTGCCGAAACCGATGAACGAATTAACAATATTCATAACTTTACCAAAGTTAAAAAAGATTCTGAAGATTTATTGAATAAAATTGAAAAAATGGACATTAAAGCTGATGGTTTGGAAAAAAATTCAATCGACGTATTGAACAAAGTGAACAAAGCCTACAATGAATCTATCGGAGCTGGAAATAAAGCAAAATTAGTTCTTCAATCGGCTGTCGAGGTTGTTGATTCTATACAGCATTTGGAAAACAACATAGCAGAACATCCTGGCAATCAAAATTCCGAAGTTATTCTTGCAGAAAGTGAACAAATTTTATTGGAATTGCAAAAACCATTTGTTGATGAATATATGTCACGCTATGATAAAGATACCAATGTGTTCAATGATACTTTGAAAGCCGCAAATGATTTCTACACATTGTGGCTAGGTATGAAAGATGACATTGAAACAGCATCAACGCGTCGAAATAACATAAGTGGTTTGATAAATGAGTTGAAAAACTTTACCTATTCAGCACGCAGTAATACGATTGATGCAGAAAAAATAATTCAGAATGGATTACGAGAAGCTATAGACAATGGAATCGAAACAATCAAGTCACAAATGAATCAGGCTGAATCGACCATGCAAAATGCAAGCAACCACATTGATCAAACTAAAGAAAATGTAGTTGCATTAGAAAATATGAAAATCGACATTGAACAACAAGAAAATCGGTTAACAGATAGTGAAAAAAAGCTTCAACAAAAACGTGATGAAATCAACGATTCATTAATGGAACTAGATAAAGATGTATCGGATGCAGAAAAACATGCAGAAGAACAAATACTACAAAGCAGCTATCTAAATCAATTAATTTCATCGACAAAAAATCAAGCAACAGATCCGTTGAAAGCAGCCAATGCATACGATAATATAAGCACTACTGTCCAAGAAAGTGAATTTATGTTGAATGAATTGAAAGAAACAATCAACACGGAGAATACCATCAAAGACGACTTGGAACATCTGAAAGAGATAAATCAAGAACCTACAGCTACGAAAATTGACAGACATTTGAATGATTTGGCTGATCAACTTCGTGAACGTGAATCTACCATCAATCATGCTGATTTGCTTTCCATGGACAATGGCAAACAATTTGAGAATGTCAATCAGAGTCTATATAATTTGGAATCAGTACCGATTGGCATCGACCAAATAGAAACAGCTACAAATATTGTACAAGATACACAACGCAAAGTCAATAGCTTAATCGATTCAATAGATAATCTAAAAGATGGCTCTAAAGATATTAAGGACTATTCGGAATTTGTCAGCGATGTCAAAGAGAGCAAAGACTATGTCGACAGATTTCAAAGGGATGTCGAACGGATGAAAAATATTTCCACATCTGATGAAATCAATGAATTGAATAAAGAATTTTCGAAAATGCAATCGACAATTTCGAACAAAATTGCAGATCTGAAGAAACGAATTCAGCTAGCTCGTCACCAAGCAAACAATATGCGCGTCGGAGTCCGATTTGGTGAAAATTCTGTACTAGAACTAAATAATCCACCAAATCTGGTAGAATCTTCAACTTACAACAAGTTTTCAATGAGATTCAAAGGTGAATATCCTGAAGGAATGTTAGTCTACATTGGCAATCCAATTGATGAAACAAATGAATTGGTAAAACGAGATGTAGAATTGGATGAAATGACCAAAACAAAACGGAAATCGATCAACTATGATTACATGTGTTTGGAATTGCGAAGAGGAAGAGTGGTGCTTGTCTGGGACCTTGGTGCAGGTAATCCAACCACTATTGAAGATACACAAAACACATACGATCAAAAATGGCATCAAATCATAGTCGAACGTTTTGGTCGTTTGATACGATTGAAGGTATTGACCGATAAAGTGGAAACTGTATCGCAACAGATAGCACCAGGATCGGCTAGTGTTTTCAATTTGGACCGAGATCAATCCAGAATATTTATTGGCGGTGCACCTCCAAACGTTCAGCTCAGTCCGACCATCAAAAATCGTCACTTTTATGGTGTTATCTCCAACGTTTTTCTTGACAATGAACCATTGGGCTTGTGGAATGCTAAAGAATCGTACAACATTCAAGGAGATGAACAGGCTAATGAATCATTCACTGAAAATAATATACGTTTTAATGGAAATAGCTATATAATTTTGGCCCGAAACGATCTGAACTTTAAGGACACTGTGTTTGTCAGTTTCCAATTCAAAACATTCAACAAAAACGGCTTACTGTTTTTGATTGGAAGTCCTTTATCGGCAAAAAAATCATATTTTTCGATCGAATTAAATGATGGCAAAGTAGTGGTCAAGTATGATTTGGGAAGCACATTCACGAAAGTTCCCTCCGAACAAACATACAATGATGGACAATGGCATTTCATCAAGGTTAACCGGGAAGGCAAAGAATGTTTAGTTACGGTGGACAACCGTGATGAACAATCTGGATTTGCTATGGGATTGAGCACCGACTTGACAACGGATGATAATATCTATGTTGGTGGATTCCGAGGAATGAATCCTTATTATGAAGTCACCAAAGAAGGATTTGATGGTTGCATTAAAGATCTGCAAATCGATTCAACTCAACAAAATCTCATCAAGCATAAAGAATCGTTTGGCGTGACTATCGGTTGTTCAACGTTCGTACGGGTGGTCTCCTTTAGCATTGAAATGGTCTCTACTCGGGCATATGTAGAGTTTCAAAATCAAACAATCGATCCAATGAAAAACGATGCTGACAGAAACGATATGATACAAATCACTTTCAAATTCCGTACTTTGGTCAAATCGGGCCTGCTTTTGCATTTGACTAACGCACAATGGGATAAGTTTGTCATTGTATATTTATCGGAAGGAATGCTCATTTTACGAACAAGTAATAATCAATTGTTACGTACCGATTCTCAATACTATAATGACAATAAGTGGCACTTTATTACGATCAATTTTAATCAAAGAACGTTAGACATGGATGTAGATGATATTAATTCATTCAGTATCGATATCAATGATCCAATGGATTTTTCTCGATTGGATACCGTATTCGTAGGTGGCATGCAAAGTGATCGTTATGATTATTTGTTTTCACAATTTACTGGCTGCATAGGTGACATATCTATCAATTATAAATTTTTAAATTTTGCTGATTCCAACAATTTAAAAAATGCCGTTTTCAAAAAGTGTCCATTATCCATCAATGAAGATGAAATTCTTGTCAGGAATTTCAAAGATACAATAATGCCAGAAACATACACAAAACCACCTAGTCAACTGAATCTACCAAGAATAGAAAACTGTGTATTGCCTCCAATACCACAAGCAGAACAAGATTCTTCTGATCCTGAAGAAAAAAGATTCGGCAGTACCCTTTCGAGTCGTTATGAATTTCCAATAACGAATGATGTAGCAAAAGGTTTGGAAGGTGAAAGTGGCTTTCAGCTTAAATTCAAAACCACTCAAACGGATGGTATTCTATTCTACATAACATCACAAAACAACATTGACTTTGTGGGCCTTTATTTTCTCAATAATAAACTGCATTATAGTTTTGATTGTGGCTCTGGTCGTGCTGTTGCCGTCTTACCATCCAATTATAATGATGATCAATGGCATACGGCAACATTCAGTCGTAAAGGCAGAATTGGCCTATTGCGAGTTGACGAAGAAACGGTCGAAGTAATATCAACAGCTGGCACTTCAGCATTAAATGTTAAATCGCCAATATTTGTGGGTGGAGTTCCCAAAGAATTACGTTCACAAATCAAAAGTCATCTAAAAAGTGCTGACAAAAATGATTATAATTATGTAATGTCTTCATTTGCTGGCTGTATTCGAGACATTAAAGTACGAGATATTGAATATAAATTTAAAGATGGCCGCGAATATGATGTTGCTCAATGTTCAATGCAAAATGAGAATGGCCACTTTTTCCATTATGGTGGAGGTTATATAAAATTGTTCGATGAATTTAGGGTTCGAGTTGAATTCACGTTGATCATGCAGATAAAACCCAGAAAACCGTATGGTATTTTGGCTGCCGTTTTTGGCAAAGTCGATTATTTGGTACTCTATTTGGACAAAGGAAAACTTTTCTTTTCAGTCGATAACGGCGCGGTAATTTTTTCAAAAAAAAATATGAATTATTTATTTATTGATTATTGATATCTTTTATTATTAGATTCCTATCACTGCAAGTGACGATGTTAAAGGCGGTATTTGTGATGGTAGATGGCATACGATTAAGGCATTGAAAATCAAAAATTTGGTCATGTTGACAATTGATGATCAACCAACAGTAATTAGCACTGGACAGCCTGGAATCTCATCCACTGATACCAAGGATCCACTTTACATTGGTGGTTTACCTTCAAAGCTGAAAGAAGAAAAAAGTTCTGAACTCAACAATGTAAAAGATAATTATCTTGGTTGTTTACGAATCGAGAGCATCAATGGAATGCCTCAAACATTGAACAATGCTAAAATTGAAGGCGAAGTAACATTGAATACTTGTCCAATCAATTAATTGAAAAAAATTTTGATGAAATTAGAATAGAATAAAATATCAGATAATTAAAAAAATCAGAATAATTTTCAATTTGCAAATTTTTACGATTTGATCGTTTAATAGTCGAAATTTTTATTTAGCAAATGTATATTCTAACACCGAATCAAATGAAATTTTTAAAAAAATTGCCAAAGAAAAATTATTATTGTATTTTATTTCTAAAGTTATTTTTATCACATCAAATGTTAACAATGATAAAGGTTTGTGGAGATTCTTGGTAACAATCCATTCAACAACAACAAACAAAGATATGATTTTTTTTCAATCAGTGAATATGAAACTATCAAATCTACAACTATTAGATCGTGTGTTAAATTAAGTTGTGCAGACGTTCCAAAAGTAGGGATAAAATTTAACAATTTAAGATCTCCATTTATGATTCAATTCAAACCAAAGTGTCACATCTGAATCTATTGATGATGATGTGAACGATGATTGATGTTCATTACGAATATAATGTTTACGTTTACGTTCATGTTCTTTAATCTGTTGCCATCGTTGATGTATTTCGTTAGCATGTGGTACAACTACTTTATACGGTTTTTTTGATAATACATAGATTTTTCTCTTTTGTTTACCGTTATTAATGAGCGATGATTGTGCTAATCTGACTAATCTTCGATGTAAATTATCCGGACTATTTGAATTGGATTCAATCAAATTTAATGGTGATAGTCCATGGTGGCCATATAGATAACAACGAGACAAATATCCATCATCATCATTACATTTTCTTTTAGTATAACTATGGCTTGCATCATTATCTCTAGGCCACCTTACCTTTTGGTCTGATTCCATATTTTTTACGACATTCTGTCCATCATCAGCCATTGTTGATTTATCATCACTTTTCTTTTTGTAATCATTTTCATGATCACCATTATTCGTTTCATTGTCGTTATCTTCTTGGCCAGAACGTTGGATTATCTTTCTGGATACTGCCATTTCATCCATCTTTGACCCATTAAGACCAGTACTTTTATAGAGATTCTCACATATCACATCTACTAGTTCACCTTGAGTATCATTTCTTCTTCGATGTTGGGATTTATGATATTCATATTTATAATCAACAACTAAACCATGTGGATGTCTATCATAATCTAATAGTGGATCGAATTTGGAATGACGTGCAGTAGCCGATTCTCGTTCACTTTTTCTATTTCCATATTCATGATGATCATTAGGAATATCAGATGTATCGGAAGAAACATCCGATGCATTCGTGCCAAAATTTTTCGAAGAATAATATGTACGATTTTGACGTTTATGTCGTTGATATTGATCACAGGATGTTGCTTGAGCAGCAGCCTCAGTTTCAGATTGTAAACGTTCAAAACTTGTGGCTAAATCATCATAGCTAAGTGACTTTGATCCAAAAAAAAAAAAATAAATAAATAAAACATTAAATGCTATGAAATAGAATACAAACATATGATGGCTTACTTTAGTCATGTAAGCTAGCTTTTTCTGATTAGAACGTGATAATTGTCGAAGTAAATCTGAAATCAATTTTTTTAATTGAGTGTTCATTACAAAATATTAATTATTACCATAAAGATACATTTCATAAGCACGATAAGTATATGGACCTTTAAACTCTGACATTCCTGGTGCTTTCATTTCACGACGAAATCGATCTACTAAACGTCGAACCGATTGTGGTTCGTTTGTACGTCCAGTACGAATTTGATAGCGCTTTAAATCATATAGTTCTTCAAATAATTGTCGTTCCAAATAGTACCTAAAATATTTAGTCATGATGGAAAAAATTTAATTTAAAAAAATCTAAAATATAAATTTCTACCAACTTTCTCAAATATTTTTCCACTGTCTGATTGATTATTTTAGGATCGATTCGGGCATATTCATCATGTGATGATGACGCTAGATATCCCATACTTCCGCCATGTTTATCATGATGATGATGATGATGTTTGCAATGACCATGTTTACCAGACAATACTATAGGACCGAGTGAACGATCCTGATGATGATTTTGACGATGATAATCGTCTGACCAATATGAGTCCACTTTTGGACGAACGTAATCATAAGATTTTTTCTTGCCTTTTAATTGACGAACAGGACCAAATGATGATTCGAAAACAGTGGACGAGGCTGGCTGATTACTATTTAGTTTATTTTCAGAATAATCCATGTTATCTAAATCGGTAGCACCATTTAGTTGATCATTGATACTAGATTGTTGTTTGATTGATTGCTGATTTTCATTTATCTCAATGGAACCTTTTGTGTAAGAATTTCGTCGTAAAAAAGCGCGATTTTTCGGTTCAGTAAGTGATTTTTTTTGCTCATTTTCTTCATTGTCATTGACAAAATTTGATGGAGCACTTGAATCAATAATTTTTGCTATCTGATCATCTAGAGTCTGAATCGATTCTTGAACTTTGAACTCTGTGGAATCTACACTTTTAATAGAATGTAAAGCATCATCAACGCTTCTATCATCACCATCATCAAAGCTTTTTACATCCGAATTATCATCAATAGTTTTCTCACGAGTAGTATCCATTGCTTCCTCTGATTGCATTCCAGTGATATCTGTTTCTATTATTTCGGATGGTGTATCGTCAATGACTTTGAATTTAATTTCTTTTTGTTTGATCTCAATCTCATTCACTTCAGGAAGATCAGGTGGTATTGAAGAATCAGTTTTCACATCATGATTTATATTCTCATCTTGTTTGATTTGATCATCCAATGTTTCAGATTCAAATTCCTCTTTATTATTTTTATCCTGATCATCAGTGACTTCAACAATTCTTGGTTCATCCTCATCTAAATTTGGAACTTTTTGTTCAATGTTTATGATCAACATTTGCAATGGTTTATCGGAATTTTGTTCATGAACATCATGGCCGGACTTTGTAGATGTAACTTCATCTTCAATTGAATCGACTGTTGATAATTTTGGTGATTGTAAACTTTCAACTGATTTTTGTGCTTTTAATTTAGGCTCATCTAATATATTTGAAATTGAACGTTTCCTTCTTTCATCATCGCTATTATCGTCAATATTCTCGTCTTCATTATCATTATTGAATGATTGAACAAAATCTCGTTGTATTAATTCATGTGGAATTTCTGGTCGACTATCTTTTGAATCAGATCGAATATTTTCATTAAAGTGATCAACAGTGTCATTTATTGCTTCTTTAGTTTTTTCCGCACTCAATTCAATCTTTGAGTCTATCCATGATTTTGAATCTTTTCGTTTTATATCTGCGGGATTAGATTCGGATGACAACAATGAAGACAAACTTTTCCTTTTCATTTCTAATTCAGCTTCATTTTCTTTTGTTTCAACCGATAAAATTTTACGATGCTGCTCTTCATTTTCGAAACCAGAATCTGGTGTTTTTTCATCCATAATATGTCCGGAAATTGTTTCAGAAAATTTTACGGATTCTTGAATTTCTTCATCTTTTTCATATTCAGATTTATTGCTTTGATTATCTTCTATTTTATCGTCTTCTTCGTCCTTATCTACATCGACATTTTCGTTTTTATCCTCGTCTTCATACAATTTTATTGATTTTTTCCTCGATTGTTTGTTGTTTTCAGATGATAATTCATCTTGAACCCTTGTATGTTGTTCTCGTACATCGCCAGACACTGATTGAAACGTATCATGGGTTTCTAATATAACGGAAATTTGACCATCACCAATGACACGAGATTTCTTCAATTTTTTTGTCCGTTTTTGGGATGATGATGATGATGAAAGTTTTTTCAATGGAGGGACTCGCTTTACATAATAAACTGGAAGTAATGCTGTTCCTGTTGCGATTGATGTACCTGAAGCGGTCGTGTTTTCATTATTTTCTAATGATGTAAGTGGTAATGTTCCAGTAGCTGCTGCTATTGGTGCTGTAGTAGTCAAATAAACATTAGTTATGATAGCTTGTTTCAAATGGGTAGGATGTTTAGTTTCTCCATCTGGTCCATTATTATTTTCCAAAACTGTATCATATTCACGAATATTTTTCATACGATCCGTGAAATGGTGGTGATGGTGATGAGCAGTAGCTGAGTGCACAACCGAATTTGGTGGCGATGAAGATGGCGGTGACGATGAGGATTCAGATTTTGATGAAACAGCTCGGGTTTGTACGCCCTGTCCATTCGTTTGATGATTATTTACGAGATTAGGCAGTTTTGTAGAGAAATTCGATTCAGATTGATCATCATCAAAACGGGCCAGTTTTGATTTAGATTTACGGTGTTGATCAGTTTCATTATCCTGAATTTTCACTTCTTGTGATCGTCTAGATTTGATTCTAGAAAAAGTTGTGTCTAAAGTAGGAGCATCATGTTGTTGTAGAGTAACATTCGTAATCGATATATTTTTATTTGATGAAGGTGATAACTGAAATGTTGTATTTTCCATTTCCATTGGAAAATTATTATCGTTTTGATCTGCAAGATGACGATCGATTTGTGATAATGGCTGTGCACCCTGTCGTCGAAGATAATCTAGTAATTCATTTAAATTCGATGCAGTCGTAGATCGTACGCTTCCATTCTGCAAAGCAGCATCCAATGGTGTAAGATATTGATTACGAACTTTCATAATAGGATTCATATGAGCACCATATGAAACTAAAAGACTACATATTTCTAAATTATGATTAAAGGCGGCTATATGTAATGGAGATCTTCCACACAGATTAACTTCATTTACAGATTCCGGTGATTGATCAAGAAACCATTTCACGAGATCTAGAAAAGAAAATAGCAAAATTAAAATATTTCAAATTTTTAGTTTTAAAAAAAAATTCATTTACCAACTCGTCCAGATTTAACTGCATCATGAAGTGGTAAATCACCGCGAACATTTTTCAACCATAAATTTGCTCCATGTTCTTGAAGTATTTTCAAAGTTTCTAATTGTCCTTTAGATGCACCACAATGTGCTGCTGTACGGCCTTTATGATCTTGATGATCTAATTGTGCACCCGATTCCAATAACAATCGAACACAATCCGGATGACCAAGTGCTACGGCATAGAATAATGGCGTACAACCACCGGAATCTAATTGATGTACATCAGCACCACACATTGTAATCAATGTATGAACACAACGATAATGTCCACGGCTTGATGCACAATGTAATGCTAACCATACACATATAATATGAAATCAATTTAATAAAAAAAATCACGAATCTACCTGAAAGTCCGTCTTTATCTTGTTGAGATATTTCGGCACCAGCTTTTACCAAAACCAACAATGCATCATGATTACCTACAGTGTGATCCGTGATGTTTCACACACAAAGCAATGATAATAATAATGATGATGATGATAGAAATAAAAATGAAAATGAAATAACCAGCAAAAAAAGAGGATTCAATCAAATCAATATAAGGATGGTATGAAAAGCTGACAAACACCAAGTCGGAATTGAACAAAAACAGAATTCATAAAGAATTGTTAGTCGTCAGGTAACTATGAATCCGAACAACTGAAATGATATTCGATTTCGATTTCATGATATGTTTCTATATGAATAAAATATGGCTCTAATGATTGTCATAATAAACTATCGAGGTCAAGGCATCGGTGGGCAATCGTTTAACCTGTTTAATATAATATATCCAAATTTAGGTAATCTCAAAATGTAGTTATGAAAAATTCATCCAGGTATATGTATGATTTTTAGAATATGATGACGGAGTTTCAAAAAATGTGGAGACATTTCTCATGTATAGAATGAAATTTTTTTTTTATTTGAAACCTTTGTTCTAACCAGAACATAGATTTAACCTTATTTTTAAATATACAACTTACTCATTTATATAAAATAAATTTGACACTAGTACAGAATGATGAAAATTTGTAAGTTATCAAAATTTTCATTAATGATCACAGTGATTTAAATTATTGCATATAGATTTTCGTGTAGATTTATCATGAGAAATCGGATGGCAAACGAACAAAAACGAATTTGTGGATCAGTTCGTTTTGAGGTTACCTTGGACTAAATAATTACTAAAACCAATAGGAAATATAACCGCCTTCATCATCATCATCATCATCATATAGAAAAATATTCTATCCAATATTCCGAAATATCAGACACAACTGGTCAGTACATTGCTAAGTTAATTGGAGCGAAACGCAGTGAAATAAAAGACAAACAAATAGAAAATGGTTAAATTATCAATCCAAGTTAATTATGCACGAAAACAATGGCTATTCTTGTCTACGCTATGGTAACATAAAAAATGTTCAGAATATTTGGCAACAACAAAGACGAAAAATCATTCAAATAAATGAGTAAAAAAATGAAGGTTAGAGCAGTAATAATATTTGGAACAATCAAGAGTAGATTGAAAAGTTTACCTGAACTAGCGGACCATATCAACGGTGTTCGTTGTTCATTATCAATACAATTGACATCAATCTGTGGCCTGGTCAGTAAATGATGTAAGATACGTAATGAATCGGCTCGACGTTGCGATGATGATTGTTGTTGGCTCGACTTTGAATTTATGTCCGGAAATAGTAGTGGAATAGGTTCAAGTTGATGAAGATTATATGTTGATGAACCAAAAAATTGTTGCTCATGCGATTGTTGTGCTTGAAGATGACGTGTTGATCCATTTTTATTCGTAATTACGTTGCTACCGGTTGTCATGTCGAGAAAATTTTGTGTAGCATAATGTAAAGGATAGGCACCATAAATATCTGGTGTTGATGGATTGGCGCCGTGTTCCATTGCCATCGTCATGGCAACCAATTGGCCACTGACCACAGCCCAATGTATAACTGTATGTAGTTCATAATCGGCAATGTTGATCTGTACGGCTGACATGGATCGAAGTAAATGTCGTACTAGTGCAATATCACCATTGATTACAGCCAAATGTAATGCAATATTGCCTTCTTGATCTTGCCATTCGACCATCGTAGGCATCATCTTTATTAATAATTTTCCAATATCAGCATTAATATTTGGCCGATTAATTGACAGCGGCCAACAATCAACACAATGATGTAATGCTGAACGACCCATACGATCACGAAGTTTGAGTAATTGTGGTTCACGCCGTAATAATTCAATAACATCTTCATAATGACCTCGACGTATCAATGCTAATAGCTGAGCAAAACTTGAATGTAAATGAAATGTATATGGGGTCATATCATGTTTCGAAAGTTTAAGTGACTTATCCATTTTGAGCTATGGGTTCCGATTCCAATTGCATAAGAGGAAATGATACGGATCAAAACGTGTCCGAAACATTCAGCTGAACCTACATGATAAAAAAAATTATGTGATAGAATTAGAATTGTCGTATATAAAAACAATGATCACGATATTTTTTTTTTTTTTTTTTTGAAAAAAAATGAAATCAGGTTGGATATCAAAATCATCCAAACAAGAATATGGGTCATCATATTGGACTGGACGCTATTATTTTTGTCCAAATTTATTCTTGTTCAACATAAAAAGCAATATCTGAATCTATAGCAACCAAAAAAAAAAAAAATTTATGCTTATCACTATAAAGGAATTATACATCATGCAATTTACTGTTTCATTTTCAAATAAAAAAAATAAAGCTGAATTAGATAAGAGTGCCATCTATTTTTGGAAAATGGTACTATTTTTGAAATTTAATCAAAAACGAGTTCGATGTGATGATATGATGAAAAGAATAATAAAAGTCTTTCAGGACATCAATTTCGGTAAACATCTGCTTAATATTAAGATTTGAAAATTAATAATTATCAAGAAAAAATTCTTAAACTCACCCGACAGAAAAAATCTAATCAGTATTGTTGATTTTGGCACAATTCTGTTGAACTATATTTTTGAGTAGAATTTGACAAAAGTTTGAAATTTTTTTCAAAGTTTTTTGTTTTTGAATAAGTTAGCCGAGAAAATGAGCAAGATTATGATACATGTCATAATTGGAGAACCGTCTGTATTCTTTAAGCCCACATTTCCGAATGACAAGAATCGTTTGCGTGCTAATCGTGACCGTTAAGGCCAAATTTAGGTCATGATAGCCTGGCCAATCATTAGTTACTTTTTAGATAGGTGAAAAAAGTGGATTTAAATAGAATATATGACTATGACACTATAGTTATGAGTGTGCTGGCGGTACTCTTTTCGATGAGAGAAAAAGGGTACACTTGTGAAAAAAAATGATGACCGAATTGATGGAAAATTCAGGTTAATCACATAATTCTGACATATACCACCTACGCCTACTATAGAATAATGTGTATAAATTTAACGGTTATGAATCTTGTACATTTAGAAACAATAGCAATATATACAAAAAAAAACTATAGAAAAAAAATTGAACACGTTCGACACAAATTCTTCTTAATGATCAATCAAAAAAAAAAAAAATCAGACAATGCTTTGAGAAATGAGAGAATTTAAAAAAAATTTTTATGTCAAAAATATTATTATTTAACAGTCGTGCAATGTGTGTCTCGCTTTTTCACTCGGAATGTGTGTTTGTTATAAATTTGACGGTAATACTCTCGACAACAACAAATTTGGAACGAATTAATCAACAGAATATAGAAGAACAGAAGTGAATATGGAACGATCACCGTTTCTAACCGTTTTGGCTATAGAATTCGAATGCATGTCGATATTGATCGATTTAAAAATGATTATTAGGGTTTAGTTATTCAAATAGGATCACCAAAATTAATAACATCATTTTGTGAATTAAATCTATCGGAAGAGTTAATTCGGAAGGAAAAAATTGAAAAAAAATAATCTTTTTTAATACTATGCCATCTGGTTTGTTATGCACAAACTAAACAATAATTTCATCACACCTTATTTTTCATTAATTATTTTACACCATTTTTGACTAATTCAATTTTATATTAAATATATGAAGATATTTTTTTCATTAGATACAGCGTTATATATTATTTTATTATAATTTTCAATATAATTATTATAATGAAAAATTCGCTGTGAATTAATCCGTAATTAATTAATTATTATCAAAATAATTTTAAAATCAAACATTTTTAAAATCAAATACGTCCTTTATGAATAACGCTAAAGTATCGAGCCAAACAAAGAGAAAAAGCGAGGATCCAATTTTTGCTATTATATTGTGGTAGCTGCATACAAATCTTGCATGTGCATATATATAATCTGTGTGTGAACAATAGAATTCATACACGGATCGTTGTACGATTGTCGTATATACTCACAGATATAATATACTTGTTTTGTTACTTTCAGTTAAACACATAACCACGCATAACCATCATCATCATCATCATTATTGTTGTAATTGTGATTTTCAATGTTGATTTGCGTCCGCTTCGCTTTGGCTTTAGCTTGATTTGTGTTTCATGGTTTCAAATGTGTGTGTGTGTGAGTGAAATGTTTGTGTCTGTGTTTATTTGTTGTCTATCCCCTATCTGCTCATATTGACTCACGTTTGCTCTTTCTCTCTGTAGCTTGGTTCTTATCGCGAAAATAGGGGATAAAATGGTGTTGTTGATGATAGTGGCCGTTTCGTGAAAACCGCAGTAGCAACTACAATAACAATAAGCCAGCGACCGCCACCAGAAAATCATAAAAGAAAAACGACGAAACCTGTGGTGTGTGTTATGAACTGCTTCTCTCGATTCGTTTGGTTTCTCTCTTTCCTTCGAAATGTGTGTAAAAAGTGTGTATGAGTTGTGTTTTAATACCGAATATATATGATGTAACCTTTGCCCTCGCTGTTGTACAAATATTTTGCGTTTCTTGTCACACACATGAACTGCGTCCATAATCCATGCGTTTGGTGTTGTATGTTTCGATCGCATCGATTCGGACTTTTTTTGATATCAACATCTGGAAATCGCGTGTGTGTTTGTGAAAGATTGGAATCATCACACATTTATTTAAATCTTTTTATCAATCAACGATATATATATTATAATTATTGCCAATTTTTGGCGCGCTTGGTTCTTTGACATCAGCGATTACACAAAACTAAACCTGGTGAAACCTAATTGAAGACAAAGGCAACAAAGTATATATGCATTGTTCACATGTGTGTATATATCTTTCTTATATATATTGACAATAATGACGAATCCCGCCCTCATGTGAATGAAGATTTTTGATTATTGTGGCGGTGGTGGTGGTGGCCGTTGTTGATAATAATAATAACAAAATAATGATATAAAAATAATAATAAACATTCTTCCTTGATTTTGATGCTACTGGTGGTTGTTGGTGACACTCATCATCATCATCTTCATCATCGAACTATACTCAAAGAAAGAACTTCCAAAAAGTATTAATTCATTAGTATTTGTCGTCATTTATGCCGTCGTCTACCTCTGCTGCTGAAAAAAAAGAACAGAAAGCCAAAATATTTGTGTCGAAATTGAAAATCTGAATATCCATATTTTTTTGTAATCTCATTTTTAATAATATCATAGCATAAAATTGCATACAAACATATTAGCCGGTTCACCATTTTGACAGAAGACTTGGTGTGATAGATCCCAATCAATCAAAAACGTTTGAATGATGCGTTTCTACAGTGTGTATATAAAATATATAAGCCTTTTGTTTTGAATTGAATGGTCTTCCTTCCTTTCATTAATGCTAATTATAATTCACCAAAATTATCAAGGTATTTTAAAATATAATTTATACATTTTGTTATATATAAATTGTTTAATTTTAGGATATTTCATTTTAAATCGACAATGAAAATGACCGAACGATTTGGATCATCATCTACCGATAGTGGGAGCACTAATAATAATAATAATAATAATAATTCGAATGTTAATAATTCTTCCGCTGATTGTACCGTAAAGCATAAAAAACATAAAAATTCATCAAAATCTTCATCCATTACATCCATGATTGTTGATAATAATAATTCTGTATTTATTGACAATTCTTTGAATATGGAATCATCAGCAACTGCAAATGGTCAATTACCGATGGAAATAGCATCATCATCATCGTTATCAACTAAGCCGTTGAAAATTGTGTTAAAAGTTGGCCACTCTGGTTCATATTCACCTGCATCATCAAATGCAACGACATCTTTTCTTAATAATAATATCAATAAAAATAATGCTGATGATGATCATGATGCAAGAATATCTTCCGGTGACAGTTCTTCATTAACATTGACTCCACCAGAACTGTTACCATTGAATAGTGATGCATTTCATCATAATGTTGATTTCCAACAGATTGATAGAATTAATAGTAATAATCGAAAAGCAAAAAAGAAAAAAAAGAAACATCATCATCACCATCACCATCATCACCACCATCAGAATTTATCATTATCCACATCAAATCATGTTATTAATGATCATCCATCGCAAACAAATTCAATTGACCAAAGTAAAGAATTCAGCACCACTTCTAAAATGAATGATATTGTCACTGTAAAAAATGTAAATAATAAAACAATGCACATCACCGATTCATCGGCAACACAATCTTCATTATTATCTAATAGCATTATCAAGAATTCTCTCAATATTATTGATCAAACTAATAATGACAGTAATTGCATGGAAATCGATGGACATTCCATATCGATCAAGGGAGATCCATATCCAGAGCAAATCAACAAAACTCTATCCTCTTCTATTCGACAACAGGATTCAGTTGAAATGATCGATGATGTTGATGATGAAGATGTTGATGTCATAATGTCAATGAATCAAGATTCTATATTTTCATCGGTTGATTTGATTGATGTAGATTCATGTTCAAAATTAGATATTTCTGCTCTTGTGCCGGATGGCGATGAAATGATTGGCGAACTTAATAATGGTCAAACGATAAGTGGTCAAGAAGAAGACTCTCGACAATCACTGAATTCTTCATTATCTTTGTCTGTTGATGTAAAATCACTCGAAAATAAAGATGTGCATAGGTCACATACAAAGTTAAAACCAACATTTTCGGTTTATCGGCAATTATTACAAAAAGGTCATGTTCGTTGTGATTCCAATAATCTGTATGAGCATCTAAGAAGGTGTGAAAAAATGAAAACTTCACTATCTAAATTTCGAAAATCAGCAACCTCTTCGAATCAAATTGTATTTCAAAATTTTCTTTTATCGCTATTAAAACGTCTAGAAATGAAAGATCCACAAAAATTATTTGCTTGGCCTGTAATCGATTCATTAACGCCTGGATATTCACAAGTGGTAAAACATCCTATGGATTTCAACACGATTCGCAAAAAGATTGAGCACAATATTTATCAGTCGGTAGCCGAATTAAAATATGATGTGAGATTATTATGCGAAAATGCCATTCGTTATTACCGTCATTCAGGAATGCATTACTGTGAAGCATCTCGTTTATGGTATTTCGCCAAAACTCGAATATTTGCACGTGATCAATTAGCTGAACATTTAAAACAATTTCCTCCATTGACCATTTCAGATTTAGGCATGGATAATGCTAAATTTTCAAATATAATGAATGGAACAAGTATACCTGCAACATCAAACACTCCCATCATGACGAATGGTGTTTTATCGACGCCAGTAAAATCTTCAAAAACTTTATCTTTACAATCATTATTAAATGATGCAAAATGTGAACCTTCAATTGTTAACTACAGAAATGGATTCGATTATTGTTTTGATGAAAAACTTGTTGAAGAGCCAACGCCCCAACAAATTTTAGAGCAACACCAACATAGACTTCAGCAGTTGCAAACCTCATCTTCTTCGACCACAACAGTGGAAATTCCAGCATTGACCCTTTCTCGCCCACAAAATACTAATAACATTTCTATCTGTCGTCAAACAGAAGATGGTACGACGACGTTACCTTTCATAGTTAATGATTATGGTTGCGATGATCTTGATAATCAAATAACCTTAGGCCATTTAGCTGGTGCTCGCCTAAATGAAGGGACGACATCTTTGCCTAGTTATCAAGAGCCTGAAACGGAACGTATTCATCCATATGACTATTTAGAAGAATCCTTAAAAAATCCATTCGGTAGTCATCTTCCTTATATGAATTCTGGTCCATCCACGATAACTCATAATGATACATTATTATTATTTAATACATTTGAAAAATTCGAACCAACTAGGCATTGTGAAGAGATAGAACGCGTTGCTAATGATGGTTCATATTTAACGAAATCTTATGTTGATTCATTATTATCTATTGTTTCGAATGGCGAGTATCGACCATCTAGCACAACACCATCAGCCACAGAAACGAATGCTGATGCTTCAAATAGCGAAAAATTCGATATTGATAATAATGATAAGAATTTATCCGAAAAACAGAATCTTAAAGAAACCACTGAAGAAGATAAGATACAACAACGATTAAAAGAAACGAAAAATCTTTTACAGAATTTAGAAGAAATACAACATAAACGTTTAAGACATACGACTGAACCATTAGAACCCTCATCCATTGAAATGGATGTTGCCGAAAAAGTTACAATCGGTTTAGTCGATATCATTAAACGATGGTTTCATCCACAGGATATTGTTGATTCGAGGACCATTCATCAAAATTTAGGAATCGAATTCAATTATGCTGATACTGATGTTCGAACGGATCAACAATCAACGGACTGATCAATTTAGGCAATTATAAATGAAATCATTATCTCAAAATCATATCAAAATTTTGTTCAATCCATCCTGTTCATTCGATTGATCCATCTTTTGTATAAATGGCCATCCTTTTACCTGTTTATTAATCATACTATCATTCAAGTAAAAATTTTCATCACCATCCTCATTACGACCAAATACAATCAATGATGTATTTTTTTCCCACCCTCACAAAGTTTCCGAGTTTCAAACTAATTAATTTTTAATGAATGCATACCCACTTTTTATTTTTTATTTTTTTGTCATAATCATCCACATTTTCCCGCCGTCGTTTTTTCAAAAAATTTTCTATTCATACACACATATTTTGACATTTTTCATTATTATCATCATTATTTGAATTTGAATTATTATTATTGAATTTGATGAATCTGATAAAAAAAAATTATCTCTACAGATGGAATTGGATAACAAACGAATATTAATTTTTACAAATTAAATTAAAAATAATAATAAAGCATGTATTTTTAAAAATCATTTGTGTGTGTATTCAATTGGGCAATGATTTGTTCAAGTGTCAATGATCTATAACTATTATTATTAAGTAGTAATGATTGAGGTATTCTTAATGTAATTTTTTCGGCTAATAAATTTTGCTGTTCTGATTGGTCACAAAATTTGTCCATCTTATTTTGTGATGATTCTTGTTCGGCGATTAATTCTCTGTATTCAATATCCTCCCCGTTGTTATCGAAATAATCATTCAATGAATCATTGAAAGATGGTTTCGTGATCGTATGGTTTGCAATTTCTAATTGTGAAAATCGTTTTAATGCTCGACGTTGGATTTCAGGTAATGGTGTTGATTGTACAGGTGGTTTATTTCTTGTAATTTTTAAATGCTTTTCTGATAGTTGCTTAGAAAAATTGCAGCTTGTATCTGATATAATTGTTGTTTCATTTGGACAAGGATTTTTATCTTCCAAAATTGATAAATTATCATCTATTCTTTCATTTTCATTAGTAGAATTAATAACATTGTTACTTGAACAATTGACGAAATTTTGATCACGATCAAAACTAGAATTCTGAAAAGAATCATCCGCTGATGGCAGACAATTTTGCAGATCATTGTTGAAAGCATCGGCCCATTTTTTGAAATTGATATTTGGCGATGAAGAGACATTTGTTTGTTGTGTTTGTTTGTTTTTTAAAGCTTTTATCAAAGGTTGGACAACAATCGTATCTTGTTCTTCATCTACATCCTCATCATCATCATCATCATCATCGATACCATTTATAAATGCATTTTTGATTCTCTCATTTAAAATATCGTTCAAAGGACTAAATGGTTTTATAGTAGAAATGCTTTCAATTTTATATCGACTAATAATCGGACATATTGAATGTCCTTTTGATAGTTCGAATTGTGTTGTTGTGGTTGAATCGGATGTTTCATCACTTTTTTCAGAATGATTTGATTTCTCTTTATCTTTCTCATCAACATTTGATGGACGAATGACATGATCATCGGTTGTCAAAATTGAATTTAATTGAATTGAAACAATTTTTTCATGATTGTGTTCGGTTTCTTCAGAGACTTTGGAATTTCGAATAGTTTGTGTTTTGGGTATAATTTTATTATTTGAAGTTGAAACGGTTTTGTTAGAATTATTCACAGAATGATTGCATTTTTGGTTAGATTTTATCCTTTTTGAAACACGATCCATTCCGAATATTGATAAAACAATGAATCGATGAAATGAAATTTTTTGTTACAAACATTCGATATAATGGCTTTAAATAAATTAAAATGATGATGAAATTGATTCAATATACATGACAAAAACTGCGATATGATGCAAAACAAATGAATGAACGAATAATCGATAGTCACAGAATACTCATACAATACTGCATTCAAATGTGTCGACACCTAGCGAAAATAAATTTAATTTATTTTTAAATTTGATAATCATTATATCAAATTAAAATTTAAAATAATTATTATATTAAATTATATTATTATTATTAGAATAATCACATCGTACAATCAATCAACAATGCCGTTTGAAAATAAATATAATCTCTACTTGTCGGTACCAATGAAATCACAACCAACAACCTCACTACTATCACTACTAATCAAAGCAATATCTGAACGATTTTACAAAATAATCAACTATTGAATCATAAAATTTTTGAATTTTTTTAAAATTTTGAATTTGTTGAAATCTCTCTCTCTCTCTCTTATAATCTCTGCAAAAATGTCTGGCCGTTTAATGTTCGTTGTTATCATGATGTTGGCTCTCGTAATGGCTTTGTTTTCAATCTATGTAAACGCAATTAATGATGAACCAGATTTCCGTGATTCAATCCGACACATTCCTGGCAAATTGTTGGGCAACATGACCAAAGAAGAAATGCAACAATTCCGTTCAACCGGAATACTTCCAGATCGCATCAATGAAATGATTAGTAATTTTACTGTAAATGCTGTTCGAAACTAAGAACCATCACTGTATTGTCGTTTTTTTTATATCAAGCCAGTTTGAACATTTTTAAAATCTTTTTTTATTATTAATTTCATTATGTGTGAAAAAAATTTATGCTAATAAAAATTCTTTAAATTTCTTTAATCAAAAATCATTGCAAAAATTAAGTTAATTTGAAAAAACAACATACAGTTACCAGTTCTCAATAATGTTGCCATGGGTAAATAAAAAAAAAATACCAGTAACCAATTTGGCGTACCAATGACGGAACAAACAGGTATATAGAATGAATCCAGACCTCGAACAAAATGACAACAAATTCTGACTAGAACTATTCTGAATCCCACCCCAAATTATTGATGAGAGAGTGACTGAGGTGTTGTCAGTGTTTTTAATGCGTCCAACAACAAATCCATCTGTTTGGTAAAATTTTTATAATCTTCAAAACAAATCTATTGTCAATGTTTTTGTAATGAACTTCTTTTTTGGAAAAAAATAACAAAATGGTGTCATCGTAAATAAATATTAACCGGATTACATAACTCATCGTTACTCACTTCATAAGTTTAGAGTATAAAATCATCCGTCGCACTTGTTTTACCGTGTGTCAAATACCTTTGATAAGGATAAGTGAAAGGAGTTTAGACCTGTTTGCTACCAAATTGAAAATAACCACGATTGAAATAGAAAAAAAGGGTGATGAGAACTGGCAAGGTAAGAGAAGAAGTAACTCTAATTTTCATTTTTATTTCTCAATCATCGAGTGCGCCAATCATCCAAGGCCAAATCTCATTCATTTGATAATATATCATCGAGAAAATGACCATCATCATTGTTGTAAATCCATTATGTATTTGTATGTGTAGTTTGAGAGAAAGAGAATGCCTATTTGTGTCTGCATACCATTCAATGTGACGATAACGACCACACCATTATGATGATTATTACACATCCATTATTGCCACAATGATGATATTCAAAGGCGCCACTACTATTTTCGAACGAATCGACTTCAAAAAATGTAGATCCATGCCATGCAGATTTTTGCCTGTACGATTTTTTTGTTTTTTGATTCAAATTGATAACGTTTTTTGGTTATCGTTTGATATTATGTGTGAATTTATTTCAACTAGTTGTCATTTTGGAATAAAGAATAGTATTTGTGTGTGTAGGAGGGCGACAATATCTTTTCTTTAAATTTTATCAAATCTTCTCTTTACGTTCATTTTTGAATCGATAGATTTACAATGACAACAATGACGTGCAACAATCATTTCATTCACCAATCTCAGCAGCAGCTCTACGGACTACAGATTTCCAAAATTTGACACCTTGTGAAAAAAGGGAAGATCAAGGACAAATACAATACGATTTGCCATACGTTCAAATGTCTTCTTCAACAATTTTTATAGAGTTATCATAATTTTTGTTAAATAAATGGCGCCCAAAATAAAACTGCAATATTGTGACCCAGAAAATTATCTTCCATCTATTCTTCAGTTCTAATAGTATTTTCAAATACATCATGGATCATATCGATCAATCTGATGTTGGGTGTCAACACAAAGATTATCAATAGATTGTTCTGTATATACAACGACCACAACAATCCGATTGACCTTTTTCCTCATGTTTATTTATTGATTGATTCATTCAAATTTTAAATGTATTCATCTTATGCCAATGATTCGTCTTCTATGTATTTGTGTTAAAATAATTCTCATCAATCAATGATCGAAGAGTAGAAGAAAAAGATTCGATGACTGGGAAATGAATTGGAAAATTTAATCCTACTTTCGGTTGTTTGTCCCCGAATGAATGAATGAATTCATACACAACGACTACATACATATTTGAATGCTAAAAATTGGCCATTATGATGAATAAGGTCCATGAACTTTTGACAATTTCATCATTATATTATCAACATAATCATCATTGTCGTCTTTGTCGATGATGATCATCGGGAGTTATCATTTATGAAATATATTTTTTTTCTCTCTTTTTCCAACAAAAGAAAAATCTTCATTTGTTGTTCATAATTGTTTCATTTGCAACCATCATCACTAATGTAACATTATCCATAATCGACAACCACAAAGATTTCTATTTTTACCATCATCATCATCATTCTAATCATCACTGTTACCGCCGTGGCCACCACCACTATTATAACATCATCATCATTTTTACCCAGGTAATATATTTCTCATTTCCATTTCAATGAACCTCCTGTGTATATATATACTGTTTATTATACAGTTCATATTGTCAACCAACCAACCAACCACATAAACAATTTAATGCAATCCAATTCATTGAAAACCATTGCGAATCATATATCCTTTTGTTCTCATATGTTCTCATAGTTCTTTTTCTCTTTTTTTTCCAAACAAATATTTCGTTTTCTTTAAATGAATACGATGACAGCAACAAAAAACAACCAGAACGCATCGAAGAGTTGACGTCCTCGATATATAATATATCATACGTAAAAAAAGAACATTTATACGTTATGGTCGAATAGAGAACGTATATAAAAATCATAACGATAATGACTAAAACAAGGTATCCTGAAAAAAATATGAGTATTTTTTTCTGTTGTATAACTTAACGCTTTGAAATGCGTTTATAAGACCACTGGTTTTGGTCGGATGAATTTCAAAAAAAAATTGTATGTTTGTTTGTTTGTTTTCATTCACACAAAAAAAACACATCACCATTGATGAAAATATTTCACTTTATTCAAAAAAAAAAAATTCAAATCACCTATTTTCCTGTATGTATGGATAACCATTGTGTTCATATATTATCCATCCTGTTCATTGTGAATTTACACATCAACTAAAATCGATCATCGATGTGATGACTTGTGATGTTCTATTCTCATTCTATAAATTCATTCAAATTGCATAAATAAAATTTTAATCCAATCAATGAAAAAAAAAATGGAGGACGATGATTATTACGTTGATCGTTATGATTGTCCACAATCTACAACAACATCATCATCATCACCAACAATAATCAACAATAATGTTTTGGATTTAATCACAAATACCTCACCACCATCATCGTTGGATGTAATCAGTACAACACCAAAAATTGATGATGAACCATATGAATATGATGATTATTTAGATCAACTTTATGCAACAACACCTTCGAATGGTGATGATGGCCATTCAGAAATAGTGGATACTACCACCACAATTAATGATACATTATTATATGAAGAATATCTACTTGATATTTGGAAACAATTAGATGTTGGCCGTGATGGATATCTAACCGTTCATGAACTGTATCGTGTTTGTGAACATATTGGTATGAACATTCAGAATGATACAATTATTGAACAATTGTTTGATAAATTAGATTCTGATCAAGATGGTCGTGTTTCATTAGCTGAATTTATTGATGGACTTTTTCAATATATTCATCAAAGTGATCAACAACAACATACTTCACCTTTGAATATAACTGAGTCTTCACATCATCATCATCATCATCATAATTATAATCATAATGATTATCAATCAACAATTTTATCATCGATTACGAATGAAATATCATCATCTCCATCAGATGATAATGATTATGAGATTAAAAAAATTGTACCATCATCATCAATCGTTTCACATCATTATCATCATAATCAACGAAATATGCAACCATCACCTCCACCACCGTCATCATCATCAACATTTATATTTAATCTTTTATCGACATATTCAAATTTCTTAACAATCAAATACGACAAAGATGGGTAAGTTTTTGTTATTGAAAATTTATTTATTTTTTTTCATATATGAATCAATAAATCAATTTTAGGGTGACTAAAAGAAGAGTTTGAATTGAAAATGAAATTTATTATTTTTATCAATGAGAATGTAATTTATAACAAAAAAAGATGTCCGTGTATCTCACTGGAGTGTCATTTGTCATTTTTTTCCATATCAACTTTGATTGTATGCATATCAACAACATCTAGCTGCTTTATTGACAATCAATGGACGTCCATTTGGATGTACGAACCAATAATAGAATTGCATGACTAGAATGCTTGCAATGAATAATATTGGTACGGCAATAAACAACAATGAACGTAATGACCAAAAATAATCGGTTTCTATACGCAAAAACCAAAGTGCAGCAAATGTAAAATCTTCGACCATAATTACAGTATAAAATGCAAAATATTTATAACGAGTTGGTTCGTCTTTTAGATTGATGAATATGAATAAATAAATTAACCCGATAAGCATGTTGAACATGTATTCTTGACAAGGATTTGGTCGGCCAAGTTCTGAATCAAAGAAATGTGTTCCCTGATGCATTATCCATATGGTCATTATGCCCCAATGACCGATTCCAATCGGTAATAACCAATAACCGAATTGATGTAGGAACAATGAAATGGCCAGTAATCTGGATGCCAATGTTAATCCATGCCAAAATGATTGTATAATTGTACCAAAGGCTGATAGATTACGTTTATCATATGAAGCTCGACGTAAGGCTCGATGATAGGAACTGATTGACCAAGAGGTTTCAAACAGTGCCAAAAAGATCACGGTCATCTGAACATATTCTATAAAGGTTGGATAGAAAAATATTATAAAGAATTAATAAAGAATATTCTCTTATTCTTACCTGTATAATTGTGATTGTAATTATTGAGATGATGATGATGCTCAAAATACCAATGTGAAATAAGTGAATGTAGATGCAATGTCATTTGTATTGTACATTGCATTAAACATTGAAACAAACTTAGCAATGAAGTGTCACGATCTTCGGCCACCGTTAATAGATAATAATCGATACGATTAAATGAAGATTTCTCATGACTAGCCGACTTTCGCTGTTTAAATGATATAATTACAAATGTATTTTAGTATCTCTCTGTGTGGATGATCACTACTCACTGCTGGTTCAAAATCGGGTAAACCACCTGGACCAATGGATGATTGAAAACGAGGTCTAGGCAATGTGGTTGATAATGATGGCAATGCCGTAGATGATGATGTTGACCATCCACCATCTTTTTGACCATTCTGTTGTTGATAATCAACACGACGACGTTTATCCGACCAACTTTTAACACCATATCGTAATAGTTCGATATATCTAAAAGAAATGAAAAAAAAACAAAATTTTTAATAAATTTGAAAAAACTTCGGCAGATGGCGTTAAGGGTTGATGTTTTTCGATTGAAAATTTGTTCAAAGAATTTTGTAATCATTAATTATCAATTATCATCATCATAAATCTATTCAAATCATTTTTGAATAAATTTGAAATTCAATAAACTCCATTATATAAACTCCTAGTTGAATTAGTGATATATGGAGAGAAATAATTTTACCATTATTAACAAGAGAGAGGTAGTTAAAATTTCCAAAAACCTGTCAACTCGTATCGTTGATTTTCTTTTTTTTTTTAATTTTTATCGGAAATTCTCAAAAGTGAAACAATTTAATTTTTTTCTTTTTCGTTTTGTTTTACACTACTGTATACAAGAAAAAAAAGATATGCTGTCGTTATTCATGTTATAAAAATGTGAAAAACGTTTCGATATTTTCATTGTCTGTTATCTGGCTATATTCATGGCACTACTTAAGATTTCCATTCTATATATTTACATGTTCATTTTTGTGTGTGTATGTGTGTGTGTTTCTGTGCATTTTTAAATTAATTAGTTAGTTAATTAATTATTTAAATGATAGGAACTGACATTGAACAACGAGAAAAAAAAGAATCGTGTGTGTGTGTGTTTAAAAATGAATGAGTTTGTTAATTACATTTGAATGAATGGAAATGGTCCATACAACATTGATGTTGAAAAAAATTTTCTGAATTTTTTTTTCTCTCACCCTCTCTAGAGATATCTATGTCTTTGTTATATTTTCGAAGCTATATTTTGATCGTGTGAATCGATAAGATTGGAGAATAACGAAAAAAAAAGTTTTCATTCATTATCAGTTTTTTTTTAGTTTGTCGTTTGTATGTAACAACAACAATTCATTACATCAGTTTTTTTTTGTTTTCTGTTGTCGTTGCTATCTATTATGTTGTCCTTATCCTTTTGGTTTTAATTAATAAATAATTCAAAAATATCGTTTTTTTTCTCTCGATAACATCTTGTCATCGCCATCTTGTTGTATTTTAATCAAAGAATTTGATAACATTGTTGTTGTGCTATATATATAAAAAAATCAGGTTACAGAATACATCATGGATACATCATTCATATATATATATACATGGTATTCGATCCGATAATTGTCTTTGGCTAAAAAAAAAATTTCGTTTTCTTTGATCAATTTTGAGTAGGAAACAGAAAAAAAAATCTTTCCAAAAATTTTCCCATTCGAATCGATTCAAACACTGATTTTTATTCTACAAAATTTAATGATGTCTTTTTTTTGTACTTATTGGTTTGGTTTGATTGGGGTTGTGGTTTATTTTCATTCCATTCATTCGTTTACCAAATTTTCTAAATGGTGATAACGATCCATTTAAAGCCATAAAAATAATTCTTAATTGACATTTTCAAATGTTTTTTTTTTCTTGCCCAGAGAAAATCATCTGTGTGTTATTTATTTATTTTTGTTTCTGAACATCAATTTTCTAAAACATCAACAAACAATAAATGATCCATTATTATATCTTTAATAATAATGATAATAATAACAATAATGATAATGATGACAAACTATGATGAAGATGATGATGATGATGATCGAATAATCCAATTTTCATGGCAATGTGGATAATTGCCTTTTTGCTTTGGCACAACAAAAAAAAAAGATTAAATGAAAATTTATATCCATGTGTAATTTTATAGAAAAAAACAACCACAAATTTTATTACAATTTGATTTTTAAACAAAGTGAAGAAAATGTGAAAAAAAACACATGATAAAATAGATTATTATTATTATCAAATTTTCAACATCGCGTATCGGCTATTTTGATCAATGTTCGATTATTGTACCACTCTCTTTATACCGCTTATTACATCTATATCGATTATACAAACAAAATTCCTATAGTTTTTTTTGTCTATCTGTTATCTCTTATCAGATCATCTAACCTGTACCTTATCGTTATAAACTGTAAAAATTTAAATCGCTTGGACGAACACAATATAAATAACATATCATGGATCACTATTCATTAGGTGTCGGAAACTAACGGTAAGTGGCTGCGACCAAAAAGAGGGGCAACATCACCGGGTTTTCGACACCGTTTTTTCCACAATTTTTTTTCAGTTTTACTACACAATGTGTTTGCATTTCTTCTTGGTTAGAAAAGATTTTCAGACTGAATTATATCAGGGAAAATGGCTTTCATTTCATTCTTTTCGTCATTTCTATTATTATGAAACAGGAAATTTTCAACAGCCGTGCGGAAATGAGATACATTTGTGTGATATACGTTATTTTATTTCCAAATTCGAAATTGTCAAGTGAAAAAAAATCCGATATTTTAATCTTGTTCAATTCTAAAGACTTGTTTCCGGTAGTCTTGGGATCTGATATCGATGTTAATTTTCATTTCACTTTATTTTTTTTCTCTTCTCAATATTAGAATGGAAAATTTTGCCAATCACAATAGTCGATTGTTCAAAGTGAAGATTGAATATATATATATAAAGAGAGAGAGAGAGAAAGTTTTCATTCGAAATTACTTCAAATGAACTTGATCTATTCGATCGATTGGTACGAATATTCCCCATTACAATATACATATTAAACGACATCGGCATAGCTAGCGGAAGACCAAAAATCGTATTTCAAAGAAGAAATTTATAAGAATAAAGACCAATGTCATCCGTTAAATATAAAGAAGAAAGGAACATAAACGAAAAAAAAAATTTTCCAGAACGGAATTCTTGCCAAATTCAAATTAATCAACTTGCTAATTCTATTCTATAGAGTTCAAAAATTCGTTAGAATCTCATTCATTCTGCATTTTTCATTTAGCACAACATTTTCTTTGTGAACATTTCATTTGTGATTTGATTGTTTTCCGTTTTTCGTTTTTGTGAATACAATCAATTCAACACTGTACACATTGAGTTCATTTATATTCCTAATACGAATAATGTGTCTCGTATAGGACTTTTGAATTGTAAATTCTCTATAATAGATAGATAGATAGATAGATAGATAGAAAAATGTAGATAAATTGCAATTCAATATTATTTTCCAATGGAATCGAATATATTCTTTTTCCTTGAATCACTTGAAAACGACAATAGCATCAACGATAACAACAAAATATTGATTTTGTTTGGATTGAACAAGAATTTGTAGGCTTTTTATTTTATTCTGATGCTTTTTTTGCTTGGTGAATGTAACACAATCGATTATTTAAATTGACTATACACACAGACACGATTATCGGTATCAATGGACAACAACATTTATGAACATGCCAAACATCACCATTCATGTTTCCAGTATCACCAAGGACAAGAATTTGAAATTCTTTTGCGAATCAAAAAAAAAAAAAAAAATTTTTTTCTCCACACAAACGAACACAAAATATACTATAACTAAACATTATCGAGATGTGTTGGATGAAAATAGAATGAAATGTTTTATTTCGCAAGCTTATATTTCGTGTTTTGTTTTAAGTTTTCGGATGAAGAAAAAAAAATAGTCACCAACACAAACGTTATGAAATCAAAAAAAAAATAAGAAAAATAAATGAATGAATGATGAAAGTTAAAGTAAATTCAGTAAAAGATAATTTAATCTCATTTTGAGCAGAAAAAAAAAATGTTTCAATACAATTTTAAGTTATTTTTTTTTGATGAATTCTTTCTCCATTCCATTCCATTCATTGTTTACTTGTTTTATTAAAGAATCGGATGATAAAATGTCTTTATATACAATAATAAATAAACTGGCTATTTTTTTAGATGAAACTTATAAGTGAATGAAATGAAAGATTCGGTCCAAAAAAAAGGGAAAGGGAAAGTGGTCACGTTTTTCGTTTAGATTTCTTTGATTTTCATTCTTATTTCGTTCTTTCTATTTTTTTGGATTATTCATCTATTTATTACAATTCTTAGTATGCTAGAATTTTTTAAAGAAAAAAAACCAAAAAAAATAAGACAGTCAAGAAAAAGAAATGAATTTATGATGTGTACGCGTTTGATAATGTAATGTTTGTAATCTTTGATATGAAATCGCATTTTCATATACAAAATTTTTTTTTCCACAAAGTTCTTGATTCAATAATGTATATATAGGGATTTTTTTTTTTTTGAAATGAGATGTTATCGACGATAGACTACCACTATTGAAATGTTCATTTTGTTCAATATGCATGTTTGTGTGTGTGTGTGTCATTTTGTGAGAGGAACAAAGAGAAAGAAAGAAAGAATGACCATCAAGATTCATGTTTCAAGAATAACAACAATAATCAAAATATAGACATGAAATGAAATGACCATTGGTTAACCATTGTGTATGTGTGTGTGTGTGTGTGTGTGTTTGTATGGAATCATGTCTTTCAATCTGTCAATTTTCATCAAACAACATCCACATGTTGGTCAGTTTGTTTGGCATTTTTTTACTATATGAACTGTAGAATGAAGAATAAAAAAAAAAAAAAAAAAAAACTTAACAAATGATTCATTATTTCAATAGCAATATAGTGACGACAAATTTTGATTGACATTAAACAACAAAATTTTTTTTTCTAGTGGAAGTGGGCGAAATATATTTCCAATGAAATCAACGACCTTTTTTTGCGATGAATATCCAGCAAATGTCATCGAGTTGAATAATTTTCCTGTCATTCATGATTCCACTGTGTTCATTCATTCAGAATAAATTTCTTTCTTTTTTTTTATCCAATCTATAATACATTTATGTCTATTTTTTTCCACAAATTTTTTTCTTTCTAAATCAGATTTTCACAATTTCTGAATAATAATAATAATTTTTTTTTCTTCTTGTCATTAAATTGACTGCGAAAAGAAGAAAATGTTAATTGATTCACAAAGTTGCTTAGAATCGAAAATAGAAAGTTTTTTTTTTGATTGATTGCATATCAATTGGCTTGTTGCACCACTAATATGATATAACATTAATATAGTATTAATAACCCATCCAAGCATTAATCCATGATTCGATTCTTTTTTTTTTTGACTATAATTTTTTGTATTTCGATTATGTTATTATTACGAGATGATGATGATGATGATGAAGCCATCTAGAATTGTATATATATATACAACAAACACAAGAGAGCTCATCATCATCATCATCATCATCATTCGTTCAGTTTGTTCATTCGTTTTTAATGCAATTCAATACAATCGCTAGAATCGATCTTTGAAACTCTATACATTCAGTGTTTTTATGAATCAGAATCAAAAAAAAAAACATTGAATCAAGTATGAAAGATGATTGAACGAGAGACTTAATGGAACCGCATTAACGAGAAAAAAAAATAGTAACCAAATAATATTATTAGATCTGGATTTGTCACATTATTTTATATTTCTTCTTTCAACCCCTACTCACAATTTTTTCCCTTTCATTTTTTTTCGAATGTTATTTTGCTGCATTTATCCATCAAATAGTCTTTTCAACCAATAACAATGTTCAATTGTCTATGGCTATGGCTGTGCCTTACCCCTGACAACGACAACATCATCATTGTTGAATCATTTGCTTAAACAACAACCAAGAATTGAATTGAATGTAAAAAAAAATCTTTACTCATATTCTTTGTCGTTTTAGTGGTTAGTTGGTCGGTCGGTCGGTTTGATTCCTATTTGTGTTCGTCAGCTGAATTTTAATTTAACATTTGTTTTATATAGTGGAAAAAATACGAATTGAATGAATGAATGAAAATAAAAAAAGGGAAACAAAATCATTCGATTTGTTTCCTTTCATCAGTTGAGGATTCGTTTGATTTTTTGCCTCACTCGTTTCTATGATGAAATATAATAGTAAATTCGAATAATCAAAATCTTAAATTTGGTTTGGAAATTTTTTTTTTCGGAAATCTGGTTATCACGTGGAATGAAAAATCGAAAATCAAATGTATTTCTTTTTTTTCCAAAACCAAGATGAATTAGATCATCATCAGAAACTATTCAGCTCTATAGAGAAAGAGAGTAAAAATCACAAATTTGTAATTCAAATGTTTTCCATTCATTCACTATAATTATTAATATTTAGCCTACGTTTATTCTGAATCAATTCAATAGCGATTTATTCTATACGCAAATTTATAGTCACATTGTCATCCTTGTCTATTTTTTGTAATCAGAGAAAAAACAAGATGAACATTCAACTTGTTCGATTATGTTCCATTATTGTATAGTATCTTTGATTAAATCATTTTGTCTTATGGAAAAAGTAAAATGAATGAATGAATGAATATGACAATATCCCTAGAGAGGTAGTAGGGAATTTTTGTAATAATTGCAACCTTACCTTAGTACTGGTCCCAATAAAATAATGTGTAATAATATTCGAAACATCCAACCACATGGTCCAATTTCTGGCCTTCGTAATAGAAATGGTTCAGCCGTTGTTCCATTCGAATTATTATTATTATTATTATTCTGTTGTTGATGATATTTTTCATGTTGTTGTCGATGATTGTCATTCAATAACCTAGAATAAATAAGAAAAAACATAAATGATAAAATAATAAATAAATATTGTTATTATTATTAAGAAATTCGTATCAAAAAACAAATTCACGTTTACATGGCAAGTAAGCGTATACATTTCTTGTCTGTTCAAAGAAAAAATTTGAATGTTACGGATGTGTTATATTATATATTCAAGACACACACATAGACATTTTAGATATCGATTGGGCAAAATTTTTTTTTTTTTATGACTATTTTTATTATGATAACATGACTCTATATTCTGTTATTTGTTACGGAAGAAATTTTTTTTTTCATTCTCATCTCAATGAAAAAAAAAATTTGCTCTTTATTCACATTTAGAGACCAATGGTCTCAATATATTGATTGACCTTTTTTGAACTTTATTTTTTTTTGGTTCATAAATTCAACACATTTATATTCTATAGAATCTATAGATTCACATTCAATTATTTCTATCACACTCACTATTATTAGGTCTTTGTAGTTAGAGTCGATTTATTATTATTGGTTATATTATGATATTACGATGAAGATTGTTCATTCAACATTCAGGATATGATCATTGTATTGTATTCAGCTACATTACAGTGGTGGTCAATTAAGTCATTTTTTTTTTTTTGATCAATTTTTGCTTATTCAGGATTATTGGAATTTTTTGTTTTTCTTCCGCTATTTGAAACTAAACTAAACATCTTCATTTCTAATATTAATAAATAAAGCTTGAAAGGAACAGTGATAATATTATGAATTGAAATGGATGAATGAAGAATTGGAAAAAACGGGAAGCACCCACATACACACACACACACACATTGCACTAATCTCCATCATCATCATCATCATCTGATGGTATTATTTTGTTTCCGATCATATTTTTTTTCATGGTACATGTTCAATATATAATTCAATATGATTCATATATATTGGTATATTCACAATTTAACATTTGGAACAAATGAACAAATGAACAACAACAACAACAACAATTCGCATGAATGGAAAGAAACAATTAATGAATTGAATGATAATTTACTACTCGGTGTATGATGCTGGTGATGATGATGATGATGGTGGTACTCTATATTTTGTTTATTATTTCCCATCAAATACACAAACAAATATATTCCTTCCATTAACATTAAGACTAAGGAACAATTTACAAAAGTTATCCATCCATATGTTTGTGTGGTGGTGCAATATATAAATATTCTAAAAACTCATACAGAATTTCTAGTAAAAAGTCTTGAAAGTTTCTGAAAGTCTGATTAATTGTAATAATAATACAATGATGACGACTAATTTTGTTCATTTCAATTATTCTCTTGAATCGTTTCGTTTCAATTGATTTTTTTCTTGGAAAACATTGTTTGGTTTTTTTTTTGGTGGTGATGGGGATCGAAAACAATACTATCAAAGTCTGAATGATTCGAATGTGATGGATATCAACAACAACGATCAATTGATGACCATGTGTACAGTGAAGAAATGAATCCATTGTAATTTAATTCTTGAATTATTACAGCAATGGAAACTAGAATCGAAACGGAGTAAAAAAATCGATTTTTTCTTCTTTTTCATTACATTCTCATCTATTCTCGTTTTTTTCATTGGATTCGACCCGAGCAAGAATTCTATCCTTTCTAAAAACAGTTTAGAACTTCATTTATTTCATTTTGAATCACCGAAACAAAAAAAAACGACAGAGATCAGATAAACATGAGAGATTAAAACTTTGACAAAGATTTATTCTTCGTTTATCGTATTACGTTAGTTGGAAAACGTTATCCAAACAAATTGATGATGAACATTTTTTTTTTCATTTCGATTCAATTTTTGTTTGTTTATTTGTTTTCATTCAATAAATATCATATTCGATTTAGCATGCTTTCACTAATAATTAGTAATTTTGAAAAGTTGCTAGTTAGCGTACTGAAGTTGGTTGATTTGTTTTCAGCGAGAAAAAAAAAATCGAAGTAAATCGTAGAAAAAAAACTTTTCTAAAAACATCAAACAACAGCTGATGATAATGACCATAGTCATCACTATCATTTATTATTATTGAAAAAAAAATTTCCTCTTCCTTTCCGTCACCCCTCTCCATTTTTCAGTTTCATCTGGTGACATTTGGTGATTCAATTGAATATAATAACTTTTTCTATTCGATTTTGATTGTCCATTTTCAGCAAAATGTTTGTTTATATAAATTTTGTGATCAAACAACTGAACATTAACGAAAAATGTATTTATTTTTAACCAAAAAAAAAAAAAAAAGTTCTACAACAAAATAACATTTAACATCCAAGATTAAAACATCAGAAATTCACAATGACCCCTTTTTTTCTACCATTTCAGACCTGATTGATCGATGATAATCGAAAAATGATCAATAATTTTTGCTTTATACTACCATTTTTGGCAATGTAAAGTTTTCCGAATGAACTTTTCAACCATCGGATAAAGCAAAGTTTTTTTTCATTCAAATTCATTTTGATACAGTTTTTCAAAATTTCTTTATTTTCAAAACTTAATTTTATGTGTGTTTAAATCTTTTTGGTCTAACAACCATTACACACAATCATTTTATCAATCTTTTTTCTTATCCTACAAACAATAGACATAATCGTTCATCATTTCTACTATCCTTTTTCTATTTTTTTTTTCAATGATTTTCAAATGCATTTTGTAATCCAAATGTGTTTGTGTGTGTGTGTGTGTTTGTCTCATCTCATTTGTATCGAGTCTTGGGAGCTTCAAAGCTCATTTATTTTTATTGTTATTATATTCTCTCATTCTCTCTCTCTCTCTTTCGGTTTTATTTCATTCAACATCAATATTCTCAACCACTATGACGTTCGACTTGTTTTTTGTTGTTAGCCAATATTCTCTTCTCCGTTTCTTGTGTTCTATATTCATGTTTCCCCCTTGGAGACATTTGAATGGATTCAATATTTTGTTTCTTTTTTTACCATCATCATCATAAGATTTTTTTTTGACGACAATAGTAGGAAAAAAGTAGAGATTTTGTTCCAAATAAAAAGGGCTATCCGGATTTCAGTCCAATTGGGAAAAAATGGTTAAGTAATGTGTTTTTTTTATTCGTTCAAAGAGAATCCAGAATTACAATCGACTTGCAGATCGCTTTGCATTTGGCTGGTTAGCATTTTGTTTTGTTTTTTTTTTGCAATTGTAATGGTGGTTTTTTCTCTCATCATTCTGTTATTCTGAAATATAAAAATCCTTGATACAATACATCAAAGCCTAAGCGGAATTCACGAGAACAATTGAAATCAAATTAACTAGTCAGAAAAAAATCCAACTATTATTATTTTTATGTTTGGTTCTGCTATTTGATTCTGTTTGTTATATGTATGTGTGTGTGTGTGTGTGTGGCTCGTTCACAACAACAACAGAAACATGGCCCATTCCATTGTCTACATATGTGTTGTGATGATCAATTAAGCGACATTCGTCAACAATAACAGTAATAACGACTAAAATCGGAATAAAAAGAATTAACTTAACGGAACCTGCTTTAGACAAAGAAAAAAAATGCCATTTTATTTTATACCATGGACAACAACAACAACAACAGCAATAACAAACAAGAATAATAATCGAAACAAGTATCGTAAATGAACCTCGGAGTTTTTGTCATAGTCTTCTACTAGCTTATTCGTCCAAACGCGATCAGTTCATAAAATCACAAACAATTCAACTATCCACCCACCCAACCAACCAACCATCGAATGGAGCCAGTCAGTTCAATGTGATTAATTGTCGAATACTATGGCCATATATACAAATGGTCCATCGACTAAATTGAGTCATCGAGAATTTCCGAAACAGAAATAATGAAAATAAAGGTCTGATCATTGAAGCGATACTAATCCAAATGTGCCAAGAAAAATAAAATGGAAAAATAACAGATACTCGAAAATCATTCGAGAAATGAATCGAACAAAAACAATGCAAAAATAAACGGAACAAAAGACGTTTTTCCTTTGAAAATCATTCTCCTATTGTTAAGTTATTTATTGTTTCTGGCATTTTGAATCAACTCTAAGTGTTTTCAATGTTTTGTTTTTTTTATTCAATGTGTATTTCTTTTTTTTTGTGTCCAAAAATAAAAACAGGAAACCAAAAAGATTTACCATTTCAGTGAGATAACATTGACGATAATGGATGGCACCACAGTAGCAAAAATGGTTAGCCAAAATAATAGCATATCCTGTTCATGACGCCATAAGAAATATGCCAATATAAATGTCGATCCGGAACAGCAACAATGTGACATAAGTGAAATCAAGGCAAATATAGCGTTGAATATATCAAAATCTTCATCCTTGTTGAATGATGATAATGGACGGAGTGATGAGCTTCCACTACCATCAATATCACGACCATATAATAATGGTGGTGATGTATTTGATGCATTTGTTTGTGATCCATAATAATAATAATCCGGATGATGATAATAATAATGTGATGAACGTGTCAAATAACCGCCTCCGGTTGATGCAAGTGGATAATGGTGATTATGATTATGATGATGATGATGTGTAAATGCTAACGGTGTCATTATACCGCTCATAGGCATTATTGAACTTGCTGTTCGGCTATAATAATGATGTTGACTACCATTGGCTCCAGGATATAAACGATGATTATCTGGTACAGTAACCGTTGGATTATCCGACATACAACCATTCGATTCTTCATGGCCACCATCGCTTGTTCCTTGACTAGAATCAACATAAACAGCAGCACTAGCCGCTATTGTTGCCGATGTTGTTGTTGGATCATGAAACGTTGAATGATGAGAATCGATTAAATTATGCACATCAATCGATTCATATGTCGGTGTCATTAATGGAAGTTCATTCGTTACGCCTCCATTGTTTGTCGATGATGATAATGTTGGCAGTGGTGGTGGTGGTGATGATGATGATGAGGATTCATTGAATGAACTTAGTCTATACATTGTGGTACGACGATTTGAACCAGTAGGCGTACCAATTAGTTGTTGTTGTTGTTGTTGAAAACGTTGCAACGTTGATATTGCAGTTGAATTCATTGGATGTTTCGAAAATTTTTCTTGCTGATTAGAATGTGATGTAATTTTTCTAGCCGTTTGTTCACCACTACCGGTCACTAAAAACAAAGAAGATGAATCAGGCTGTGATGTACTACTACTAGCTGCATTCGGTTGTATAATAATGGCTGATGTTGAACTTGTTGATTTTGAGCTTCCATTCGTACTATAACTAGAATCTAATTCTACAACATTATTCTTTTTCAATAATAATGATGAAGATGAATTGACGTATGGTGATGTATTGGATAGTGGTGGTGGTTGTTGTTGAGACACTGTTGTTGTTCTTGGTGTGAAATGCTGTTGCTGTAGACGCATCATTTAATTATTGAATTTTTGTCCAATTTTCATCATGTTATTTATAAACTTTTTATACAAATATCTGCGATTAGAAAAAGAAAAAATGGATAAAATTGAAAATTATTAATTTAAAAAAGGAGAAAAATTTTCAAAATTATTATGGTACCCATTGTACTCAATTAGTTTCATCAGTATCAATATAATACTTGTCTGGCTTATGAAAAAAACCAAGAACAAAAAATCATTTTATTTGACTTTTCTTTTAAAGTTGTTGTTGTTTGGTGGACAGATCTCATTATTATCATCAACAACATCATCATAGAGAAATAATGGCAAAAAATAAATCATGACAAATTGTATATAACCAATATAAAGCGAAAAAAAACACTAGCAACAATGAATAAAAGGATGGAAGAATGAATTGAGAATGAAATATGAAATCTTTGAACCAAAAAAAAGTGAAATAAAAGAAAATTGCTGTCAAAATTTATTATTATCCCTATCATTATAATGATGATGATGATGATGATGATCACAGTAATATTCTTTCTTGGTTCTTCATCTTTATCATGATTGAATCCCAGATATATATAGAATAAATTCGCTTTCTTTTTTCTTTGTTTGTGTTTCATTCATTCAGAAAAGAACAAAAAAAACGCGCGCAAGAATTTGATCAATTTGAGACAATAGTATCATATATGCAATTTAATACTTGTTCATTATATGAACCATATATAAACGAATATCAAATGGACAAATGGCAGTTCTGAAGCAACAACAACAACAAATGACTGTTGGAATTGAAAATTCAATTTAACACTTTGATAATTTTCATCGGGTTATTTTTGTTTTTGTTATTTCTTTGTTCATTTTTTTTCTCTAGTAACAACAATTCTATCACAAGTTCGTGACAATGAAAATAAAATATCCATTTTAAAATGGCTGCAGTTGTTGTTTCCAAGACAACAACACTAATTAAAGAAACAATTACGGAATTTCATACTTGTCATTTTTTTTTTGAACTTATTGTTATTGTTGTTGTGACACTCTATGTGATTATAGATTTTTTTTTTCATTTTTAAATTGTTTTATATATATTGATATTTAAGTCATTTTTTGTTCTAAAGTTTAGAATATAAACCTATGAACTTGCCTTATATTTATATTCTACATGTCAATGATGAATACATTTTTGCATCTTGGCTTTTTTTACAAATATTATATAAATTTAATTATAATCCATTCAATCAATACAAACGACAGAATGGTAAACAGATGTTGTTGTGAATAATTCTAGATAATTTCATTGTTGTTGTTGTTGTTTTGTTTTTTTGTTGGAAAATTTTTGTTTAGAGAATTAATAATAGAAAAAAAAATTAACTATACAACAGCTAAAGTTGACAATGACAAGAATGTGAACAACAACAACGACAACAACAAACGGTTGACATATAAGGATGGAATGAAAAGAGAAAAAAAACCTGACGAAACGACTTGACAAGTTTATTATTATTATGGTCAGAATCATTAAAATTGGAATGCCATAGACACACACAGAAAAAAACAATGTAGTCAAAAAAAAAAAAACGAAAGAACTGAATAAATAAATGAACGAGAATTCAAGTGCAATGTGCAATAATAATAATAAACATGATGATGATAATAGAATTTTGCGTTTTTTTCTACTTTTCAAAACTTTTTAATTTTTTTTTTGTTTTGTTTTGAAAAATTGATTACGATTTGTCATTGTCAACACAAGTAAATTGTATGGAAAAAATGAGAATTGATTTAATTTTTGAAAAAAAAAAAGAAGAGAAAAAGTTTTGTGGCTTTTGAGGTTTTTTTTTTTTCACTGAAATTTTAATTCAATTCCATTTTGACATGGAAAATTGGAATGGAAAAGACCAAAAAAAGAAAAATCACTACTATATTAGATTTTGAATATAAAATTCTTCAAACCAATTTAATATGATATGATTGAGAATGAATATTCATGCTGAACACACCCACACACACACACCCACACACATCATTCAACAATATTGTTACCAGAACAACAGCAGATACAAAAAAAAAAATTTTCGAAAAAATAATTTAAATTGTCGCTAAAAGAATGTAATAATAATCGACAATTCATGAATGAATTCATAAAAAAAATTCTTGTTTACAAATCATCTATCGATATTTTTATGTTCATGTCGTCGTCTAAACAATGTATCTATAGTTTTCATATAATAATATAATATAATCATACATAATATATAAAATGAAAGTTTTTTCTTGTTATTATTATTATTATTGGGTTTTAGAATTGTTGTTGTTGTTGTTGTCTATGTTCTATTTACCAATAATAATAATAATAATTTTCGTACAACAACAATGATCATCATCAACAACAACAACAACGAGAAAAATATATAAAAACAACACATCCTAAGGCATCATCATAACATTTTTACTATTATTATTATTATCATTATTACACAATTTGGTTTGTTGAAAAAAATAGCATAGTAGTAGTAGTAGTAATAGTAATAGAAAAAGAATTGGCAATGTAAGATGTCGTTGCAAACTATTTTGGCTATTCTTCAATGCCCATCATCATCATCAACAACAACAATAACAATAAGAACGATTCCCATATCGACAATCAAATTGTCCTCGACGACGACGATGATGATGATATTTGTTGCTAAATCGTTAATGATTCAAACTTTACAATGTGAATTGATTTAAACATAAAGTGAAAGAGAAAAAGAGAATGAAAGAAATCAAAAAAAAAAACAATTGAAATCAAATTTGAAAAAAATGATGATGGAAATTTGTTTATTTTTTTTGTTGAAATTCTACTAAAATAAAATAAAAAAATACGATTCCCGTGTCAAATCATTTGGGAAATGTCAATGAAAAATTATGGCTGTTTTTTTTTTGGTCCGTGACCGCATCATGAAGAAGAAACGAAAAAAAGAAAAATTGAAAGTTAATGTGTACAATGATGTTAATTGAAATACCGGAGGCAATGAACAACGTTTGTGAACATTATCATCATAACGATTGTTTGTGTGCATGTGTGTAAAATTCAATTAAATTTAGATTAAAAAATTTTCAGGAAAAAAAAGACCGTAGACATTTATCGACCAGTTGTTGTTGTTTTGGGTTTTTTTTTTTTTTAAACACCATTTTCAACTGCTCAATTTTCATTTTAGTGTGTAGGAAAAATTTAGTTTTTTTTATTATTATTGAAGCTGTGGATTCAATTCCATTGCATTCTATTTTTCTTACTATTGAAACTTTAATTTAATTCTGTTTGCGGCTGACAGAATAATCAAACTGAATAAAAAAAAAATTTCACATTTTTAAACAGTGAATAAGAAATTGTGTTGGCTATGTTGTTGTTGTTGGAAAAAAACAAAATTATCTTGTCTTCGTTTGTTTCCTAATGATTGCCGCCGAATCGACAAACGTTGTCAAGTTTTCGGATGTTGTTGATTCAACACACACACACACAAACACAATCAAAATGTATCGATGATGAGATTTCTGTTTTCAATGTCTAAATCAGCTATATATATTAACAGTGTTTGACTATGAATAAATGATAATGATGATAATGATTTAAGTTTTATCATCATTCAAGTAGCCATCATCATCATCAACAACAATAGCAACAACAACAACAACAACCAGGACCATTATATTTACTTTTATATATCAATAAGAATATATTACAGTGAAAAAATATATTATGAACGGAAATAAGTCACATTCTTAAGAGTCGCTTTTTTTCTGCCTTTCGGACATGATGATGATGAAGATGATGATGATGAACGAAAAAAAAATTGTATTTGTAATGTATGACCGAAACAATGGAATATCTTTTCATTCATTCAAGAAAAAAAAGAAAAGAATTTATCGAGATCGAGACAATTTCTTTTTATTTTCTTTATAGTCCAACACATAATATAATGGCGTTATATAATAATATATATCTCATTATTATTATTATTATGTTTTGGTCACACATTTTTTTTTACTGGCCATCAAACTGATTACATACATCACATCCACGCAAACATCATCATTCGTTTGTGTTTCATATTAGAAAATAGGAAACTATTCTCGAAAAAAAACTAGACAATTACTGATAACGAAACCAGAAAAAAACTGGGACATACCGGGACCATACATACACACACACACACACAAACAAAATGAATGAAACTCAAACATCGAGAATCTGTATGAGAAACAAATATAGTAAAGAAAAAAAAAAGATTCTTCAAAGATCTTGATTGAAGATGATGATGATGATGATGGCCAAATGAATCACACAAACGTAAAACATAGTGTTGCCAGATCGACCAAAGTTTTTTTTTTGATTGGAAAACTCGCTTACTAATACAGTTTCACATCGGTTAAAAAATTTTTCTAGTTAGGTGTAGAAAGTTTCTGAAAGGAGGACATGTCCTTCTGTCCCTCCTAGGGTCTGGTAATTCTAGTTTAACACATTGTTCCTAACTTAACATTCTTTGATGATTCTTTTTTTTCTCGCTAACCAATATCATATTATTCGTCATCATCATCATCATCATCATCATCATCGTCGACGACAGAAGAAAACATTTGAGAATCATCATCATTATATAAGTATAAAGTAGAAAAAAAAAAGCTATTAGTGTGTCATTATTCCATATATTATTATATTTTTGGTCATAATATTTACAGAGAATATCCATGATTATAATGATAAGTAATATAACATTTTAGCACACTGGTACTTATATAGGATAGAATTTTTTTTTTCGTTCAAGAATCATCAATTACAATATGAAATTGATTGAATTTGTGTGTTTGAAAATCATATTTTTCCAAACACCCTGTATATATAAATATTGGAGAGAGATATTTAGTTTAAATACGATGGTAATATTTACGATAATAATAGTAATATCATCATCATCATCATCATGACATTAATATATACTCATTCACAACAACTGAAACCCTCACGATGATGATGATGATGATGAGGAAATCAACGAAAATCCTAATTGCAAATAGTTGAAAAGAAATGGCATTAAG